TTGTAGATCAAAACGTGGGGATGGGGCCCAGACCTGCTTATATTGCAAAAATATGCGCTACCTCGTATCAGGTCTTCTCTTTTAGTAAGCAAGAGCCCCATTTTGCAAAATTACCAATCCACATGCGAGCGATTTAAAAGTTTATAAAGTTGCAAGTTGTCAATGTGGAAGATTATGATATAACTCGGCCGACCCAACTGCTGGAATCAAAGTGTAGTCTTTCTCACAGTATATATGTCTATTACTAATAAAGTCGTGTACATCGTTACAACAATTGAGAGAGCAACAAACAAAATCTCTTTCTCTCTCTAACTCTATGTCATACATAAATATAAATATCATAGATATTATAAATATCAATTGATCGCCATTCTCATTTTCATCACCTCAACTGAATTCTTGTATTCCGCCCAATTGTATGATAAGGAGCTTACTTTCCAAGTCATATATTTCTGCTGCTGCTACTACTACTACTACTAGGTCAACAACACCCTTATATTACAGACGTTACTACTCAGATATGGTTTCCGCTCAAACTAAACAAAAGGTTGAAAAATTGATCAAAGAAAAGCCAATCTTTATCGCTTCAAAGTCTTACTGCCCATACTGTGCGCAAACCAAAAAGACAATTGAGGCTCTTACCAAGGATGCTTACATTATTGAATTAGATGAAGAAGCTGACGGTAGTGAAATTCAAGAAGCCTTGGCTGAATTGACTGGTCAAAAGACCGTGCCAAATGTCTTTATTGGTGGACAACACATTGGTGGTAACTCCGATGTCCAACAATTGAAATCCGCTGATCAATTGGAGCCAAAGATCAAGGCTGCTTTATAAGTGGAGATAGAGCGTATAGTTTATTTTACTATTCTACATGTTATACAGTCTAATTGCGTCGGAATAAATTTCTTTTGTAGAGATGTAACTCCAACTCTCATTGCAGATGTGCGTAATAATGCCCTGCTTAGTACCTGCGCTTTGACCAGACTCCAATGCTGGAGATGAATTTTCAAATTCTTTTTCTTTAAATTCTTTTTTTTAAATTCTTTTTTTTTTTGATTTTTTTGAATTTTTTTTTTTTTCCTTCGTCTTCATACAAAGTTTCCTCCGACAGCCATACGCTAGCCATGTCAAACGTTAGTTTACAAATCAGACAAGCGGTTCCTGCTATTGATTCAGTAGTGGCAGATTACGCCGTTGGGTATATTCAACATGTATCGGATGCTACAGAAGACAGTGTTCGTGCTCAGAGGATCAACATCCCCGATGAAATGGCATTTTTAACCAGCTTGTTAATTTCAGCTGGTGGTTCATCTGACAAAGTGCAAAACTTAACTGAATCCATTACGCAGCAGTTGAGTGAAAAATTGCAAAAGAATATGGAGAAATTGGCCATCACTGGTGACACTTCGAAAAGATTACTTGATATCAATGTATTGCAAAATAATACCAAAAGAGACATCAATACCTCACTTGCGTTGTTATCGGCAAGCAACGATATTGAGCATACGGGTAGAGTAATGGAAACTAGAGTTGACAAGAAGAAGTTGGAGAAACAGGAGAGGAAAATTGCTAAAAAAGTTGCCAAACGTAATAACAAGTTTGTCAAATATGAAGCATCGAAATTGTTGAATGAGAAGCAAGAGCAAGATTACGATTCATTCTTTCTTGAAATTAACCCACTTGATTTTGGATCAAGTGCAGGTAAGTCCAAAGATATCAAGATTGACAATTTTGACTTGTATGTCGGTGATGGTCAAAGAATCTTGAGTGAAGCCTCTTTAACTTTAGCTTATGGAAGACGATATGGTTTAGTTGGTCAAAATGGTATTGGTAAATCTACTTTGTTGAGAGCTTTGTCGAGAAGAGAATTGAATGTACCTAAACACATTACTATTTTGCATGTTGAACAAGAAATTAGAGGTGATGACACTCCTGCATTGCAAAGTGTTTTGGATGCAGACGTTTGGAGAAAGAGTTTGTTACAGGAAGAACTGAAGATAAATGAAAGAATCACTGAAATTGAAAACTTGAGAAAGGAATTTGATGAAGAGTCATTAGAGGTCAAGAAACTTGATAATGAGCGTGATGACTTGGAGAACCACTTGCAAGAAATTAGTGAAAAATTGAATGAAATGGAATCCGATAAAGCTGAAAGTAAAGCGGCTGGTATTCTTTATGGGTTGGGATTTACCAAGGAAACGCAAAATGTACCCACTAAGCAATTTTCTGGTGGTTGGAGAATGAGATTGTCTTTAGCAAGAGCTTTGTTTTGTCAACCAGACTTGTTATTGTTGGATGAGCCTTCAAATATGTTGGATGTTCCCTCCATTACATTTTTGGCCAACTATTTACAAACTTATAAATCTACAGTTCTTGTCGTATCGCACGATCGTTCATTTCTTAACGAAGTGGCTACTGATATCATACATCAACATTCAGAAAGATTGGACTACTACAGAGGTGCCAATTTTGATTCGTTTTATGCCACTAGAGAGGAGAGAATCAAGAACCAACGTCGTGAATACGAATCTCAAATGGCTTATAGGCAACATTTACAAGAATTTATTGACAAGTTTAGATACAATGCTGCCAAGTCACAAGAAGCACAATCACGTATCAAGAAATTGGAGAAATTGCCAATATTGGAACCACCAGAAGATGATAAAGTGGTTACCTTTAAATTTGCAGATCCCGATAGTATTTCACCTCCAATCTTGCAAATGCAAGACGTTACTTTTGGTTATGATCCAAATAAGTTGCTTTTCAGAAATGTCAATTTGGATGTTCAAATGGATTCAAGAATTGCATTCTGTGGTGGTAACGGTACCGGTAAAACAACCCTTTTGAAGTTGATTATGGAACAAATTACTCCGCTTGAAGGTTACATCAATAAAAATGGTCGTTTAAGAATTGGTTATTTTGCTCAACATCATGTTGATGCTATGGATTTATCACTTTCAGCAGTTTCGTGGATGAGTCAAACGTTCCCGGGTAAAACTGACGAGGAGTACAGACGCCATTTGGGATCATTTGGTATTACAGGACCCTTGGGTTTACAAAAGATGCAATTGTTGTCAGGAGGTCAAAAGTCTAGGGTTGCCTTTGCGGCATTGTGTTTGAATCAACCACACATATTGATTCTTGATGAACCTTCGAATCATCTTGATACTCAAGGTTTGGATGCTTTGGCGGAGGCAATGAGGAATTTCAAAGGTGGTATATTGATGGTTTCGCATGATGTTTCAATCATTGATAAAGTTTGTAATGAAATTTGGGTTGCTGAAAATGATACCATATCGAAATTCCCTGGTGATATCCATGATTATAAGAAGCACATTCTCGAGTCTGCTAATATTGCGGGTGTGGTCAAGAGACATTGAACAAAGAGAGGAGGTGTATATATAGTGTATGTAGCAATACAAGTTCCTCAAGTGTGTCTTTAAAGCCGAGAAGCAGATTTGTTGCACCGAGGCAGAGCAAAGCTCGAGAAAAACTTTATGCAATGATGTGCACAGTACAGTTGAATTCATTTTTACTTCAGCAGTTGAAAGAATGGCCCTCTTAGGCACAATAGGGCTAAAATTCAAGCTAGGGATAGGGATAGTTTCGGTCTACGCTTCTTTTGAGGCATACTTGTACCTACGGGCGAAATACGTGATCAAATCGAGAAAAGATGAGTATCAAAAGTTGGTCAAACAGCAACAACAACAACAACAACAACAACAACCACAACAACAACAACAACCACAACAACAACAACCGCAATATGGTCCACGACCTGCCGATATAGACTATTCCAAATTCAAATCTGCAACCGTAGCAGGGATGTTTGTCAACCCATTCGATGAGTACCGTCCTCAAACCGCATTTGAATTCATTCTTGTTCGAGTCATGGAGTTATTTGAGCTGTTGTATGGAAACATTGTGGAGAAACATGCCAAGTTGCCCCATCCCCATGATGGTGCCGTTGAAGTTGAGGATGAATTGAAGTTATTCAAACCCGATTTGGAAAGGTATAGATTTAATTCACAAATACTACAACAATGTATCAAGAATAATGCATTTCAAGCAATGGACCAAGGACAGAGCAGCAGTAGTAGTGGTGGTGGTGGTGGACTATTCTTCAAATCAAAGCTTCTGCTACCCCCAATAAACAAACAGTTGCTCTTTACGTGGTTGGGTCAATCATGTACGTTATTTCAGGTATCTGGTATCAATTTCTTGACTGATCCGATCCTAAGTGATCATTTGATAACGCCGTCATTTGGGCCCAAGCGTTTGACAAAGTCGCCATTATCTTTACAAGATATTCAATATGCTACCAACAATCAACTTGATTTCATATTGGTGTCTCATGACCATCCAGATCATTTGGAAATGGATCTTGTTGATAAAATACGAAATGACAGTTGTTGGATTGTGCCATTGGGCTTGAAGAGCAAATTGGCCCGTAGGGGGGTTCATAGAGTGATTGAGCTAGATTGGTGGGATACGTTGGATATAACAAAGTATATTTTTGGTGAGGATCACAACAACACTGATGTCAAGGGGAACGCCAGATTTCCCGACAAGTACGAAATTGAGTGTGTTCCTTCAATGCACTGGTCAGGAAGGTACGTTATCGACTCAAACAAATCATTGTGGTGCTCTTATATCTTGAAACGTAATGGTGAATCAATAGTTTACCACGCCGGAGATACTGGGTACCTGAAAGAATTATTTGACATTATTGGTGCTAAAAATGGGCCGGTGACGTTGGCTTTGTTGCCTATTGGTCAATATTGTCCTAGTTGGCATCAGAAACCACGCCACATTTCACCTGAAGAGGCGTTGGATTTGTCAAGTCAAGTATCGGCCACTTTCATGAAGGGAATACATTGGGGTACGTTTAAGCTTAGTGGGGAACCAATTTTGGAACCAAAGAACTTGTTGAATAAATTGGCAGCATCCTCTGGCAAGGCCGATGCGTACAAGGTTCCACTGTTTGGATTGACATATTTATTTGATTTAGAGCATAAAAAAGAGATAGAATTACATGTATAAATACCTTACATAGTCGACTTTTTATTGATTGGAAAACCGACACAGAACCAAGATGAGTCGTAAGGCTTAGGCCCAGAAGCTTCTGATCGCTTTCCCCTTTCGTTCTGCTATTTACATGTACATACATATGTAGTTGATATTAATTATTGTTTTTGTATTCGTTATTCGTAAATACCACATCCATTCCATCGATGGCAAAGATTGTGACCCATATCCCTTTCTTGTTCTTCACTTCCCACTGGCTTCCTCTCTCACTCCTTATTCCCTATAAATAGCAGTCAACTTGGCTCTTTGATTAGCAATCATCAGTCTTTGCAACTCCAAGTACCCCGAATCAGACCTGATTACCGATCCGATAGACATAAACAACCCGAAAGTACCCACTGATCCCATTATGTATTGACCCAAGGTTCTCATTACCCCATTTGGACCAGCACCATTTTGCAAGATTGAAAATCCACCAAATAATACTCCCACACAAACTCCGACAGTGGAGCCCATTAGAGCACCCATTTTGAATTTGTCCCAGTTGGATGGCTGGTGGCCGACGTATTGATATTGCTGGACTGGTGGCATCTTGGTATTTATCTAAGATTGATTTCCTTGCTACGTTGAAAGTACAGTCGTCTGTTGTTATCTTGCGTTGTGTTAGATGCAGAAAACTTTTTTTTTTATTTTTTTTTCTCATCCAATTGAAATTTTACTTTCATCAGAACTTTTGCGGATCTGCAGAGATACACGGTTTAACATAGCTTTCATCCAGATATCATCCCTCCTCTATTACAAAGGCAACACACGCGTTCAAAAGTTTAGCTGAACCTCAATTGCGGAGAGAAAAGATATATCACCTTATTGTCGAAGTAAATTTCCATCACAATTACCAGATCCAGAATAAAGAAACTTTAACCAACAAAGAGCCATGGGATCCAATACTTCAAAGCCCGAGACTAAAGTCTTTACACCCGCAACTCCTGTTGACTTTAGTTCAACTTTTTTGTCACAATTGGAACAATCTCCAGAGGTATGTTTTTGTGCCAAGTACGCTTGTTGAGAAACGTTGACCAGATAAGTGTGGTTTGGTTGATTGTGAAGAGCAGCACACCGTTCTACCAGAACTCTTAAATACTAACTCCCCATTCCATAGTCTGACTACTCACGGGCTCAATACACCGAGAAGTACATTCAAGATAGAGTAGCTCAAGAATTACAAAAATTAGAAGCGCAAACAATCAAACAATTCAAAGAAACCACCAACAAAGCCATTTCTATTGACAACAACAACAACAACAACAGCAGCAGCTCGTCCGACGCCAAACTGAAACTCTCAGTCACTGAGTCGAGTGCCAAAATTGCCAAACTAACCAAATTGTTGGAAGATAACTCAAAGTTGGAACAAGTTGAAATAACACCGGCATTGCAAAACTCAAGAGAACAAGTTATAAAATGTTTGAAAGAGAATCAAGGTAAGAGTCTCAATTGTTGGGATGAAGTTGAAACTTTTAGAACATTGGTAAGAAATTTATAGACGGAGAAGACCCCACCGTGGAACTTACCTAACGGATAATGCAATAAGCCCGACTTTTTTGTTTGTATTTTATTCGTTTTTTTTTCTTTTGTCAACTCTCTGTATCAATCTATAACGCTAATCCTTTATAAATCAACAACAACGCTGAATCACTTTCACCACCTCCTGCCAACATGGCAATTTTTTCTCTAGATACCGAACTCACTTTATCGTCATTAAAGAGCCACCAATTTTCACCTTCAAGGTCATTAGCATCCTTGACGTATGCTTTATAATGTCCACCATCAGCACTAGCTCCCATATGAGTAATCACCGCATTAAGTTCATAAACACTAGATGGGTTTTCAGTAGTAGTTTCAAAATTGACTCCAGGAAGGGCCGTGTTCAAATCATCTTGAAACTTGCTCTTGATTGAAGCAATCTTCAATTCTTCATCTTCCTTATTGATGATGTCCTTTTTGGCCTTTTTGAAATCACGCTTCAAATCCAAATTATCCTTTTCAACTTTTCTAATTGTATCACGATTCTTGTTCTTTTCTTCTTTGATTGAGTCATCCAAAAATTCTGAAAGATCCAATTCAAATGGGAACTGAACTTTTCTCAAGATTTTCGACTTTTTGTTGATATCTCTTCTCCAGAAAAATCTAATAAAATGAACAACAAGAAACTTGGGTAACCTGGTGATTTTTTTAGACACTTCGTACTCAGTATCAGCGTTCAAAGCGTTGTTGTGCTTGGTGATAGTTTCAGTCAATCCGGCAAGAATTCCATCCCGCAAGAAATTTGTCTTGATATCAATATGGCAATTCAACTTGAACGCGTCTTCTACACTGTAGGATACATCTTCTTCTTCTGCTCCTCCTTCTCCTCCACCAGAACTGGCCAAGCTTTTTGTCGCTACGTTGAATTCAAGTTTGAAGAAATCAGCAACTTTCAAATTCAGTTTCAATGAGGTCAATATTTGTGAAAATGCTTCTTCTGCATCTTGTTGTGCGTAAATCCCATTTCTCTGCTCGGCAAATTGTGGATAAGCATTTCTGAAAACTGTCAAAAACAAGGCAATGTTTACTGTGCCATTCTTCTTCTCCATCTGTTGGAATGTGTTTCTCAATGCAACGGTGAAATTATCAGTTCCCTTATACTCCAGAATATTGTTCCTCACATCATCAATTTGGTAAAGAATTTGCAAACTGGAGTTTAGGTAACATGTGTTCCCGTAGTTGGGGATACCAACGGGGTTGTTATCCACCTTGGTAACGTCTCCCATATCCTCAATGAATTTGGGTTTTTCAATTGGTGCTGACAACTTGTCGGGAGTTCCCAAAACCATCACTGGTTTGCTGAAATCCAAAGTTGACAATAAAGTATCGTCATTTAGTTTACCCCCCTTGACCAAAATCTTTTGTCTTTCTGGTGGAATCAACGTTTGTTCCTGGATCTTCTTTTTCAAATCGATCCCAGTGTCATTTGCACTCACCTCGAAGGTGTAAGTCTTTCCTGCATTCTTGATTGTAACTATTGCAAAGAGAGTTAGTAGCTTATTTATAAAGTACGCATAACCTGGTAATGTCTCGTGCTATAACATACCTGTGGTACTCATGTTTGTTGGTGGCAAAAGTTGGTAAAAGAGTAAAGTTCAGTGATGCAAAGTTGACATTTTTCCTCTCGCTAAAAAATAAAACAGAACAGAACAACAGAACAGAACAACAAAAGACGTTATTTCTCTTCATCATACACCATAAGAGATATATACTCAACCACCCTTGTTTCTGTATTTTCTTGCACTACAAACTCATTACACTAATGTACTTGAAAAAATGCTCTTCTGCATTATCTACTCCTCTATCAAACTGTACTGGTGTAACAATATACAATCACCTCCACGCTCTTGATCTAATCCATATATGTACAAGATTCCCTCAGAGGTGACAACATTGACCTGCAATAGATGATCCAAATCCTTGCCATCGCCTTGACTTAGTGACGTAGAATCTTTTCCAAAGGTCGCACTAGTATCGGTAGCAGTACTCACATTGTTAATCATTGCAATCGACTTCAAATCTTTATTTTTTGCATCAATTTTGATGGAAGCAAAATGCCTCGTGGGTTCCAAAATGGAAGAGAATCGAGATGGCAAATAATCACCCATTTTTTGTGCTGCTTTGCGGCCCAACGTTTGTGACGATCGTCTAATCAATCTAGCAACTGAGAGCCTATTTTGATCAATAATTGGAGAATTGGCATCTTCAGAATTGACACTATTGAATGAATTGGAAGAGCTCTGGGAGAGTTTTCTATGCTTTGAAGGTATTTCCGAGTCCTCATCCTCCTCATCCACATCCATATGGTCCTCCATATCATCCGAATCATCATCATCAACACCCTCTCCCTCTCGTACAGTTTCTGGTTCTTCTTCAATGGTTTTAATCTTTTTCTTTTGTTTATTCTCCAATGCTTCTTCCTCGCCTAGTCTGAAGATATGCACAGTAAGACTTGAACTTGTTGCTAAGACATACTTGTTGTCGTTGCTAAATTGCAAAGAATAAATTTTTGTGGGGTAAGACCCTCTTCGAAATTGAAACAACTTGACCCCAGTATTTGTATCAAAAACTCGTACAATTGTCCCCTTATCTGATGCGGTAGCAATGAGGGACCCATCACTTGAAAAACTCATGGCGGCAATATCGTTTTTATGAGCACTTATAGCCATAATGGGGAGATACTTGTTTATGTTGAAAATTATTAGATCACCCTTATCTGATACTGTATTACCTGGGGATTTGTTGGTACTGGTCTTGTTTTGATGACTACTGTTATTGTGGATTTTTGAAAGTGTTTCTGAAGCACTGGGGGGAGAAGGGTAAGCCAATAAACAATGCTTTGAATCATACGACACTGTGCAGAGTCCTTGTGGGTTGGAATTGGTTTTAATCGTTTGAAGCAACTTCATCGTCTTGATTTCGTAAATGTACAATTGAGATTCCAAAACCACGACAAGATAGTCATTGGTCAATTTGATGTTTAGTATTGAAGTTGGGAAAAACAATGAACATATGGTGCTATTTGTCTTTGTATTTTTGATCTTCAACTCTCTAGGCGATGATCCTATTTCGTTTCCCAATGGAGTTATTGCTATCAACGATGTGGTATAGAGCATTTCTATTATATTGATACAGTCGTCCTTGTAAGAACAACATCGACCAAACTTCTGCTCAACATTAACAATTTTATACCCCGATTTCAAACCAAGTGCAACGCATGTCAAGTCCTGATTAAAGTTGAGGTATGTAACTGGAAATTCATTCATGATGGCAAGGGGGGGCAAGGGGGGCAAAGGGGGCAAGCAACTGCGAGTTTAAAAGTTTGCAGTGATAATTGATGTGGAAGAAGGTGTTTCTGGTTTGTAGGTGGTATAGTCTAATGTAGCGACTTTGACGACAGTTTGTATACAAGTTGTTGTTACCGTTTTAGTTGTTGTTTGATTTGGTTTTGTTTTGTCTCTCTTTTTCTCTCTCGCCTATACTAATGACAGCTATGTTTGAGAATATGTTCATAGCGATTACACTAGTTCTTATTCATTGTGACGTATGAATTGTATATTGAGCGTAGGTTCCTTAGTTTTAGCAAATCACTTCTTTGAAGTCAGCAATTCTCATTCTAAGCTCTTTTCCTCTGCAAAGCAAAACATTGACTGCCGTTTTTAATCTGCAAAATTCGTAGCTGAGAGAGAAAACACAACCAAAACAAAAGTCACACAGCCTAAGCTTCTCTACAAAGCTCTTTCCAACAAGTGAGAGGAATGTACATGCACTCGTATCGTACACTCTTGGTTTAAAGATAGAGAGATCATTGGGTCAAGAAAGGAAGAAGAACATGCAGAGTTTGAAAGAAAAAAATTATTACCGATAAAAAGAAAAGAGAAAAAAGAAGCGGGGCGAACTGGGAATCGAACCCAGGGCCTCTTCGAAATTTATGCTCAGGTAGTTAAGCCCAAACGAAGAATCATACCACTAGACCATTCGCCCAATTTAATATCAAATCAACCTCTTGCTTTAATATGATTTGCTAAATTCATGACGGTTTATCATTGCATGTAATTCATTTTACCGCTAGGGACATCCAAACAAACACGGGATGGCTCGAAAAGGGAAAAAAAGTTTGCTGTATTAAATTTATGTAGCATTCCGGGGTCATTTTTGTTGGATTGTGTAGCCCTTTATTCTAAACATCATAAATTGGTTGCAAATTCTAGCAAAAAAAAAAAATAAAGATGTGGGCAAGCCAGCAGATTACTTTCTTTCCGGCAAAAATTCGTGGCTTCCTATTACTGTCTATGAAGGAGAGTACTCTACCCACATAACCCTCTTGTAGATGAAAAAGCTAGAGTAATACCACCATCTGCGTGGATTTCTCAATCTCGACCTCCAAATATCGTCATGTACAGCAGTATATTAATAAAAGGTCGAAGATATCTTCTCCTTCCCTTTCCAATTTCTCTACAGAGATAGAATCCCTCCTTTTGCTTTTGTAATCTTCATTATACCACCCCTCCCCGCCTAATTCAGTAACAAGAGACGCGTGTTAATGGCCACACAGATTGCGCTACCTTCCAATATTATCTGACAACGTCCAGAAAAACAGTCAATCCATTTAACTTGAATCTATACTGGCTTTCTCTCCTCAATAATGATTGATGGGTGTCCCAATTTTGCAATTGGTTTGAATCTCGAGGGTGAGGTTATAGATGTCATACAACTTCACCAAATTGTGGCGCTCATAACAACAACTTCTGTATACATCTACCACCTGTATACTTTATTACCTTTAGCAAATCATACCAGATCGTCCAGTTCGATAGAATCCAATGGTGTCAACATCAAGGCAAAGAAAAAGCTAATACACACTCCGCATAGCGGCAGACAATCAAAGCTCAACTTGTTCATTCAAACCGATTCTAACTTCATTGTCATTTATCAAATTAGCATTGATTATTCTCATCCTATTTACGAAGTACACAACAGCAACCATGAATTGATACAAGCCGCGGTACCAATGAATTATTCGCTTGGTAATTTTTCATTTACAAAGTTTTTACAATCAGCAACTAAGTCGTTTATGCAAGGACACGATGAAGATGTGTCGCCAAAGTTGGAGAACGTTGAGAGTATAAATAACAATTCCATTGATGACGAATTGGGTGGATACGACATTGAACCGGTTAAATTATCAGTGTACAAAGTCTTGCAAATGGGACTGGGTAGTGCTGGTGAACAGCAGTTTTGGCTTCGCCTGAATTCACACGAGTTGTTTGTTTTCAACTTTGCCAACGAATCGAATGAGGAAGTAAAGGGGGACTCTTTTCAAATTGTTGATTTGTCGACATTTGAAACAAAGCTAATTGACTTGTCCATATACAAATGGTTCAAGCACACGGCAAAGAGGATTTTTTACAACCAATTTGAGGATTATTTCTTGTTGGTTACAGAAAATAATGAAGTATTGCATATAAAGTATGAAAGTGAAGACTTCCATGCACACACAGTTGGGCTGGGTGATTTGGACAATGTAAATTTCAGTCCGTCCTCTAGCTTGTTGATTAGTGAAGAATCTGAAACTTGGAAGCTTTTCAACCTCAAGGATAGAATATTGGAGAAGTTAAAAACATTGACCATTCCACAAGGAAAAATATCATGGGCAAGCTGTGGAGATTTTTTTACACTAACTGAAGATTCAGGACATTGGAAACTTTTATCTCGTTTTGGCAAGGTATTATTCGATACTCTTCAAACAGTGAATGAATTGAATGGTAAGCACGATCAAACAGCGGGGTTCTTGAACGCAAAGTTTATTTTAGTTGGCGAGAACTCAAATACGGTGTATGTGTTATCACAAGTCACCAACAAGCTTTACTCCATCCCACTCTACAATATGGTCAACGACATTGTCTACAACAAAAACTACATAACTGTCATTGAGAATCACCGAAATTTCGTACGCTTCCCCATGTTGCCCAAGTTTAAACGCTTGTTGCTACAACACGAGAGTGTCAGTTCAGTTGGTAAGCCATCTACCCCACACGGTAAACTAATACTATCGAAAAGTAGTTTTGGCCAGTTGTCAATATCATATGGTGACAATATCGCTGTTTCAACTCCAATCCACTCTGGTGGACAAACCAATCATGTACTATGGTTCAATTTCAAGAACCATTTTGCTGATGCAATGAACATTATTGATCAGTTTTGGTTTCAAGATTATCTCATAGTCGTAAACAGAAGAGTTCAACACGACTTTGAGGCTGATGATGATGATAGCACTGAACATTTTGTTGATGAGGTGATTGTATTTGATACGTCACGCACCAAATATGGAATGAGTGGAGAAAACATCGTGCTCAGTAGCGATGCATTACTTTGGAGGTACGACTTTAAGTGCACTTTTGTTGTTACACAGCTTATCCAAGATAAAGATGTGTCACATGTAGTGATTTTAACTGCTGATTCTCGACTAGTTGTTCTTGATTTGGTTACGGACAAGACTGTCAATTTGGACACCGAAAGCAAGCATTATCGAATATTCATCTCGACAAATAAGACCGTGCAATTATCATCACTCAAACACAAACTTAACTTGCACGATACTCGACAGATTAGTATGATTGATAAGCGACATTTCTTGTTCTTGCTGAAATCGGGCGAGCTTTATCTTTTGAAAAATGTCAGTCGAACTTCTTCCATCAGTAAACTGCCCACCGATGTCATCAAGCCTAGTAACATGTACGACTTGATAAAATTGAATTCCAGCATTGAATTTTTCAAATTTGTCACTATACCATTCCAATCGCCAGTGCCATTCATTTACCTATTCAATGGGAATCAAATATTGATATACGACGTTGATGAAATGGTTGTCAAAGCGCACAATAAATTACACAACGCACATCAAGAAGATGTATTTGAGGCTGAAGAAGAATCGGAGCTCGTACCCATTGCGATTGATGCTGATGACATTTTGCCACTAGAGATTGAAACTGATTCAAAAACAATTAATTTGATCGGATTGGAAAGTTCAAACCAAACTTATCACCACGATGATTTCATAATCAAGAATAAGTTAGCTCACAAATTGATTCTCAACAATTTCATTGAATTCGATTTGGTCCATCGAGGTGACTTAGAGAGTACATTCAACAAGTACAAGCCATTTACAAATTTCCAATTTTGTTTGGAGTTGTTGTTATTCAAACTCTTGGTTGAAGAAGAACCACAAGTAGAGTCACAATCAATATTAACTTTGAAGCGACTTTTCCAGTTGATTGAATTTACGGAAAGCCCCGAGTCCATTTACATAAATTGTTTGAGAAAGATTGAAGTTGCGTATTGGGGGAAATTTTTCGACGTGTTGAATACTACACCTGTGAAGTTTATGGACAGATTGATTAAATTGGACAACGTTGAGTTATGCTATCATTACCTCATTGTGTACTTGAATTACAAAAGAGAAGGTGAGCCGGGTGATGACAATGACAATGACAATGACAGTGACAGTGACAGTGACAGTGAAAATGACAATGACGTTAAAAAAACCACGACGTCTACTTTGATTGCAAATGTTAATGGTAGCTCTGATCAATTGAATGATGATGATAAACAGATTATTGTTCAAATTATCAAAATGTTAGCAGAGAGTGAGAAATGGGATTGGTGTTTTGAGCTATGCAGATTCATCAAGATCTTAGAACCATCTGGTCTGTTTTTAAAAGAAATCAAGGCTCAAGTTGGATAAAACTAGATTAGATTGTGTACAACTTTGGATAGCGTTTTGCTCCTTATATACTCTCCTGCATACAAACCAACCAACCAAATTATGTCTTTTGGTCAAACGAAACCCAAAGAGTGAGCGAAAAAAAATTATCACCATTAGTACTATGAGAGCCTTAACAGCATAGAGACCCAATTCCTAAACCATTGGCATCGTCTTTAGCCTCCCGTACGCCAAAATATAGATTAAACCACAACCAAACACACCCACATCCACCCACACATATTCTCTTTCCAAATAAAAGAAAAAAAAAAAAAAGAAAAAGATACAATGACATTAGCTACACAATTTGCAGAAACCACACGTTATTCCGCCACAAGTCCCGAGTTGAGACGAAGGGTATTACAATTATACCGCAAGTACATCAGGAACTCACGAGAATTTGCCAACTTGTATGAGTTGGACATGCCTGTGTCCAGCATAAAAACCAAGATTAGACAAGAGTTTGAAAGACAACGGTTTGTTGATGATTTGGCCATCAAAAACGTGTTGTATATGAAGGGTCAGATGGAGTTTCAGGAGTTGATTAACTTTTGGAAACAACAGTGCCATGTGTTGAGGTATTTCGATGATCAGAATGCGTACAATACTATTGATAAGAATGATTTTGTAAAGAACTTTTTGAGAGGGAACTAGTGAGGTTTGACAGCATGGGGAGAGGTGTATTTTATCGATCAAAACTCGGGTGATAGTTGTACATTTGTTTAAGTCAATTTGTACTAATAATAAAATGACTATGCGTTGAAAGCAGAATGACAGCGACTTTATTTGTAGAAATACCACCTCCATGTCACAATGTACCACTTCACAGTGGCTACTACAAGGAGAGAGATATAAATTAACTTGTTATAATCTGTAGGGGGTATATATGATATAAAAATAGAAGAAACAACACTATCAACCAATATAAGTAGAAAAAAAAACAAACCAATGGGGTAAAAGGTGAGAGAAATGAAGATTTGGTATTGGAAACTTTGTTGAAGCAGATTAATAGCAAAAGGGGATCAGTAATTAAAAGAAGTGTAGCTCCCATTCTTTTCCATTTACTCCATTACTGCTTCTTCCAATGGAACTTCATCTGCATAGTCCAAATCCTCTTCATCCACACCAGCTTCTTGGTATTGTTGGTACTCGCTAACCAAATCATTCATGTTTGATTCGGCTTCAGTGAATTCCATTTCATCCATACCTTCAGAAGTGTACCAATGTAAGAAAGCCTTTCTCCTAAACATAGCACTGAATTGATCACCAACTCTCTTGAACAATTCTTGGATGGAGGTGGAGTTACCGATAAATGTGGCAGCCATATCCAAATCTTTGGGAGGAACAGAGCATACTGCAGTTTGCACATTATTTGGAATCCATTCGACAAAGTATGATGAGTTTCTGGTTTGAATCTTGTGCATTTCATCGTCAACTTCTTTAACTGAAACTTTACCTCTGAAAAACGCAGCAACAGTCAAGTAGCGACCATTACGTGGATCAGAAGCAGCCATCATATTCTTTGCGTCAAACATTTGTTGAGTTAATTCAGGAACAGACACAGATCTAAATGATTTAGAACCAATTGAGGTCAATGGAGCATATCCAACCATAAAGAAATGTAATCTAGGGAAAGGAACCAAGTTAACAGCCAATTTTCTCAAGTCAGAGTTTAATTGACCTGGATAACGCAAGGAAGTAGTGACACCGGACATAACCGAGGAAACCAAGTTGTTCAATTCAACATATGATGGTTGTGGCAATTTCAAAGTTTGTTGGCAAATGTTGTACAATGCTTCATTATCAATGCAAAACGTTTCATCCGAATTTTCAACCAATTGATGGACAGATAAAGTTGCATTGTATGGCTCAATAACAGTATCGGAAACTTTAGGAGACGGAACAACAGAGAAAGTAGCCATCATTCTATCAGGAAACTCTTCTCTAATCTTGGAAATCAACAAGGTACCCATACCTGAACCAGTACCACCACCCAATGAGTGAGTAATTTGGAAACCTTGCAAAGAATCACAACCTTCAGCCTCTCTTCTAACAACATCCAACACTGAGTCAACTAATTCAGCACCTTCTGTATAATGGCCCTTGGCCCAGACATTACCAGCTGAACTTTGACCAAAAATGTAGTTATCGGGCCTGAACAAATTACCTACCTTTGATGCTTTAACATTATCGATGGTACCTGGTTCCAAATCAACCAAAACAGCACGAGGAACGTATTTTCCAGAACTTGCTTCATTGAAATAAACGTCCAATTTAGATTTTTGCAAGTCATCATGACCAACATAGTTTCCGTTGTTGTCTAATCCGTGTTCACCACAGATTGTTTCCCAGAAAGCAGCACCCTAGTAGAAGTAGTTAGTATCGTGTACTCGTAGATGATAGAAGCAACAAACGTGACGGCTGCTGTAAGTAATGGAGTATACATACAATTTGGTTACCACATTGACCAGTAGATAAATGAATCTAGAAGAGATTAGGAGTTAGTATTGCAAAGTTTGTGAAAAGTAGAGGATCATAATCCTCTCCACTCGTGTACGCGTATCAACTAAACCTCTATCTGCTAGTGGCATGACGCATAGTAGGTAGTATAGAGTTTGTCTGTTGTAGATGTTGACGACATTTGATGCTTGTTGGCAGCTTCCTCTGAAATTGCTCTTTATTTTGTTATCTTGAAACACGTTTCGAATGAAATGAAAATTCCTCTCTTCTCCTCTTTTGATAGTTTGGGTTCAGTATAAGAAGTAACATACAATTTCTCTCATGGATGGTTACTTGTTTCTTCTAGTGTGAGATGTATTGGTTATGGGGTATTTGAAGTAGTAGTGTATTTGAAACTCCTGAATCTTTATACTCTGTGTCTGCGTCTGTGTGAGTGTGAATCTGGTGGGAAAAAGTTAAGGATCAAAATTTTTTTTTTTGTTTTGGTGTTTGGTGTTTGTTTACATTTTGAGACAGAGAGAGAGAGACAGAGAGAGAGAGAGGGAGAATAAATTACAACACACTATATACAGGTACATCCAATAGATACGATATACATATATATATATATAAGACACGTAGAAAACATGTACCGCACCGTCTTCAATGAAAACAACCATTGACATGTCTATAATCAGTTATTTTACTTGTCACATTATTTCGTGAATCAAAGAACATCAGAGTAGCCAATGTAGTATCTTTTAGTGTTCATTACATTTGAGTTTATCACGTGAACAAATTTTGTGCCAATGTTTACACTATTTCCTAATTGGGTTATATTGATACTAACCTTATACCAAATATTGCAAAAAGAGACGACATCTCAATACATGAAAAGTCACCAAAAAAAACCAACCTAAACCAACCTATATACCATTTTCCCACTTCTTTTTACAACATCAATGTTCTCTCTCTCTCGTGGTTGCTCATGCGCAACAACTGGGCGTTAATGATTTCCAATGCAAGCATATACTCACTTGAAAACGCGTAACTTCCATAAGCAATTTGAACACACTACCAACTACAATTAATGGCCCTAATGAAACAAATGAAACTGTTCTTAATAAAAGACACGTACTAACACTACCTATGCTACTTTTGAAAATCTAAAATACCGAATACAAGAAAGGAAACGACTGCGAATAAGATAAAACAACGAAACACAAACAAAACATCTAATCACAACACTATACCCACTACCTCCCGAAACACCCAAAAACACGCAAAATCTTGCAACAAAACATCTCCCTCTATTCAAACACCAAAGACGCTCTGTCTAATTTGCTTTACCTTTTAAGCACTTTATGTAATCATCGCTGTAAAAATTACCCATGACACAATAATTTTCGTCATGGCACTTGTCAGAAATTTGTGTTCCATTAGTCTTACACTTTGGAGCACCAGGTCCATATCTGAACATGATATCCGCAAACAATTGGTTGAATTCAACATTTGACTGATCTTTCAATTTGGTCAAGACATGGTTGTGCCAGAATGTACCATTCAATGGGGCTTCTTCTGGCCAGGTGTGGTTTGAATCGTACAAGTCTCTGACGGAATATTCAAAAATCCATTCCGGCTCATCACCCCCATTGGTAAATGTGTCATTCAAATGAGTGTAGTAGTTGTAGGAATTGATGATATTGAAACTCTCATTTTCGACTTCATAATATTTCCAAGATGGATTGTAATTAGGCAATGGAGTAACTGATTGAGCAACCCATGCCATATTAACAATATCATCAGCAGTTTGTGATGAATTTGACGAATAAAGAATATGGAATTGATCTTGATGAGTGTGCCCCCAGAAAATATTGGCGATCGTGTATGGAGAAAATCTTTCAACAATCTTTCCAAATATACGTGATTGCAATGGCAATGCATCAGCGTCAGCGGTTGGGATATGAGCCATGATCCACACTCTTTGTCCCTTTGATTCACTTTCCAACAACTCATTGACCAAGAACTCCCATTGACCAAACAAGTCTGGGTTGGTTGAGATATCAATGTAGGACCACAAGTTCTTTTGGTAGTAGCAATTTGAATTCAACCCGATCACCTTCAATCCACGATCAGTAACATAGGAAAACCCAGCATAATGGCTCTTGAGCTCATTACGATCCTCTTCATCAAACCACCCGTTGTTGATCCACAAGTCAGCCATCAACTCCTCATTCCAGTGGTAGGAATTGTTAAAATCATATTGCAATGGTGAAATTTGCCCATATGGGAATGTATCGTGATTACCTAAAGATGGCAAAACTGGAATATCGTTCAAGTAATGCTTGAACAAGCTGAAGGACCTGACCTCAGCTTCCTTGGTGACGGCAGGAGAACAATGAATAACGTCATGATCAACCATATCACCAGTGAAAACAACAAATTCAAAGTTCTTTTCCTTATGAGCTTTGGCGACTTCAATCAAGGAACTGTTCATCAACACTTCTGGAGAGTCAGAAAGATAACCACCAAATGTTGATGCAGGAGCATTTTTGAAGTTCCATCCTCTGTACTTGGGGAAATCATAATACTCACCTTTGATGTAGGTGCTGTTTTCATCGTAATGAGCATCAGGGTAAAACGATAATCTGTCGATTGAAACATTTGGGTTAAAAGTTTTGTAGTAGTCGGTGAAGTTATAACTGGGACCCGGCAACTCTTTGTTGTAAGATTCAGGCAACGCACAAGGGGTCGATGTACAGTTGGCCTCAGCTCCCAATGTGTATCTCAATTGGATATGGAAATCGGTAATGTGCAACACGTTGAACTTCTCAGTATTGTTCTTGTACTCTGGTTCAAAGTAGTGATGTGGTTGCTTTTCTGGCCACCAGCTTTGAATTCCATAAAACTCATCAACGTCTTTAGTCTCTGGCAAATCACAAGCACTATTGCCCTTGTAATAACAATAATACTCCAAGTCCAAGTCACTTGAAACATTGACATTCTTCAATAACTGAATAAAGTCGTTGTCAAAAAAGTTGACGGAGACACCAGAAGCAACACCGGAATCATAATCTTGGTTAAACTTTTCAAAATTCTTGGAGTCAGTAGTAACGAAGAAATCAGTATTATCACATTTACTTTCGGTTCCATTATTTTGAATCAAACAGTGCTTGAAAAGTAGCAAACTAACCAAATGAGTCTTGTCTGGATAGTCTTCAATCAAAGTTTTACCATATTTGATTCTATTTTTACACTTGGTACAAGCAGAACCAGTAGCATTGGTCAAGTTTTTCAAATGTGAATTGATAAAATCAATTTCTGGAGCACTCAAATCATTATAAACAGGATCGATCAAATTAGAAGCTCTCTTGGCAATCGACACTTGAACATCCAAGGAATCCAAACCAGGAACAACGTGCGCCAAAACAAAATCGGGTAGCAAAAACACCAATACGGCACTTAAATAACTCAACTGGAACCAATTCATTACTGTATACTTCGTTGGTGGGTATTCCTTTTTTAGTTGAATTTTTTCAAGAAGGACATGGAAATTTTTTCAAAAACGTAGGCTGAGGGGACAACTATTGTATTTAAGCATTTGCCCCCGAGGGAGATACGACTAGACACAATAAGTCTAAAAATTTCATTGTCTAATTCACATTCCATTTGTTATGAGCTATACCCGAAACAATCCTATCTCCCACGATGTGGTGCTAACGAAATTAACTATGGCATAATTGAAATTTCTATTGTCTCATATCGTTGATTCGTTTGTTTACATTTTGCTGTTTTTGCAATTTTGTACTTTAATTGACGGAGCACGTGGCGTATCCTTTGCAACACTCACTAGATTAACTTCATTTTACCAGCCAGAAAACTAATATATTCTTATACTTTCCTCTCCACAGTTTCTTGGGAGGGGGTGTGTGTGTGTGTGTGTTTCCATTGCAGTGTCTATTCTTGTCTAGTATTAGCCCAATAACGTGTAGACTTGGAAATCGATGCCCGACAGTTGTTCTTGTATTTTCGAAAAAAATGAAAAAAAAATGAGAAAAATTGGCTTGAGAAAGGATTATCACTACGACACATGGTCGAACTAAGTACAACCATTTTGTAGTAAGTGCATGCCCGAAAAAGCTTAAACACAGAGGTACCTGCTTATTTTTAGATCAATCACACCGTGTACGGTCAAGTGAAAAATACCTGTCTTTGCCCAGCCAAGCCAAGCCAAACCAAATTTTTGAGTTTTGTGACATCCGAACTTGACGAGGATTAAGTTTTCCGTAGATTCACTGAAAGGTGTCTAGGAGATAATGATGATGCTAGAAGTACATTTTTGCTCTTGCTTGAGTCATTATAAACTTGCAGCTTAATAAGCAAGCACCGACAAGGTATCCGAGAAGCTATGTTAAGATGAGAAGGGGAGCTTTTCAAACAGGACATAAGGTTTCGTGTCTATCTTTTTTTGAAGATAGGTTTCCATATTCTCCTAAGGAAACATCATCTCATAAGTGTAGCTCAACTCTTCATACTGCAAAAAAGTTACTATTTGTGAGAGATGACTGGCCCGCAATACATCTCTTACCTTGGGTTTTCTTCGAAAGTAACAAGCACTACTTGAGAGATTAAGCTTACACGATAGTAATTGACTCGAACCCCTTGTTTTGTTAAAGTGAATTATACTCAGAGATCAATTGTAGAACTATCAAGTCAGATGTCAGGTAATTCCCTTTTTTTTTTCCCCCCTTTTGGTTGCAAAACCTCCTTTCTTGCGATGTTTTCTCTTGATAATCACACGTGATTTTTAGTAGTAGCGCAATATACAACCTTTTCACCTTTTTTTTTTTTTTTTTTTTGTTGTGAAACTGATTAGTTGTTCACAATCTTNTTTTTTTTTTTTTTTTTTTTTTTTTTTTTTTTTTTTTTTTTTTTTTTTTTTTGTTGTGAAACTGATTAGTTGTTCACAATCTTGAAAAGGCTAACGGACGTAACCAAGTCTTTACACTGGAAATATTCACACCACAGAGTGCTCCAAGAGAATATGTCTGCATCCATCCAGAATAGGACTGTAGAGTTCCATCAATGTGTCAATACCTATGAAAAGATCAACAGAAAACAGCAACATCAAAGCAACGCTAGGATAAAGCCCCAAGCTCAAGACCAACCACACAAAAAATCGCATTTCAGTCAACAAGCAAGTGTAATAGCCAAAGATATATCACACGTTACCGAACTTTTAAGTAAATTAGCATTATTGGCCAAGAGGAAACCCATGTTTGATGATAAACCAATAGAGATTGGAGAGTTGACTTATGTTATCAAGCAAGATATATTCAAGATAGAAACTAGTATTCAGAACCTTCAAAAATACATGAAGGGCGAGTCTTCAATAACCATAGATTCTCAAACCAGTCAATTTAGTAAAAATGTTCTTACTTTGTTGAATTCTAAAATGAAGAATGTTTCAGGTGAGTTCAAGAATGTGTTGGAAATTAGACAAAAGAACGAAATAATGAACAAGAATAGACAAGAAAATTTCTTATCGTCGGTGTCGAATAGTCGAAGATTGAATAGCGCGTCACCGTTGAATGTGGAAAGAAACGAATCTGCCAATGATTCATTAAGTAACTTGAATGAGAATCCGTTTTTGTTGGGCAGCAACACGGCCCAATCAAACAACAACAACAACAACAGCTACAACAGCTACAACAGCTACAACAAGTTCTCGGATGCTGACCCCGAAATTGTGTCACCTTACGACAATGGCCAATATCTCTCACTACCCGACCAACAACAGCAACAGATGTTGTTGATGGAGGAACAAAATTCTGGTCAACAATATTTACAACTGAGAAATAGAGCAGTTGAAAGTATAGAAAGTACAATCAATGAGGTGGGTAACTTGTTCCAGCAATTGGCTACTATGGTGAGTGAACAAGGAGAACAGATTCAAAGGATTGATGCAAATGTTGAAGATATAAACTTGAATATTAGTGGAGCTCAACGTGAATTGTTGAAGTACTATGCACACATTACGAGCAATAGATGGCTATTTTTGAAAATCTTTGGAGTGTTGATAATATTCTTCTTCTTGTGGGTGTTGGTGAGTTAACAGGGGGAGAAAATGAAGACAAGATACAGTTGTTCACATAGGAGGATATATAGGTGTATCTGAGAGTGATCAGTTTTAGAAAAGGTCGTGTAATTTGTTACATCTACTGCTTCTTTTTTTTTTTTTTTTTTTCTGTAGTGTCACACTCATACAGGTCCTGAACTCTCAAAAGATAAACCCCAATATACACCTAATTGAACATCATCAATCAGTAACGCTTGTCATTTATTCACAGTTAGAACAGTGTCACTCATCACTAAGCTTAAACAAAAGGCGGGAACAATTCTTCAAGCCAGGTTATTTTTTTTTTTTTTTTTGAAAGATAGACATATTAACGTTTGATTGCGCCATCCACAGTATACGGAGATAGCGCAACAATAGTCTTAACCACACCTTTTCATATCTAAGTTTCAACTACAAACATCACAAACGCATACTCTGTACTAGCACCAAAAACAATGTGGGGATACTTTTTTGGAGGAAACTCTCAGCAAAAGAAGGAGTTGCCAAAGAAGGCCATAGTTGAATTACGTGAACATATTTCAACATTGAACAAAAAGAAGAACCATTTGCAGCAACAAATGGACGACCAAGATCAACTTGCAAGGAAATATGTATCTTCAAAACAAACAACACTAGCCAAGAATGCGTTGAAGCGTAAAAAGGGGTATGAAACGAATTTGCTTAAAGTTGAAAATCAAATAGAAACGTTAGAAACTCAACTAGTATCTATTGAAGGTGCCAACTTGAACTTGGAAACAATGAAAGCAATGAAGCAAGGTGCTAAGGCAATGAAACAAATACATGGTGAATATGACGTAGACAAGGTTGAAGATACTATGGACGAAATAAGAGAACAAGTTGAATTAGCAGACGAGATATCTGAGGCTATATCAAGACCAGTAGGAAACGAATACGTTGACGAAGATGAACTAGATCAAGAATTGGCTGAGTTAGAGAATGAAAATAGGGAAGCAGAGAAGGAGAAAGTGAAGCCACAGAAGCAACAACAGCAACAACAACCGGCAGCAGTGCACAAAGAAGAGCAATTGCCATCATTCCCTGCCGTTAATAAGGCACAACCGGTCTCACAAGATGACGAAGACGAAGCTGCTTTGAAAGCATTACAAGCGGAAATGGGGTTGTGAGGAGGGAAAGCAGCACTGTTAACACCACTTCAGTTCTTTTGTATCTTTTTGTTAAGACTAGGTTATTAATTTTCAATATACACACATAGTAAGATGAAGTTTTATGCTACTACTCTCTACATTGTAATCTCGTGTGAGAGCATTACTCGAATACATAAATTTCTCTAACTAGATGAGATGGGATTATTACAGAGAGAGAAAAAGCAAAAAAAAAATAAAAAAAAAAATTAAAAAATTTCAAAAACCAGCTCTTAGCAGATATACACATTGGTCAACAACTACGAACTACATACCCAAAAACACAGCTTCATTTCACATTTGCATTTCTTCTTTGCATAGAGTAACCTTTTTTTTTTTTTAAATTCATTTTCCATTTTAATCCTTGTACATAGTCAACTTACTTTAATCACATGTTGGGGCTCAATAGATCATTACTACAAAAGTGTGCCAGGGCAAGGCTACAACTCAAAGCAAAGAGCGCTATCCGAGAACATACATCCATAGCAACTAACCCTGGATCAAGTACAATACCAACCCCGTCACTTTTTGCAAGTCGATTTCTTCAACCTTTGAAGGAGATAAACAACACCAGAGACAACTTAGTTGTCAACAGCGCCAACAAGATCACAAGTTCATCATATTTGGACCTACTACCCGACGCATACGAAATTGAAGAATCAGACAGAGAAAATAAACATTATACTTCCAAAACTGATGATGTCACGAGGAAACCATATGAAAGGGAAATCAATTACTTGAGAAACATGTTAGAGTCATTTTCGGCCGAAAGTTTCTTTGAGCGTACATTTCAAATCTTGAAATCGTTGTCAAAATTGGTGAATCAAGAAGAGCTCACTCAGTTTGGTAATAGGTCCTTAGAAGCAATAACGCGAGACCCTTCTATGAAACCAGAGGCTGTCAAGAAAGTTATCAAACAAATGGAGGAGTTTTGCAAGTTCAAACCTGATGAACGTACTGAAGCCATTGTTTTGAAGAGTGTTGTCCAAAATGGTGGTGACTTGAACGCTTATTTTGCTAATTTGAAGGATAGGCGACTGATTAAAAAGATTTTACGCAATACAGACGTAATTGGAGCTGACAATATGTTTCAAATTTTTGACTCCAAGGATATAGATATATCTTGTATCCCTGGGGAGTTGATGGAAGTATACAAGAATTACAAGTTGAACCAACAAGATGGTGAAGTGGTAGAAGATACGATCAAGCTACAGCAAAACATCGAAATTAATGCATTGGACAAGGAAAACTTGGATGAATTGTTACCAGTGGACTCGTTTGGGTTGAAGGTTGTCAGACATTCCTTACTAGGTCTCAAACCAAACCCCGAGCTAGCTGTTCATTTCACAAGCGAGATCGAAGAGATTGTAGCAGATTTGGGCGAAGAAACAAGAAAGGAAATAAAAGATGGGAAACTCAACTATCATGACATTTATAAACGATTGCAAACAGATGAACAGAGGACAACATACGATGAAGCTCTTGAAGCGTTCAATATGGAGAGACAAAGACAAATTGAAATTCGAGGCATAGAAGGAGCAAAAGAGAAATGGAAGCACGACTTTGAAGAAGCACAAAAAAGAGGGGATCTCAACTTGAACAAAAGCATGAATGCACAATGTTACGACTGGTACCAAAAGCTAATACCATTGATTGAAAAAGAACACGAATTGTGTAAAGCTTTGTTGAACGATGAGAAAGTAGAGTCCAAAGATGATATTACAACAGCCAAAGAGCGAGCATTTTATGCCCCATTTTTGATCAAAGTTGGGGCTGATAAAGCAGCCGTTATAACAATTTTGGAACTTTTGAAATTGAATGCCAGTGGTGGTACATATGGAGGAATGAGAGCAGCTAAAGCGGTTGAATCAGTGGGAAGGGCTATTGAACAGGAATTTCGGTCAAGCAATTTGGCAAATCAGGAATACAAGATGTCTGTTAGTCGAAAAGTGGCTGGATCATCCCAAATGAAGAATATTGTTCGCAAATCAATCGACTCTTTGGAAGAAGAGGATCCAGAATGGGATCGTGCTACGAGAACGAGAGTTGGTGGAGTTTTGATTTCATTTTTAATGGCTATAGCTAAAGTCAAAGTTAGAAAACAAACATCAAATGGACCAATTGAAGATTACCACCCAGCATTCTACCATGGTATGCAATTTCTAGGAGGTCAAAGATTTGGAGTTATCAAGGTACACAATGAAATTTTCAAGCACTTGTCAGGCACATCGTTTATCGAAACCATTCAACCACAATCGTTGCCCATGTTGGTGAAACCAAGACCATGGGAGTCATTTTACGGAGGAACTGGATTGTATTCAAAGAGCCCCTTGGTCCGGATGAAAGATGCTCCGGAAACTGAAGCTTACGTTAAAGCAGCCGCAAAGAGAGGTAACTTGCAAGAAGTATTTGATGGGTTGAACGTATTGGGAACCACTGCCTGGACCATCAACAAAAAGGTGTTTGATGTGATATCCCATTATTGGAACAAAGGTGATGAGTTTCTCACAATCCCGCCAGTTCTAGAGTCAGCGAAATTCCCGCCTAAATTGAGCCCCGATGCTGATCCTTCTGAAAGGTTTGATCATGCAAAAGCCACCATCAAAGCAGTCCGCGAGTTTTCTTCCCTGAGGTCTCAACGGTGCGATTACAACTATAAGCTTGAAATCGCACGTGGGTTCATTGGAGAAAAATTGTATTTCCCACATAATCTCGACTTTAGAGGTAGAGCATATCCAATATCGCCTCATTTGAATCATTTGGGTGGAGACTTGACTAGATCATTGTTCTTATTCTGGGAAGGTAAAGAGTTGGGAGAACGCGGATTGGAATGGTTAAAAGTCCAATTGGCCAATGTTTATGGTGTTGATAAAGCACCCATTCTGGAGCGAATCCAATTTGCTACTGATCACATAGAGGAGGCCATAAAGTCAGCTAAGGATCCCTTGAACCACAAGTGGTGGACCAAAGCCGAAAAACCATGGCAAGCATTGAGTGTTTGTTTTGAATTAGCCGAGGCGTATGCATTGCCTGATCCCACGAAATTTGTATCTTATTTGCCGGTACATCAAGATGGTACATGTAATGGACTTCAACATTATGCTGCATTGGGTGGTGATATCGAAGGTGCAAACCAAGTCAATTTGAATCCATCTGACAGACCTCAAGATGTGTATACATTTGTTTCTAAATTGGTTCAAAATAGAGTCAATGCTGATGCTGAAAAGGGTCACGATATTGCCATCTTTTTCAAGGATAAAATCAAGCGAAAAGTTGTTAAGCAAACTGTTATGACTAATGTGTACGGTGTTACTTTTGTTGGTGCGTTGGCACAAATTAAGAAGCAAGTGGCTCAACATTTTGGTGAAGATCAAGATGGGCATATATACACCAAGTACCTCACCAAACAAGTGTTTGAATCGATTAGAGAGTTGTTTGAAAATGCTCATTTGATTCAAGATTGGTTAGGTGAAGCCGCGAAAAGAATAAGTAAGTCAGTGTCGCTTGATTATGGTGAGACATCAAACAATCAAGTTGAGTTACATTCTTCAGCAGTCATTTGGACAACCCCCTTGGGTTTGCCTTGTGTGCAACCATATCGAGTAAACAAACATCATTCAGTTAAAACTTCGGTTCAAGATGTGCTCATTTCAAATCCATCAGGAACGTCAACGATTGATTCTCGAAAACAACAAGCCGGATTCCCACCAAATTTCATCCACTCACTAGATGCAACACACATGTTGATGACAGCGACTAATTGTGGAGAATCAGGTTTACAATTTGCATCAGTACATGATTCCTTCTGGACCCATGCTGCCAACATCGATGCCATGAATGAGATATTGCGTGAACAATTTGTTAGATTACATACGCAAAACCTTGTTCAAATTCTCCGTGATGAATTTGTTGAGCGGTACCAGAGATCGTATCAAATTTTGCATATCCCATTGACTCATGAATTGACACACAAGATTAAAGCGATCAAGAAACAATGGGCAACATCAATCAAAAGAGCGGTTACAATAACTGATGAGTTGTATATGGAAAGGAAAAGATTGGAGATGTTGCAATCAAATAATCCTGAAGAAGTTGAAGCTGCTAAACGAATGGAAACTACCATTAGTGTAGTTGACGGTTACAATCCATATGAGTTTTGTCAACCAATTAAACGCAAGGCTTATGATATCTTGGCGCCAATCCAATTTCCTGAAGTTCCACCAAAAGGTCAATTCGATGTACGAAAAGTTAAGGATTCTCATTACTTTTTCTCATAGATGACGCATTGAAATCGGAAAAATTCATTAAACAAAAAAAAAAAAAAAAAAAAAAAAATTGATTATAGAGGGTGCATTATACAACCACTTGTGTGGATTACATAGATAGGTCTTGTAAATACATAAAATTCCATACATTTTTTACGACAATGTCTGTTGATGGGAAAACGAATCCCAGGTAGTTTTGTTTATAGAATTCCTTGCCTCTGCTTCACCGCCCTCCCACCAACCTTTTCACTCAATTGATTTTCCCCAGAATTTCAAATTCATCAATCAAAGGTTGCAACGGCTCCAATTCCTTTTTATCCAACAAGTTAAACTCCTTGATAAACGAAATGAAATGAGCAAAAAATGAATTGAAATGAGCTTCCAAGCTCAAGTGAACAATCTTATCAAATTGATTGTAGTAAATAAAGGCAAATATCCGAAACATCTGTCGCGATATGTTCTTCACATCCTTTATGAAAAATTGAGGAAAGACAGCACCAGTCTTTGTCGGAAACGTTTCTTGATCGTTAATCTTGTTTGAAATCCACGTGATGACGTAGTCAATATACTGGCTAGCGGGTAAGTTGACCGCTTGGCCTGATCCGTCCACCCATAGATAATTCGTTTGACCTGCATTCATGGTGGGGAACTCGTTGGGGGTGACGAAATCTGAAACTAGCCCATAAAAGGAATCCAAGTTGCTATAGAATTCAAAAATGTTTAGTGCTAACCACTCATTCAAGTCGACGAATGCTGGGAGTTGGACTATAGTCTTGTATGAACCTTTAACCAAGGCAGTTTTGACATACGGTTCGCACATGAATAACGGTGGCTCCGAGATGGACAGTTGCAGTGCTTTCGATGCAACTGATTCGCTATACGACAGCCGCAGTTGCTGCAGTTGTTGTAGACCACCACTGCTATTTGCATTTCTAGACCGCTTGGAAGGGGAACCTTGGTACGATGAGGAAACATAGCCCACTTGATTGCGTCCTATTGTCGATATATTCTGACCACCAGCGCCCCCACCAGCTCCTCGTACAGGTGATGACGTGTGTTTGGAAGGTGAAGAGGGTACTTTGTTCGGTGATTGTGTCCTTCTTAGGGTATTACCAGATAGATTTGAATGTGAATATAATGATGTTTGTTCATCCTTTTTACTCTTTTTCGAGCTCCTACCTAGCCCTTTGATAGTGTTGAAAAAAGACATGTGTGTGTGAGGGTATTCCAGTGTAGAATTCTAATTTGTTATTCAATGAGAGAAACTTTTGATGAGAATTGACCCCCTTTGTAAGCTATTGTATAGGCTGTAGTTGACTGTGTTGTTTATTGATCTTTCTCACCGTTTTTGAAGAAAAGCAGAAAAAAAAAAAAAAAAAAAATAAAACACCTCAACCATTCACGTGATTCAAGAAAAGGAACCATTCAGATCTTTTGTCTACTAGTTACTCTCTTTCTACATTAAAGATAGCGTAGTCTAACAAAATCTTCCTATCTATCTAACTTCTTTTAACACCTTCTTTGAAGCTCTCTAAAGCTCTCTAAAGCCTTACACAAATTTCCCCAAAGATTGACCCACTTTGACTTTATCACCGACGTTAAGATCAAATTTGAAATTATCAGGAGCCTCAAATACTAAAACCACAGTTGAACCAAGCTTGAACCCACCCATTTCTTGTCCTTTAGACAACGGATATCCGCCCAAAATCCTACTTGCATTAGTATAAGTTGCTTCATAGACGGTGTTCTTTTTCAATTTCTTGCGTTTGCGTTCTTCAAGTTCTTGAAAAATCGTCGATGCTGAGTATTCTCGTTGCAATAAGGGGGTGGTTTCCAGAGCCGATCCAGATGTGGATGGAGCAGATGTAGTTGAAGAGGCAGAAGAAGAATAGGAAAACGATGGTTGCCCATTTCCATACACTTCCTCTTCATAATACAGATTTGTTTTCAAATCTTTGTCAAAATTCACGACAATTGATCCGACATTTGTTGCCCCCACTGGTACCATTGAGAAAAACCCATACTTCCAATATCCCAACAAGGCTACTCTCTCATTAAGCACAAATAAACCTTGTAACGTCTTTTGAAAAAATGGAGCCACTGAAAACAACTCTCCAATAAAATGACGACGCAAAGTTGCCACCCAGCTAGTTGGGGAATGGAAATGATGGTAGTCGCCTGGCGCCAAGTATATAACAGCAAAATACAATTGTTTATGACGGAAGCTCTCCAGTGGATTGGGGGCCAATTCTTCAGCTACCGCCAACTCTTTAGTAAAGGAAGCTCTATCACCTTTTGCCGTACCTTCTTTAACATCAGTGTAGCTTAATTCATTCATGTGGCTAGTGTTTTCACTTTCACCTCCAAGGATATCATCCACAGTGTACGAAATTCCATTCAATTTGGCAAACTCTTCATCTCTCTTGATCTTGGTTTCGTCATCACTGCCATCGTCATCAAATTGCGTAGAGTGTGTAGGCGCAGCCAACTTCCTAGTCGATGTAGTCCCCAACAACGCATCAATGGAATAAGTCATTCCCTTCACTTGTTCAATTTCTCCTTGATCAATGACACCAAATTTCAAAACTTTACCATCAGCAGGACTAACCAAGTCATCATCGGCAATTGGACGTACTCCTGGTTTCAAGGTTCGGTAAAAAAACTCAGACAAGTTCTTGTAGCTTTTCAAGTCAGGATTTTCCATTTCCTCCAAATTGACTCCAAAAATGGCTGAATATAGACGGTACGATGGAGATCTAAGAAACACAGGCAAATCAATAGAATTTACATACCCCCATAAACGTGACATTGTCTTCAATGGGAGAGTTGAATACGCATACAATTGCCAAGAGTGAGGTCTGATCTTGTATGGATTTTCATGTTCCTCACTACGGTCGTACTTGATCTTGGCTGCAACCCCACCCAACACAATAGATAACGAGGTGATGGTCCACCATTTCATGAATTTCCTCCGTTGTTGTCTTCTTGACCTGGCTTCACTTGAAAAGAATCTTTTATGGATTCTTTGAGTCTTGTTTTTGATTTTTTGATTAGCGGTTGAAAACAGTCTTTTGGAGATTCTAGGGAACGGTAATCTAGTAAAAGTGTAGTACGATCTACTACCGCTAACTGTGCTATTGTAGGTGATGCCGCCACTACCGCCATTACCACCGCCACCGCCACCGCCACTTCTCCCAATTCTAGACCAAGTGCTATAGTAAAACACACTTCTCTTAGGTCTAGGTATCTTGGGGAACTGATAATAGTAGTAGCTAAAATATCTTCTTTGGCTCTTGGTTTGTTGCTGTTGCTGTTGCTGTTGCGTCAGTTGTGACATTTGTGCCATGCGACTGGCACTAGACAATGGTTGTAGAATGTTTCTGGACTGTGTGTTGTAAAATTGTTGTTGTTGTTGATACATTGTCGAAGTGGATGATTTATTGTATTGCCATTTCAGACCAAGAGACTTTGACCAGCTGAAGCGAGGTGGTCTAAAAGCCATTTAAATGTAGTGAGTGTGTTTGTTGTAAAATGTCGTACCCGTCGTTGCGGTTACTCTGACTGTGGTCAATTCTCTATACTTCTAAGATGAGTAACTAAATGCACTACCAAATAGCAAACAGATGAGCAACACGAAAAGAAAGGTTTGTGTATAGACCAACTGTCTTTACCACCAAATTTAATGCGTAAAAGGAAGATGAAAACTGGTATGAAAGATAGTTGATAAATTTTGTTCCTGGCGGAAAGTAAAGCTGAGTTTTTTCTTTTTTCTTTTATTAGGGAATAATTGATCCTGTATATAACAATATATATATATGCAACCCTACTTTTTTTTTTTTTTTAACAACCACTAATATACAAAGACTGAAGAAGAAAAAAAATAAAAAAGATGAAGAAGAGGAGGAAGTGAAGGGAGATAGAAAGTGGGAAGAAGGTAACTGTTTTATTCTTTTCTACCTATCAACCTCTAATGTAATTTAACTATATGCACATGAGAGGTGTAACACAATTTCGTATCTCAGACTAATTTCACACGCGTATCCGAATTCAGGAACTGGTCGTGTGATGGTTAAAGAAATTACGAACAACAACACAAAACGGAAGACTCATTTATTTCAAAGACGAGAATAGTATCCAAGTTGTACGTAGGTGAACAAGACACACTCTTTTTCACGATCCTACCTTGTTCCACAACTTTTGCTTCAACTGGTTAATAAATTGTAACGGAACATAGTGAAGGTCGTCATTTTGGATACGAGTATTGGCATATTCAAACAACAACCTCAAATTCCAAATATCTTCAATAGATTCTGGCGACTCAACACTCTGAATCATCTTCAATTTATCATCAATTATGTTGAAGATTGTTAATCCAGAGTAAGAAACCTTCTTTTTGGACTCAAATTCATTTACCCAGATTTCTTTACTGTTTAAATCAACTGGTTCAAACAACGCTCCATTGATCACCAGCTGAGACTCAATATCAATGTTCCGACTTTTGTTTTGCAACATTGACCGAATGTTTGGTCGCAACAATTGATAGTTTTGCTTCTTGTAAACATAAATTGTCAACGACTGCTCAAAATTCTCCAAGATTTCTGACTTCAATTGACAATCAATTACAACTTGAAAATAATCAATCGAATTTGTACAGATTGTCTGTATATCGCCAATCTTGGGAAGCAAGCAAGGAGACAATTTCTCAATCACTTGACCATCTTTCATTGTTATTGTAATGGGAATCTTACAAGGTTCATTTGTCAGCACCTCCTTAACCACCAAACATCGTGATACAATAGCCAAGGCCCAGAAATGTCTCAAGGCTTGTAAATGAACTTCACATTCACTATTTTCCTTGGGAAATACGGGATACAAACTAGTGACCAAACTGGCAATGCCAAACAACGAATCATCAAATGCCATTTGTCCACCACCAAGAAATAAGAACCCCAAAGCAGTATTTATAGCCATATACCCGCCATATCCCATAGACTTACTAGTGTCATTATGCAATACACGCAATCGTTGGAAAACTTTTAAATCGCCAGTTGCAGCCATGATTAAAGACGCACATAGGGCCAACATGTTTTGAACATTTATAGCAGCATTGTATGCAAGTTTCTCATCATAATTGTTTGCAGACTTACTCGTTAATAACATCATCTTGTCAAGGTAATACAAAATAGTATCCCTTGCTTCTATGTTGGAGGATGAAGCATATCTCAATGCCATTGCCAAACAAGAGCCTCCCAAGATGTTGAAGAAAATAAGACCATCGCTGTCCAATCTATTGAATCCATTCGTCTTGTTGAACTCGTCAAGTACGACTTTGGGTATTTGTGATTCCACCCAATCACGCGACGACCTTATTTTACTCCAAGTTATCAAATTTGTTGCCATACAACGAAGAAACAATAAATCAGGTCTTATATAATCCAACAACTGTTCGGATTCGGGAATAGCCAACTTGTCAGCAACATTTGAATTTTCAGTCTTGAGGTAAATCAAACACAACGCAACGATAGCTCCACAGCACGACTTGTCCAATTCCAATCTTGGTTGATCGTGCTTCACAAACGTTGCAACTGCCATTAATTTGTCAACAACATGAGTATCATTGAGACCCTTTAAATCATCACCTTTACCTAAATTCACAAACCCCAATGCCAACCCTGAAGCCAATCTATATCCCTCATGAATTTGTTCCAGATCATTTTGGAAAACACAACCGGTAATTTGAGAAAGTAAAATTTCGCTCATTCTACGATGCTGTGTTTGCAAGTAAAGCAATCCGATACCGATCAATCCCGCCGTTTGAACCGTAACGGGTACATTCAAATCATTTGCCCCTTGCGGCAACAATGCAACTGCATGAACAGACAATACTTTCGTCAATTTGTTGTCCATAGTGCCACGTAGACTAGCCGCCATCCCAATTAGCAACCCCACGCTCGTTAATGGATGCTTTGGACCTAAATAATTGTAAATATGCCATTCCTCAAGCTTCTTCAAATGACCATTCAACCCTAGTCCATATAAAAATCCTGCATGCTGTGAGTTTAAATCGGGTGGCTTGTTGAATATCATCCAGCTTCCTGAGATCCCCTTTGAATCCTTGGCAATACTTAAGCTTGAAGAGACACCATTGTGGAAATGTCCCCATTCCAATAAGTCTTGAGATATGCTATCTTCAGAAGGAATAATGGTTGTCATTGTTGGCGAAATCAAGGTGTTTAAATTGAATTTCGGAATTGGATATTTTTCTGTTAGCAAGGGTTTGCGTCCACCATAATTCAACGCTGCGCGTCCCATAGGTATAGTCAAAGTTCTTATAGCTACCACACCTGCCAACTTTCTTTGAAGCAAAAGAAGATCATATTCACTAACTGACTCATCAGTTTTCAAAAACGCTGTTTGCATTTTTGTTTGATGTAATAAAGTCGTGATCTCAAAGTATCTGCGATCTTGATCAAATATTAATTTAGTAATGCCCATGCGTTTCGCTTCTGATTGATCATCCCACGATGATACAATTTCACTGGAAGTGAGATTTTTTATTAATGATTCGATATCATTACAAGCAGTTTTTTCAACAACGGAGTCGCAATATAGATCGTTAGACAAGAGTTTTTTCAAATCCTCACGTCCGGTTAATGATAATGAGTCCGATGTCCATTCAAATGTGGGCTGTTCTTGAGAAACCAGCAATGCTTCTTTTAAGGGTATAGCAACTCCGAATGGAAATGTTTCGAGAGAAGTCACGTCTAGATCGCTCATCATATCAACCAAATGAGCTGGCCCATATTGTGAAGACACGAGAACCTCAAAAAGCTTTAAAACCACATTTGTCACCGGGGTTACAATTGCATCGATGGAGTCGCTTTCTTCAACTAGTTGCGAAAACGATAGATATGGCACAATGTTATTAGTAAATAAACTAGCCAATGAATGGAATAGATTTGGTGGCGATTGAATGATTTGTAGCAGGAGAAATTTGATTGATTTATCTAGGTTGCACGTGGTATTGTAGTAATTAACCCACTCATCTGGCCAGCCCATCCAAATGGTCAACTGGCTCAACAAATTGCCTAGCCGTTTCAAGTAGCTCCCTTTAGTAACATCCAATTTGTATTCTTCTCGAAGCAAATGCAAAGACACAACAATGTACGGTATCAAGTCCTGCAAACTATAGTTAACAAGTGCACTTTCGCGAAGGGCTTTGGCTTGTGGCAAAAGATTTGTGATTTCATTGACTGTGAATTGAAAATCGCCCGGAAATGGGACGGATAATGACAACAAGGCTATAACCAATGCGTCCCATTCTGACCCACAGTTGTTGTAGGCCGTTCGCCATAACAGCCAAAATATTTGGTCAACGGTTGACCCTGACAAGTATTTGAAGCATCTCAAACACGACAGGACCAAGTCGGATACTGGCTCTAATATCACCTTCACTAATCGAACAGAATCATTTTTGAGTCGAAGCGCAACTCTCCCATTAAATGAGCTTAGAAGCATATAAGCCGGTAGGTTTGTGTTACATCCAGTACGTAGCTCTAGGAACGGATTTACAATGAATAAGCCATCATCAGTCAAGACTATCAAATTGCCTTCGAAATTGGAATTCAATGGGATGCAATCAAGACACAGACACTTGTAACTAGACAGACTTTTTGAATACGAGTTGTAGCGGTGCACGTGTAGCTCTTGTTTCAATTTGTTGACCACCACAATTCCTTCTTGATTTTCAAAGCGTATACTGAATAATTTGACATGGTTTCTATTGAGTTTGCTTTCTATGCTGTCAATTTTTGACAATATGACATCTTTACGCATACTTGACAGAGGGGGTTGTTCAGCATTGAGGACCCTTGCGTTAGACAACAATGTACTTGTCCTATTCTCCAGAATGAAAATTTGGCTGAGCTTTGGCTCAGTGTACTTGCTAGAGGATGCCGACATCGAGTAATACTTCTTCTTCTGCTGTTTGCTTGAAGACTTGGTGTTCAGTTTGAAGTTTCGATTTGAGTTTTTCACTTGGTAAACGTTAATTTCCCCGTTAATGAATGTGGTACATAATGAAATCCCATTATCTCGTTGGTTGAAAGTGGTGACGTATTCATGACTAGAAAAGGAGCTATTTGTATCTGTATCAACAAACTTCAAGTCGAGATTCTTGTTTATCAAGTAGAGTTCTGTTTTGGTTTGCAAAACCAAGCCCCTTTCATATTCCTTGACCAATGCAACATCAAATGGTAAATGTAAAGTGAATACTTTCCCACTTGGATAGTAGAAGTTGATGTATTTTCTGAAGCAGATGGCCATTATCTGGGTAGGCACATCTTGTATCAAAAAAGTGGTAACACATGCTTTTACAATGTTGTCTTCAAACTTCAAGACTCTATTGATCAAAAGACCATTGTAAACGGTCACAGTGTTACCTTTGATAACCAACAACACATTGTTATCACAAAGCACAACATTTTCGCAATCAATTGGGAGCTCTAACTCATCTTGATAATCAATAACTGGAGTAGTGAGCAGCTGTTGGACATTAGTCATGAAAGTGACGGGCTTTTGGTTGTAAATAGACCTTGTTGTGTTGCTAGCTCAGACAATTGGTAAACAAAACTAAGCCAACTCGCGTACTATGCTGCTACCAATCCTTTCGCAGATACTCCAAAGCAGTTGCGAGCTTTCTGCGTTTAAAGACAGCTCTGAAGCTCCCACACGTTATACCATACACATTCAGATACTCTAAAATATTTTCCGTTTTATGTATTAATAAACCAGTAAAATATTATATAAACCTAACAACACATGAATATAAAAAAAAAAGGACTATGTAATAATTTACAGTTGATTGTGATAATTGGTGATTCTTGCAAATGATAAGATGAAAACAAGAATATTGGGACAGGGAATTGTGTATACCATATCCCCCTTTTCGTTTTTGATGTGACCGTTTCGTAACAATGTTTTCTCTCCTTCTTGATTGTAGTGATGATGTACATAAATTCCTTAACGGTAAGATTTTTGGAATCTTGCTCTGGCACCACGACCACCGAACTTCTTTGGCTCCATTCTTCTTGAGTCAGCAACCAACAAGGTCTTGTCGTATGAAGCAAAGATCTTTTTCAATTCGTTCTTTGAAGCTTCGTCAACGAACTTTTGGTGGTAAGCAACCAAACCTTTAGCAATGGCTTGTCTGATGGCGTAAACTTGTGAAATGTGACCACCACCGTTGACTTTGACTCTGATGTCGATGTTTTGGAATTTGTCCAAACCAACCAAGGTCAATGGTTCGTAGACTTTGAATCTCAAGATTTCTGGTTGAACCAAAGTGATTGGAGAACCGTTGATTTTGATTAAACCCTTACCGTTCTTGACATGGGCAACGGCAGTAGCGGTTTTCTTTTTACCGAAAGTCTATAAGTGATAAAGTTAGTACTTTGATCCTGGCGGAGGCCGATGGAGATTAGTGGAGCTGGGAAGTTTGTGGAAACGCGGCAAAGTTGAACGAAATAAAGGTTCACCTGCCACTCGTTTAGACTCACCTAATCGGTCTCTCTTGAAAACTGCTGTGTTAGCCAAGGAACATCAAGTGGTGGGCTCTTTCTCTTTGTTCATTTTTGACTAACTTGTTTGGACTTTTCCACCTTGTCTCTTATCAAATTCTCCCGTCACCTGTCTCTCCATTCCTCGTCATCACCTGGTGGCGGCAACATGTGTACATACTTGAACTGATTGAGTTGACATTGTTGTGTACTAGACCTAGTTCTATTGCAGGGTGACAGTCTGAAATTTTTTTTGTCAATGGAAAATCCAAAAAGTTTGAGAGTGTTTGGTGCGTAATACTAGATTGTTTATACTGCATAGTAAAGTGCATATTAAACAGCAGAGTTTCTCACTTTGATTTCAGGGCTGTAACCCTACTCACTTTTTCCACCGAAATAATTCCTTGTCTTTTTTGTTTTTTTTTTCTTTTGTCTGCTTCACGTTAAAAACACTTGTGTAGGTAGCGCTTCCCCTGTTTCCTTACCACTATGCAGCCTTACACACACATACACACACACACTCTCTCTCTTTCTGTTTGGTTCTCTGAAAATTTTTAGAAACAGAAAAAAAAAAAAGTCTTAAGCAGATTCGATCAAGTCCTTACTGACCACCATTCCTCATCAACAACAATGGCTATCGCAAAGAACTTACCATTATTGAAGAACCACTTCAGAAAACACTGGCAAGAAAGAGTCAGAGTCCACTTTGACCAAGCTGGTAAGAAGGCTTCAAGAAGACAATCTAGATTGAGAAAGGCTGCCAAGATTGCCCCAAAGCCAATCGACAGTTTGAGACCAGTCGTTAGAGCTCCAACGATCAAATACAACAGAAAAGTCAGAGCTGGAAGAGGTTTCACTTTGGCTGAAATCAAAGCTGTTGGTTTGACTCCAAAATACGCCAGAACCATTGGTATCTCAGTTGACCACAGAAGACAAAACAAGAGTCAAGAAACTTTTGAAACCAATGTCCAAAGATTGAAGGAATACAAGTCCAAATTGGTTATCTTTGACAAGAAGACCAAGGCTTCCGAAGCTGTTTCTTACGAACAAGTCTCCACCTCCGCTACTTTCCCAATTGAACAACCAGCTATTGAACAAGGTACCAGAGCTGTTGAAGTCCCAGAGCAATCTGCTTACAGAACTTTGAGATTGGCTAGAAACGAAAAGAAGTACAAGGGTATTAGAGAAAAGAGAGCTAAGGAGAAGGCTGAAGCTGAAGCTGAAAAGGCCAAGAAGTAAATGGAGCATTAAAAAGGTGTGCGAGAGAGAGAGAGAGAGAAAGAGAGAGGGATAGTTTTCATAGCAGAGAGACTGAGAGATGAATGTGGATGACGATGATGTACATTAATTCAAAACACCACCTTTCATGTTTTTAACTATATATATACAATCTGGTTAATAAATTAAGGGTATACAATAAACTCAATCTTGTATAACAGAGATGGCGTAAACATTGTAAAGATGTTATATGTAGAAGTGTACAAAGACCAGTTGTCTCGGTATGTGGTGACTGATTACACAAGTCTACTCTACAATAACCTTTCAGAATATTAGGCAGTATTTATTTATACAGAAACCTCTATTCACCCATAAGTATATGGCGTTCAACAGACTCTCCGAATTAGTAATAAAACGTAATGTCCCCACCCCACTCTTGGCCATCCACTGTGTTTCTTCAGCATGCTTAATCGAACAAACCGAATCCCATGTCATCGTCAGACTCTTCCTTGGCTTCTTCTTCCTTCTTTTCTTCAGCAGCAGCTTCACCACCGGCAGCGGCAGCGTCACCACCAGCAGCAGCACCAGGAGCGGCACCGGCAGCTGGAGCAGCGGAGAAGTTGAAGAAGAATTCCTTCAAGTCCTTTCCTTCCAAAGCCTTGGAGAACAAATCAGCCCAGATACCTTCGACTTCGACGTTGGCTCCCTTGGTCAAGGCCAACAATTTTTCAGAAGTGATTTCGATATCGGCATCAGCCAAGATCAAAGCAGCGTATGATAAAGCAGTTTCAGTAGACATTTCTTATAATGTGTGATGTAGTAACTAGAGATAATCAAATTAAGCAAAGCAGACTATTTCTTAGTTTGGTGACGTAAAGGAAGAGAGAGAGAGAGAGAATGGTTCATCAGGTTTGGTCGTTTGTTGCAGATGTAGGATTTTTTTTTTTCACATCACAGCGCGCACACTAAAAAATGAGCACGTGCGATTATCTAGGGCTAAATTTCGATTTTATATCTGGTTGCAAGTCGTCATCAGGACTTCACTTCGGGCACAGCTTCGAATAAGTAATCATACATTCCATCATACCCTTAAACTTAATCAGATGGAGGTCACGGTATCTCTAACCACAAGCTTTAGTGTTTTGTTACCTCGTGTTTGTGCGTAAATGTAAATGCGGACTGGCATTACCATTTCTCAGGAACCAAATATACAAGCCAGTCTCAAGTAATATTCTGCCGTGGCCTCACTTTTAAATTGAGGAAACTGAAGGAGTGACTTTGTACATTTGGAAACTGTTTCCGCAGCTTTCGAGTTTGAAATTATTTGGCTGCGAAATTCTGAAGAAAAAAAAAAATCAGAGAGAGAGAGAGAGAGAGAGAGAGAGAGAGAGAGAGAGGGCAAAGTCCCGACCTTTTACAAGATCCAAATCTGATCATATATAAACAGATTTCCTGAACTATTTTCTGTACTTATCTACATCAACTAAGTACTATAACACCTCTTTACTTAATCAATTCTTCCTCTTTGGCTACCTCATTCAAAGCCTCAATCAACACATCACTAGCATAGTCGTAATCAGACAACTCATTATAAACTTGGCAAGAGTATCGAGCTAACAACTTGCCATTATGAGCAATACACGGAGTATAAGCCTTCTTGGCAAAACACTTTGCATAAATCTTATTGTCATACTTGCTCCAGTTTTCAATAAAGTCTGGCACATCGACGGGGACAGGAATTGTCACCATTGTGCTAATTTGAGTAGCATGTTTTTGATCCAATGCAGTCGTGTTCCATTTCTTGCCAACAAGCTGTCCTACTTGCACAGCCAAGTTGTGACAATAATCATAGATGGCCTTTTCACCTCGGCACACTTGTTGTCTAAATTCAATGGCATATGGAATAACATCAATGGAGGCGAAATTCTTTGTCCCATTGAAATAGAACCTATCAATCAATCTATTTTTTTCATCTTCGTTGGATAAATCAACAGTTGATGGTAGATAGGAATGGCTGATGGGAAGCGTATGGATATATTTGTGGTACTTGGGATCAACATACAACACTGCACAACCAAACGGGACAAAAAACCACTTGTGCAAGTTGCTCACATAGAAATCAGGCTTGAGTGCAGACAAGTCCTGAGGAATACAGCCTATTCCATGAGCGCCATCGATCAATGACAAAATTTTGTATTTCTTGCACAATTGTATCATCTGCGCGTGAGGAAAGACAACTCCAGGCATGGATGATATTGTGTCAAACATACACATTTTAGGTTTTGCCTCCTTAAACACCTTTTCAAACATTGATAAAACCTCTTTATCAGCAATGGGATAGTTGAGCTCAACAACGTGGAATTCAACATCATACTGATCTTTTAAAAACCTGACGGTTTTTCCACACGCACCATATACTGTGCTTTGGATAACTATGGAGTCACCTTTTTGTAAAGGGAAACTTCTCAAAACGGTGTTGATGCCCGTGGTTGCATTATCAACAATAGCCAAATTATGGTAGTCGCAATTCAAAACTTTGGACAACGCTTCTAAGCTGTGTATGTAATTTTGCTTTTGTTCTTCTTTCAAGTACTTGTCGGGGTAGGAAGCATGTTTCGTAATAAATTCCAAGTACTTTTCGTGGACCGGAGTAGGTGTCAAGCCATACGAACCATGATTCACTGGGTAAACGTCCGGATCCAAGTTGGTAAAGTACTTTGCTCTAAACTTTTTGCCAAATTTCTCCATCGGTGCTGGTTGTGTCTTTGACGACGTGAGTGATAATTGATTAATTAATGAGGAAAACATGGCCGAGGATAGTGCCGGTAGTTATATAGTCACTCTTTTGAAGATGAGACAGCTTTAGTTCAGTTTGTGCTTAGAGTCGCCAGGATGAATCACCACAAATGTTTAACAGGGAAAGAAGATGACTCACTAATTCTATAAAAGGCGATTAGTCTAGCAAGGTGGTTGAGATTTTGCACTGCTCAAGCAAATTCGTGTATCTTTTGACATGACTAATAGTTTACTCCTTGGTTCAGTTAAATTGCTTTTCTATACGAGCGAGACACATGTGACTCAAAAACTCCACAGTAGATAAGATTAATGATTTAGTACCGCAGAGAAGACGCTACCAAATGACTCTAAACCATGGCATTATGACGTTTTTTTGGAAAAGGTAAAAAAAAAAGAGAGTTACGAGTTGGTTGGAAAACTTGTTGAGCCGGGGTAGAGACGCTCACCAGGGAAGGGGGTAAAAGTTGTGTTTTGGATGAAATCCTGGTTTACACTCTGCCAGTGCCAGGAGTTTTCTATTTCTTCCATCGTTTGGTGTTGTTGGTTTGAGTCCGTCACGTTCTCTCAGTTGACTAAAATCTCGAATTTCAATTTAGCGAGGAGAGTGGAGCACTGAGCGATTGCAACTGAAGAGGAATGATTTGTTTGTCTGAACATTTTACTAGGATGCGTTTATAGGGAGGTTGGCAAACGACGAGCCATCCCGACAAGCAATGTAGCTGGAAAAAAAATACAAACTGGAGAACACGGCCGAAAAGAATTGTCACTTCGATTGCAAAAGAATTGCACTTTCAAAGCCGTCAGTCCTTAATTGCAAAAGCATTCCTCAAACAAGGATGATCATTGTATGCACACTCTCTATTGTATTCTTTAGTCTATTGTCTTTTTTACAATTACATTTTACATTCTACACTTGTTTATTTATCATTTCATTTCATACGTTTTTTTTTTTTTTTTTTTTAACAAGTGGTTACTGAAAATGGAATGTAGTTTACTGAATTGGGAATTGGGCACAACTGAAGTAGGTTTACTACTACAGGACTAATACTTTTGCTTTCATATTGAATCTCCAGTAACCGAAGAAAAAAAAAAAAAAGAAACGAAGGTTGACGATAAACCCGAAAGTTATGTTCTTGTTTTTATTATTTTTATATTTTTTTACACGACTGAATCTCTTTATTGAGAAGTTGTGGCAGATGTAGTCCCTTCACTAGGGTCTAGACAACTTGAGGTATACTACATTCCGCAACACTTGCGTGGTTGCAACCAATTCTGCACTTCAAACAATTCTAGAATCCGGAACGTCTTATCTTACTCGGAAAAACACAAATGTACATGTTACACGCGCGGACAATTTGATTCGCGCCATGGATTTTTATTTGCCCATGCAAGTCACAAAATGTTTCCTCCACAATGTGTGCGTGTATCAAGAGAGACGGAAGTTGTATAACAGTTTGTTGCGAAATGTGAAGAATACAACTAAGAATATCCAGAAATGAAACAGCGGCACGTGTGTTTCAATTGTGTTGATTGCAATCGCCATGGTTAGAAATTGTCTCTATCGTGTCTTGATTGGCTATATTTTTGGTATACTTTTAGTTCGGATTAATTTTCAAAGCGTTTAGATAGAACCTTAAATTTTTTTAATTGTGGCTCGCTCTATATTCTCATTAATTTTTATTTTAGTTGACTTTGAAATAATTGGGTTTTGCTCATAATGAAGTTGAGAGAATTTCATTTTAAATGTAAACACCTACAGAGCAACCATTTAGCCCACTCTGCATAAATAGATAATAAGCTTAACACAAAAGAACATAAGAATTTATAATACGCGAAAGGGGCGGAGGTACTTGTCGTTGTTTGAATAGATTATTAATAGGTCTTAGAGAGAGAGAGAGAGAGAGGAAAGAGAGAGAATGATGTAATTGCAGAGAAATGACAATAAACAAAGGTCAAATCATAGACACAATGGAATTAGGTTTACTTTTTCGGGACTAGCTAGCTTTGTGCTGTTGCTATAGTACGCGCTCACCACGTCACTTGCTATTAGGCTCGAGAATTCTTCAATAGATGTGGGTTTTGGCAATTGTGAAGGGAAAGGTGAATCGTTTGAAATTCTGTAGATTATTTGGTATCTTTGATATTTTTTTTTTTATATGCACTCTCTATTGTTTCTTGACTAATAAATAAAAAAATAAAGATTTAAAGGAAATGGTAGGTGATTTTTAACATCTAATAGTAGGAGAGAGTGTTCTCTGTTGTGAGAAAAGTTGGGCTCGCTGGGAGGTCATGTCTTGACCTTCAATCACCAGCAACTATCAGACAACGGAATGGTGGGGAAGACGAAGACGAAGAGAGGCAGAAAAATTATAAGCCAAGAAGGAGGGAATTTCTTTTCCCCCTTTTGATTTAGTGTAACTTCTGCTACTACCACAATATGAACCACGCGCTACACGGTCCAAAACGAGTTTCAAAAAGATACAACTGATAGAGTACTTATAGGGGTATTGATGGAGGAGTCGGCGCGGGGGAAATCATCGTATGAATGCTTCATTATAAAGCTAGAATTGCGCCCTGATGACCTGAGAAATGAGTTGCAACTTTGGGACTTCAAAAGGAGAGGATGATACACACACACATCACTTGGCATAATCCCTGTGGTTGTGTCTGTCTCACATTTTCTGCATGACCAGGATGATGCAACCCGTCTGAGTAGAGCAGGCAATTTGTGAAGCAAAGATAAGAGAGGACACACCGGAGTCAAGTGCTGTTCCCTGTTTTATCCCCGTGGGAGAGAGGCTTTAGAGGAAAAGGAGGGGAGGGGTGGGGGCAAAAGAAAGAGCCAGCCATTCCAGTTTATAAAAGCATTTTGATTTTGTTACTCAAAAAGTGTAAGTTTTATGTTTTCACGAAAGTTACGCTACACAAACATATATACATATATCTGTAGACTTTGTATGTGTCTATTCACCTAGTACTCCAGTTTAGTACCACCTCGGAATGTTTAGTGCTTATTGTGTTTGGTACACTGTATGTGCTGTTTAGTAAACAAAGTCTATTACAATAGAAATTTCACTAATTTGTTTTAAAAATAAACCCACACAAACAAAACAATTCACACACACACACACACACACATATACATATACACACACATACATATACACAATTAACCCTTGACACATACTCTTACAATAGACCTCCAACCAAGTATTACAATAGGATCAATTGTGTAATACACACACACACACACATTACTTAATCAAGACACAATTAAGCTGTTTCTTCGTGCATTATTTTTTTTTTCTCAATTTTATGAAATCGCACATTTGGAAAGTTACAAACCCACCACTAAATGCAACCTTTCATCCCTTTCCCTTAATAAAACAATTGCTTCACACACACACACACATATATATAGAGCTTTAATGAATATAAAAGTATCTGAAATTTTCCCGTATTCGATATAACTCCCATCGTATTAACCCTTTCTTTTTGCATTCCAACTTTTTCACTTGCAAAGCGCTGGATCAGAAAGTGCGCTAGACAACCTATTCATACGTCACAACACATTCACACTCGAGTCTAGACTTTGAGAAAAAATAAAAAAGAATTACACCAACTTCACGTGTTGCACTTTCTAAATATTCATCTTATTCAATTACGTTTGAAATTTCACTAGCGCCAGATTTTGCAACCACTCTCTACAGTTGAAACTATTCTCAACCACCACCACCATCATTACAACTTCTTAATTCCATTTTGCGATTGATTTTTGTTTTTCCAACTTGCGCCAATAGAAAAAAAAAGTAATCCCACTTTGTGCTTTTTCGTTACATACATTTAATTTTTTTTTTTTTGCAGTTTCTTTAATTTTCAAAACGGCAAAAGCCAGATTTTAATTTCACAATAAACTTCCCCTACAGCAACTGATATTCATAATGAGGTCCTTTATTACTTTCACTACACTTGTTTCATGCATTTGCGCATTGGCCATTAGCCCCCAGAAGAGAGGCCAAAATGTGCCATGGGACTACGGCAACCAAACTGTTCGTGGGTTGAATTTAGGTGGTTGGTTTGTTCTTGAAGCATATATTACCCCATCTTTATTTGGGTCCTGGTTATTTGGAAATGACGAGAGTAATATTCCTGTTGATGAGTACCATTTCACTAAACAATTGGGTAAAGAGGCTGCAAAAAAAGTATTACAATTGCACTGGAGTTCATGGTACACTGAAGCTGACTTTGAACAAATGAGCTATTTGGGGATAAATACCGTTCGTATTCCAATTGGATATTGGGCTTTCCAATTGTTGGATGATGACCCATATGTTCAAGGCCAAGTTGAGTACTTGGACAAGGCATTGCAATGGTCTAGAAACCACAATATCAAAGTCTGGATTGACTTGCATGGTGCTCCAGGCTCACAAAATGGGTTTGACAATTCAGGATTGAGAGATGCTATTGACTGGCAAAAGGTTGATGGAAATGTGCAGGTCACTCAAGAGGTCTTAAATACAATCGTTCAAAAATACGGCGCTGATGAATATGCTGATGTTGTGATTGGTATCGAATTGATTAATGAACCATTGGGACCAAGCTTGAATCTCGATGAGCTCAAGCAATACTACCAATATGGATACAATGCTTTGAGGTCCACAGGTTCAAATGTACCAGTTGTCATTCACGACGCTTTTGAAGCAATTGGCTACTGGGATGATTTCTCCATTGGCAACAACGCGTACAACGTTGTTTTAGATCACCATCACTACCAAGTCTTTTCAGCTGGGGAATTAGAAAGGAGCATAGACCAACACATCTCGGTTGCTTGTAACTGGGGTTGGGACGCCAAAAAGGAAAATTACTGGACGGTCACGGGTGAGTGGTCAGCCGCCTTAACAGACTGTGCTAAATGGTTGAATGGTGTAGGTAGGGGCGCTCGTTATGAAGGGCAATATGATAACTCCCCTTACATTGGCTCATGTCAACAGTACTTGGAGTTTGCCACCTGGCCCGATGATTACAAAACCAATGTTAGGAAATACATTGAAGCTCAATTGGATGCCTATGAGTATACCGGTGGCTGGATTTTCTGGAATTGGAAGACGGAAAATGCCATTGAGTGGGATTTCCAGAAATTGACTGCTGTTGGAGTTTTCCCACAACCATTAACGGATAGGCAGTATCCTAATCAATGTGGTTTTCCAAGTAATTGAGTAAGTTTTAGGGAGGTTTTTTTATTTTTTATTTGGGTGTGGGGGGGGGGGGGGTTTCAGGTATTATAAAGTGTATATTATTATATATCTGGGAATTTTCGATTACGTCACTGTGTTATGAACATCTATGGAACTGCAAAGTGGTAAGTAGAGTGTTATGAATATACCGAGATTTTCAATTCCTTTTTTGTGTGCTCTCTCGCAAAGCAGCGAAATTTCGTGATGATGTTCTTTACCGATCCCTCGAAGAAGATCATATTTCTTACATAAATTAGATGAGTATGCTAACGAGAGGTTGGGCACTACGGTGTGCCAGGATCTCAATACATGGCTGCTCCTCATTCAGAGTTGCTACGACCCCTCCAGGGATGTGTTCACACTTCACCAAATTCGTGCCCTATAGAGGAATCAGTCAAACTTCATGGCTTCTACAGAAATTGCGTAATAAGTCGGACCAAAGACCAGACAAAGCCAATCCCGAATCTGTAAGGACTGAAGAGGAGTCAGCACCACCAAGAAAAACTGACAATTCGCTCAAGGTGACCAAGGAGCAACTATTAGCAAAAGCAACCAATATGTACTCCAGATTCAAAATCCGTCTCAAATGGCTCTTGAAAAAGTCAAATCGACCGTTCAATACCGACGACTACTCAGCATTCTTTTCGTGGATAGTCATGGGGAATGTGTTTTTGTTCTTTGCAGCAACTACAACATTCTTTTCACTCGTGATTTTCACAGCAAATACCGTCTTTGCTCAAGAGTTTGTTGCCAGAAAATTTGGAGAATTAATCACCAAGAACTCAAATATGACAGTCACTTTCGAAAGTGCCATTGTACCTGGGTGGTCCGATGGGAAAATAAGCTTTAGGAAATGTTTTGTTAGTCGTCGGCCAAAAAAGATTGAAAAATTCGCCAAGGGTTCACAAAAGGAGGAGTACGAGAGAAGTTTACAAGTTGATAATAGCGACGAGGACGATGATATTTTCGAAGATGATGGGAACTATACCCAATTTGATCTCACCATGGAAGAAGTGAACATTTCGTTGTCATTTAGTAAATGGGTCAACGGAACTGGGATGATTGAAACATTGGAGATGAAGGGAGTTCGAGGAGTCGTGGACCGAACACATGTAAAGTGGGACCCAGATGATGATGCCACTAATTATAAAAACGTGTACCAACCGGGAGATTTTGAATTTGAAGATTTCAAAATGGAGGATGTGTTGTTTGAGTTGAAACAGCCTAATGGATTCAGACCATTTGATGTTTCTATTTACAATTGCGAACTTTCGAAATTAAGAAAACACTGGTTGTTTTACGATTTCTTGAATGCCGAGGTAATGAGTGGCTCATACGACAATTCGTTATTCACCGTGCATAAAAAACAAAGATTGAGTGATTTCTCAATCAATGACGAGGGAAAAGAGGGTAGTCTGCTGAGCAAGTGGAAAAGGGTAACTTGCATTCGAGTTGACTCACTAAGCCTTGACCATTTGAACAAGGGCCTTGAAGGTCCATTTGGTTGGATTACCAATGGTAAAGTCGACATGAATGGTGAGATAATGGTTCCTAGGGACGATACTAATGACATTGGCGTAAAAGAAATTGTAAATATGATTGCCGAGTCAATAACGAAGGAAGCCACGAGGTACAAAAACCCAGACGTCAACTCCAAACATCCAGACATGCACACTCGTTTGACACATGACGACTACACAGACATTTCAAAATATTTTGTGCTCGATTTAACTATACGATTAAACAACGTTAGGGCAACGGTACCATTTAAAGCACCTGAATTGTCGTACATAAATTACGCACTCATAAGACCCATTGTGGCGTACATAAACTCAAAAAACACATTCATTGAAATACACAATCGAGTCGTGAAAAACATAAAAGACTTTGAAGGTTCTTGGACAGTTTATGACTCGCTTCTCATGGATGATATTTCTGAAGAAGTGTATGACAATTTCGTTGCTTATGTGGCCGATGAAGAAGCAAGATTAATCAGGGTGACAAGAGTGGGCTTTTGGTCACTTCAGTTGTTGTTACAGTTGGTACTCTTTGGGTTGGGTACCTTGGCATGATGAGGTTTCGATGCATTGTGGTTCACTCACATTTTCAAAATGAGAACTAAAAGGGCGATATAACAACAAAAGCTAATGATGGATAAGATCAACACGTAATCTCCACCAGTCTTGTACATTTCCATGTCCTTCTCTGGATTGTAAAAAACGTCAACATGCAATGACTTGTACACACCGATAAAGTAAAGAATACACCCGTAAATAGTGTACATTGTTCCTATGGGCAAGAACTCTTTTGAAAATAGTTTGATGATCAAGATTGAGAATGAGAAACACCCGATTGCGGTCCTAGTATAAGCTCCTTCATAAGTCCTTTGATGTGCTCGAATATCCAACTTTAAATTGTCCTCAAGTAGGTCGATACGGGATGGTAGTCTATCCCTCAAGGGTCTGGATGTGGTTTCATTTGACATCGTGGTGTGGCTTTCAGTGAATTGCACAAAATAATTATCATGGACTTTCATCACTTTTTTTGCTCCTTCCTCTCGATTCAACCACATCATACGGTTGTGGACATACACACACATACACACACAGTTAGAGCTACTCCACACTATAAACAATGGCGGCTGCTAGACGTTTCTGGGTCACGCTCAAACTATCATCCAAACATCTCTCCCGTCTACCCAGGTTCGATGCTCAAGTACCCAAATCAAGGTTGAAAAAGATTGCGCATGACGATAAAAAGGGAGCCAGCCCATCTATTCTGAGCCTGCAAAGATCTTCTCCAGCTCCGGAAGGCACTGGTACTCCAGGGCCAGGAACCAATTCAAACAGTGCAGGTGGCGCAGGGGGTTCAGGAATAAGTCAATATAAAATAAATGTGGGTCTCAAAGGCGACTCGACGTCAGGGCTTACAATGAACAGTATAAACCCTGCTCTTTACGTGCTAGATAAATCAGGTAAGCCATGCAGACGCTGGGTGAAGCAGCAGAAACAGTTCAAGAGCTTCACTGGGTTTAAAATGAAGTACACGAAATACGAGGCGCAAGAGCCAAGACCAAAAGAGGATGCAAAAATGGACAGTAAATCTGAGGACGGCGGTGCATCAAATACTACGGATAAAGTGGCAACTGTAGTTGCAGAGGTAAAAGTGGCGTAATTAAAGTATGTAAGAGGTGAATAGATTTTGAAATGACAGATAAAAAAAATCAAAAAAAAAGAATCATACAATACAAATCTACGAAGCCGACCCTGTCACGATGTTTAGACACACTGGAGCACAGCAATGCATTCGGAGACTCCTATCTACCAAGATCAAAGAAGAGTCTTCAACAAACACGAGTCATGCCATTTCGAATAAGCAGTTGCTCTATACTACCGATGTGGCATCACCTGGATCAATCTTTTTCCTACCACACGGGACTCGAATACTAAACAAACTAATACAGTTTATGAAGAATCAACAAATAAAGTACGGATTTCAAGAGGTTGTAACTCCTTTGATATTCAAGACTAAAATGTGGAAAAAATCGGGCCATTGGGATAATTACAAAGACGACATGTTCAAAGTTACTGGGTTTGACATGTCGAAAGAAGAAATTACCGAAGGCTCTATAGAGGAGCACGAGTATGGCTTGAAACCAATGAACTGTCCTAGTCACTGTATGATTTTTGCCAAATTTGATCGAAGCTATAATGAGTTGCCTATAAGATACTCCGATTTCAGTTCGTTGCACAGGAACGAAGCTAGTGGGGCGCTAACTGGTTTGACAAGAGTACGCAGGTTTCACCAGGATGACGGCCACATTTTTTGCAATGTGAATCAGCTTGACGAGGAGATTAAAAACACATTGAAATTGATCAAAGATACATACGGCGTGTTTGGAATCCGTGACATTGATTATTACTTGTCAACACGACCTGAAAAGTATATTGGCGATATTGAAACTTGGGATAAAGCAGAATCGCAGTTGAAAAAAGTGTTGGACGAAGGTACTGGTGAAGGAAGCTGGCAAATTAGAGAGGGGGATGGTGCATTTTATGGCCCAAAGATTGATGTACTTTTGACTGATGCATTCAATAAGAAGCACCAGGTTGGGACAATTCAATTAGATTTTCAATTGCCCAAGAGGTTTGAATTGAAATATGTTGCTGAGGATGGGACAAGAGATAACCAGCCCATTTTGATACATAGGGCAGTGTTTGGATCTTTGGAACGGTTTTTTGCAATCTTGTTGGATCATTACCAAGGGAAATGGCCATTTTGGATAAACCCAAGGCAAGCAGTGATAATACCTATTAATGAGACACACATTGAAAAGGCAGAAGAGTTGAAACGTTTGCTTTGCGGGGATATAATCAACTCATCTGATCTGATATCTCCTTTAACTGGGTTCAATTTTCACGTGGATGTTGATAAAAGGGCAGAAACCGTGGGTCATAGAACCAAAGAAGCAATTAAAATGGGGTATTCCTACATCATCATGATTGGTGATAGAGATATTGCCAATGGCACATTTTCAATAAGGTCCAGAGATGATCGAAAAGTTGCAAACTTGACAGCTGATGAAATTTATCAAAAGTTTATAGATTCGGAGAAAAGTTACCAGTAGAAAAAACTATGTAGATATAAAAGGTTACAGCCTCCTCCACTACAGCTTCCCATATCCCTTATTGATGAGAATCTTGTCAATTTCAGTCCAAAAGTCACGCACAATCACCTTATCCTTGAATCTCTTTTCGCCCCGATCTACTTTAATCTCATGGACGTTCCAGTCTTTAATCTGCTGCGGCGTGGCCTCACCGTTGTATCCCAAGTAATAGCCCTGGTACTTTTGAAACAATACTTCTGGTTTAGAGAACTTGTACTTTGAAAATTGCCAGCTTTGACCCGTAGTAAAGATTGCAATGACTCTGTTCCAATAGTCAGGGTTTGTGAACAAGTCGACATTGTCAACCACCATAATTTTTTGTCCAGTTTTGATCAACCTGTCCGAAGGATGGTTAAGGACAACAACACCAGACTGCGGCCGGTTGCTTGGAACTGGTTCCGTGTAATGCGAGTTTTCAAGAAACTCTTTAATGTTGGGCAACGAAAGAAGGGCTGTCGTAGCTGGCGATACGATAATGATGGGTTGTTTCTTCGACCCACTTTCCTTTTTAGACTCTTTAGTGCTGGGTTTAGCACGCTTCAATTCATGCATAAACTTTTTGGCATCGGATATTAGATAACTAAAGTCAATATTTTTGGAACCTCTCAATACCGCATTATGATCAACCGATTCCTTTTCAAATTGATTGATTCGGTCCATTTGTGGGTCGTCTAGTTTGCGTTTTTTGGATTCAACTGCGTCAATGTCAGGTCCAACCTTGGACTGGTCGGCTTGAGCATTTGCTCCGTCTTTGTCTTCCTTGACAAACTGACAAGTGTCAATGGTTCCCTTTAACCATGTTATCAAGTCATACCTTTGTAAATAAGCAAACGCAGGAATATTATACTCACTAGCTTTGGACTTGTAGTCAACATCCGGAGTTTGTTCCTCCATCCAACAAAACACGACCGACTTCAAGTCTTGTGGTTCATCGTCATTGTAAAAGTTTGTCTTCAGGTCCAACTCATACTTTTTTTCATCATCTCCAAACGAAACTTGAGTGGCATCTTGCACAAGCTCGGTTTCAGTACCATCTTTATCAAATAGCTTGATGGAACCACCTGCTATAGCAGCTCGGCGTAGAGCTTGTAGAGCCGCAACGCCTGACATTGGGATTAATGTTGTTGATTCTTCCTCTTTTTTTTATTGCTTCATAGTATTTTTCTTTTTTCTTTTCTTTTCTTTGTGGAAAGTATTATCTATACTCGACATCTACCATCCAAAAAAGTGTCCACCACCCCCGTCCCAATATGGATAATGACATTGGAATTGCACAGGTTTTGCGGTGGCGTGATGAGGCACAAGAGACATTAAGAAAGGCACAGAAGTTGTGCACTGCTGCACAATCGTCATTGCAAAAGACACTACAGGACTTGGCTTTTGAACTTCCAAGGGAGTTAGAGTCAGTTGAGCACTTGTTTGACTCATACCAGAATCAGTTTGAGCGAATTGACAAACAGATCAAGAACTTGAAACGAATATTGATGGAAAGTGTTGATAAAGTGTTTATTGATATTGATAGTATATTGGTGCCGAGCTTGAGTCAATTGGATTCCACAATAACGAGATTGAAAGGGGTTACAGTACCTCTGTTTATCCTCAACTCAACTGACACTGCTTCCAAAACTTTACTTGACTTTATAGCCACAGACTCCATTGATCTTCTCAAGCACAACATTGACGTATATAAAACAAATTGCGCAAAGATTAAACAATTACTACTGGACGAGTTCCAAAGTCGCATTTTAAACCTGTACCAACAGTTTTCAACTCAACATGGCATTGTTGATACCGAGTTTGAGCGACTAGGACCAATTCAAATCGAATTTCGTACTGCTCATGGGAAAATACTAGAATCAAAAGGCGTTTTGGGAACGACACTCCAAGAAAATCAAGCTTTAGAGAATGAGTTGGTGTCGCTTTTGCAAATGTTGACCAACCATTTCGACCAGTGTAATAAAGCCATCGAGCTACTATCCACGTCAAGCAGCAATGTGAATGTGAATATAGAAGTTTTGGCAAATGACGCACAGGAATTGAATGAAGTTTTCAAAGATCTCACCTCAATTTACGACATTGTGCTAACGAATGAAACGAAATCAAACAAGATATATCAACAATACAGCGCCTATGTTGACAAATCTCGCGACATTATCAGACTGGAAATGGTGAAGATGAGAGATTTCAAAGTGACTTTGTTGCCCAAGTTCTTAATCCTACTACACCGATCAATGAACATATTACAAACCTGTTCTATAACTGATGAGTCATTTAAAGAGATATCGCCGTGTGAAATCTATTCAGAGACAATAAAGCTGTTGGTGTTCCATTACACCCAATTCATTGAAGTTTACGAAACAAAGTATCTTACTGAATTACATCACGAAGAATTTGTATACCCGAGGATTTTTTTGAAGAAAATCAGAGATTTTTTAAGTGAAGATTTATACCGTATACAACTTGAAGAAACCAACCGCAGAAAGTTGTGGCTTGAAAAGTATGGAGAGCTCATTCCAAGAGAGTTCAAATTGCCTGGAGAGGATGAAGTGCCGGTGGTTGTGCAGGTCATAACTGAAGGATTAGAACAGATACAAAAAGAAGATGGTGTAGAGGAGTTTAATGACGGGGAGGAGAAAGTTTTGCTAGATTTGATTAGGTCAATCAAACAAAAGTAGAAGCTTCGTATGGTAATCCACGCATTCAATTCTTGCTTTGTATTGTGGATTGGGTTCGACAGTGAGCAATTCCTGGTCTATGATGTCACTTGACTCCACCAGTAGCTTATGTAGAAGAAACGATCCTGCTACAATTGACACAACTTTAAACTGCGGACTTCTCTTTGAGCAACCCCACAATTTTTGATAAAAAATCACGTGACTATGCTAATTTTTTTTTCTCTCTCTCAAATGTATGTTTGGTATTAGGCGGGGAACAGTTTGTAATACTCGGCTTCGAATGAAAGCACAATAAGCTTTTGTTTTTTTTGCTTCAGTTTCCATCGGTCCTAAGTTGAGAGAATAGGGGAAGCATAAAGGGGTGAGATTGTATATCAGATATATGATGTGTCAAATGCATATATGACGTTGTGTGCACGAATAACTCGAGGAATGATCTTCTGCTGCCACCCACAAATTAGTATGATGTGGTCACAAAAACGGACTTAGCACAGAAGATGTTTTATTTCCTAGGTGGCTTAATTGCACAAAAGTTCTCTGAGAAGGTTTGCTGTTGTTGTTGTTGTTGTTGTTGTTGTAGTTGTTGGGGGGGGGGGAATGGTGACACACAATAAAGGAAAAAGGAACACATCATGCGCTAGACCTTGTGCATGAATTCGCTCACATAGGGTGTAAACCTGTGATCTTTATTTACACCTTATTGATGGTTTTGTTTTTGGTACTGGTCATCTATATTTAGAATGCCAAGAAATGAGTTCTAAACATATCAACATGTGCCAGAAACATGGAGACAGAGAGAGAGCAAGCGCATCCCCAATTTGAGCACTTGAACAATTTAATAGAACACCCCTCGAACGTGCCTGCAAGATCCCAATTCACGGAGAACCATCTTTTTGTTTCGTTGAATATGACAACGAATTTTTTTAGTTTCGTAGCTTGGTAACTAGGCAAAGGCAAACTCTAATTATGCTTTGTTAACCCGAATGGGCAATGGATATCCCGAAACAAGCAGTTCCAATACGTCATTCTGCTTTGTATGTGAAATTTCTTGGCAAAACTATGAAGCGCTGGATTTGGCTCTCTTTTTTTCAAAAAGACCCAAATTGAGGCACTTGCTCGACAGTTGGCAGTGCTTATTCCTACAAGATATTAAAAGAGACAAGTCCTTGACAGAGGTACCAGACCAAGTAAGTAAGTCAAAGAAGCATGCTCAGCAAGAAAACCCAGCAAGCAAGCCCAGCAATCATAGCTCAACAACAAGACAAGCCAAACAAACAAAGCACGCCAAAAAAGGGAAAGATTATTGTATGCTGGATAGTTTGCAGTCACGAATAGCTGTTGTGGAGTCACACGCCACAGCCAGTGTTATAGGGTATGTGTGTGTGTGTGTGTGTGTGTGTGTCGTCATACCACCTCAAAACGCAACACAAGTTACACAAATTAGAAAGCACAGTGGCAATTTAATTGTTGTATTCGTAAAATTTAAGAGACTATACATGTAACAATATTGTTATTATTGTGACTCCTTTTTCACACTAAGGAATTGATTTTAGCGAGGAAAGGCAGATGTCATATACGACCTTCTTCATGCACAAGCCCTTACAGAAAAGAAGAGGTGCTTTCTGGGAGTAGAGGGGAGTTGAGTGAGAGTTTAAGCCAGCACTTTGGCAAAGTTTGATTAGTTGCGTCCTGTTTTATTTTTAGTGTAATTTTTGTGTTTACTGAGTGCGTGTGTATTTGCGCATGTTTGTTTGTATAATTCATTTATTTTGTTTTGTTTATATCTAAATTTAGCAGTATGGCGTCATAATGTTATGTGTTATGTATATTATAGCAGTAATCCTCAACAGTGTTTTCCGAATTAGTCTACCACAGGTGAATGCTTTTGGATTTTAACTCAAGGGCCAAGAAAATATACAAAACAAAAGAGTTCACCACCCTAGAGAGAAATATTACATATCCTTACTAATTCAGCAAACGTGTGACATCAAAGCACAGCTATGCACTATATTATATTTTTTTTTTGGTCCACTCCAACAGGAGATGTTTTGCAAAACAATATAAATACCAGTCACAATTCCCTTTCCAATCTCTTTTCAAAGTGTCTAATATATTCAAACAGAAACTCACTCGCTTAAGTTACTATTACAACAACATCATCAACAACAACAACAACAATTACTACTACTACAATGAAATTTTTAATTCCTGCCTCACTTTTAACCTTGTCAACTGGTGCCTTGGCTGCCATTAGACCGGTCCAATTCTTTGCTTCCTCAGACAACGAAGAAGTTAACGGACAAGGATTGTACTCCACCCACGAAGGTGCTGGTATCAACTACTTTTTCCTTGGCGCTGCTCAAAATTTGCAATACAATGACGAATCGAGAGTTGTCTACATTGCATTGGGGGGAAACTTGCCAGATGCTAGACAATACCTTGCATTCTCTGGTGACGTCTTGTCATTGACCGTTGCTGAAGAACCATTGCCAGTCGACATTGCTGAAGATGGAACGGTTACTTTCCCAGGTTCAGACGCTCTTGCTGCTGCCAAGAACATCAATGACCCATACAGATACTCTGAAGACGTATTTGCCGTTGTCAAAGATGGTGCCGAAGGTTCAATCCCATTGTCAATCAATGCCATCTTTGGTGATGTCGAAGTTGAAGAGCCATCTGCGTCCTCCAGCGAAGAAGCTCCTAAGCCAACCGACGTCATCTACACCAACGCAACTGTTACTGTTTTCACCACTTACTGCCCCGAACCAACCACTTTGACTTTGACTGTCTGTGAAACTGCATGTTCTGAAACTGCTGTTACTGTTTCCGTGGCCGGTGAAGTTACTGTTGACAATGTCAAGTTGGAAGCCACTTCAGTTCCAGCTGAAACTTCCGTCGCCTCAACTCAAAAAGTATCAACCACCGTTGCGACTCAAGCAAGTACTGAAGCCAGCGTTTACGAAGGTTCTGCTGCTGTTGCCGGAGGTGCTGGTTTGGCTGCTATTGCCTTTGGTGCTGCTGGTTTGCTTATTTAAGCAGTTGATCTGAATGCATTTCCAGTCCTCCTTTTTTTGCTTCTATTTGTGTGTTTTTTTTTTTTCATCATTATGTTTATATACTTTCGTTAACTTTGCAATGCTTTCCGGGTTCAATTGTTGAACTTCATTCAAAAGAGTGCTAGTTCGTTTGTCGGACGCTGACTATTGGTGCTCAGATTCGTTTTCTTTTCGTAAAAAGTTTATACTAAAAATCATTAATTAAACTTCGATAATTTAGATCGTTTGAAGATACGAAAGGATTCTCTTTACTTCCTTACACAATGAGAATACTTACAGGATCTCCAAAGTGTTTCTTTCCTACCTGATTAGGTTCGTTTTGGAATTTTTGAAGCACTTAATTTGGCTGTACCTCAACGTCGGTCCCTCGTTTATTTATACAAACCAAATCATCAAACTCTCATGTTGTGTGAGCTGGGTCTGTTTTAGTGGAACAAAAGAGATACTACTACCTTCCTACAATTCATAACTCTTACTGTGATGAATCGCAACTTCCTTTCAATTTTTTTTTTTTTCCGGAGTTATAAAATCCCGCTCCGCAATATATGGTGATAGGTACTCAAAAGCAATACAACTAGGGTTATATGTATCTGAGACCACGCAAGGGCATATCATTTGTGATAGCAGGAGTTGAGACAAAAGGGGACACTCATGATGATGGGAAGAAAATGAGCACCAGCATGCTCCCTGTGCATAATGAATTCAGCGACTTGGAAGATGAAGATGACGATGCCGATGACAACAGGATGGAAGAACACGAACAAGACACCAGTGGAAAAGATGCCAATTTGAACATGGAGGGAAATGATGTTTTAAGCTTTCATGGGAACGAGTATTTGAATGTGGGCAGGGAGGACGATTTGGAAATGGATGGGAGTGGGGGTGGAAGCTTAGACACGAACGAGGACCTCGACTTAACCTTTAAACAAAGAGAGCAAGACGTTGAACACGTCGCTAGTGATCATGCGGATAATTCATCACTGAAAGGAGTGGTTGTGGTCGAGCACGGAAAAGATAGACCAACGGCAGCCTTAAATGAACTCGACACTCCAGATGAGTATGCAAAGTACGGGATCGGAGCGTTGTTGATGAGGAAAATGGGTTATGAAGATGGGAAGGGTTTAGGGAATGGAAGCTCTGGAATAGTTGCGCCATTGGATGCGCAGGCAAATAAAGGTAGACTCGGTGTAGGAGGAAAACCTCCATTACAGAAGGACAAAGAACTGAAAACGCCACGACGAAATAGCGGCGAAGGAAAGTACAAACTGCAGCGTGAAGTCGAAAAGTTGATTTCCCGTTTTCTAAATTTGACGATGGATTTTAGTGATTTGGGCGTAGATGTGCCAATTCAACTTAGAGAATGGGCAGGCCAATTGAACTCAACCGCAACAGAAAATGACATTGATCGTATAAAATATGAGTATGCACATCTTGAGGAATTGTGGAATCAAATATCCCAGCTCAATGAACAAGAGGAAGCTTTAGAACAAGAGTTGGAGTATACGAGTGACGATGGATTTGGCACTGTTGATTATGAGCAACTTCTTCCTGTTGTGAAGAAATGGGAGGAGCTACTGTTACAAGACCCAAGTGATGCGCAGATCCAGGTTGTTGTAGAGCAGTTGCTCCTGTTGTACTTGCCGGACTCCCTTGTTGAGTCAATCATTGTAACCATATTGCATCCAAGGATAGATTCATTGGCAAGCATACCTTTAAATGACTATGAAAAACAACAGGAAATTGTTGTCGCCACTTTGAACAAATACACAGAAATCTTGAAGCCAGAGGGGGCTGTACTGACCTTGTTCTATCGGTACTTGCTTGAACGCTTTAGCTGCAAATTTGAGGAATTGTTGGAGAATAACTTGCTTGAGGGTGTCACTGGTGATGACAATGAATTGGTAGCAATAATTTCGTTATGGTTGGATGAGGGCAACCGAGACTTCAAGGAAGGTGTGTTCATGGAGATTGCGAGGACTGTAATTGCCCCACACTTTGAAACCCAAGTTCACAGGTTGGACTTCTTGAATGAAGGTACCTCATTTGAACAATTATGTTATCTTTTGAGAGTAATCTATCTTGTTGGTCTCAAAGAAGACTTTGTTGTTGAAAGGGCAATACATTATGTAGCATCTGAGATAGAAAGCTATCTCAACAGTGGGCAACTGGCTGTATGGTTCAAATCGGAGGGAACTATCAAACTACAAATACCGTTCATTATGAAACAGTTGCTACCCGAACTCAAACCCCTCAGTGAACCAACTTGGCTGTCGCTACAAGAGACCTTTAAAGTGTCCTTCATATCATGGATTAGATCCTTAGTGCTTACGCCTACCAAGTTTGAGATTATATTAGATCTTTCGGAGCTTCTTCCGCTGAATGAGAGGTTTCTCGTGTTGCAGTTATTGGCTTTTAACAGTTGGATAGTAGCCATGATTGCACACAATCGCTTAAACCCTACTGGGACTCCAAGCTGGTACGCAAAATGGTATTTGTATTTCGCAGCCCGATTAAAGCATGAGCAGTCACAGCAGATAATTGACCTCGTTCATTGGTACTTGAGCAAAGCTTTGGAAATTATAAAATCACACTTTGATTCTGATGTAACCAAGAACCTTCCAAGACTCGAGGGAGAACTTTTCCCCACTTCATCTCAACTACTCCGTTCTTCGCGGGTCCGAAATGTGAACGGAACAGCTACATACCGATTACAAACTTCATTTCGAAATGTGATCCAGGATTATTGCATGAAAAACAACATACTCGTGGAGCAATTGAAGCTGGCTATTGTCAGAAAAAGGGGGCTACCAATACTTCGATTCCAAAAGGCGGGAATTGATAGATATGGGTATATTGATGCTGATGTTTTATGGATTGCTCACACTCTCGCATCAGAGGAGAAGCAGTACCAACCAATTTCTTTAGACGATTTGGCCGGGTTCTTTAAAGAGTGAGCTGAGAAAGATCTTAAAGTGGTTATAGATTTGTAGGTGGTACTAGATTTACGAGATTAGAAATTTAAGCTTCTGTTCTAGATGCGCGAAAGCTTTGTTATCAGATGATCCAGTTCTCGCGCGCAATGGAAAGGAACCGAAAAAGAGAAAATAAAAAATAGAAAATAAAAAATAAAAAATAAAAAATTAAAAAAAATAAAAAAAAAAAATTGTAACCGAACAGGGGACAGGCATTTTTCCTCAAAGTTTAGATCATTGAAAGCTATACCACTATCAAACCGATCAAATTCTTCAATTCCAATGACTACCATTTTCAAATCACTACTTTCCAGATCGAGACACAGTCGAGCATTCCGCATGATGATGTTGCACGAGCTCAAGCCGGTCACATCAGAGATACGGACGCAGGCGAGGTTCTATTCAGATAGCACCCCCACGCAGAGCAAATTTGAAACTACAAAGGAGTTCTGGAGAAAAGCTCATATTGAGGACTCCAAAGAATCTGAGAAAGTTTTGAAACTATTGAGAAAGACTGGAGCCATTTCTATTGTTGTGGTGTTTGCTTCAATAGCTTATGCTGCCATAATGGAGCACACCAACAAGACAGAAGAAGAAGAAGATGTACGTGCTATTGAATACATACCGAACTTGAAAGAAGACATAAGGCACAGAAGGTGAGACTGACTGTCTAAGCTGTATAGTTTGTTAAATAGCATGAATTTATGATTTGTTCCTCAAGTGTCCTACAGTATTACAGTAGTTGCCTACCGGCGCACTGACAGTGTAGACTTCTCAAACTTTCCACAAAGTTTGAATCAGAATCTGGTGAGGCTAGGTTTCATCTCACAGAGTCAAAGCTAGCAAAAGAACTCGAAGTAGATTAAGGGATATGACCCTGACTTCGTGGTGACCCATCTTGAAAGACGGAATGGACTCTTCCCAGGTGGTATTCGGTGTATTTATTTTGCCTTCCTGGGCTTACTCTATGGCTCAGGAGTCACGGCGTAATAGATGAATGTTAAATGATAGTAAATGTGACTAATGTTCGATGTATAAACTTGTACTCAGTCAATGTCGTAAATGTTTATACAATAAATGCAACACACAAAATTGGCGACATTAAATTTGCTTCTTACAGAGCAAATATATGGCTGCTGCATAATCTGTATATCTACTGCATATAAGCGTCATCAGTCACTCTTTTGTCACCACAAAATTCGACACAAGATTTGGTATGAGTGGGGTCTCCTAGAATGCAAGTAGTAGGCACTAGGTCAAAAGTAATCGTTATCCCGCTTCAATTCATGAGTAAGCTATGAGTACTCCCCGTCCCCCCCTTTTTAAGGTGAACCAGCTGATAAAAATTCGAGATAGCGATGTGATTACGTTAAGCGCCGAATGTGATGGAAAGGTTTAGACTTTAAATTGTTCTGGTTTTTTTTTTATTTTTTCACAGCAATCGTTGTAACACCCCTATATTATGACCACAAAGCGCATACGCATTGTCAAATAGCACGCCCTACATTTTACTCAATTGCTACTTATATAAAGACTCGAGAATCACCATCTTCGACAATTATGCTGGACACCCTTACATTACCTCGAGATTCAAACAATTCGAATTGCAATATAATCCACAATGTATAGACTTCTCACCGAAACTGCAATTGCGCGTCAAACTACAGCAAGATTGGCCAGATCTTACTCAACCAATGCATCTACGTCATCGAAATTCAACTCGAAATTAGTTGCTGGTGCAATCGTGCCAATTGCCGTTGCTGTAGGTTACATGGGCTACTCAAACTCGATAAACAACGAGACTGTGCTTGGAGTTGCTGATAAATTAAGAAAGAATTTTGAGGAAGGTGATGCATTGAGCAACGAGCAACAAGAGAAATTTGCCAGCGAACAACAAAGGTTGAGGGATGAAAAGGAGGACCATGAGATTGCCAAGATTGAAAAGCAAAAGAGTGTAAACACCAAGAATGCTGGAGGTCTTGACAGTAAAGACCCAGCCTCCAACTCCAAAACGAGAGCTATTGCTTCGGATAAGTTGGATGATGATACCAGCAGACATGAAGCCAGTGACCCAAAGACCACAGAAAAATCAAAGGAGACCAGAAAAGATCTCAAAGAGAATTTTCACCCTGAGGGCAAAACCCAAAAGAAGCCAACCAAAAACGAGGGAGATACGGGAGAGACCGCTTACAACCCGGAAACTGGTGAGATCAATTGGGATTGTCCATGTTTAGGCGGTATGGCTCAAGGTTCCTGCGGCGAGGAATTCAAAGATGCATTTTCTTGCTTCATCTTTTCTGATGCAGAGCCAAAGGGTATTGACTGTGTTAAGAAATTTGATGCCATGAGAGGATGCTTCAAAAAGCACCCTGATGAGTACAAAGAGGAATTGTACAATGGCGATGAGGAAAATAGTACTGAAGTTGTTGAGCATGTTGTTTTGGAAGTTGCCGAACCAGCAGTCAAGGAGCTAGAAGAAGGCATTGATTCGGGAAAAGTCAAAGGAAAGAAGTAGATATGACTATTAAAGTCATTTTATTATTTATAAACTTTAAAAAAACTGTTTTGTAGTTTTTCAACATGCGCATCTGCTATGGATCTCATCCTTTTGCGCATCCAAGTCAATCTTGTCAAAGTCTTGTAATTTTCTGTGTTTGCTCTCGTCGCCTTTTAAAATAGTTCGTCCCAACTCCGCCACCCTTGTGAACAACAACTCTGTCGGTTCTAATTGCTTTGCACTTACCTCGAGTAAGTCCAAATCCCAGTCATAGACATAGTCGCCTATATTAGCCACCGAAGTGGTATTGGTTATTATATCCTTGATTTCTTCTTTATCAACAACTCGGTCCTTCACTCGGTCCATCTTATTGCCTACAACCACAACGCCTGGCTGAGAAACATGGCAATGTTGTAGAAATTGACGAAACCAATTCTTCAAACTCAACACCGACTCGTAATTGGTGATATCGTAACAAAGTACACAAACGTCAGCACCGCGGTAGAATGCTTGTGATATGGAATTGAATCGCTCTTGTCCAGCGGTATCCCAGATTTGCAAATTGACTTTCTCAATGGTTGGGTCAGTTGTTGGTGGTAGTGAGGGCAGTAGTGTTGGCGGTAGTTTTTGTGTTTTGGTGGTAGAGGTATTAATGGTATTGGTTTCATCATTTGCAGCGGGACCACTTTTACCGAAAGTAGTAGCTGAAGTCTTGCTTAATGGCGGTAGCTCAATCGTTGTCGTTAGATAATCACCGCCTATTGTAGCCTTGTATGCGTTGGTGAACATATGATGAACAAATTGGGATCGTAAACACGTCTTTCCAACCCCCAGGTCTCCTAAAAGCACAACCTTTAGAGTGGGCAAAGGATTCAAATTTTCGCCCAGTTTCGTATCTGTTCGTGGCGTATGTCTTGCATCTTCATCCATTGATATTTGAGTGTCATACATGCAAATGATCCATTCGTAGAGCTCACTCTGCCAATAGCATATACGCTACCTATCCGTATGGCTTTTTCGTTCCTTCTTCGTCGTCTCGCAGAAGCAAAAAAGAAACGTTTGTTTATATTTATTTTATCTTGTCTTTTTTTTTTTTTTTTTTTTTTTTTTTTTTTTTTTTTTTTTTTTTTTTTTNAACATACACAGAGCTATTATGAAATGGGTTTAGAGGGCTAAAAATCATTCTTACTTTTTTTTTTTTTTTTTTTTTTTTTTTTTTTTTTTTTTTGTTTTTTTTTTTTTGCTGATTGCTACGTAAGAGGAGATCTCATCAAACTTTACTTCTCCTTGTATCTACATCAATGAAGGTCTACTACATCGGTATATTAAACACAAGCGGCGAGAAAGCGGTTGAGTTAACCTCGGCAAGGGACTTGTCTCAATTTTCATTCTTTGAAAGAAATGGAGTATCCCAATTTATGACTTTTTTTGCTGAAACCGTATCTCAAAGAACTCCAGCTGTACAAAGACAGAGTGTTGAAGAAGGTAACTACGTTGGTCATACATATACAAGGTCCGAAGGTATTTCAGGTGTCATAATAACTGATAAAGAGTACCCTGTGAGACCAGCATACACATTGATCAATAAGATTTTAGAAGAGTATTTATCATTACATCCAAAATCCGAATGGCAAAACCTTGATCAAACCAACGCATCATTGGCATACTCAGAATTGGAAACTTATTTGAAAAAGTACCAGGACCCATCTCAAGCTGATTCAATAATGAAGGTTCAGCAAGAATTGGACGATACTAAAGTGGTGTTGCATAAAACCATTGAAGGAGTGTTGCAAAGGGGTGAAAAGTTGGATGCTTTGGTTGACAAGTCAGAGGCTTTGAGTAGTTCATCGAGAATGTTTTACAAGCAAGCCAAGAAGACAAATTCGTGTTGTATAATAATGTAAAAAGGAAATACAATCCCATAATCTTTTTTATTTTTTTTTTTAAGTTTTCATTGACTTTTTCGTAAAACGTATACATACAGGGAAAGTTACTGTTGACTATTCTTCACCGCTTCGAATGCTTTCAATAGTTTGCGTCTAGCTCCCAAAGCTGCTACCCCTTTCTCCTCCAATTGCTCGTTATTCAACTCGATCAAATCTTTCCAGTACATGTCCTTCAAACAATCAGTGTACTTGTGTAACCGGAGTAATTTCAACCACGCAGGGATGTTGTTCAAGAGTTCGGGGCTTGCAACTTCACTGGGCATCGACGAGGAACCGTTGGCTCCAGTTTGACTGTTGATGGAGTTGGTTGACATATTGGAGTGTTGCATACCGGTGGCGTTGGGAGAGGTCACTTTCTTCTTGGAAAGCGCATTGTAGTTGTTTCTATGGGGTGTGTTTACAGGCACCGATGCAGAGTTTGCTCCCCTGTTTATTGAATTCTCAAAACTCATTGCTAAATTGTGCCTATCTTGAGATTGCACCTGAGGGTGTTGAAGATTGTGGTGATGGCCATTACCGTGATGGAACGGTTGTGGGCCAGTATTGTTCCACTGGGCAGCTCCATGTGGGTGTTTTCTATTACTGTCTAAAGCCACTCTCGAATTGATAGTTGCTAATGCACCCAATTTCAAAGCAGTATTGGACATATCGAGGTTCTCATCCTGATGAAGACCTGGTGCCGCAGCAGCATTATTGACCTGTTGTGGATAATAAGGACTGCTGCCATAATAATACGGCGACACGTTGTTATTTGCAGCTAATTGTAGAAAATTCGTCTTTTCGTGCAAATGTGATGTAGGTGATTTTGATCTCTCTGGTTTACCTACCCCCTGTTGATTCTTTTGCAAAAAGGGATCAGCAGAGCGAGGGCGAGCAATTTCTATATTCAGCAAGTTTGAGCTGAATGGACCCGCTTCGCTACTGAATGGCCCTGAGTTTTGTGTCAATGGCTGATTAAATTTTTGATCATTCAAGCTCAAACTTTCCATATCAAGCTCCGAATTGAATGCAGTGTTTCCATACGGAGACAATGGATTTTGCAACGCACTTGGCTGATTAAAAGCCTGCAAGTGTTGGTCAAGTTTAGCTTGAAATGTAAGCAATACATCCACGGGCAAGCTGGCGCACAAATAATCAATCATTGAAACAGTATCTTGAGGACTAAGATTTTCAATCCAATTGCTAAAGACCAAAAGATCCAGATACAAGTTTGATTGGTTCAGTTGCTGCAATGATGGGGGCGCTCCTTTATTGAGTCCTGGCCCACGTCTGCGAAATATATTTGTGAAATCGTGTGCTGATTGTGGCCTATCTGGGATTGATGCTGATGGAGGTTGTAAAAACCCTCCTGTAGCTTGCGAGCTTTGAACTCTATTCTCCAACAACGAACTCAATTGTGGTTTTGGTGCTGCAACTTGTGGAAAAGATGAGTTTATATCGGATGCCGAGCTTCCCAAATTCAACAAGTTTGATGAGGTGATTGCAGTGTTGGTTGCTGCAGGTGCTATCAAATTGGAGCTAGATTGAAGTTGTTCTTCGTTGAATGGTGGAGCACTTTGTGATGACCTGCCTTGATTTTTTAAATCCAAATCCAACTTTGCAGTCAAAGTCTCAAACTCGTGCTGGAGGTTGTATCCAACACTCTGCTGTCTTTGAGATGGTAAATATTCAGGGTGAGGGCGACCAGACAGCAAGTTGTTCGAGTAAGTGTGCTCTAGCGGTGGTGGTGAAAGCACAATTGGGGCATTCTGCAGCAGAGCTAGCGACGATTGTTTAGACTCACTTTGATCCATTTTAGAAAACCTTTGTTGAGCGATGGACAATGTGCTGTTGAAAATTTGTCTGCATGCAACCCAGAGGAATCAGAAACAAAAGGTTAATGAGTGGACAACTGCTCTTATTAATGTTCAGTTTGTATCGATACTGGAGGAGTGAGTGTGAAGTACAACGTTACACTCCAGTTGTATGTTTGCAGTTTAAACAGTGAAGCAGTGATGCAGCAAACTTTTTTTGATGGACTTTTTTTTTTTTTTTTCTTCTCGTTTCTCAAGATGCATCGAATTTTTCACTTTCCGTGGGACCATTGGGGGGGGGGGGACAGATTTGTAAGAGTAGATTAGTGTTAGAGAAGATACATTTTACTCCATTCTGGTTGTGGTATCAGAACTCAAATGGAAGCATTAAAAGAGGGTTTATAATTGGAGGGGGAGGGGGGGGGTCGTGTGCAGGCTTGCGATGAGGTCACGAACAAAACAATGAATCAACAATTTGGGTGATTTGGTAGAGCCTCTTTTTCTCTTTAGCCACATAGTTTGTACACTGTGAGTATGACGCCGCAAAGTGTTTGGTTGAACGAAGTCCTACAATGAACAGTTTCGAACGCACGTTGATCCTATTGGAGACCTATGTCATCGTTGTCGCGCTACCATATGATTTTAAGACGTTGCGCTGCAAAATTAAAGTCCGAATCGTGGAGAGAAAGCACCTCCCTCAAGAACCACATCCGATTGTCGCCAATCTTTTAAATTCAAGATGTACAAGCGCATACTTGTAGACCACGAAAGACAGAGCTCAGCTCGTAATAAAATTGAAAAGCTAATAATCAGCACCCTAATCTTTGCATTAACTAACACGCTCAAAATCTCTTCCCACTAACTTTACCATTATGAACTTTTTGTAATTTTCAATCGAATACTGATAAGAAAAAGCAGTTGGTGCTTAGCTTTTGAAGTCCATTACAGCTACACGAAGCATTCAAATGACTGATCGACTCCACGACACTTATATTGAAAAAAAAGAAAATGTTCGATACATCTACAGAGTCTTAGAAGTGCAAGGCCGTTGGTCAAAGACGAGCTATAGTTCATCTCTTACTAACTGAATGACTTATTTGCACTGAAATTATATTAAATTGTTTCAACTGTTGAAAACGTTTGCTCGAAATTAGATAGAAGTGCAGCTGCAAAAAAAAAAAAAAAGTAAAAGTAAAAGTAAAAGTATCAGAGTCCGTCAGAGCACCACAGAAAGTGATCTAATCAGAGCGGTTAAGAAAAAAAAGCTGCGGGTAATTTAAACGCTCTCGAACTGGTGCTATCAAATCATTCTTAATTTCCCTTTATCCCGAGGTCAAATTGGCGGGATGTCACAAAAATTGCTTCTCCTACAGCCAAAACCTGAAAAAAAAGGGAAAAAAAAAACAATAAACCATTCAGTTTCCCTTTTTTCAAACAGATCCTTTATTTAACCGAAGGAAAAGAATAGAAAGAAGAATTAGAAATGACAAAGGCAGACAATAGGATGGTTATTGCAAGCACCGGAGATAAGAGCTTGAAACGAATGTTGTAAAAAGGTGGACTCATACCCATGGAAAGCAGAACAACAAGAGTGGAGAATACATGGATGATACGCAGTAAAAGCTCCTTCTTCAAATCAGTGATTAGCACATCCGGATATGGCAACAGCTGGTTTAATAGGTGTACCGCCCTGTTTTATATTTGTATCGCCTTGGATGACTCAAAACATACACAAAATTAAAGCAACGTCAAAAGGTAACAGTTTCCCTTGACCCGGCCGTTTGAAACGCTTCAAAAGAAGCAAATATGCGGTAGAGTGTAAAACAAATAACTCACGCCACATGTTGAAATTGTAGGCGGATTTGAAACCCTTCATATTCCGAAACGGAAACTCTCCAGTTACATGTAGAGAGGAGGTCGGTGGTAATCTCTTGTATTACAGATTTGCACCTCATTTCTTTAATCAATGGGTCACAGCTGAAAGAGTGGGAAGATTCAGTTGAGGGCAATGTGTCTAGCCACACAAACATAGGCAAAGTCTTCTTCTTTTCTATGGCATAAGAAAAAAAAAAAAAATTGAGTAAATCGAGAATCGGAGTCGATACCGTAAAAAGCCGGAAACTCAAGAGCAAATATTTGGCTTATTTTTTTATTTTTTTACGCGCCACGCAGATGACTACGTAAAAGATGAAACACAAAGAATTATTGAGTGCATAACATTATTTGTGTGGCGTTGCAATTGTTTTTTTTTTTTTTTTTTTTTACTTTTTATTTTTTTGCTCTGTTTATTTAACCGTGGTTCAATAAATTTCTACTACAACTGCATTTCAAAGATACCATTATAAATATTTATTTAGAAGAACTGAAAATATGTATTGTATTATGTATGTGTGTGTGCCAGCAACTAATATCAACAAATGACAGTATTATTATTATGATGGACAAACTTTGGCATGACACGGGAAAAAGCTTGTTGGATAGGACAATTATGAGCGGTTTTAACCTCAGTAAACTCTTCTGCATCAACCCAGTCTTCTTCTTCTTCTTCTTCTTCTTCATCATCATCATCATACTCTTCCTCGTCCATATCCTCTTCCTCTCCATCTTCCACCTCCATTTCAAACTCACTTGCATATGAGTTGTAAGTCAATGAATCTGGAGGAGTGTACAATTGTGGGTTGGATTTGTGTTGCACTGGCTTTGGTTGGAAATAATCATGATCATGGAAAAAGTCATATCTAGTGACTGCTTTATACAACTGATGCAATCCAACTCTTTCATTAGGATTCAACTGGAATATTGATACCAAGATTTTGTTGAATTGGTTTGAAATGGGAAGTATTGAACGCAAGATATCCTTTTGGTTCTTCAACATGTAGTTTACAAACACATCGTTACCCCCTTCGTTGAATGACGCAATTGGCCATGGATTGCGTGAGCATGTGATATTGATAAACAAGACTCCCAATGACCATATATCTCCTGGTAACGTTGGCAAGTAAACTGTACCATTGACGTTTGTCGAAAACTGCCTGACATTGACAAGACTTTTTACGAGTTTGCTGGTGGTGAAGTTTGTCACTCTTTCCGGCAGCATATAGAATGAAGATCCTCTGCACATGTTGGAATTAATAAGATTTGAATCAAGTGCCAAACCAAAATCAATCAATACTAGTTGCAATTCGTTGTAATCAATGATTGGTGAATGTGGTTGTCTCTTGTAGTTGCTGTTAAACTTGACCATAATGTTTTCAGGTTTCAAATCACAGTGGTAGATAGATTTTTGATGGCAGTAGTCGACAACCTGAATCAACTGTAGCATGGCATTCTTCATCATCAATTGTTTCTCCCTGTCACTCCGCCTCAGTTGGAAAATTTGCATGTCGATAATGTTTTCAAACAAGTCTCCTTGGTCAAAGTGATCTAGTAGTATGACTACGGCAAAGTTTTCCAATTCAAATACTTCATGTATGGTGACAACATTGGGATGATCATGTACTTGTAAATGCAATGCAATCTCAGTCAAGAATTGACAGTCGTGGCCTTGACCTTTGATGTAGTCAAAATCTATGCTTCTAGGTTTAGGTATAACATGGTTGAGAAAGTATTGGTAAAACTGTTGTTGTATAAGTTGCTTAGATGAAGATGAAGATGCTGGCGATTGTGTGCCGAGTTTCATTGGTTGTTGTTTCAACACCATCTTGGCTGCAAATTGCTTCTTTGTGTATATGTTTTCCACCAAGTATATGAGCCCATAGGTACCGGCACCTATTTTGCGGACAAACCTCAACTCTTGGTTGAACATGTATCCGTCTAGACACATATTGACGTTTGGTTTTTGTCTCTTTGTTGAAGGTTGAGAAGTATTAGGATACGAGGATGTATCAAATAGTGGTAGTATAGTCATGTTGTAAGTGAATGTTGTGCTTATGAAGTGATATTGCAGAAGGGAAAAGGAAAATAGGATTTGAGAGGAGAAGTGAACATAAATCAAGAGAATTTATAGATTGTTATATATGTACCTATATACATCTGATATATTAATTTAATTTTTTTTTTTTTTTTGCTTATTTGCTTTTCACAGACTTGTGTTGCAATTTTTTTTTTAAATTTATTTTATTTTATTCTATAGTGTACATCGTTTATTGTTTATTGTTGAAAGAAAACCTTTTCCGATTTTTTACATCTGAATTTCCGTCAATACAAAGAAAGAAATAACAGATGTTTTTTTTTTCTTTTTCTTTTTGTTTTTGTTTTTTTTATTCTTTTATTTCTTTAATTTGCTGTGCTGTGCTGTGCTGTGCGGTTTTTCCATTCTAGAACTTCAATCATGCACAACGCGTTAATCTACCTTTTGCTTACTCATATTCCTAAACTCCGGAACGTTTGCTGTTAAAATACCTCCGCCGTTGTTGCTTGTCCGTAGTCTATTTCTTATCCGCGATGCGTCAGGTCATTTTGAGTGCGGAGTTAACTAACTGCAAGCTGGCCACCAGACGCTGCTGTAGATAGATACAATATCATATCATTATACGAATGGATTCTCATTCCGCTATGTACGTGGCTTTTGCATACTACGTGGTATGATTTATTAGGTACAGATACAATATTATACAAAGTAGGAAAAAATAAAAAATAAAAAAAATAAAATTTTATGTACAGATTCACCTTAAAGGAGAAGAACTTACCGAGGAACAAACATCAGCACCAGAAGAACCCGAAAGGAAAAAAAAACATTAAAAGAAAAAAAAAAAAATACTGCGGACTCTAGTACCTAAAGACAGCCATAGCTTACCCCTTAACTCCGTAGCACTCATGTTTCCACAGTGCGGATCTCTGGCTGGCCATCATCACCCGTCTACTGAGCACTGTTACACAGATGTAATCACTAAGAACTCAACAGGATTAAACACAGCATGTGAATTTCTTCTCTTATCTCATGTGCGCGTATCGTTTTGTTCTGTTACGAAGCGAGAGATGGTTTACACTTGGCCGAAACTAAAAATAATATACAGAATTAGCAAACCAACAATAGCTAAAGTATTATATCGTATACGATAAACCGTGGCGGCGCAATGTCAAAAGCAGCTGACTCGCGACACTGAACACATTTTGCATGTGACAATCTTAGCTTAGTCTAACAATTCTCTTTTACTCTTTACCCAACATTATATCCACTCCTTGATCTATACGAAGACTCTATCCATCTTCTGATCACGCGTCAGCATTGCACGGACACCTGCAGGGGAGGGGGTCCAGACTTTTTTTTCTCTTTTTTTGCTTTGCTTTGCTTTGCTTTTCTTTTTCTGTTTTTCCACGATGGATGACTTTATTGCGGAGATAAGAGTCAACTTTCAAAGTGGTCTTAGTAAGCTGCAAATAGCGGATCCTGAAAAAGCGGATCCATAAGTCGCCGCCTACCCTCAATCTGTTAAGTCCATGAAGTCTTCTCTGTGTCCGCAGCGTTACCAACGGCTTTGATACTCTCTAATCAACCTCGTGGTCTTTCTTTGTGCGGGTTGTTGCTATATTGCTCACTTCTCACCTGATTTCCTATTTAGGAAATTACATCTGATTTCATTTTCCGCATCGTCGCTTTTCATTACTCTAAAAAAATAATAAATAAAATTATAGAAAGTTAATCCGAGATGGAATGCACAAAAAAAAAATGTAAAAAAAATAAAAAAAATAAAAAGAAAAGAACAGATGATTTGAGATCATTCGACTCTGGTGTTAATACGAGGAGGGTTGCTGGGATTATGCAAAAGACCCCCTTGGCTATTCTATCTGCGCACAAACCAGGCTATCTCCTTTCTCAAGCTTACCTCGTTCCTGAAAACCGGAATGGTTGCTGTCGTACCTTTAGCATTTTCAGAGTATTCGGAAAATATCGGAACTCGCCTTATTTCGTAATGAAAAGAATGTGATTCCAATCTTTACATTTAAGGATTACTGACAGAATCTTTAGCCTTGAACCTCACTAGTGGTGACAAAAGAGACCACACCCAGTGAAAGAGCTATGTTGAAATTCTTTGGTGTGGCTGAGAATTTAAAGCATATGGTTTTATGGTTAACCTTTAAGAAGACATGCATAAAGTCCGACAGTACTGCGCATTAACTCCGTCAGCCACGCTGTCATAAAATAAAGCATGGTCTCCTGCAGGGTCAAAAGCAACCTGTCGGAGTTCTCATACGGATAGGGCTGTTTGAAGTTTTCGAATTTCTTTGCTCGTGACCCAATCCCCTGCCCAATAGCAGCATTTCAGTTGAGCATGTGACAATATTGATATACAAGTTTATCTATGTCAATCAATATTTGATTTTTCTTTTTTTTTTTTTTTTTTTTACTTCTTCGAATAGCATGTGAAAATTTCAAACAGGATTATTTGATTTTGTATATTTTTTTTTTCTTTAAATAGCAACGGTTACGAGCATAGGAGATAAGAGAGATTTCTAAGCGAGTAGTGTATATGCTATCAACGACTTTAAACTAGACACAACAAAGCTCTGAATTCTAGATTCACTTCGGAGCTGCTTTCCTCTCCTTCTCCCTTTCCTTTTTCCCCTGGCATGTGATTTATTTCTCTTTTTTCATCAAAGCTTTTTCACAATTTCAGCTGATACCAAACAACTTCCGGTGGCTGGTTTGCTATCAATCACAGCCTCTTCAATTTCGTCTTTGGTGATATGCGGAAACTCATGTTTGTAGTACAACTCTATCAAACTGTTTGTCAATTTGGGTAAATTCTCAATCGAAGTCAAATGCACAATTGAGCCACCCCAACCTGCACCAGTGACTCTTGACCCAAATGCACCATTATTTAATGCAATAGAACACAATTCATTGAGCTTGGCATTGGATGACTCATTCAACAAATCAAGATCCTGTTGCGAGTCATTCATGAGAGAGCCAAAAGTTTGGAAAAACTTGGCATCATCATCAACTGGACTAGACAACAACTGAAGCGTCTTTAATACACGCAAACTCTCGCGATAAACGTGGAGTGCACGTTGGTACAATTTTAATACTTCAAACTTGACTGGGATTTTTGTCAAGTACTTTGCGTGGAATTCCTCTGCCGTAAGGTCCAATCCTTGACAACATTGTTCAACATTGTACCCGTCCTTCTCTGTCAATGTCTTTTCAACAACATCAATCATCTTGGAGATGTTTGCAATTCCCTGACTTAAATCCTCACCATCCCAATTGCCACAATACCCATCCATAACTCCACGGAGCGAAAAAGTGTCAAGATTTGAATCTCTGGGCATGCCTTGAAGTCCCAATTTTTTGGCCAACAAGTCGCCGGCAATAGCCATCTCCACTACTCGCAAATTGTAGTGAACTGGTGCCGTTTCGTACTTGTTTGAAACTTGTAAACTGTTTGTAATCACAAATGTCAAGTTTTTTACTGGAAACTCAAATGGAGTACCTTTCAATTGTGGCTTGAATTGAATAAACAATGCTTTGCCTTGTTCACCGTATACAGATGCACATTGGTCCATTCCACCATTGTTGAGACCAAGGTAGTGCTCCGACACAACGGTAATTCTGGTCAAATCGGCTTTACTAATATTCTCAACGCCATTGGCATACAACACTGCCAAAGTTGATGCAACGCAAAATGCAGCAGAAGATGACAATCCACCACCAGTGGGTACAGTTCCACTAAATGTGATATTCATTCCCTTTAACTTGATATCCGTTGATTTCTCTTCCAAAAACTTGGCAGCAACAATCAAACCACATTTAAAATAGTTGGCCCACGAATGTTGCTCGCGGTTTATGGCAAAATCAGAATCTTTGCCAATTGGTATTGTATGTTTGGGAAACTTTTCAGCATCAGTATTTGAGATAACAATGGCGTCACTGTCATTTGTGGAAACTGCCGCAACAACATCAACCTCAATGGCCATAGGCAACACTGGAAAGTAATTATAGTCAATATGGTCACCAATCAAATTAACCCTGCCAGGAGACCTTGCGAGAAACTCAATCTCATCACCTGAAAAGTTTGCTCTGAAACTTTTGACGAGGTTGGCGTATCTCGAACGGTGTGCACTGGGTTCGGAGTAGAATGACAAATCGTGGAATTTTGGAACAGACATGTTAAGGTGTTGATTGTGAAAGAAGGCCAGAAGAACGGGAAAAACTCCCGGATATTAAATAGAACACCAAATTGAAAGCGTTCTCCACTTCACATATAGAAACTTAGTGAATAAAATCAACCCCTATGTGTCGGTGAGATTCATTCCGTGACAAAAAAGAAACAAAAGAAAAAGGACAAAAAAAATAAAGAAAAGGAAAAAAAAGAAAAAAAAAAAAAAGTGTCAGCACTTTTCAAACGGCAATTGAAAGCAAAAATTGGCCAAAAATGTAACGTTACATTGGGGTTTCACACACAAAATCTCGATCCCCCACTCAATTTTTAGATTTCTCCGAGATTTCTCCACGCCGACACTAATTTAATGCTTTCGCTTCACCCACGCTTAATAGTGCCCTTTTTCTGTCTGCATGACAAAAAAAATATGTGTGCGGTTAGTATATTGTTGGGGTGTTGACCCTAACGTATGTTCCCCCTTCCCCCCCTTCGTTTGTCTTTAATAAGTACCTATGTAACGTTACATTTGAACCCCCCCGCTCTCGGACATCTGTCAGGCATTTGCGGAATATATATATTTAAAGCAAGTCAGCGCGACAAAAACAGACCCTAAAACATCTCAAACTCAACACATCTCACCCCAATCATGACAGACAGATATATTCTAGTTACTGGAGGAGCTGGTTACATTGGATCACATACAGTCATAGAGTTGATCAACAACGGGTACAAGGTGGTCATTGTCGATAACTTGTCCAATTCATCATACGATGCAGTAGCTCGTATCGAGTTTATTGTCAACCAACATGTGCCTTTTTACGACATCGACTTGAGAAACGGCGATGAGTTGGACAAAGTCTTTAAAAAGTATGATATTCACGGGGTCATCCATTTTGCTGCGTTGAAAGCCGTGGGTGAGTCAACCAAGATTCCCTTGAAGTACTACGAAAACAATGTCGGTGGAACCATGTCTTTGCTCGAGGTGTGTTCAGCTAATGATGTCAAAACCATTGTTTTCTCATCAAGTGCCACTGTCTATGGTGATGTTACTCGATTTGGCCCCACTAAGTACATTCCTATCCCAGAAACTTGTCCTACTGATCCAACCAATCCATACGGGAAAACCAAATTTGTGATTGAACAGATCTTGAAGGATATTCACACAAGCGACAATGCGTGGCAAGTTGCTATTCTAAGATACTTTAACCCAATCGGTGCTCACCCTTCTGGATTGCTTGGTGAAGACCCGCTAGGCATCCCCAACAATTTGCTCCCATACTTGGCCCAAGTAGCAATTGGTAGACGTGAAACGTTGTCCATCTTTGGTGATGACTATGATTCTACCGATGGAACCCCAATCAGAGACTACATTCACGTCGTCGACTTGGCTAAGGGACATATTGCCGCATTGAACTATTTGAAAAAATTGAATGACAAGGGATTGTACCGTGAATGGAACTTGGGCACAGGTAAAGGCTCCACTGTATTCCAAGTCTACAAAGCATTCTGCAAGGCTGTTGGTAGAGAGTTGCCATATAAGGTTGTGGGAAGAAGACAAGGTGACGTTTTGAACTTGACGGCTAAACCCGATCGTGCACAGCAAGAGTTGCAATGGAAAGCCGAATTGACCGTTGAGGATGCTTGCAGAGATCTTTGGAGGTGGACAACGGAAAACCCATTTGGGTTTGAGCTTCAAGATTACAAATGGCAAGAGTTTGATGGTTTGCAAAACCGTTTACACACTGTACAAAACAAGGATTTGCAAGTGACTTTTTGCAATCGAGGTGCATTGATTCAGGATATCAAAGTTGGTGAGCAACATATCGTGTGCGGTTTTGATAACGCTAAGGAGTACACACTCGAGACAAATCCATATTTCGGTACCACTGTTGGTCGTTATGCCAATAGAATCAAAAATGGTGAGTTTGAGATAGATGGAACAAAGTTCCAGTTGACCCAAAATGACGGCAGTAACACGTTGCATGCTGGGAACAATGGATTTGATAAGCAAAACTTTTTTGGGCCTGTGGTTAAACAAAAGAATGGCAAGTTTACGCTTGAGTTCAAAGTTGTTGATGCTGATGGAACGGATGGGTTTCCTGGCACTTTGGAGGCAATCGTGAAGTACACCATTGATTCTTTGTCAATTGAGATAGAGTATGAAGCCAAGTCACTTGATGATAAACCAACAGTGGTGAACTTGACCAATCACAGTTATTTCAATCTTTCTGGTAATGGAACCATTGACGGCACACACATCAAATCGTCAGTTGACCAGCTTCTTGAATTGGATGGTGCGAAACTCCCCACTGGGAACATTATTTCCAAAACAATTCCAAGTACAATATCGCCTGAAGTGATTTTGGATGACTGTTTTGTTGTCGACAAAGATGCCAATGCAATTGATACAAGATCAAAGGCATTACAGACGTTGGTTGAGGCAACGCATCCAGACTCCAATGTCAAGATTGTGGTATCAAGTACTGAGCCTGCTTTCCAATTTTACACCGGCGATGGTGTCAATTGCTCTCAGTTTGGCAAGAGGAGTGGCTTTTGTGTTGAGCCTTCAAGGTTTGTAGATGCTGTACATTCGGACAATCACAAAGGGCAGGCTGTGTTGAAAAAAGGTGACGTTTATGGTGCTAAAATTAAGTACGAGTTTAGATAGATTTAGCAAGAAAGTAAAAAAAAATAAAAAAAAAAAAAAATATAATTTTGATAGATAATACAACACCTATATTCAACATGAAAACCTACTCCATTCTCATATTGAACAAAGCTGGTGGTCTCATCTACCAGAACGAGATCCATCCAGGTCTTTCCAAACTCACAGCAAATGACTACCTCGTCCTAGCAGGAACACTTCATGGTGTACATGCAATAGGATCCAAGCTAACATCAACAATATCAACCAAACCAACCGAGGATATCTCCCAACACAATGCCCATATTTTATCTACCGGTAGGCATATGAGTCCGAATTGCAACCGAACGGGGTTAAAGAGTGTCGAGACGGACTTGTTTAACTTGTACATTTTTCAAAGCGTCAGTGGATTAAAGTTTATCTTGATAACAGTGCCGAATTTGGACCCAGTTGAAGTTCAGCGCACAGAGGATTTGTTCAAGAGCTTGTACGTCACGTACTCGGATTATGTTATGAAGAATCCCTTTTATTCTATGGATATGCCAATAAAAAGCCCCTTGTTTGATGCAAATGTTAAAGATATCCTACATACGGTTTGATATGTATTAGCTGAACTTAATGGATGGTTATTCGAGTAATTCTTAATTTTCTATACTGTAGAATCATGTAGATTTGGGAACAAAAACTCCCATATTTGTTGTCCTAACCCTCATGAATGCAACATCATATGTTACTATGTATAACTTTGTATGCTCTTGTATTGCTTTCCATTCATATAAATGTTATTCCCTCTAGTTGTTGGTATCATTCAACCATTCGTCACATTATTACAGTTGTGATTGTAGGATCTTGCTATTTATTGTCTTATCATCCAACTATACAGTCTCAATGAACCATTACCAGTACGTATCCGTATCACCATCAATTAGTATTGTCCTTGATGTATACTACAGTATTATTGCCTTCACAATGCTTCATAGCTTCCAACCCCTGGCGTAGAGGAACTCTTTGTCTCCAACCAGTCTTGCGCAATTTCAGAGTGTCCATTGAGTAGTCCAAGTCGTTATAATTTCGGTCTCTCACGTACTCAATTTCAACGGCGTACCCAAAAACTTCGTTCACTAGCCTGACTAGCGAATTGTTATCTATTGGGCCTTCCTCACCTCCAATGTTGAAAATTTGTCCTGTGTAGTCACTGTTGTGCCATATGATATCTATCGCGTCCAAAAAGTCACTAATGTAAAGGTACCTTCTTGCGTTTGTGCCATCGCCGTGAATTGGAACTGGTTGGTTCTTCTTCCCCCGCGCAATCACTGACGGGATGAGCTTTTCAGAGTGCTGACCTGGCCCATAAATATTGTTTGGTCGCAAGATGGTGACTGGTATTTTATATGATTTTATGTAGGCATTGATGATCAAGTCAATTGCTGCTTTGGTTGCAGAGTATGGGTTGGTTGGATTCAAAGGAGACTTTTCTGTGGCATTTTTAATCTCATCGCCATACACTTCATCGGTGGAAATGTGTATGATATTAGGTATTTCAAGAAGCCTAGCACACTCAAGTAGGTTCTGCGTTGCCAAAACATTATTCTTGGTGAAGAAAATGGGCGACTCAAAGGATTTATCCACAGATGACTCAGCGGCAAAGTTGATAATGGCAGTTACCTTGTCGTCTTTAGCTATTCGAAGTAGCTGATCTAGTTCCTCACTCAAATCCATTTTGATAAACTTGTAGTTGTCGTGGTCCTTTAATCGTGATAGAGTGTCATAGTTGCTAGCATAGTTCAAAACATCGACACATATAAAGTAGTAACTTGGGTATTTCTCGACAAAATGGGAAAGGAAGTTTCTTCCTATGAAACCAGCACCTCCTGAGACCAAAATGCATTTTGTATAGTTTGTCATCTTTGTATGAGGCATTCTATCTGATCTGGAAAAAGCCCTGGGCAGCCACACTATTTAATCCAATGACTCAACACTAACACGCCCTGTGCTTGCGTTTCAAGTGGAGATGCCCCCACTTTGAATTTTTCCGATGGGATTTTTGTGTTGCTCAAAAAATATCCAAAATGTAACGTTGCATCATAGTTAAGAATAAAATGGCGCAAGATTCGCGAATTTTTTTTTGGTCAGCCAAAGAAGAGTATTAAAAAAAAAAAAAAGAAAAATGTCTGAAAGTCCGACACAAAAAAAATGCCCGACAAATTTTAAGTTCAATCAACAACCTCAATGGATCCCATGTGCTTTGCCAACAGTTTTTGCTTCTCTTAGGTTGCACACGGGTCCCCCTTCCCACTCTTTTCAATCAATTCGAATTAAAAAAAGCAAAAAAAATTTGGCATTATAAATACAGCGTTTGTTCTAGCTACAATGTCTATCGAACACCTACTCAATCCGCTTACTTCAACACCAACCTACTTGGCAATGACGCAAACTTTCGACTTTACCAACCATTCACACAGACGCTACAACCCTTTGAACAATAGGTATGTTCTATGCTCGCCTCACAGAGCCAAGAGACCATGGCAAGGTGCTAAAGAGGAGATCAAAAAGACATTGTTGCCCGATTACGATCCAAAGTGTTACTTGTGTCCGGGAAATATTAGAGCTACCGGTGATGTCAACCCTAAATACGAAACAACATACATCTTCCCCAATGACTACCCTGCAGTGAAATTGGATCAGCCTGACTACAATGGAGATGATCAGGAAAATAATTTGAAAAAGAAGCTCTTCAAGACACAAGGGGTCAAGGGAAAGTGCTTTGTCATTTGTTTCTCGCCAAAGCACAATGTGACATTACCGTTGATGTCGATTGAAGAGCTAACAACAGTGGTGAATACTTGGCAAACTTTATACAACGATCTTTTGTTGGAGTCTGAGCAAAAGACCGCACCATACAAGTATTTGCAGATTTTTGAAAACAAAGGTTTCGCGATGGGATGCTCTAATCCACATCCTCACGGCCAAGCTTGGTGTTTAGACGTGGTACCTACGGAGGTTGAAGATGAGCTTAATAATATGGAAAAATACTACAAGGAAAACAACTCGCATTTGTTGGGCGATTATGTTCACTTGGAGATGCAGGAAAAGGTTAGAACCGTTGCCCAAAATGATTCTTTTATTGTTGTTGTACCTTATTGGGCATTGTGGCCTTTTGAAACGTTACTAATTTCGAAAGAGCACTTGAGATCCTTGAGAGATTTCAATGACAAGCACAAACACGATTTGGCTTCAATTTTGAAAGTTTTGACGACAAAGTATGACAATTTGTTCAACACATCATTCCCGTATTCTATGGGTATCCATCAAGACCCATTTGAGTGCTCGGATGAGCACCACAAGTGTGCTTGGTTCCACATGCATTTTTACCCACCATTGTTGAGATCGGCAACGGTTAAGAAGTTTTGTGTTGGGTTTGAAATGTTAGGAGAGGCACAAAGAGACTTGACTAGCGAGCAAGCTGCTGCCAGATTACAGGAATTAGATAGCGATAGACACTATATGGAGAAGACAGAGTAGACAGCAGCAGCAGCAGCAGCAAGACTTAAATTATTTTTTTTTTGCAGCATAATCAAATATAGAATCTTCAATTTCATCTAAAATTTTTCTGTTTTCTTTTTTCTGTTTTCTGTTGTCTTTTTTCTGTTCTTTTTTTTTTTTTCACTCCTATCTTTGTTCCTCATCGACACCAATCACACTCATCCAACATGGCCGAGTTCGTAGAGTCAACGCCAGAGGTGGATTCTGCCTCCGATCCAATTACAAAAGTCACCAAACCTCCACTCGATTCAAGAATTGGCAAAGATTCTCCGTTCGTTTTTGGACAAAGATACCTCGAGAATGAAGATGACGTTTTTAATCATAATGCATGGGACCACGTCGAATGGGGTGAAGAACAGATTAAACAAGCACAAGAAATGATTTCCAAGCAGTACGACCATCCAGTTAAAGAATTCGAAAAGACTTTGTATAATTCTAATCCTGCAAAGTACTGGGATATTTTCTACAAGCATAATCGGGAAAACTTCTTTAAGGATCGTAAATGGTTACAGATTGAATTTCCATCGTTGTATAAGGTCACTGCTAAAAATTATCAAAAACCGACAACGATTTTGGAGATTGGCTGCGGGGCAGGGAACACATTTTATCCTATCTTGAACCAGAATGAAAATGAGAATTTACAAATCTATGGTTGTGATTATTCGAAAGTTGCTGTAGACTTGGTACGATCCAATGAAACCTTTGCAGAGCAAAACAAAAAGGGCATTGCTTTTAGTTCAGTTTGGGATTTGGCCAACTCTGAAGGAAACTTGCCAGAAGGAATGGAGCCCAACTCTGCCGATATTGTCATTATGATTTTTGTGTTTTCGGCATTACATCCAGATCAGTGGAAGCAAGCTATCGCAAACTTGGCAAAAGTCCTCAAACCTGGCGGAGAAATACTATTCAGAGACTACGGAAGGTATGATCTAGCACAAGTGCGTTTCAAAAAGGGCAGATTGTTGGATGATAATTTCTATATACGAGGTGATGGAACAAGAGTGTACTTTTTCACTGAAGAGGAATTGGAGGAGATTTTCTGTAAACAGGGTCCTTTTGAAAAAGTGAAAATTGCCACTGATAGAAGGTTGTTGGTAAATCGGAAAAAGCAATTGAAGATGTATCGAAATTGGTTGCAAGGTGTGTTTAAAGGATAATCATGGTGATGTACAAAACGTTGTCTAGGTGTTTGAAAATTTGCCAGATTTCCAACAAGGGGGTCTCCAAAAGCCCGTTGATGTCTATTCCGTGGGTGTATGGGTGAGCAATATCATTCAATTCAGGCATCTTACTCGATATTAAATCGGCCAAAGTTTGAGTTGGACTTGCTGGAACTTGACTCATGGTGTCGCTTCCTGGTAAAATTAGCCGGATTGGTACTCCTTTTACTGACTTGATGAGCTTGTTACTGAAGCTACTGTACTGATGCAAATTTCTCGAAGTGATGGATGATAGGTATCTTTCTGAATCTTGTTGACTCATTTGCATGATCCCTTTGGAGGAGCCGTTTATGACAAACGTTGACTGTTTTAGTTGGTTTTTCAAAACTTCATTTAGACATTGTGTATAATCTATAGACCCTTCGGGCGTTTGTGTAAATGGCATTACATATTCGACAGGATAGGCACCACTAATTCGTAGATTCAATTCCCAACAATGGTCTCGATCAGAATGATGAGCCGGGAGGTACAAGTAGTCATAAAGGACACCAATTGGTATATTCCATCGTAGGGGTACATCTTCAAATTCCAACCAGATGGGTTGGGTAACTCTGTTATTGGTGAAGGTTTGGATGTATGCAATTACGTGTGGGTATAGTAGTGGAAGGTAGGATGTCCTAAAAGCCTGTACCAAATATTCAAGCCTTTGTCCATTAAGGCTGGCAACTACTTTGATATTGATCGACCCATTCCAAATGCGTCGTTTTATTTCTGTTTGGTTCTCTATGTTGGACATATGGTGGAAAAGAAGGTGAATATCAGTAGCTCTCCTCTCCGACTGCATTCAAAATCTAATTTTGTGTGCGAATATCTCAACAAGCCAGCCTTCGCTCCACACATACAAGATGCGCAAAGTCATAGCTTACACGCATTAACAAGAGAGGTCTATTGTTCTGATGAGCTGCTTACGTCGCAAATAGACTCGTACTTGCTATTCGAAGCATTGTTTGCAAACGATACTGGTCGTATTCAATCTGCACATCGGTAATGTCGGTTCAACTACCGCATTATATATAACGTGGCTCGATTCCTCCATAATGAGTTCAATCACACTTTCTAGAGACAGACATGAAGAAGTTTAGCCAAAAACAGGTGCTTTCCACCGGTGACATACCGCCGTCTATCCCGGCGTTCAATATAGCTGATTTGGCTCATGCTGTAGACACATTCAGGCCATCGCGGTACAGCTCGTATGAATTACCTCAGGATCTCCCGGTTTATGACAGATTTAGTGGTAAATTGAAGCGATTTGTCAAACGTGGTGACAGGAAAGTCAGGGTGGTTAGTGCGCCACCGCTTATGAACCACTGTATTGAAAAAGAGCCGTTAGTTACACCGTCATACACAATGTCAGGTTCAATACATCCAGTTATGAACAACTGTGCTGCTGCTCAAACTCCAGAGAGGATGCAAAAGCCAAGAGTTGTTTCTGGTCCACCTGTGCCACCAAAAGATTCACGCTATGGTATGGGTATGAATGGCAAGAAGTCACTTGAAGCCAGCGCACTTCAAAAATCCTCAAAGCATATATGGGAAACTCGTCTCAATAACGTTACTCGACTTTCTCCCTTATATCAGCTTCCAGAAATGGAAAATATGGGTAGCAATGTTGAGAGGTCTAGATTATCTGCCAATATACCAATACCCCGGAGACGTAAAATGGCCGTTGCTGCACCTACAAATAATATAACCAGTGAAGGCTTGTTTTCAAATGAAGATGAAGCATGGTGTTACAGGGATTTATACTAGAACAAGGATTAAATACATTCCCTACTATAAAGAAAGCCAATCTATAATTTCGTGATCAATTCATCACCTGTATATTTGTCCAATACATCCTCTATTGCATACTTTTCTGCGATCGAAGGACTGATGAATCTTCCGCCCAAATAATGGATTTTGTTGGGTCCACTCTTGACGAACCTCTCAGCGCACGGTTTTGGTGCTGTCAAACTGATCAAAGCCGATGCTTTTATGTCGATGTCTGTTGGGCCCTCATCAACATCCCACCCGGAGGGAATATCGACTGAGAATACCGGTGGCAACGACTCGTGGTTTTGTGAAAGGTAGTCAATGACATCTTTAAAAGGCTCTCTAATAGGTGGCTTAAAAGAAAACCCAAAGATGGCATCGAGTATGACACCAACTTCGCCTTTCTTACTAAGCAACAGCTTGATTTCATCAAGTGTGGAGATCTCCATGATGTTTAGGTCTTGCAACTGCTTTACCAAGCGGTTGATCAAGTCACTCTTTGTTGATTTCTTGGGGTAGTAAATGACTGGTTCATAAGCGCCCCATGTTTTCAAATGCCGAGCAGCAACCAACCCGTCGCCCCCATTATTACCAGGACCAACCAAAACCAAAATTTTCTGTAATGGTGAAGTGGGTTTCTGTGGCGGAGGATATTGTTTGTAAATTGCTTTTGCAACCGCCAATCCGGCAAGTTCCATCAATTGGTCAATGGAGAAAGCACCAGTTGACATCAATTCTTTGTCGAGTTGAGCTGCGGCTTTTGCTGACAATGTTTTGAATGCTGACATATGATCGTTTGGTAGAGTAGTGGATGTACTTGGATGTGTATTTGCTAGTGAAGTTCAAAGCAATCAGTTCAAATATTTGTCACGATACAATAAACATCAACGTCATAGAATGATGCATTCCTGGTAGCGTCAGCAACCCCTGAAAACAAGATAACTTTTTAGGACATGGAAAAAGGGCCATCAATTTATTTGAATGACCAAACACTGATTGCAATGATATAAATATATATATATATATATATATATATAAATCCCTCTCAATTCACACAAGGTAAGTGGGTTTTAGTTGTTAAAAGTGACGTGTTGATCTACAGTGGTGAAGTGATGTCGCTAAATACTGTGTTGTGACATAATGGATGAATGAAAAAAATAACAAAAAAAAAAAGAAAATAAAAATTCAACACTGTATAAAATTTTTAGGCAATAATAATTTAAAGAAGAAGGAACTCAAAAAAACAAAAAAAACAAAAAAAGAAAACACAAAGAAATAAAACACGTAAAAGAAAAAAAGAAAGAGAGAGAGAGAGAGACAGAGAGACAGAGAAAGTGTGTGTGGGTGTGGGTGTGAAGGAAAAAAAAAAAAATATTGTCAACAGTGCACACACACGAATCAAAAGATCAACAAAAGGGTTGAACATTACTTTACCATTGACAAACCCACACACAGGGCAACCTCTTTATTATTACACCCCTCACTACAGAGAGCAGAAAGTACATTTGCACTATTCCAACACACCCATCTCTCCATACTACAATTCAAGCAAATCAACTTCTCCCGCTTCATTTTGTGGTGCTACATCATTCACAGAGACAATACAAATATCACTGCTAGAGCTTCGTTTGTACATTTTTCACACAACAATGGCCCTGTACAATTATGAATCACCAAGCTTAAGAAATGGAAACGGAAACGGAAACGGAAATGGACCCACATCACGCCATTCTCCCATCATCAATTACCGAAAGGATGCTAAGAAAGCCGTCAAATTCACAATGATGATTGTGGGTGAACTGGGAACTGGCAAAACAACATTTATCAATAGCTTGCTAAACAAGAAGGTTTTGGACCATCGGTACGAAACGCCTTCATCAATCTCATCAAACAAAGATTGTGAAACAAAGACTTTGACTTTCACTTCTGCTAAATCAGTGGCGTTGCCCAATACATCAATGTTGACGAGACACGAGTTTAACCCTAGTACTATTGATGAAGAACCGGGGATTGCGTTGACGGAGACCAAAGTCGAAATTGTTGACGATGACAATCTCAAATTGGTTTTGAATATAATAGATACTCCAGGGTTTGGTGAGAATTTAAATAATGAATTGTGTTTTGTTGAGATTGAAAACTATTTAAAACAACAATTTGATCTTGTGTTGGCCGAAGAGACTCGTATTAAGAGGAATCCTAGGTTTACCGATACCAGGGTCCATGTCATGCTTTACTTTATTGCCCCCACCGGACATGGGTTGAGAGAATTGGATATTCAATGTATGAAGAGATTGTCAAAATATGTCAATATTATTCCAGTTATTGGAAGAGCCGATTCTTTTACTTCGAGCGAGTTGCAACATTTCAAACAACAAGTTAGGATTGATATTGAAAAATTTAATGTGCCCATTTTTCAATTTGATAATTTCTTGAATGACTACGATGAAGAGGAAGATTACGATTTGATACAAGAGTGTAAGTTTCTTTCCAACTTGCAACCATTTGCCGTTGTCACGTCAGAAGATTCATTTGAGATTAGAGATAAGAAAACTGGGGAAACTAAAGTCATCAGGGCAAGACAATACCCGTGGGGTTTGGTGGATATCAGCGACACCACAATTAGTGATTTTGTTGTTTTAAGATCGGTCTTGTTGGGTTCCCATTTACAAGATTTGAAAGACTTGACCCACGACTTTTTGTATGAAACTTATAGAACTGAAAGATTGACAAAAGTCACTGGTGGTGGCGTTTTGGAGGATGAAGAATATGAGGACAGCGAATTCCATGACACTGTTGAACATCATCCTAATGGAGAGGTTAGAGGTGGTGGTTTTGCAAATTCTGCTGCGCCTTCTTTATCCAACTTGGCACAACTTGCAAATGAAACTAATGACGGGGACACCACTGTCCATGGTGAAGGCTTGGAAAATCGTTCTGTTAGTTCTTCACATTCGTCGCTTAGAAAGTCTACATCAATGTTGCTCGATGATAATGAATCGTCCAATACATCGCCATACTTGCATTCACATGGCAACTTCACTTCAAGCTCAACCACTGCTGCGGGAAGTGGCTCAGTCCATGACAAGAATAGCAATGCGTTCAAAAGGCTATCCATTGGACCCCAAAGAAATCAATTGCGCCAAATTTCTGAGACCGTTCCTTATGTTATAAGACACGAACGGAACCTTGAGAGACAGAACAAGTTGGAAGAGATGGAAAAGGCTAGTGCCAGAGAGTTGGCTGCAAGGGCGGCATTGTTGGAAAAGAAAGCTCAAGAATTGAAGCTTAAAGAAAAGAATTTGTTGAGACAATTGGAGTTGGCAAAACAGCGTAAACAAAGTGCTAGTAGTAGCGGTGCTGCTGCTGATGGCGGTGATGCTACTTCATCGAAGACAAGTGAAAATGTTGAGATTGTTAATGACTACGATGAACAACCGGATCATGCACAACACAATGCACAGCAACATGCCGATCAAAATGGACACATTCCAAAAGATGAGACTTTAACCGACTTGCATTCAATAGTCAGCGAGCAACGTCAGCATCAACGTTGAAACAAGAGGAAGGGGAGGGAAGAAAAAAAACTACATTTGGGTTATACTTTATAGGGGGTTTTTTTTTTTGTTTTTTGTAGTGAGGTTTATATTTTTTATTATAGCAAATGAAAGAATATTGACAGTTTTATAAGACGGTTGGATTTGGCTGTATGTGGGGAGTGTCTCTGTTGTTGTGGGAGTGTTGATATGTTTAATGCTCCCACATTCGTGTGTTCAATTGTTAAAGGCTAGAGAATTGGAAAGGACACCTACGCGACACACTGGCAAAATAGCAAAACAAAACAAAAAAACAATAAAACATGGAATTGAAACTAGTGCATGAGGTTTATTACGCTGGGTGTCTAGATAAGATACGTGTGATACTGCTCGCGTGACATAAAGCAATTCTCAACAATCCTACTCTGTTTTACTGTATATTTAACTATGAAAGTATCTCTTAGTTTAATAAATGCCGTAATTGTGACAGGTCGTGTATGAATTCCCAAGAAAAAGAAAGAAAAGAAAATGGCAACCCAAAAGAAAAATCATAAACACTCAATCAATCAATCAATCAATTGATACAATACAAATACAAAGACAATACAAAAGAAGGAAGAAAGAAAAAAAAAAAAAAATTAACAGAAGAAGTTTGAAACTAAAAAAAGAAGCATTTGAAGGAGAGATCTTCGACACAGACCACACATCACATTACTATCTTGCAAGGTCTTTGGGGAGAATCAAGTCATAACATCTACTTCACACCGGTTTTTTTATTTTTTTTTTTTCTCTCAACCACGTCACCACAAACTTCAAACAAATGGATATTCTTCAACTTTTAGAAAATGCAATCTTGAGTCTGGATCCAACTCAAAGGACTCAGGCCGAAATTGAGTTGAATGAGGCAGCAAATAACCACTTCCAAGAGTACATTTCGCTATTGATTGAAGCCTTAAACAACGAAGATGCCAAAACTGAAGTGAGAATGTTGGCTGGTATCGGCCTCAAGAATCAATTGGTTTCCAAGGATCAAAGAACCAGATTAGCACAACAAGACCGTTGGTTGAAGCTCGACCCCGAGTTGAAAAAGAAGATCAAAGATAATGCAGTTCAAGGGTTGAAAATTTCCAATCAAAAAGTAGCAAGCACCGCTGCTCAATTGGTGGCAGCCATTGCTGATATAGAATTGCCAAGAGGCGAATGGCCAGAATTGATACCACTCATTATTGAAAACACCAAAATGGAAAACCCAGAACACGTTAAACGTGCATCTCAATTGACGATTGGGTACATTTGCGAAAGTGCCGACCCAACAAATGCCAACATCTTATCCCAAGCATCGGGTATTTTGATTGCCATCATACAAGGTGTCCAAAGCAATGAACCATCCAATTTGGTGAGGATAACAGCATTGAATGCCCTTGTCAACTCGTTGGAGTTTATCAAGTACAACTTTGAAACAGAAGGAGAGAGAAACTATATTATGCAAGTTGTTTGCGAGGCCACCCAAGCAGATGATTCAGAGTTGCAAGCTAGTGCATTTGGTTGTCTTGCGAGAATAATGTCACTTTACTACAAATACATGGCCCTTTACATGGAAAAGGCATTGTATGGATTGACGGTTTCAGGAATGCAAAGCGCAGACGAAAAAGTGTCTTGTATGGCTGTAGAGTTTTGGTCCACTGTTTGTGAAGAAGAGTTGGAAATTGCATTGCAGAGACAGGAGTTGGGATTGGATCCTTTACAAGACGCTGGAGATCCCGATTTAGTATCATACAATTTTGCATTGATTGCGTCAGGTGAAGTATTACCCACTTTGTTGACATTGCTCACTAGACAAAACGAAGACTTTGAAGATGATGATTGGTCAGTTGCAATGGCTGCTGGTGCTTGCTTGCAATTGTATGCCCAAAACATTGGCAATTATGTCGTGGATCCAACTATTCATTTTGTTAGTTCCAATATAACCAACGGCGATAATTGGAGATCAAGAGAAGCCGCGGTTATGGCGTTTGGCTCTATTTTGGACGGACCTGATCACGAACAATTGAAGAATATCATTGGCGAAGCATTGACTCCGATACTTGCATTGATCACTGACTCAAGTTTGCAAGTTAAAGAGACCGTAGCGTGGTGTCTTGGTCGGATCGCTGATATGGTTGTTGATGCAATCAACCTTCAGACTCAATTACCTGAATTATTGGAAGCCTTGGTCAAAGGTTTAAAGGATCATCCAAAAGTTTCGACAAATTGTTGTTGGACTTTGATGAACTTGATTGAACAATTGTGTTCTGATACCAACGCTGAAACAAATGTCATGTCGCCATTCTACCCTACCATAATTCCAGTATTGATGCAGCTCTCTGGTAAAGGCGATAACGAATACAGCTCGCGTGCATCTGCATATGAGGCATTATCAACCTTTGTCACCTACAGTGCCAAGGATACCATGGGAGTTGTTCACGTTATTGCAACTGAAGTATTGTCAAGATTGGAGTCAACCATTGAATTGCAGTCACAAGTAACCACTACAGAGGACAAGGGTAATTTGGAGGAATTGCAAACTAATATATTGGCATTATTGACAACTATCATCAGAAAATTGGGGTCCGAAGTGGCAAATGCGTCGGACAATTTGATGGAGAGATTTATCAAATTGATCAGTGCACAAGAACCAAATTCGCTTATAGAGGAGGATATATTTATCGCAATTTCAGCATTGTCGGGTGCTATTGGTGACCAATTCTTAAAGTATATGCCAGTATTCTTGCCTTACTTGACACGAGCATTGGAAAATGTTGATTCTCCCACAGCACTAACTGCTATTGGGTTGGTTGGCGATTTAGCTCAAAATCTCGGGTTACAAATTAGCGAATACTTGAATGGTTTAATGACCATTCTTGGGAACACATTGAACAATCCTGATGTCAAGCGTGAACTCAGACCTGCTATTGTGTCGGCCTTTGGTGACGTTGCAGCTGCTATTGGGCCCAACTTTGAGCCATACCTAGAATATGTCATGAACATATGTACCGAGGCCGCTTCAATCGAGCCACAAGACAGCTCGTTGGAAACCATCGACTACGTATTCACTGTAAGAGAATCAGTGCTAGATTGTTTTGTTGGTATCACTGCTGGGTTCTCCGACCAACCGGAGAAGTTGTATCCGGTTGCTGGTGGTATATTGCAATACATACAAAGAGTTGCCTCGGATCCACACATGGCGTCTACTGAGTCAGTTGCCAGATCAGCTACTGGTTTATTGGGTGATATTGCCGCAATGTATCCTCAAGGTCAATTCAAGCAGTATTTTGAAGCTGAATGGGTCACTGAGTTCATCAAAAAGACTAGATCCAACCCCTTGTTTGATGAGAAGACCAAAGATGCAGCAAGGTGGGCTAGAGACCAACAGAAACGACAACTACTGATCCCTGCGGTAATGGGTTAAGCTCAGAGTTTTGCATTCGATAAAAAATGACTTTGTTGGCGAGTTGTCTTATAGCATGCAAAGTGGTACGAGCTTCAACAAGGAAACTACTATAGCATAGCCCCACCCCCCTTTCCTCCGCCCCTCCCCCCTCATCATCATCACTCATATCCACTCCTCCCCTTCCCACCTTTCTTCAACCTCTCACGAACTCTAATGTCCTCTCATAAATACACATATATATTTTATTACAAACATGCACTTTGTAGAAGCTCTCCTGGACCAAATTCACGCGTTCGAAAAAACAATAAAAAAATATACTGGTGGAAAATTTCAACCATACACAGACACTCACACAGACACTCAACCGAGTTAGCAGTCACCATCGTCTGTCTCCCGATGTCATCAGAAATAGTGCCCCCAGTAATACCGAGTCACATACCATTTGATCAGACTTATGTACTCTACGATCCGAATGACATAATATCTATCATATCGGTGCAATTCACGCTACTTCCGGTATACATCATGGTCTTCTACCTTCTGTGGTTCTTAGTCACTAGGGAAATCGAGCCGGTGATTGTAGTAGCTGGCCACTTGTGTTCTGAAATTGTCAACAAAATAATGAAAGTGCTTCTCAAGAACCCGAGACCTGATTTCCATCGTGACTTTGGTGGTGGTGGTGGTGGTGGTAATGGGAGTAGTCTCAGTTACGGCATGCCTAGCGCTCACTCGCAATTTATTGGGTTTTTCGCAGCTTACTACACGTGTGTTGCTGTTTTCAAAATTGGTCATTTGCAAAAATGGCAAAAGGCAGTGTGGTCGGTGTGTTTGGGCTGCGTTGGGGTCTGTGTTGCTGGATCAAGAGTGTATTTGATGTACCATACTTGGCAACAAGTTGTGGTAGGAGTCACAGTGGGGGTTATGTTTGGAATGTTTTACTTTATATTCAGCTCGTTGATGAGGGATGTGGGGATCGTTGACTGGGTGTTAGACTGGCCCGTGATCAAGTACTTCCACGTCAAGGACTCTTATCACCATTGCTATCAAACGTTTAAAGATGAGTATGATACGTACTTGCGCCAGCGAAACCGAGTAAAAGAGTCAAGAAAGAATATATGACACCATCAACCACACCCTTACCCTTCATAACAAGTTTGTTTCTAAATATGTGTATATAGAAAGGATACCTATTTTTCTCTCTAGAAATCATCCCACTTATCTTCATCTTTAGATTTCGAGTTGGAACCACCCGACAAGCTCTCGTACTTGACTCCGTTATCAGTTTTCTTGTAACCAAACGCAACGGGAACATCATCATTACCATTTGACTTTGCCCATAATCCGTTAAACCTATGATCAATAGTCTTGTTTATTCCTTGTTCATTCACCTCTTTAGTAAAAGTTTGGAAAGTTTCTTGTCCATATTTACCAGTCTCTTGCATTTTTTGACCAAATTGAGCCATGGCCTTTTTAGCTTCAGCGCTAAATTCACTTTGTTGTATTTGGTTCAAACTAGGTTGAATAACACTTTGGTTCACTTCTTGAACAGATTTAGCAACGGTGGATGAAAAAAGCCCCCATCCTTTAGTGAATGTGCCCAAGGGGTCCTTTTGGAAGTTGTCCACGGTGAAATTGGCAAATGATGATGAGCCGCTGCCTGCTGATGTACCATTGGAGGAGGTTGGATCGGGGGTGTTTCCGAATCCGGCATACTTGCCTCCTTGTGATGGCGGAAGATGGTCAGGTCTTGAATCATTCTTTGCTCCCAAGCTAGCAAAGTATGACTCGTTCTTGCTCTTCTGTTCATTAGACAAACCAGGGCCAGAGCCACGAGCTGATGTAGTGGCGGTCGTAGTCGAAGCAATACTATTCTTATCTGGTAATTTTTCTCCCGAATGATCTTTTGGCACATAGTCCCTTCCTTCAACTTCACAAGTCAAAATCTCCTTGTAGTCCTCAGCAACAAAATTATCAAACTTTTGCTTTGCTGGCAAGGTCAAATCAACACCATTGTCTTCGAAATATTTCCTCAACCTTTCATTCCCACCAATCTCCATTCGTAATGTTTCCTCTGGCTTGAACTGGTCCATGGTGATTGATCGTACAAAGGATATGTGAACTCCCAATCCTCTGTGTATTCCAGCACATTCTAAGCAGATGAAAGCTCCGAATTTAGGAGACGCCCATTGTGGGTTAGGTGCACCACAATCAAAACATTTCTTATTTTCACCAACTTTTTGCAAGCTTAGCAATTTTCTACGTGAGTCTGGGTCAACGGACATTGGTGTAAAGGTAACAGTACGGTGTGTGTGTGTGTGTGTGTGTGTCAAATGTTGCAGGGAAATTGATGGCTCTGAACAGAAAAAGGACAGTCTTGGGAATACCTTGTGTTATCAGATATTAATTTTTTTGGATCGCAGTTTAAGAAAACAAATTTTTTTTTTTTCTTTTTGTTTGTTTGTTTGGTTTTTTCGTATTTCGTTACAATTACTCCTTTTATGTTGCGTTTCAACGTCGTAGTAATTGGTATCACTCATTCAAGTGACATCAACCCAACTGATGGTTTCTTTGGTTACTTGAATCAGCTACGTGAATCTTGCTTTAACTGGAATGTCACAGCTCGAAACTTACAGAATGTGAATTATTTGTTTGGAGCTAACACGTAGCGTGTTTCTGTTTTTCATGCGAGGCTGAAGCAACAAGGCGGTCCAAGTGGTCACGTGGCCCATTGAAATTAGTAGATCTTACTCATTACAGAATAATCTGACAAAAAAATCACAACTACAAGTAGAAGGTCCCTTCCTCTGGTGTACGGCTCATTACAAGTATTGTCGGATTTGATCTTTTGATATCGGGTAAAAACAATTTTGCTACAAATTTGTGCAAAAATATTGACAAAATTTCAAAAGAACTCAAAAGAGTATGAAGTACGCCACTGACTTACAACCTTACAATTCAAATGCAGATCTAAATCCTTATGTTCCTGGTTTGTGTATAATATTCATCGTAATCTACAATTTGAAAGTCTTACTTTCCTGGTTTCTTTTAACATTGACTGGGTATCCAGCGCCCGCGATACCTTGTCCAATGTGCCATGCACCTCCATCAACAACCAAAATTTCACCATTCACAAAGTTACCGGCAGGTGAGAACAAGTATACGGTGGCATCTGCGATATCCTGTTTGCTTCCCAACCTTTGAACTGGAACCTTTGAAGCAACTTGATCAATAACACCAGGGGCCAATCTGGACATACCCTCAGTGTCGGCAATAGGACCAGGTGCGATACAGTTGGATCTGATACCAAGGGGTCCCAATTCAGTGGCCAAGGCGTTTGACAATGCGTCAACACCGGCTTTGGCGGCACCGACGTGAATTTGGTATGGAACACCATAGTAGTGCAAGGTTGCACTGACAAAAATGATTGCACCCTTGTTCTTCTTCAATTGTTCAAAACAAGCTTTGACAGTGTTGAATGAACCAATCAAATCAATGTTGACAACCGAGGAGAAAGCATTCGATGACAAATGTGTGAAGTCTGACAAAAAGTTACCGGCGGCACCAGCAATAACGAAATCGATTCTGCCCAATTCTTGGACTGCTTTGTTTGCGGCCTCGGTCAATTGCTTGACATCTCTGACATCAATGTTTGACAAGGATACAACTTTAGCACCTGGCCTTAATCCCTCCAATTCCTTGGCGGCAGCATCAGTCTTTTCCTTGTTTCTACCAACAATAGCTGCATTGGCACCCAACAAGATCAATGCTTCGGTTTGAACTTTACAGATGGAACCTGCACCTCCAGTAACAAAGGCAACTTTACCTTTGAAAAGGTCTGGTCTCCAACTTCCTTTTGTGACGTATGATTGGTCTAATGTAGGCATTATTGTAGGTTCTCTTAGTGCGTGATGGTAATCTGAGGTGGGCCTGTTGTGAGTAAAATGGAAAACTTTTGCTGAATATAAATAAGCTTAGAAATGGGTATGTAACGGAAAATTTCTTTTCGTCCTCCCCCCCCACAGTTTGCAAAGTTTTTCTCCTCGCTTTTTTTTTTTTTACCATTTTTTTTATTTTGCTTTGTTTGTTTCCTCGGCAAAATCAATTACAACGGATGTATAGCTTTTATCAAAATAATACATACATTAAACATTATAAGTCGTCAACTATATCCATATACACTAAACACAACTGGCCTTTCTTCTTTAAAGAGTATGGCACTGGTTCAGTCCAAGTGTCAAATAGCCTCGGCAGATCAGTGATACCGATCAATATTTCAACAGCCACTTTTCCCAAATCCGCACTAATAGCACGGAGGTAGAGAACTACACAAAAATAAATCCGCATTCTGCTCATCTATCATGAGTTCCCTGTCCACTAACCTCAACTAATCTTCCCTTGACCGTCTCAAAATCCGTTTTATTTGCCGAGGTGGAGGTCTCTCCGTTAACGTATTCACCAGAAGACGATTTCGCCAAATAGGGTGTTGGAATATCAGCTGTCGGATTCAGAGCATCAAAGTTATTCTCCTGTTCGCTTTCAGCGAAACTTCTTCTCTTTGTCAGATTGTGAATGTTGACATCAGCTACTTGGTTGGAGTCTCGCAGCCTTTTCTCTCCAATTTTCGACAAACTTGAGTCGAGTTTTGCATCTCTGTAATCTTCCTCATCAGTGGATTCACGGTTTATGCCACGTTCAATTTGGCTTGCCTCATTTAGTTTGCACCCGACACCCATGCTATCCATTGAGCCATTTTGAGCTCGTACCAGACTTTCCAAGCTCAAGTCTTCAACATCCTCATTACAACTGAATCCGTTACGGATAAAACTTTCATGTATTCCAAGTTGCTCCAAATCGGTCTCCCCACATATACCTAAAGTGGTATTCTCCATCTCATTGAAATTGTTCTCAACAAGTCCAACTATATCAGGACCAATCTTCATGCACGAGGCAGACTCTAGCACATCACCATGACGCTTTTTCAAATACTCAGCAATCAACTTGAAGTTCCTTCTTTTTCCAAAGTTCTTGGCATCGCTTTGCACGCGAATAATGTTTAGAAAGTCTAAACAAGCTGAACTGCACATGTTGTCCCCTTTGATGACCGTTGCAAAATACTGAAATAAGCTCTCAAGAATATCGTTTTCTAAAATGTAGTTGGTTATCTCGTCATCATTGAGTAAAACAACGCTTCTCAAGCACCTGACAATATGGAGTTTCAACACTTTTTTACATGGGGAATCTAACAACTTGACCATACCCTGCAAAACCTTGTGCTCAACAAGAAAGTTTCTAACGTGCACAGTGTCATGTTCTTTTGCACCAAATACAATAAAATCACATAGGAGCAGAAGTAAAGTGGAGTTTGCATGTGAAAGCGGATCGTTATATTCAGTGTACTCAGTAATAGCCACCAACTTGGCAAACAATTTTGGCGCCACTTGTTTGTAGAAAGATGCCAAATGAAGGGGTGCGCTAACTTCATTGTCACTCTTGTCATCACGTTTCTGATCCTCTTGATCCAAAGATTCTTGACTTGATACTATGCTGCCCACCGATTCATCGACTGCGCCATCTTCTGCATTCTCCAACACAGAAGGATCCAACAAGGTTTTCAATGCCTCAAAAGCCTGATACTTTAAACCCACATGCTCGTCGTTGGCTATTATTTCACTCAAAGTTGACACAAAGTAACCACCAAATGAACTCAAGTCGGATTTGCTTTCACTGACATCTCTCCTCAAGTCATTAACCACATCATGCGGCAAACTCGGGGTAGTTTCCTCTTGGCAAGATCGTATTGGTGGTTCAGAGTTATCAATTGAAGGCTCTTGATCCCCAGAATTCGTCAAAGCAACGCTTTGCTCTATAACAGTAACAATCAATTCAGTGCCCATTATTCGTATGCTATCCTCAGTCTCATTGAGAGCAAAGTTAACCATTGTAAATAGTCCTGGTTTGATAAGCAGCGCAAAAAAGTCATGTTTTTGAATTGATTTTGCTAGTAATATATATTGATGTAGCATCTTCACTCCATCACGCTTGAGTTCAGCACTTCCTTCAGTGTCATAGATTTCAAATAGTTGTTCGAGAACCCCGGCACTCTTCAAGTGCTTCAATATTTTAACCTGGTTTTCATATATCATTGAGTTCAACTGGCTGACGGTATGATCATCAAGGTATTTGGTCAAAACCGATTCTTTCAAAACAGTTAAATAATGATCCCGTTTGAAAAGTTCTTGCTCAGTGGTGGGGATTACAGTTTTGAACTGCGTATGCTCGAAAAAGGTTCGGTACGACGGCTTGGGCTCTGAGACGCTCGATTCATATTCGAACACGCCTGAAAGTAGAAGGATGTTTGTTTCAGACGAAAGCATATCCTCGAGCAATGATGGTTCATTATACGATAACAATACCCTCACGATGTCACTTAAATGATGTAGAACAGTTGTATTTCCATTCGATTCAGCATATCTGAAAAGATCTAATAGTTTTTCAAAGTATTTGCTTTCCACCAAGTAATCCAGTATATTTGTTCTAGTGAATTGCGAGCCGGCGCCCTGATTCAAACAATCAAGAACGGTTTCTATATTTTCCTCGCTCGGCAGTGGGGGAGGATACCGTATCGGGCCAGTAACCAACTCGGTGATGTCTTCGCACTCAGGCTGTCTTGAAATCACGTAATATAGGGAAATATTAGGACTGTAGTTCCCTTGTTGTACCTTGATAATAAAGTCGCACAAATCTGCACAACCTTCTGTTTCTTGAAATGATAAGGCTAGATCGGATCCCGAGGGATCGGTCCAAACTATTAATGTATCTTGCTGTCGTTGATATTGGATATTCCCTTCAAGATTAGATTTGAGGATGACTTCATTTTTCTTTGACTCTCTCTTGACAAGAAAATATGGAACTCTCGTGTCCTCGTCAATCTCACCGACGCAAAAGCCTGTTCCATTATCTAGCCAATCCTCTCCTTCTAGTAAGTAAACTTTAACTCTTCGCGGTGTCTTGCCTGCAGACTCTAGTCGTAGTAGTTCCTCCTTCTTTGACTGTGTCAATGGAGTAAAATACTCGCATTCGTTTGCCTCTTTGTACACCATCGCGATACAACTCAAACACCTGTGGAAAGTGGGGGACTCGCACACTACTAATTTTTGGAATATCGAGTGATTTCGGTGCGTAGGAACACTAAATTTAGGCGTGATTGGTTGAGAAAACACTTGTTGGATCTACTCCCTCCCCCAGGTGTAATGTATTTTCTAATTCTATTTTTTTTTTTTTTTTTTTTTTTTTTTTTTTTTTTTTTTTTTTTTTTTTTTTTCTTTTTTTAGTTTTTTTTTTGTTTTATTTTTATCACTTTTACATTCATTCACGCGTTTCTATGTACACATAAAACAGTCTATGCCAACTCTACTCTAATGACTCAAGAGTGCAGCACTAGTCAAGCTTCTCAACCAGTCACGCTGCTCAACGTCATGTGTATCTTCAACNTTGTTTGATTTTTTCCCTCCCCCAGGGGTAATGTTTTTTTTAATTTTTTTTTTTTTTTTTTTTTTTTTCTTTTTTTAGTTTTTTTTTTGTTTTATTTTTATCACTTTTACATTCATTCACGCGTTTCTATGTACACATAAAACAGTATATGCCAACTCTACTCTAATGACTCAAGAGTGCAGCACTAGTCAAGCTTCTCAACCAGTCACGCTGCTCAACGTCATGTGTATCTTCAACTTCTCCCCACTCGCCAGTTTGTAGAATTGTCTCCAAATTTCCCAACTCTATAATCTCCTCAACTGTTTTGTACCAAAAAAAGTCCTTCGAGTTCCTATTCAATTGGAATACATCACTCATTCTGGATTCATCAGAGACATTAGATCTCAAAACTGACACCGCACAGAGAAATGATTTCGTAGTGAGGATAGCTTTCTCTAAGGCAACAAATTCAAAAATGTCTAATTGGTCTAGCCAATCAACCACTACTTGCTGCGTCTTCAAAGTTTGTCTGTTTCCTCTCAACCCATCCTTTTCACAATCCAAAAACTTCAACTCGATCCTCTCATTCTCTTTGAGCAAGTTTCTACTCAATCCATATTGTGTAAAAAAGTCATTGTACTCATCAATCAAAGGACGATAGAGCTCTTCCTGTTTCTTTCTCAATTTTCCATCACAATCTTTTGCTCCTGCAAATATGAGACAAGTATCAGTGTCGAGATATTTCAACATGCTTAGCTTCAAGTCTTCGATCGCAAGCATTTCTTCACCCCCATCATTGTCACTCTGTTTTTGATTTCCCGCCGACTCCAAATCAATAGCTCTAGCTGCTAATCCAGTCAATGGTAAGGCACTCGATTTCAATGATATTTTGGGCAAATGCGTCCATTCATGTGCGATGAGATAAGCCAATTGCTTCTTACTCTCTGGCAAGGTCAAGGGGAGGCCCAACGGCGTGCGCAACGTTTTCCCATCTAGTTGTATTTCATATCTGCCAGTGCTATGGTTGTGAAATACGCGCCCTTTATCCCAAAATCTACTTCCTGTTTTTGAAAGTCGATTAGTTTCCGATTTGATATTATGTTCGACAGTTTTGTCGCCACCCAGCGAAGAAATATTTGCCAATCGATTGCAGGAAAACACTGTTTTTGAGAAACGCCTTACTCCAAGGTAGGCAAGTTTTGGAATGGGACTTCTTCTGAATGCCAACATTGCTTGAATTGTTGTGGAATGAAGAAAAGTCAAATGTAAAGAGGAAAAGAAAAAGAAGAAAAAAATAAAAAAAGTTCTAATGCTAAGCAAACCCAATTCCTTTACCCTCAACAACGAGGCCTCGCAGCAAGCATGAATCAAGAAGCCTTACAAAAAGTCCTAATTGAAATGGACAATCAACTAAACAAGTCCAGAGCAGAATTGTCTATGGTGAATTTGCAATTGGATCGTGTACACACAAACTTGAATGTCATCAAGTCAACAAATTCAAGGCTAAATACATTAAATTCCCCCGATGAAACTATATGGCAAGGAGTGGGTAAGGCTTTCATTGCACAAAAAACAAAGACTTACCTTGACCAATTGTCCGAGGATGAAAAAGGATATAAGGATACAGAGAAGAATTTGAAAATCAAGCAAGATTATCTACAAACAACGCTTGAAAAGACTGTGGACAGCATGACCAAAATTGTTGGTGAAAAAAAAGTAACTTAGTTCTATACAATAATATACACATATTACTCGCTATCGCTCTCCTCTTCAACTCCCTCGTCTAGCACTTTTCGTTCTATGTCTTCTGTATCAGCTTGCTTCTCAGCTCTCATTCGGTCGGTTAAAAACACATTGATTTGATCTTGAAGAGTGGTTATAGCTGCTCGTAAATTTCCCATAGGTGTATCTTTTGCCACACTGGGCTTATCTCGGTCTTCACCACCAGCATTTAAAACTATATCAGATATTTGGGTAGTTGATCCATCGGTACTATGCGGGCCATCACCAGGATGGAAATCGTGCTTGATATCGCCAGATGTATAAGTAGCAGAAGGTAACATTCTTATATTTAATTTTTGTTCACACACTATACACACTAATGTTCTTGAATTTTTATTCTCTTCGCGATATTTGAATACGCATTGAATTTGATTTCAATTATTTCATCCGCTTTGAAATCGAGTGTAGGTATGTCGTAACAAGAACACGACATGAGGTACCCATACAACACCCTCAAAACAGTTTCATCCGCTATTATTAGTAAGTCTCCACTCATGCGTTCCATCTCCAAGATCAAAGGCTCGATCTTGATTGCCAAATCGTGATACGACTCAGCACGAGAAAACCGATAATGGTAGGGGTCCTTGATATACTGAGAGTACTCTTCTGGGTATTGTTTCGCAATATCTTCCTCAGATAGTGTACCCACAACACCGGGATTTTTTTGTGATAACTGAATCCGATGTCTAACATTGATGTTTTTCTGTTGGAGAAACTGTGTAGTCTCTATAGTTCTTTTCTTTACCGAAGTCCACACAACTAAGGAGTTATCGTTGACCCCATCTGCACCAGCAGCAGGCTGTCTCATATCAACAGATGGTTCTCTGTGTAATTCAGGCTTGGCACTCTCGGTTCTATCAAGATAAGTTTTACCTTCAGATTTGAGTTGTGCAATCACCGTGTCTGTCAAGTTTTTTGCATACTCCAATCCATCTTCATCCAAAGGCGGGTCATGATTAAAGTCTAAAGTGTTGTTGTAACATCTGGCCAAGAAAACAGATCCAGATTTGATGCTTCCGTTCATGAGATAAAACACTACTTTGTTTATCAAGTAACCGTAGTTTGAGTTGTGCAATTCAATTCTTTCACCAAAATTGATAAATTTAATGTATGACAAGTCCTTTTCTTCTTGAGTCAACCCCATTTCCTTATAAAAGGGAGCAAGCGCATTGATTCGAGCACTGTAATCCTTATAGGCAGCATCGTAATCCCAGTTATTATAATCGGGTGAGGACTTTGCAGCTTCTTCAATGTTTTTCATAACAATGGAATCATCGGTTACTAAACTCTCAATAAATAACACCTGTATCTTCAAGTCCTTGAACCTTTTATGCAAGTCTAACCGAAACTCTGGAATGGCATTTACGGCATCGTAAATTGCAACTTGCCCCTTGTCATTTTTGAAAAAGTTCAATATATCATTGAGGCATTCGTTAGCCACTTTTTCTCTCAATGCATGAGCTTTCCCACTCTTTGGACTGGGTACAAACAAGTCATGTGTCAAATCATCTTCAGCACTAGCTCGTCTATAGTCACCCAAGTGGAATGAGTGAGTTTTGACACCTAACCATCTCAAGTATCTTGTCAAAGACACCGACAAATGTGTTTTTCCTCTCCCTGGTAAACCTGCAAGGGCAATAATGATTTTCCCCGCATGGAACAATCTACCAGACTCTGTTGAATACAACTGTGCTCCCCCCAATTCACTCAATGGGTCAAGCTGTTTATGTACTCCATCAATTCCCGTAATGTCACTTAATCGTCTCGGTGGCGGCCCACCCACCTCCAGGGGCAAGTCAACCAAATTTGGTCGAGTGTTGTTATGAAACGACCAACGCTTTGTTGTCCTCATTTGATTTCTGGATATCGGCTGAGCACCAAAGCCGTGAACAATCTCGGTGTCTTCCTCATCAGAAATTACTGCGTCGTTTGTGGACATGATTTAGTTTGGTAGTTGCTTTTGGTGATATGGATCTTACCTAGTTGAAGCAAGGGAATCAATTTACATTATCTCGCATTTTTTTTTTTATTATCTTTGGAGTCTGAAATGCGACAATCATTTTTGCGACATGAAAATAAAATGAAAACAGCAAGGCGGCAAATTGACATTCTTCTAGCGCCCAAACAAGCTATCAAAGAATCGATCTTTAAGGATTCTGCTTAAGCTGTGCTGATCAAAACACTAACCACTTACGTGGTGGGATTTAACACTGCAAAGAACTTTGGAAGTATAAACTCAGATTGAATGCTCCAGTACAAGCTAGCTTCAATCAAAATCTAATCAAAATAGAGGTCAATGTCTATTCCACGTATCCCTAACCTCACTATATAAGTATATCATGCTAGTGCATAGATTAGTGATTGTTTATCAACGACCACAAGTTGATAACGAGTCACGTGCACAACTTACTTTCTGTGTGTGAAAATGGTAGCGTTATTTTGCGAGAGAAAAAGAAAATTTTTTCCTTTTCATTTTTCTCAAAAACCAAAAAAAAAAAAAAAAAAATTTTCACCTCTCCAGTTATAGTTCTTTCATTCTATATCCAACAATCAAAGATGGCTAAGATTTCACAAGGTATGTTGGGCTACTTGAAAACTGACCGCTGTCAGATGATATTGCATGAATGATTTATATACTAACTTACGATTAGACGTTTCATCATCTCGTTCCAAGGCCAGAAAGGCTCACTTCTCCTCATCTTCAGTTGAGAGAAGAGTCATCATGTCCGCTCCATTATCAAAAGAATTAAGACAACAATACAACATCAAGTCATTGCCAATCAGACAAAATGACGAAGTTTTGGTTGTTAGAGGATCAAAGAAGGGTTCCGAAGGTAAAATCAACAGTGTCTACAGATTGAAGTTCTCTGTACAATTGGAAAAATTACAAAAGGAAAAATCAAACGGTGCTTCAGTACCATTGAACATTCACCCATCAAAAGTTGTCATCACCAAATTGCACTTGGACAAGGACAGAAAGGCTTTGATTGAAAGAAAGGGTGGTAAATTGGAATAAATGTATAGTTGATTAATAAAGGAGTTGTGTACATTATTTGAAAGAGAACTGAGATTGTAGATGTGCCTGAGAGGTTACTGAGCGGGTGGTACTTGAATATGCAATGTAGCGGATGCACAGTAAAGGATTGAATTTGATACGATGCACAACACAAATTGCAATTCTCTCTTCCAAAGGAGAGAACTCTTTGCTTGCGACTGCACAAGTTGTATTGCATAGTAAAATGGATACTGGCACATACCAAAGACTATGGACTGCGGTTCGAGTAACTAATTAGTTAGAAAACAAAAAAAAAAAACAGAAAAAAAAGAAAAAAGATCATTTCTTAGTTACACTGATTAAAAATACAGTCCAAGGCGGGATTCGAACCCGCGATCATTAACTCCGGAAACTAATACCTTAACCGCTAGGCCACTCGGACTGTGTGAATTGGGGCTTTCGCAATTGCTCGCGGCGCCGACCACTATGCCAAAGGGCAATGTTTGTAAGATGTGTTGACTTGCATGTCGTCCACAAGAGAGCAAATTATAAAGTTTTTACCGTCCCAAACTGACGTTAATAAGGCTTGAAATGTGTTCATAAAGGTATCAGCATACAGATAGTTGCAATACAACTCTTTTCTCTCAGTTTAAAGTCCTCCCCAAATGTGCTCGCTGTCAATATTTCGTGTTGTATGTTTTGAGTGAGTTTTGAGTGAGTTTTGTGTGTGTTTGTACTTTTATGCTGCAACTTTACAATGGCTTGGTGGAAACCGCATTCCAGAATACCTGCTTTTAACCTGATAGACATACCCACATCCTGAAAACAATATAGACTAGTCTTGCCCCTAGTTGGACTCCTTTTGCTAGCCTGTGGTGAACTATCAGTAGTCGGTAGCGCATCAAGTACAGCAAACCCTTCCGTTTATTTTTGAAAATTTTCCATCAAGTTTCATGTCACGCAGGCAAGCGACTGAATAGACTGGCCTAAGCTTTACACATCTTCTACAATGAACATCATACGGACAAACTATGCATTATTGAGACCTCTCAGATTCAAAAAGGTTCCAATGACACAATTCATTTTACCAATCAATGTTTTATCGAGATCTTACCTCACTACTCCATCACCATCACATCCATTCTCATTGCAGAAGTCCTCCCATTACAACCCAGTTTTCCACTACTCAACCAAAACCGCACCACCACCACCACCTCCCCCACCTCAACACCCGCATGACAAAAATCTCAAAGGCAAAAGAATCCTCAACCGAATCTCTCGTGCATTCACATTTTCCTTATCATCAGTAATCGTCTTGGGAGCAGCAGCAATTGCTCTTTTGGTCATCTACCTCATACTTTCAGAATTATTTTTACCTTCTGGAGACACGCGTACATTCAATAAAGCAGTCAAGTTAGTGGAACAAAATGAACAAGCTCAAGTCGCGTTGGGATTCCCCAAGGGAGAAAGATTGAAAGCTTACGGGCTTGTCGCTGCTGATAAGTGGGTGCGCAACAGACCAGTGCAAAGTTCCAAGACGAGAACTAAAGATGGTAAGGACCACTTGGTTATGAAGTTTCAAGTTGAGACAAGTACTGGCAGAATTGGTGTTGTTACATTGGAACAGGTTGATAACTCATGGTGGAATACTGAGTTTGAGTATATGGCATTGGACGTTAGAGGTCATAACAGAATATACATTGTGGAGCCTGAAAGACCCGATATTGCCAGATTGGGAAAAGGTACTGGGTTTTTGGGATTAAATTGGGGACCTAAAAAGGACTAAATACTGATAAAATGTATTGGAAAAGGTGTTTGAATGGTGGGGATAAGGAAGATGCATTTGATGTTTGTTTCTTTGGTGGATTTTTGGTGATGGGTTTAGTCCTGATGCTCTTGGGTCTCTTGTGTGACTTGGTGGACTTTGATTTTTTTTGGTCCTCTGGTGGTATGATGATTTCCGGCTCAGCCTCATCTCCATTATCAATCTCCACTCCTTCAACATCTTCACTTGGTTCAATAGCTGGTAAAGCATCTTTGTGATTAATCGAGTCTAACAAAGACTGGCAGTTTCTACCATCGGTGGAGAACCTTGTGTTCAAATCGACTGCAAGTCTTGCAACTTCACCGCGGCGTTGAAACGTGCATATCTCTTGTCTTTTACCAGTTTGTTCATAGTATTTATTCAATGCATAAGATGCTCGTATCATCGGATCACAGTCACTGTATTTCCCGTATTTACCCAATTTCCCATTTGCATTAATCTCTTCGCAATCAACTTTGAAACAAAGATCCTTGAGTAGACTTTCTTCATCAAATGAACCAGTATCCACCACAACACAAGACAATGATTGCAACAAACACTCACACTTACCGGAATCAGGAGTTGGGGGCAACTCAAGCGACACTTTCCAAATATCTGATGGCACATTGCAAGTCAATCCCGGACGTACTTCAACTTGATCAATTGGCACACCAATAGGATTCACCGCACTGAATCTTGTTTTCAACGTATCAAAATCAGGCAATTTGGCAATTGTCCCATCTTTTTTATTCTGAATTACTCCGTAGTGGTTAACTTCTTCGAAATACTCGTATGTAATACCACCAGACCATGTTTTCCTCATGGTTGATCCAAACAATGCCTCAACTTCAGTAAATGGTCGCGGAGTAATAATATTGCAGCCAAATTCACTGAAAAACACCGGCGCTGGATAATTTGCAAATACAGCGGTTAATTCACGATACCCCGACGTCATGTAAGTAGAGTACCCGCACCACTCGTACACGTTAATGGCAAAGAAATCAGACTTGGAGTAGTCCGCAACATCATTGGAGTAAAGGTCACATACGAAATAATTGGCCAAATATGCTCGGATCGACGCATCGTCATTTGACGCATACCCCACTGGTATTTGTCTATACCCTTGGTCAGCAATGTGCTTCTTCACATCTCTAACTGCACTTCTGACAAAGGGCACAGCATCGACATTCAGTTGAGAATTAGCCACTTCATTCCCTGCGAAAAACCCTAAAACATTATCATATTTCGCCAAAGCATCAACTACCGACAAGTACCGCATCAACAACTCAGTGTCCCACCTCGGGAAATCCCGTCTGATGGAAACATAAGGCTCCGACAAATCAGCCAAGATGTAAATACCAGCTTCTGCAAACGCATCCATACAAACATCATGGTTGGCAACCGGGTTGATTTGATAAATTCGCACAACATTGACACCAAGTTCTTTCAAATACTGCAAGTCGCGCAAACACGTGAATGGGTTGGCCAAGGGGTCGACGTAGTTGGTTTCGGTGGTTGTGTCAAACACTTCGCCTTCTTCGCGGGATTTTTGGTATGCGATACCTTTAATGAAAAATTGCTGGTTGGTTCCGGTGTTGTAGAACTTGTTGCCGACTACTTTGATGGGGTGGAGTTTGGTGAAGGTATCGGCATCTTGATCAAGTGCTGTGGATAGGACGATGGTCGCTAATGTGATTATGAGTGTTAGTGATTTCATTGTTGCATGAAAGAAACGGTTGCAAATGGGAAACCCAAAAAAAAGAGAAAAAATAAAAAAGAGAAACAGAAGTGTCATAAGATTATTATTATTACATACATACATTAAAATATTTCATACAAGTGTTTAAACTCCTTCTTGCCCCTGCACTCAAGCATATAAATCTCACCGTCGCTAATCTTGATCAATAATCCAGCCTTGCCTATTCTCTCAATAGTTTCCTCTTTCCTATCATCAGAAATCACCCAACTGATCGAATCTCCACCCCCAGTCAACTGCAAATGATGCACCACTTGCTGGTGATCAATGATCCTATCGACACGTAAATCCATCATCGATATGATCTTCCAAGAAGAAGGACTATTGCGTTGCGCATAAGAATGTAGTTGTTTTTGTAAACGTATAGTCATTTCAATTTGTCTGGTGTGGAGTGCGTTGGGGTTGTTCAAAATACACGCCTTTGACAACTCATCTGCATTTATTGAGTTGGAAATTGAGCTCAAGCTGGTGTACGTAGATGATTTGCTCGGATTATCCATCAAGGATGATGACAATGTGTTGTTTGATGCTTGATTGGAAGAGTTTGTCAATGAGTGGTGGTTGTGGTTGTGGTAGTGGTGATGATGATGATGATTTCGAGATGATTGCGCAAATGAGTCGATGCATTTTTGAAGATTGCTGGCAATTTCTGTAGTGAGGGTACCTTTAGAACACCTAATCATGATTTGCATGGTTTCATTGTTAATTGAATTCTTTGCTTGAATCTGTAGATCGGATCCCGATGACAATCGCAATTGCGTGGACGTGTTCAAGTCAAGTAGTAATACCGGTTTATCGACCACATCGTCCACTTCTTCGTCGTACTCCTCTTTGAAAATAAGAAACCAACCTTTCTGGGCTTCCTCGTTGACGCAAATTTTGACAAAAATGTTTTCCGAGGCAGTTATCATTTCCCATTTGCCGTATTGTTGCTTCCATTTGGAGATCTTGATTGCCTTTGGCGATGATTCGGAAATGTAGTCGTCAGACGTTTTCTCCAGGTTAATGGCATCTTTCAATTCCTGCGGTATGAGCAAGTCGTCTTGTTTGGCAATACTAGTTTCGGATGCATTGACGGGCTGCTTAAAGAAATATGTGGATGTTGAAGATGGTAGTGCAAACGGTGCTGGAATCTTTGAAACCGATCTTGTCATTGTTTTTTCCGGATTTGCATCATCTTCATCCACCTTTGTCTCCCCCTTGAGAAGGGTAGGTTGCTGAGGCAATTGCAATTCCTTTCCATTTGAATTAGCATTCTGGATGAAAGTTTCTTCCAGTGGTGACTCCTCTCGTAAATCCACTTGAGAAGACTTTTTGAAGAATGTAAACATGGATTTTCTGCGTGATGTTTTCTTGTCTGCGTACCCTTTGAATGAAGGTTGATACGATTGACCAAAGTTACCAATGTCAATAGCAGAGCCAGTTGACAATTGGTAGATTTGTGGCTTTGCTCTTAAATCTGGCGCCGAAGCCACATTGTTTCGGTATAATTGACGAGTTTCAACTGGTTTTGCAACAGAGTGAGAAACAACGGGATGATCCGTGGATGGTGAACTCTCTGGTGAGCAGTATTCTGCTTGATATGACTTTGGTCTTAACTCATCATTCAGATAATCGTCAGAATATTTTCGTTGATTGATGATTTGAAACAATTTTTCATCATCTTCGTAATCTTCTTCACCATTTCGTTGCCCGGTGATAACCTTTTTCATAATTGGTAAAGATTTGTCATATTGAGATCTAATGGATTCCAAACTAGCTCTTGATTGCACTCCTAATGGTGCAGGTACTGTTGGAGGCAACGAAGTTGGAGTTGGAGGGTCGTAAAGTTCTTGGAATGAGGCGGGACTGTCTGCTTGTGGGAGAATGTGTGACTCCTTCGGTGCGAGTTCAGCATCCGAGACTATATTGATACCCAATCCCGACATATTGTAAGAGCTGGAATCCGAGTGGATCAAAAACTTTTCGCTCATTGGGGAGGAGGAGCTGTTGTTGCTGTTGTTATTATCACGTTTCAATGGACACAATTTCGAAAGATATTTGGCCCATTTTCCACACAATACATCATCTTCAAACTGTATCAGCATGGATTCACCACCGAGATCCTCCGTCGACAGGAAGTTTATAGCTTTCAATTTAATAGTATGAGACGATATACGTGAAAGGGTTAATTCGTTGACTCTAAAAGGTGGGTATTTCAACGATTTATAGGAGGAATCGCTGTCCTCTTGAAAGTGATGGTCCTGGTGATGGTGATGGTTGGCCTTGCTCTTGATTTCCAAAACAGCCAATGCATTGTAATCTCCAGTACAAAGTAAGTCTAAAAGCAACAACTCAATTTGAGCTCCATTGAGTGAAACATTGGCATGAGCAGTTCGTTTCAAAATTTGGCTGATTTTGAAGTAGCTTGATACAAACTCCTTGTGTTTGAGTGCAGTAGAGCTTGTGAATGGTTGTATTTCAGAAAACCGAATATTGTTCAATTCTTTTGATTGTGATGCATCTTGATAATTGTTGTATATTGCTCGTAAATGTTTTGAAATTGTTGATAGTTTCTCAAGTATAAATGGATTTCGTAAAAATTGAGTACACTTGTCAATATGGCAGTAGTAGTCCCTTAAGTTGTTGACGGGAGAAATGAGTCTTTTCCTAGTTGCGGCATCGTCAATCGCAACGGTATTCAACTGAGCAATGTATTTTTCAAATAAAAGCAAGTTACCATCTTCCATCCATAGTATTAAATCGTTAATAAATGTTTTGAATTTATCCATTTCAAAATTGGCATTGACAAAACCAACGGTCGTTTTGGAAATGAGCGATAAAAGTTGGTTGTTTTTGGTATATAAGCCTCTGACTATAGATGAAAGGGTGGATGAAGGTGTATTTGGTGAAGGTGGTAAGTTTGATTTCAATTGTTTGGCTATCCCAAGTATTTCAAGTAGGTCATTGTTTTGTAGGGACACAGTTTGGTGGAAATTATCCAACAAAGTCTTGATGGCTTGCATTTGCGATGAAGACATATTGGTGGAGATGAAAAGTAAATGAATGGAATACCAAAAGTAGATTACTATTGGCAGTGTTGAGAAAGAAGGAGATGTGAGTAGTTCTGTCTGCTGATGTGTGGCTAATGTATATAGATATATAGATATGAATGAGATTCAATAGGTTTATATATATATATATAAGTACATGTATGGCAGTGTATATAATTAGCCCAAAGGGGTTAAATTGAAGTGTATTGTTGCAGTTCTCTTTTGTGTAAGTAAACAAAGGCAAAGACGCGATATTTTTATTTTATTTTTTCTGTCTGTCTGTTTTTATTTTTGTCTGTTTGTTTCTGTTTGTTTCTGTCATTCGTAAAATTTCGCGTTTCTCCGAACGCTCCCCAGCCATTGACCAAACTTTCTAGATATCAAGAATCCTTAGCTATCAGTTATATAACAACTAATATACACTATCTCCACTATTGCTGCTACTAACAAAAGAGAGAGAGAGAGAGGGATCTTCAACGACTTAGTATCCATCAATTTTCAACTAACCATACAAAGTTATTCTAACTCACTTTCAAGATCAGTACTCTCTTGTAATCACCCACTGCAACACTTGCTCTATCCCGTCCCCAGTCTTACCACTAACCAACTCAATATTCCAATGATCTCGCTCAGGAATAACCTCTTCCAACAGTAAAAGCTTACTCACCTTATCCTTCAACTGTTTTAACTCACTCTTGGCAACTAAATCAATCTTGTTGATTGCAATCACCAAATACACCCCCACTAACCTATCCTGTTCAATAATCTTGTCATGCAACTCTTGATACGACTCTTGGACTCGCTCTACACTAACACCGTCGATAACCCACAATACAACATCAGTCTTGTCAAAATAATTACTCCAAAATGCTCTCAAACTGGTTTGTCCTCCAATATCCCACATGTTTATTGTATAATCTCGGTAAGATAGTGACTGGATTTGAAATCCCATGGTTGGTGATATACCATCCACATCCTCTTGGAACATATTCTTGACAATTGTTGTCTTGCCTGAATTATCTAGTCCTAAAACTAACATTCGTATCTCTTTATCTTTCCGTTTCTGGTTTCTAATTATTGTTAGGAGCCCCATCTTTAAGTTTGTATTGAATATCTATTAAAGAGGGAGATGTCATCACACGAGCATCTTGAATTGAATAGAACCCCAATTCCAGACAACAGCAAAATCCTTGAAAGAGCAAAAAAAAAAAAAAAAAGAAAGATTATTTTTGTTTATGATCGCAACCATCTCGACTTTCAATCCTGAGAAATTTTGCCATTAGCTGCAAAAGAAAGAGAGAAGAAGAACATAGCTTTACCACGAGATACAATAGAAATGGCATACCACGTCACATAAATGCATCATGGTTGAAGTTACGGACAATAATAGCCCAAAAAAGCAAAGAGCACAGAGATCTATATACGATTTCACTCAGGCACATATTGTCAAAACTGAAGATTCGCTAATAGATGACACGCGATGCGAGCAAGTTAAACAGGAAAATGATACAAACAATAGTAACTTTGCGTTTGGAGCTGCTGAAACGGTGAAGGTAAAAATGGAGCCTGTTGTTAAAGACGCAACGGAAACAAGTGGGGACAACATCAAGGTCAAACGAGAAGTCAACATGGAAACTCTTGATATTGATTCTTCAGTTCTTTTCCAACAACTAACTACACCTCAAGAACATCAAGAGAACACACTGAAATCATCTATATCCCATGAACTGCGTGTGCTTTGTCCAGTATGTGAGCTTGACATATCGTCGTTGGATATTAGAGAAAAGACCGATCACGTAGACACGTGCCTTGTACGCGTCACGTATGTCGATGAGAAGCCAAGTACGATAATAGCCACTACCTCTACACAGACTCACAACAAGAACTCCACATCGCCCGATAAAAGGGTTTCCTCAATCACATCAAATGGTAAGAAGAGAAAAGTTGAAAAGGAAAAGATACGATATATCAATACCGAAACAAATACAGAAAAGAAGCCCAAAATAATCAAACCGCCAACCGCTCCTGCAACCCCATCCCCCTCCACATCACGTCGAAGCGAGATCTCAGTCTTGAAGACTATGACTTTCCCTATTGACAAAAAACTGCAATCAAAATACCAAGTATCTGTTGACGCTTTTTCCTTTGCACCGCACGCAGTCATTGACAAATACTTCTTGACTCATTTCCATGCTGATCACTACGGAGGTATATCTAAAAAATGGGCGTACGAGCGTGTTTTCAAGAATGACACAGATTACGAGGATGATTCCAAATACAAGCGAACCATTTACTGCACTGAAATCACAGGAAAATTGCTAACATTGTATTTTTCAATCGATCCTCGTTTCATCAAGCATATGGCTATGGACACGCGGTATAAAGTGAAAGATTATGGTCCAGTGGATGTTAGTGATGGTGGTGGGGTTAGTGATGCATGCTCACCTGGGTTGTATGTGACCCCAATAACGGCAAATCATTGTCCTGGAGCTGGGATATTTCTTTTTGAGTCTATTGGATTGGATGGAAATGTACATCGAATCCTTCATTGTGGTGATTTTAGAGTCAATATGACCATTTTGGATCATCCTTTGCTCAAACCATTTAGCGTGGCATCTCAAAAGGTTGAAGAGTCATTGAAAATTGATAAAGTTTATTTAGACACAACTTATATGAATCCTACTTACAATTTCCCCAAACAGGAATTAGTATGTGACACCGTTGCTGAGTTGTTTGATCACTTGACAACTCAAGAGGACAATAACCCAAGTAATAGCTTGTTCAATACTTGGTTTGGCATGTCGACACAAAGGAGAATCACTGATTTCTGGAAGTTTCAATCTACTACCCCTACCACTATCACCACCACCACGACCATAACGAAGAAGAAGAAGAAGTTTTTGATATTGGTGGGTACGTACGTGATTGGAAAGGAACGGTTGGCAATTGCGATTCTGAAACGGCTTCAATGCCCCATATACGCGCTGAATATTAACAACAGAAAGAACAAATACGATATACTCAAGATCTACGAGGATGAATACTTGGATCTGGTGCTAACTGATGACGAAATTGGTGAAAATTCCGAATCAGATTGCGTTGTTCACCTTGTCCCCATGAATATCGTGGGTTCAATTCAAGAACTATCCAACTACTTTAACCATAATCGGTACTATGAATCATTTGAGCGTTGTGTGGGCCTACGACCTACTGGATGGAGCTTTGCCCAAAATGGGGGGAAGCAGGATCTGACCGAGCCAAGAGAGACCGAACCACTGGAATCAATCCAACCTACTTCTCTTCAAGCTGTCGCCGACTTGATGAGACACAAAACAACATACACTTACACAGACAATATCCTATCACAAGCCCCCAAGAACAAGGGCAAACACAAACCCGACCAAGAATTGTATCGCATATATTCACTTCCATACAGTGAGCATTCGTCGTTTCGAGAATTGGCGTACTTTGTTGTGTTTTTCAATATCGGTCAGGTTGTTCCTACGGTCAATTGCCACAATGTGTTCAATTTGAAGCGTATGGAATCGATTATTGCAACTTGGGAACAGTTACGGCGTATCAAGACGGGACATTTGATTGACACTGATAAGCATGTTATTGCTCCTGAATTGGTTGAGCAAGTACAAAACTTGTCGTTAGATTCATTCTAGAATATATAAAATAACACACTTTGTATATATATATGTATAAAGAGATGACGGGGTATCGCGTGTCATTTTCTCTTTCTTCATGCTTCTGAATTTTCTCAAGGTTTCTTTACTTTTACCTGGTATGAGTTCAAAATCTCTTCACATTCTGCTGGCAGTTTACAATCGTTCCATTGAGCAACAAGATCCCCTTCCTCATAAGTAGCACCAATTGCATCCTTATCTTGTGAATCTGCCCCCGCATCAGCAGCAGCAGCATTAGCACAGATAGTTCTAGCCGGCACCAATGCAGTCTTGCTCAACACAAATGGATGCCATTGCAAAAGATGCGTCAAGGCGGAATCGGGCCCATAGGGGAAACTTTGATAATTCAAATAAAGGTCATTGCTCCAGACTTCCGTAACTGCTCTGCCCACAGGTCCATTCCTAATTACAAACGATGTAGTTTCAATTTTTTTGTCCGATTGCGTAAATATCAATTGGGTATTTTCAGCTTTGATGCTCTTGTACGTCTTGATCACACCAGTCTTGGGTATCAAAGGCTGATCCCTCAACATTTGCGCATTCAACACTTCCAGGTTCAACAACGTCTGCTGCACATTCATCGTCATATCCATCACAAGTCCATCTTGATCAAAGTACCAAAACCACTTGGCATGAGGAAACGCAAGCATGGCAGCTCGCGTACAAAACAACCTCACCCATTTGGCCCTTTCCTTATCTGTCAATGCAACCATTGAGTTCAACTGCGGGATGAATTCTTGTGCCCATCGCACATACACTCCATATTTCTGAAAATGGGCATAGTCAACGCGATTCTGAACAATCTTGGCCAACGCTTCAGTCGAGTACTTGTCGAAATCAACAGCAGTGACAATAATCACCTCGGGATAATTCTTTAGGCTCTTTGGTTTAAACACAACCCGATCCTGGTTCTTGAAAAAGTTTTTAGCCTTCATGAATTGATCCTTTTCATTCTCATCCTTCTCCTTCAATTGCTGAACAGTAGGATCCGGATTATCGAGCACGCTCAACGGTTGGAAAACGGTCTTATCGCCGACTTTTGTCGTATGGACAAGTTTTTGTCCAGTCAATTGCTTCAAAAGTGGCGCCTGTTCAATGGGGGGATAAATATACTTTGATGAATGCTCAATAACGTGTTTGCTGGAATATGGATGCGGTGGTGGATAATGCGGTGCAGAAGACGTACGGAAGATGGTTGATATGATTGAAAGTGGAGCCAAGAAGTACCATGTTATTAAAACCCCGAGTATTACCAAAGGTAGGCTTCGGCGTTGATTGAGTTTATTGAAAGTCGCGGGTAAAGGTAGGTACGACTGATTGGACTTGCCGTATCGAGGTTTGAATGCATTTGATTTGCCAAACATTGTATAAAATTGACAGCCAGACTGCTCCGAAAGGCGTAGGTAGGTGTATGTTCAGAATGTAGCTAGTTGATAAGGTGCTTGCAATTCAGAGGAATTTTGATGTCCGGATCAAATCTTTTCCTAATTCTTTTTTTTTCTGTTTTCTTTTCTTTTTCTTTTTAAAAAAAAAAGTTTGTTTTTAGTTTTACTTACAATGACGTCGGAGCTTTTCCTGATCTTCTTCTATTCTATACAAAGCTTTTCAAATACTGAAGTCTACTTACTTTGGATGTTCCTTATTTATCCGATCTTCGATCACCTGCAAGGCAATTTGCCGTCTTCTTTCGGCCACCGAACTGGCAATACTCTTGTTACTTTGATTCACCTGTTCCAGTCTCTTTTGTGCTCTTGTATTACTTTGTTGAACCGTTTCATCGTTGAATGGCGTTACAATTCCCAAAAGTACCGAAAGTTCATAAACTTGGTTGAATATGGGACCTAGGTACGGTTTTGTCACGGTAGGGAAGAACTCAACCAATTGGAATGTATCAGACGCATCTCCAATCAATACTGAACCAGTGCTAGAGTCGTTGGAACTAACTGGCAAAATTGGATCCGTACGCAATGCTTGGAAAAATCTCAAGTAGACGAATGAAGCAAAGAAACTCACTGTGGATGGCACTGCAGGGTACAACGATCTACTAATAACGGCGGACCAAACACTCAAAAAAATTAACAATGCAAATGGCAAATGCTTCACTCTAAAGTTGACCAATCCTTGAAACAAAACAATATTGTGCTCGGGAATCAATTGCTTAAACACAACGAGGAATCCAAAATAGTACGAGATCCCACCACCCAATGGTGAGTTCATATTCTTGGCATCTTCTCTAATCAAGTTGGATATAATGGCAATCAAAACAGTGATCAAGTTGGTCACACTTCCCAACACAAACACGAACTTAATCACTTCAACACGCCCCCAAAACTTCTCAACAAATCTGCTGCCGATAAACAAGACCAGGAATGAAAAAATAAACGATACGATAGATACCTCTGCAAATATGGCCAGCGCAATCACCCATGGATGGAACAAAGTAGTGCTTGGAACCAATTGGATATACGGTACCAAGATTTCATGAAAATTCAATTCCTCAGATCCACCTGCCGCTTGCGAGTCTTTGTAAATTCGATACTTGATGACAAACAAAAACGCGCTGATTGTAGTTAGAAGTCCCAACAAGATCTCCGTAGATAGTGGGATGTCCTTGCCTCGTAAGAAACTCATTGTGGAGTGTATGTAGCTGTTGTTATGGCAGTGGTCCTAAGTAATCCCTGGTCCCTGAAGATTGTCTGTTGTGATTTTTCTTCTCTCTCTCTTTCTTTCTCTCTCTCTTTCTCTCTACATTAGGCTCCTCTCAACAATACAAAGTGATTCTTCACTAATTTATCTATAAATATCAAACTTCAAAACTAAACAAAATACACAATAGCTGGATTATTGAACCCACCTATCTGAACCACCAACGCTTATCTAAAATCATTTGTGGAGTAAGCAGTAGTTTTACCTGTGTATCTTTGACTCAAGTAAGACCATGTGTATGACTTTGGTCTCATAGTACCAGTATCATTGTTTGATACATTTCTTGGTTGGAACAACCCAGCAGTAATTGAACCCTTGGATCCAATGTTGGCGAATTGATCCATGCTGATAGCTTGTGAGGCAACGGCTGGAGCAACAATGATAACAACAATCAAGACAAGCACAGCGCAATACAAGGTAACGTATTTTCTCACCATTCTCTTTCTCAATCTGGCTTGCTTCAATGAGTAAATTGGTGGTCTGATCAACCTAGATGGCTTCAACCAAAACAACATCATCGAGTGCCATCTATCAATCAATGGAATAAACAAGATTGGGAATTGACAGAACAAGATAATGTGAGCCAAAATGAAATCACCCGCAAACTCCGACATCTCAACGATCTTGGCAACAAACTCACGACTTGGTTGGGTGAATGCCATCCATCCCATACCCGTGTTGTACCATTTACCAGTCCAAAATGCAGTGTTGGATTTATCATTCTTGAATTCCCTAGTCAAGAACGCAAGCGTCAAGAATTTGAACAATAATCTTTGCACGTATATCATGGTGGCAAGACCCAATAACATTCTGGAAAAGTTGAAACCTTCAGTGACCCACATGACAATGAAAAAGACAATATGAACAATGACGGCAATTCCGTGAGCAATACCTGCAATAACAGCACCAGTCTTCTTACAGCACAAGCCCAACATTGGACCAGCGCAACAAGCCATACCAACACATCCAAACAAGACACCGCAATCAATAACGACTGGGGCTAATGAACAAATGACAAGTCTCAAAACAGAATTGACTTTTTGTACATCAGTAGACCCAGCAACCTCATAAGGATAGTTATATACACCTGTTTGAGCATTGATGAATGTATAGGCAACGAAAAGACCAGCAGTGTAAATCAAGGTTGGAAGGAAATCGGCAAACAAAATATTGGATCTATGGGCTCTTGAAGCGTCACCAGCAGCCTTTTCTGAAACATCTCCAGTCAACTTACGCTTGAAACCAGTAACACGAGATCTCGAAAGTCTAACGTAACCGATCCATGAGTTTCTGTGCCATTTGGTGTTACCTCTTGACAACCATCTAATAAAGTCTCTGTAGTCAATGAAAAAGTCTTCCCAAGCAAATTGATGTGGGTTGAAAATAAATGGAGCGAAAATCAAAGAAGACAATGATGCCCAGAACCACAACAATGGAGCTTGCCAATGAGCAACTGTTCCAAAGAGCAAAATCAACATCAATCTAGCACCCATGTAGATGGAAGAATCAGCAAAACGTGAGTACAAAATGGAGAATGGGATTCTTGAAGTTGCAAAACCTCTACCGGTTGAGATATACCTGGCACCACCAACAGTCAAATCAGTAAAGACGGATGATGAATAGATTTGAGCAACAAACACTTCAAACATTGGTGACAACGAGACAATATGTCTAACGAATCTTTGAACAGCTTTCCAAACACCTCTTTCAATCAACTCTTGAACAACCAAAGGAATGAACGAAATGAAAAAGACAATGAAAATGGACAAAGTATAACGTCTGACCCAGTCAACCGCAGGAGCAATGTTGTAACAACCGAATGGATACAACACATCAGTAACAGGAACGTCTCTATCATAGGAACAAATAATCGATTCATGTGCCAACGAGTTCAAGTTTGCCAACACCAACATGAAAACTTGTAAAGACAATTGAATAAACAAGTTATTAATGTGGAAACCTGGATGACCGTAGTAGAATGACAAGAATCTATCCAATGGCAATTGAGTAGACAAGTAGTAATATTCTCTCGACAACATTTGTTCACCCATACCAGCACCAATCTTGGTTGTGAAATTCAAAATGGATCCGAACCCCATATCTCTTCCTTTACCACATTGGTAGTATTCACAATGCTTGATCTTACCACCTCTCATCATGGCATTCATACCAGCATAAATATCCTCGTTCAAGTGCAACCCTTTTTGTGCTTTGGAAACACCACCTCTAGTCAACATGAATGTAGCATTCAAGAAATCAGGATGACCATAATGCAATTTACCACCAATTTGAGCCAAGGTCCTTGCAAACAAAGTACCGAAAGTTTGTTCTTTACCGGCTGCAACATCACCCAAAACACCAGAGTTTTCAGAAAAGATATATTCTCTAGCACCCAAAATGGCAACAGGTGCCTTCTTTTCGTTCAATGGGTCTTCAGACTTCAAGTCAGGAGAGTATGGGTTGACATGTTCGACATTCAACTCTTCGAATTCAGCCAAAACGGATCTAATCTTCAAACATTCTTCCAAGTAGTTATCTTGATTGGCATCAATCAATTGAATGTACTCACCTCTGTGGAAAATAATAGCATGGTTTTGGTTATCAGACTTACCATCACCCAAGATTGGGTTACCAGACAATTGGACTCTGAATTTAGGACGACGTCTACCATTCTCCAACATTTCACAATGACCATCAATCAAAGCAGAGTAAACTCTTGGTTCTTCGTCCTCATTCAAAGCTGGTTCTTCATCCAAGAAAGCAATTTGCAAGTCTGGGTAAGCACGCAATAAGAATTCAGCATTCTCCATTTCATCGTCCTTGAACTTAGACAATCTTTGCATCGATACCAAAAATCTAAACTTTCTTCTAGCCATTTTCTCCAAAGCCAATTCCAACCCTTCTGGATCACCGCCGAAATATTGAACCAATTCTGGATTCTCAACTCTGTACAAAAGCTTAATAGCTCTGGCATAGTTCATGAAACCGGAAACTGTTCTGTATAAAGTTTGCGATCTCAATGAGGCCCAGATTCTTGTTCTCAAAGTGTACTCAGGAGCAGCAGACTTGAAACCAATGCAATAGAATGGCAAGTCATCAATCTTTGATTTCAATCCATCCTCTGACTCCTTTTCAGGGTCTTCTCCATTTTCATAAGCAGCTGTTTCTTCGGCCAAAATCTTTGTATCCTTGACAAAACAATCCCACTCTACCGGATGCAACTGTTTCAAGTATTCCAACAACGTAACTCTTGAGAACTGGTCATCTTCCCTGATGATTTCTCTTAATGACAACAAGATCTTTTCAGAGTAATGTGGAGTGAAAACAGTGAAAGTAGGCATGTTATCAACAGGGACAGGCTCGGGCATTGGTGTAGCCAATGATTGCGCAAAGAATGAAATTCTTCTTTCGGCTTCGGAGTTTCTTGGGAAGTATTCAGTTTCAAAGTTGTTGTCATCTTGAGAAGCAAAGAAAGTGGGTGCTCTCAAAGTTCTCTTACCTTCAATTTCAGATGGAACTTGATGGTACAACAATTTTTGAACGTGGTCAATAGCTAACAAATGTTCTCTGTACATGGAAATAACAATGGCGTTCCAAATTTGTGAAATAAGAACCTTTGGTTTGTACTTGATCTCCATTTCAGTAGTGGCTAAAATCTTTGAGTAGATTCTCTTTGGCAATCTGGTGAAAATGTTTCTCCATGGTGTCAAGATTGAAATACCCAAGTAGAATGAACGACCAATGGAAAAGATACAGTTACAGATAATGTACCACAAATAAGTATCCAAAAAGAACAACAACAAGTCAACAGCATACATCAATCCCAATACAATCTTGGTTTGTTGCTTACAAACAACATCACCGTACCAAACTTCACCAGTACATCTCATTGTGGTCTTTGACAAGTTTCTGATAGCATCTCTCAACGACAAAGTCAAGAAGAAGTAAGATTCAACCAACTTGGCAAGGAAAACAACAACCCACAACAAGTAAGACATCCACATGTCCAACCCTCTCAACTTGACAAAGCTGGCTGTGAAAGTTTGTGACGAAATGTATCTCCTTGAGCGTTTGTTCATATACGAGGTAAACAACCCACCCAATGGCATGAGAGCAAAAAACACAATCGTTGCCACTGCGATGAAAAATCCAACAATTGAAACGGCATATGCAGATTTGGAATACAACGTTAATCCGGAGATGTAAAAAGTGTACACCACTGGCACCAAGTTCAAAAGGAAAATCAAAATCAAAAACACCAAACGACGACTCAAATGCTGAGCACCTGCCCACTCTCTAGGAACAAACATCCACTCAAAAAGTGTAGCAAGGATTTGAATAAACGCAGCAATGACACCACCAATGGCACAGGCAGCCCATCTTGACGAGGCAAGTGGTTGTTGGTTAATGGTTTGAACATAGTGTTTTGTGTAAACAGATGGGGAGTTGTAGGCAGTATACATCCAGTAGATTGATCCATGAATGATCCAAATTCTGTTGAAGTTGGTAACAAAATGCAACCAAGTTCTGATTTCTTTATAAGTTTTGAAAAAGACGTTGCTCCATTCAACCTCACCCAATCTCAAGTAACGCTCTTCTTTAGGAATATCAATCAATCTCGTACCATCAGTGAAAATGATTCTTGACACACCTTCAGGGTACCAGAACAATTGATTAACGTCATCGTAACCAATAACCTTGTTGTGGTCCTTTTCACGCTTGACAAATCTACCTTCGTAGATTTCGTAAACTTGAGATCTGAGGAATCTGTACAATGGAGTGATGACACGATTCAAATAATCACCTTCTGGAACTGGTTCTTGTCTTTGTTGGCACAAAGGTGATTCCAAGTAGTCAACAGCAGTTTTGTAAAGATAACACAAACATTCTGGAGTAAAACGAACTTGATTGGCTTCACCCCACAACAACAAATAAAGAGCAATATCACGAACTCTTTCTTCTGGTGTCAAGGTGTTCATTCTGGACTTCCATCTAATTTCAGCAGCTTCCAATGAATAATCACCTTCCAACTCATTGGCTAAAGCATCGGCATCAGCACCGTGCTCCTCGGCAGCTTTTCTAGCTTTCTTGGACTTCTTGGAAGCCTTTCTTGCCTTTCTACCAATCTTTCCCAAAGTCATGTTGGCAAAACCTAAAGTATCATCCAAATCTTGTTGTGAGGAAAAGAACCATTTTCTATAATTTGCATTCTCACCTCCAATGTAGTCAGCGTGCAAACTCAACAAAGCTTGAGCTGGAGCCATACGAGAAGATCTCGAATCCAACAACGTCATAAAGTAATCAAACATGTTTCTCATGGAGTCTCTTTGGAAACCAAACTTGTTTGTTAAATCAATGAAAATGTCCTCAATATGTTCAATCTTGATTGGTGCTTGTGGATCAGCAGACCAAGCTGGATAAGGCAAGTTCGATGATACTTGAAATTGAGTTGGATCATAGCCCAGGCCCTGAGCACCATAGATAGGCGTCGAAGCTCCCGAAGATCTTGGATCACCATAACTCATTTGTGATGGGGTGTATTGTGTTCCATATTGGTCATACCCAGGTGTGCCGGGAGCTTGACCATTGTAACTAAAGTCTGAAAAAGCTTCTGGATCAGCATTGTAGCCTTGTGCATTCATTGGATGAGCTCCATATTGGTTTGGATCATTGTACCCATCCACGTCATATGGTTGTTGATGGTATTGAGCATTTGGATCGTAGTAGTCTTGTTGATGTGGTTGTTGGTTAATATCATCATAAGGTTGTTGTGGTTGTTGTTGACTCATATCGTAAGGTTGTTGGTAGTACCCCTCTTGAGGCACACCACCCTGCTGATTAGGGTCGTAGTAGTTGTGATTATTATCGTTATACGACATCTAAAACTGTTAGTAATCCCGTTATCACTATGCGATCGACGAGCACCTCAAATTAAAGAAAAAGAAGACACGATATGAAGGTGTATGTTATTGGAATCGAGCGGGACGAAAAGTAAAAACTAGACTGTTTGATGTAATGAAGCGATTGTGATTTCAGTCCTTTCAAAGCTAACCTCCAACGTTTTCTTGATGAGCTGATTCCGTTGAAGATATCCCAGATCAAGTGTAAAATGTGTGAAGGTGAAAGTAAAAAAAAAATAAAAACCGAATGAAAGTGAACGAAATCTAGAAAAAAAGGTTCCCTGTTTAAAAAAAAAAAAAAAAATCCACAGCCCGATTTCAGATGTCAAAAATTTATTTTACTTTCAGGTTTGTTTGTTTTTTTTTTGTACGTTATCTTGGGCTATTATTCTTTTTATTGGCAACAGACACACACACACGAGTAACACGTTCTGTTCTTTGTGTTTGTAAAAATAGAATTTTTCCTCGAAGAAAACAAAAGTGTTTAGACAAATCGGGTTGAATGGGATAATGTATGTAATGCAAGATGGGTTATATTGTAATAGTAGTAGTAGTAGTAGTAGTAATGATTTTGTTGAACTGAAAGGGGATGCACAATAATAGCAACCATAAAAAAATTTCTTTTTGTTTTCTTCTTCATATTCAACTATTGTTTCATGTTTGTGTGTTGCTCTTTTGATTTTGAGACACGAAGAATTTCAACACCAAAAAAATGAAAAGGTAGCAGTGGTATAAGCACATGATGGCTATGGCGTGCAAAATTGGTTGTCCATTGAACTTTGCTTTTCCTTGAATGCTGTATGTGCTATGCACAAACTGTAAGAGCTTCCTTCAATATAATTTGCAAACTGCAGCATCAAGCAGTTAGGTATGCAAAAGGAACAGAAAGGTAGTGTGTGGATTCCAATTCCTGTATGTAGTCGAGAAATTACTCAAAAACATAATTGTCTTTCTCTCCCCCCCCTTAAAGTAAAAATATCAATTTTTTTTTTATTTTTTTGGCAAAATGACACTACTTTGGTTGATGGCAGTGAGAACCAGAACTTCACCATCTAATGAATTGAAGTACAGCTGTGGGTGCGTGTGTATACATGTGTGTGTGTGTGAAAATGAAAGTGTGCTTGGAAGTGAATATGTCTCTACCTCGTACCAGAATCTATCCTTTCTGTTGAAACATCCTTTCGAATTCTTTCTCTATTTTTAAATCATAAAATAAAAAAAAAATAAAAAAAAATTTACATACCTTTTAGTCAAGTGATGTTCCCGATCTCACTGTCTCTCGTTGTCTAGCAATTGAGCTTTCTCTAGCGAATGAATAAAAACGACTTCGATGAATTGGTCGATGGGAAAGTGATCCAGAAGTAAAAGATGTGTATTTGTTGTGATAGATAAACGTTCGTGGTAAAAAAAAAAAGGAAGAAGAGTAAAGTAAAAAGAAAAAAAGTTAACTTCAAATTATTCAGGAGTGGAAGTTTGAGATCAAAGCAAAAAAAAAAAAATAAAATAAAAAAAAAAGCTCAAATCTGCCAAAGAAAAGAGAAAGCAAACTATGAGGCAACAACGAGCGGATTTCGAGATAGATTCCGATTCCATTGGTTTCAGATTGATATATATCAATGTGTGTTTGTTGTATCCACAATACGATTCATATCATACTGAAATTGTTAACAATAAAGTTTCAATTAAGCTTTGTGGTGGTGGAAAAATGAGAGGCAGATTATCGACGTGAATGCCACCAAAATTCAAAGAAATATGCACCCAAGACTACGCTGATCTCTACTCATTAGCTCTAGCTTGCCGCCTATCTTGCGTGTTCCCGTGAAAACTTTAGCAACATTTTGCGTTTTGTGTATCTCACCCGAGAACAACTTCTGCTTAAACAACAACGCGTTCTTTAGATCATCGTTGTCATCGGCGTACAATTAGACACGGTCGATGTTTCCGTTATCAGCTTGACCCAAAAGTATGCCGGTGAACATATAACGTCGGCAAGGATAATTGCATCCGTGGGTTAATCGGCCCTTCGGCCTCAACTTTCACCTTGTTTTTAAAAAAAAAAAAAAGGGTTCAGTTGATTCCTACATTCTTCACACAACTCATTTGAACCCTAGTGTAGTTCCTCGATCAACTTTTTAGTTCTGGATCTCCTATGAAGAAATACGTGTAATGACACATTGCAATATTCATCTCGAGGCTTCTTTAATCTATCGGTGAACACAGCGCCCCCTAATTCATCCACAGCTAACTAAGCCACATTGAAATGCAAAAGACACGCTGAAACGCGAACACGCCCCTTTCACTTAAATCCTGTATATTAATATATCCTGCTTGCGTCACTTTGGTTTTGTGCTCTTACAATGGTGCGTGTTTTTCTAGTTTTATTTTTTATATTTTTTATATTTTTTTCTTTTTCAAAGCAGGTCGCCTTAAAATTGAGAAGTATCGTGTCTGTACCGAATTATAACCCAACGCGAAACTGACTGTCGAGAATTTCAGAAAAAGGCAATTACTTTTCCAAAAAGGGAAATGTGTTGTGTTTTGCTTGTTACATTTTTATTTCTTTTTATCCACGGCGCACGTAAAAACTTAAAGCGTTAGATCTGTAGTATCGTTTGACTTGAAGATTTGGAGAGATGAAGGTATAGTTGAAGCGACGTTTAAGGTAAGAAGAAGATAGATTGCATGCAGGCAACTTGGTATTTTAAGAAGTCAGTGATTACTACAAGTACTCAATTCAAAGTTCCATGGCATGCCACACACAGAAATATTTTCACTTCAATTTTGTGCAAAACTGGTTGCAAACTTTTATATTTGGCAATGTTCTCTCAACATTCGTTTGTACTTACAATTCCTACACTTGGTAAACTGGCTATTCCTTTCAAAATACAGAGCCTTTCCTACGAAAAATACAAAACAAGGAATGTCTAACATTGTTTGGAGAGCAGTCTCCTATATACCAGTTTTAGTTAATTCAGTACTTCTACTCCGTCCATCCAAGTGTCAGTAATTCAGATCTTATTTCATCCTCCTTTGAAATCTTCACCACTTGGGTATCTTCTAAAGGCTCGCCACTAGCTTGCTTCATCTTTAATTGTTCAATTGCCCTCAACTTTTTCAACAACGATCTAATTTTCTTCTCCTCTACGGAAACAACACCTCCAATCACACCCGCACCGGTGGAGTCAGGTGCTGGGGGAGTAGGAGTAGAGGTGCGCTCGCCACCAGATGTGGATGGAGCAGGAGATTCATCTTTGGACTTTTTAGCTTCTCTCTTCTTTCTATTTTTAGCAGCAGCTTTACTTTCCTTCTCAACAACTGGGGCAGCTCCAGGTACTGTTCTAACCCTAGCACCCCCGTTTCTCGACAAACCTGGTGGTGGTGTAGGTGGTGGGGTACCGTTTTTCAAGTTATTTTCAAGTTCTTTCTGATACAAGCTAGAGGCTGAACTCAGTGCAGCACCGCCACGTGCATGTGGCGGACGGTATGCACCAGCTGGCTTTTTAGCGGCTGAATTGGTTACTGCCTCACGTTTGGCAGTGTATTCCTTGGCAGATTCATGCGCTTCTGGAGCTGGCTCCAAGGTCTTCAATGGTGGGAAGAGCGATAAATCCTGTGGCTTCCATCCAATTGAATACAATTCAGGAAACTCTTTCAAATAGATGAGTTTCCCGCTGGCATGCCATACCTTCAAACCATTATCAACCCTCAACCTCGGGGAAGTAGTGGCTGTCAAAATGAAGCGACCACATGGAGACCATTCACAAACTGAAGTATTTGAAGCTTCGAATGACACAACTTTGGAAAACTTGTTTTGACGATCGTAAACATCAACAGTACCTTGCAAGTTTCCAAATCCCGCTACCAACACAAATTTGGCATGAGGTGAATACAAGATAGTATTTCTTGATGCTGTGGGCAAGGAATGAATAGCATTGCCTCTGGCATCAAAGAAAGTTGTTTCGGAAGGCATATAACCGTACGAAACTGCAAATTCACGAGCAGTTGGTGACCAAGTTATGTCATGGATTGGCCCTTCTTTAGTCAAATCAATTCTTGAGTTATAAGCACCAGCGATACCTAACAAGTAGAGGTTGGTTTCTCCATAGTATGACTTGTTCGAAGTATCGTGATCAGTTGATGCCAATGCTAATAATGCAGTACCCAATGAGTTCCATTTCAACGAACATCTTTCGGCTTTGAAAAAATTCTTGAAACAAACTGGCTGATTGAAATTAGGTATGTTGTAAATCAGCACATTGGCCGGCTTTCCTGATTTCTCTGGAATGAAAACAGCCACGCTAGGGTTTCTGCCTGGAGAAATCTGAAAGTTCTGGAAGGTTCCCTTGGCATCCTCAACCTTGTACTTGAAAGAAGGCTGGTTCATATTGATTGCGGCATCGCTATCAGCTTTCAATTCAAAAAATTGAATCTCACGGTTATTGAGCCCTCTACTCAACAAAGTCTCTTCACTAGTGAATTGAGGCTTCCACCCATTTTGGTGCTTAGCACTCCATTCAGCAACAATTGCTTTTGACTTGATGTTGAAAATTTTCAAGTTCTTGTTCCATGTTCCATCCTCTTTATTCAAAAGCACAGGCTTGCACCAAAGACACAAGTATGTTCCCTTTGGCGAAAAGCTTAAATCAAATACATCAGGTATGTCGATGCGATGATAAAGTTTAGCTAGACTTGAGGTGTCCAATATTACAACCTCTGTCGGCTGTGTATATGCAAATACCTGTCCATTACCTGAGTAAAGGGCACATCTGCACTCACTTTGCGCCTTCGGACTTGGAGTAATATCCTCAAAGTCTTGTATGAGTTCGACCGATCTAGGAAAACGACCTAGTGAATGTTAGTAAAGAATGTTCAGAAGAAAATAAAAAGGGACAACGACATATACATACAAAATAATTCAGTTGATGTCGACATTGTTTGTTAGATGATGAACTTGGGGGTCCTAACACGTATCAATTCAAAACACTTGCAACTGTGGACACTAGGTTGAACTGGTAATCGTTGAGTCTTTAGGGTGTTTGAATTTCTCGAAATATCGAAAGATCAGATTTTTTTTTATTTTTTTCTTCCCTATTTTTTTTCGGCGTCTTGACCTCTTTCGCCTTGACCTCTTTCGCCTTGACCCTGACTTATGGAGAGAAAACTCTGCTCATCATATGGGGATATTTTGGATGAAGATTGAATAATGTAACTACCCTCTAACTTCTATTCTAAATATACAAAGTCTTCCTCGACCTTCTTCTACTTTTTTTTCACCTCGCCGAAATTCAAATGCCCAGTTTGCTCAGCATGCTTGGATGCACCAAGTTCTCCAACCAATATCAGATAGCAGTCCAAACAACGTACCCTAAAAGTCGTTGTATTTGTACTGTAATCCTTTTCCTGTAGCAATTTACACAATTTCTCAGCACCTTCAATAATAGCTTTTTCCCTGAAGTCGTCGATCTGAAATAAGCACTCATCACGATCCTTGTTCTTTGTCGAGACTTCGTCACTAAGTGCCAAAATATCATAATGGATTCCACTATAGATCAACAATATAAACTTGGATGGCTTTTTTGCCTCATTCTCTATCTTGATGAAATTCCCCAGCTCTATGTCAATACAAGTGATGCGAATGTCGAACCAGTCGGCTAAAATGCCTAGTTCAATGGCACCACCCCAACTATCTTTCTTCAAAATCCATTGGCAATAATCGCTTCGAGGTCTGCCTAGAACTGTCTCAGAATATAGTTCTGGATCTTTGTCCACATAATCAACTACCACTTTTCTCAATTCTTGTGGCGGCGAAAACGTATTGTAAGAGTCGTAGCCTGAGATTGCGTACGATATTGAATTAAACAAGCAAGAATTGTCATCGGGGATGTTTCGTAGTATCAAGTACTTGTTCATCAGTTCTATGTATACAGCGGGGATATCCTCTCTCAAATCACGTTTCTTGTTATTAATAACATTCTGCGTCTCGTCTTCAGATCTGTTGAGTGGCGTGGCAGCGGTGTTTACATCCAGTCCTGGAGACAATGCACGCTTGTTCGATACAAAAGCTATACTCAACTGGTCTCCATCTTTGATATGCTTGTCTAGTAGTTTGGTGTCCTCGTCGTAAGTCAAGTCAATAGGTTTTGGTGGAAATCCTGACTTTATAACACTGATGGACTCCGAGATATCGGTATGTAGGTCGGTGTTGGTTTTGATGTCTGCGAGAAAATCTTTGAATAACCTGTCTTGGTCGACTCTGATTGTGGAGACGCCACTATCCGACTTTAGTTTCAACCTCATTGCAATACAGCCAACTCGTAATATTATAAAATGTTGGGAAAAGGATCGAAGAATTGGTGCGGGTGCAATAAAACGCCGCACTACAATCTTCTATCATACATCCAGAGAGATCTACAATTCCACTTTCAAATACAGTGACGACCATTTCAATATATACTATATTAAGTGCAAAGAGAATAGTTATAGAACAGATTCTCACTTTGGTTGAATACGCACACGAGTCATCCAGCGAGATTACAGCCACCTATTATACCTAGATGGAAGCAAACACGATCTGATCTGCCATATCGTGCTCAGTGGAAGCTCCAATCAATCTGCCACTCTTTAGCTCCCAAAGTGCTTTTCTTAGGATTCGTGAGCAAGTGCACGATACTGCTCTTCATTACAGGTCAAGTTGCGTGTTTTCTCAATCCAACAATAAAAAAGTCCTCTGCTTTCCCAAACTATGGTTCTATTCCTTCATAATGACCTCTGACTCCATTACCTCCACTGGCTCAAGAGGGTTCAACTGTTGAGCCTCTACTTCTGCTTTTTGCTGTTGCTGTTGCTGTTGCTGTTGCTGTTGCTGTTTTTGAAACTCTTCCGATGGAACACCCGTTATCAATGCTTCCAATGTATCTTTCCTCTGATTGTTTACGGCTGCATAAACATCCTTATTTGCTGCTTTGAATTCCTCCAATTGCTTGTATTTCTCCACAGATGCAATAAACTTTTGCATGTTGACTCCACCAGCAGCTTCAGCTTCCAATGGCGTGTACGGCCGTTCTTTGAGTAGCTTGACCCTTCGCTTGTGGATTTTGGACCTTTGGTGTCTATCCAAACTTATTTGATTCTCAAAGTATTTGGCACATTCTATGCAATAATACTGTCCTAAACCTGGTTTGTACTCATCCAAAGGTTGGTTCTTTAATTTGTTTATAGAATCCGGAGTAGATAAATCATTGTAGATCAAGTCCAAGTCCCGCGTTCTTCTCTTTGTTTTGTATCTCTTTACACTGTATCTGCCCATATCTGGTTGCTTCTCTATGGACGACCAACTGTGTTGTCCAACTACTTTGTGAAGCGATGAGATGATTCCTGTGATCTCCTCGTTTCACGGGTATAGCCCTAAGCACGTGACTAAATATTTGTTTTTCATTTGTTAGTGTGTTTCTCTCACCAGTATCTACTCCCGCACAAAAGATTGGAAAAAATTAAACCATACGAAATATTCATTCTACTTCTTACACCAAACTACGGTTAACTAAGGTATGTGAGTGCATTAAAGAAAGGGAGAAAACATGGAAGGGATGTCAGCGCAGGAGATACATTAAACACCGGGATCAGGCGGACTTTACTTTAGAACATAGAGTGGTCATCCCACAGTACAATGTCTCACACTTGCAGCTTTCGATTTGTAAGCAAAAAAAAAATAAAAATTTGCCGCATTGTGAATTTATATAAATACTTTCCCATTCCCAACATTAGTCACATATATCGAATCTATTACTAACAAGTACTTGAAGACAAAATGGCTAGAAGACCAGCTAGATGTTACAGATACTGTAAAAACAAGCCATACCCAAAGTCTAGATACAACAGAGCTGTCCCAGACGCCAAGATTAGAATCTATGACTTGGGTAGAAAGAAGGCTCCAGTTGACGAGTTCCCATTGTGTGTCCACTTGGTCTCCAACGAATTAGAACAATTGTCATCCGAAGCTTTGGAAGCTGCACGTATCTGTGCCAACAAATACATTACCAAGATTTCAGGTAGAGATTCATTCCACTTGAGAGTCAGAGTACACCCATTCCACGTTTTGCGTATCAACAAGATGTTGTCATGTGCCGGTGCAGATAGATTGCAACAAGGTATGAGAGGTGCTTGGGGTAAACCACACGGTTTGGCTGCTAGAGTCTCTATTGGACAAATCATCATGTCTGCTAGAACCAAGGACTCCAACAAGGACGTTGTCATTGAAGGTTTGAGAAGAGCCAGATACAAGTTCCCAGGTCAGCAAAAAATCATCATCTCAAAGAAGTGGGGTTTCACTCCATTGAACAGGGAAGAGTACGTTGCCAAGAAGAACAACGGTGAAGTTCTCGATGACGGTGCTTACGTTAAATTCTTGTCAAAGAAGGGTAACTTGGAAGAAAACTTGAGACAATTCCCATACTTCAAATACAACGCCTAAGTGTGTATTCTTGTATAGTTTCAGAGGAATAAAGGAGTTTTTAAGTGGAGAGTAATTTCAGTGTAGAGTGACTATGTAGGTTGCGGATTTGATCGTAAATGAGCGGATAATTAACAAGTAAAAAAAAAAACAAAAAAATCACATGTGGAAAAGACATTCACGAAGACGAAGTCCGAAGGTATCTATTTCTTTCTTGAGTCCAATTGCTTCAGCGACGATCGAGTGGAACTATTAGTGAACTCTCTTTTGCACGGACCATCTAGCAAGAATCTGTTTGCTTAAGCTACCCATTACTTCGCCGCCCCCCAATTCCCCTTCCCCCAGATCTTCACTTCGAAGCACAAAGCAAGGAAAAGATCATATCTTGCAAGCTAATGTCCAACACAGATCGTTCATTGAATGGCGATGGCCTGACGTCATCGCCTTCTGATGAAAGAAATGGCGCTTCATTAGTTCAAAATATTGGTCCTATACAAGACAATGAGCCTTGGAACGACTTGTCTTCACCAGAGCCCGAGGCGTCCTTGCTGTTTTCAGGCTTGAGCAATCGATCACGAACACAAGTACAAGAAGCCAACAATCGTCAAGATGTCACCAGTACTGCGACCAGTTTGCGTGAAACAGATCAAGGATTCCAAACGAAGGAGGTTCCAGAATGGCAGAAATCAGCAACCAAAACTTTGGTATTCGTTGGATATACAATCACTACAGTGTTGTTCTCAGTTATAATATATTTGCATTCCCTTCTAGTCAGATGCAGTTATGATGAAGAAACGTCAACAACATTATTAGATGGGGTGTTTAGAGCGCAAGAGAAAGCGATTGATGATTATCATAGAAGGCACCGTCTACAGTCTGAAGCAGAAGACGAAATTTGAGTCGGGCAACTTGTGACTTGCAATTTATAGAGGTCGAGTATATAACTAATAACGGTCAATTGTGAACGTGAATTAATATCGATAGATTCGCAGCTGAGACAGCCGTAGATTCACTTTTGTGAAAAATTGACCGCGTGTGCTACGTGAGTGCCACGTTTGAGTATTTCCTCATAAATTCTTCAATTCGTGTCCAGTGTGCAAGGGGTTACTGAAAGTCAATCCCAACACGTATGCTGAATTTGCTTCAATTGAGACTGCTGCGTTGTTTCTCCTTCCAAAGGTTGTCAATACAAAGCCACCATTGAGTAGTAGCCCAATTCAATTTTGGGAGATGTTCTCTCTGGTTTCAACAACAAAACCAAAAAAAAAAAAAATAAAAAATTGATTACGTGTATCGCTCTTTTCTTCCACATTCAACCCTCAACAAAACACACATTCTTAATTAGCTATGTCCTTTAAAGATAGAGAAGACCCTTCCACTTTGGTTTTATTTGACGTTGATGGAACATTGACTCCAGCCAGATTGTCAGTTTCTGACGAAATGTTAAAGACTTTGGCTGAATTGAGAAAGAAGGTTGTCATTGGCTTTGTCGGTGGTTCAGATTTGGCCAAACAAGTTGAACAGTTGGGCCCAAATGTATTGGAAAACTTTGATTACTGCTTCAGTGAAAACGGTTTGACTGCTTATAAATTGGGTAAGAAAATGGCTTCCCAATCATTCATTGGCTGGCTAGGTGAAGAGAAGTACAACAAGCTTGTCAAGTTTTTTTTGAGATACTTGTCTGACATCGATATCCCAATCAGAACCGGTACCTTTATTGAATTCAGAAACGGTATGGTCAACATTTCCCCTGTTGGTAGAAATGCGTCAACTGCTCAAAGAAACGATTTTGAAGCTTACGACAAGATCCACCACGTTAGAGAAAAATTGGTTGACGCTTTGAGAGAAGAGTTCAAAGACTACGGTTTGACTTACTCCATTGGTGGACAAATCTCTTTCGATGTTTTCCCAACCGGATGGGACAAGACTTACTGTTTGCAACACGTCACAGACGAACATTTCAAGACAATTCACTTTTTTGGTGACAAAACTTACAAAGGTGGTAACGACTACGAAATTTACCATGATCCAAGAATCACTGGACATGCTGTTAACTCGCCAGCTGATACCATTAGAATTTTGGATGAGCTTTTCCACTTGAAGCAATAAATACACTTTATAGAAGATTTGTTTTATATACACGATTAGACTACTGCTTGGTTCTGTAATAAATAATTGAGGAATCTTCTCCGGCTTTGATCACTTGTTCGATGTTAGTCTTGCCGATTTTATAGTTGTCGAGTAACTGCAATCTTTGTGTGTTCATGTCGTTGATAGATTTCGCAAGGTTTAACTTGTCGTTGCCATCTTGGGGCTCTAGTAATCTAGGTAATCTAGTGGGCTTGCAGGCTTTGACTTTTTTACCATTTCCAAATTGGCCAAACTGGTTGGACCCAAAAGCCAAAACGTCTTTGGAAGATCCACCATTGTTCAACACAACAAACACGTGCGCATTACCAACACTCACATCTTTAATATTGATGTTCTTTACTGAATTTGCTTCTTCGTCAAATTCCTTTAACCCAATTACCGATTTGACAATTTCAGGGTAAGAGCAAACTTGAAGATACCTGCCACTACCCAATTGACCATTGAGTCCGTTTCCCATACTCAAAATTGCATTTTGATCCATGTATTTCAATACAATGTAGCTGCTCTCATTTGAAGCCAAGACCCTTGTCACCTCAAAATCAGACTCCTTTACTGCTTTTCCAAAAATGTTTCTGCATATTCTCTTATAGTCACTCTTGTCCAAGACTTTTCTGGGGACTGGCTCCATTTTTATAGTGTTGGAATTTGCGCATTGACCAGAGGTATTGTCACCCCAAGTCCATACACAGTCATACTCGTCTGACACAATATTGAAGTAGTCACCGCTGGCAATGTCGGTAAACTTTCTTGAAACGATCCTTTTTTGGTTTCCGTCCTTCACCACCTCATTATTCAACAAAGTCATTTCAATGGGTTTGTTAACCGGAATGTCTCTTTTCTCAAATGGTGAATACTGAGGCCCATACTGTCCCAAATTCTTTGGTGATCTAGAAGAGTTCACAACAAAGATTTGTCCCTCTTTGTTGCGAAATAGTAAATGGTCATGTCCTGAAGCAAACTGAACAACATTTTTGGCGTCAATTTTATTGTACGATTGCGACTTTAGCAACCCCAACCAGTTACGTTTGAGCATGGGTAAAAATCCCTTAGCTGCCTTTCTTGGGGTGTAAACTAGTTCCTCTTGACCGGTTAGGTAGTAGACATAATCAGCAGTGGCGGTGATTTTATTCACCAGGAAGGGAAATTTCACCTCCTTCAAATTCAGCTGACCTTTTCTCCATTCATAAACTTTACCTTTATCTGTTACTGCAATAATGCGACCTTTTTCAACAAAGGCATCTTTCAAGAGCATTCCGTCAAATGCCGGTATTCTGAGAGGAATCTTGGCATTGTCTCCAAATTGATAAACACCTGGGACTGCTTTGGAATCTTTCATGTGTGCGATATTTCCATCACCCAATTCTTTCTCCAATTTTTCGAGCAAGTGTCTGGAGCTTCTTACGTTCTTGTTGGTCACTTCAGGTACGTCATCTTTGATATCCTTATAGGTGTAGTTCATCAAAAGTCGATTTTTTATCGACTCGTAGTTCATGAATACCTGATGCGCAGAAACAACACCAACTAATGCCAAAACACCATAAAGAACACCCCTCATTCTCTCATTAAACTCGTGACGCTTTTTCTGGTTCTTTTGTTTCGAGATGAATTCCTGGTGAAGTTGATGTAAAGTCTCTCGATATTCATATGACCCTGGCTTGAGCTTGGTGAGACGTGGATCATTTTCAATAACTTCATTGATATCTATAGTGTCATCATTAGAGTTCCGTTTGGTATATTCTTTGGGTTGTGATTTGTCATCGAGATCCTTCAATGAATCAAAATTATATCCATATGAATAGTTGGTTTTGTTCTTGTTGAATTCTTCTATATCAGAAAACTTGTTTTTGTTTGAATTCAACCTCTTGAAATATGCTAACCGACCCGACCTCGCTGAAAGTATGCGAAGCTGATGAATGTGAGGTTTGGGTAACAACATACCTGTGCCGTGTGTGTACTGGAGGGGATGATGTATTTTTGCATAATCAGAAAAAATAAAAATAAATCTCTGAAGTTCACAGCAAACCACACATACATACACACACACACACACTCACACACTCACACACTCACACACTCACTTAGCAACACCAACCATGAACCTTCTTGCAAGACACCACACAAGCCTCTTTTTTTGTGCACAACCCTTTACCCCCATACGATGCATATCGTCCATTACAAAGTTTGACACCAGGAAATTTGTCCAAACATTGCAAGAAAAAGGCGGATTTGATCCTAAGCAAGCTGAAGCCGCCGTTTCCGTTGTCAATGGTGCCATCAATGATGGGATCTATTCCATCACAAACAACTTAGTCACGAAAGAAACCCTTTCGTCAATAGCATACCAACAGAAAGTAGATTTTGCAAAATTGAAAGGTGAGTTGCAAACAATGGATAAATCCGAGTTCACGACATTGAAGAAGGAACAAGAGAAATTGAGAACAGACTTGACAAACTTGAAGAACAGATTGAAGGAAGAGATAACAAAGAACCAAGCCAGTGTTAGACTAGACTTGAACTTGGAGAAAGGTCGAATCAGGGAAGAGAGCTCAATTAACGAGTTGAAGATTGAGGATACATTTAGTAGAATAGACGAAGAAGTGGCAAATATGCAGCTGCAAATTAAATCGGTTAAGACGCAGGTTTTGCAATGGTTAATGGGTGTTAGCACTGGTACTTTGGCTGTTCTCTTGGCCGTTGGAAGATTTTTATACTAGATATAGTTCAATAAACCGAACACTAAAGATAAAAAGAACGCGAGAGCAAATCAAGGGGAAGAAGACAAGAACAACAACAACAACAACAACAACAACAAAAAAAAAATTCATTCCGTGGTGAATGTAACAACAAACTGGATTCGTTTTGCAAAAGGACATACACGCAATTGAGATATGAACTCACTTTACAACCATGGGTTAAAGCAAACCCAGACAATAACGAAGGATCTTGCAGAATTTGAAAAGAACTTGTCAACGTCACCGTTGTCTTTGCAAGGTGCAATCACAACCTCAATCACTGCGTTTAAAAAGACCATAAAAGAATATCACGATTTGCTAGAGAAAAATCCGACAGATTCATCCTTTGCTAAGCATGAAGGTAGAATTAGCAAGTTCAACCAAGACTTGGACAATTTCACCACCAAATTCGACAACTTGAAAAAACAGAGGGATATCTCTTTACAAGAAGCTGATAGACAAGAGTTACTCGGAAGAAGACACATCAATACAGCAGCGTCCCAACAAAGTGATAATCCATATGATCCAAGCCAACAACAACAACAACAACAACAACAGCAGCAGCAGCAGCAGCACCTTCGTCAAACAATGTCACAAAGGGAGGGGCTCTACAATGAAAATCAAGCTCTTGCGCGGGGCTCAGAACAACTTGACCGAATATTAGAAATGGGACAGCAAGCTTTTGAGGATATCGTGGAGCAAAATGAAACCTTGCGAAAAGTTCAGGCTAAATTTGAGGAGGGGCTAATTACCTTAGGGGTTAGCCAAGGAACTATTCGAAGCGTAGAGCGCAGGGCCAAGCAAGATAAGTGGTTATTTTGGTTCTGTGTAGTGGTAATGTTGGTTACCTTTTACTATATAATCAAGTTTTTCAGATAAGAAGTAATAAAAAGATCATCACTACAAAGTGAGGTTGTCCGTGGAGTTGTAGAGGTTACTGATTTCAGCAAGTGGGGAAGTCCTGAAAGGAGTGAAATAGACTATGTACGCTGAGTGGGCTGGGCGGGCTTTACCTGAGAAATAAGCAGCGACGCTTAAATTATTGGCCAGGCCATTGTCCTATCTTGTTCGCCCCACATATGTCGTATTGAGTGTATAATTTTTTTACGATATGTAAGATTGAGTTCACATTGTCTACTTTTTTAATTGCCCCACCTTTTCTGACAAGAAGGATAATGGTTTTTTATTTCCGAAAATTAATACCCCCATGGAGGTGTGGGCTTTGAAATTCTTGAAGATAAACTTGCCAATTAGAGTAAACATGCATCGAAAGCCACTCACTACTAATGACTCGAAGAGGAAGTCGAATGAAAGTTGATTTAAAGGGGAGGGGGAAGGGGGGAGAAGGGCTAGTGGGTTCAGGGTCTATTCTCTCACATCCAGATGAGAAGTGAGTATGTCGTGGGGAGCCTGGTTGCTTTGTGAAAACGGTCTAGTGGACAATCGATTCTTAGAGGATCAAAGACACACGATAGGCTATGTAAATGGGTCGTTAACATGGTTTCCTAATTAGGAATGCTCGTTAAGTGACAAAAATGTTGCAAACTACAAGCTACCTGCTGAAAAATTAAATTTTATTGCCTATTTGGGCAATATTGGTCTCACCAAACGAGAGACACAAAACCCAAAACTTTCTCGATCATGAGAAGTCCAACTCAGATAGACACCACGTTAGGGAACAAGATCATGTATGTGTCTCCAATACTGTCATTTATTTATAAGTCAGAAGTGATCTGCTTTTCCAATCCCCAAACCTGTAGTTCTTTTTTTTTTTATTTTTTCTATCTCAACGTCGCCCATACATTTTAGTATCAGTTCATCGATTGAGTTGGCTATTTTGCAACAAGCTTGAAACGCTGATTCATTACTTTGCAAACTAGGGAAACTACACATAAAAAGCCCCAATAATTACTTTGAGTAATATAGACTAATAAAGCATACCCCATCCATTACCCAAAAGGAGATTTCAAATGAAGTTAAGGCTTGTTGCAGCAGCTCTTGCCGCCATTAGCATCACAGAGGCCGCTCCCATAAAGCGAGGTATTCTAGATGACTTATTTGGATTAGATGACTCCACCACAACGACCGCATTACCGGCTGCTCAAGCAACAGTCCCGGCAACAGTCCCAGCAGCAGCAGCAGCAGCCACTACCAATGCTCCTGTCCTTGCTGCGGTAACCACTCCAACTGCAACCACATCAAGCTCAGGTGGCTTCTGGGCAAATTTATTTGACAGTTTCGGAAGGGGCTCGGCCACCACAGCAGCGGCTCAAGCAGCGGCTCAAGCAACAACTCAAGCCATTGCACAAGCTGCTACGCCGGTAGCCACGACACCACCATCAGCAGCGGCCACATCTTCGTCAAGAGGGTTTTTTGCAGATCTCTTTGATGACTTTTTTGGAGCAAGAACGACGGCTCAAGCTACAAATCCGGCAGCTGCAGCTGCTTTAGCTGCCACATCTACAACTCCTGCCGCTCAAACACCTGCTGCTGTTGCCGCTGCCCAACCCACCACAACAACCTCACCAAGTAGTTCGAGTGGTAATCCCTCAGAAAATTTATTTGCGTTTTTATTAGGTAGAAGCTCAGCTGCATCACTGCCAACTGCAGTGATCCAGTCTGCAGCCTCCTCAGGAAGCCCAGTTGGAGGCTCAAGTAATGGTCTTTTTGGAAATGGAGGTGCTTCCAGCTCATTGAACTTGGGTGCTTCTTCACAAGCATCAGCTTCGGCAATTGTTACAAATACATTCCAAGGGGGTTCGCCAGGAAAATACACAGGATCCATCAATACTGCTACTGCTACTGCTTCCAACGGGGGAAGTTCTGCGGGTGCAACAGCGGCAGCTGGTTCTAAGGGAATCACCTACTCTCCCTATACCAAGTCTGACCAATGCAAATCGGCTTCCGAAGTTGCCGATGATCTTTCGAAATTGAGTGATTACGAACTCATCAGACTCTACAGCACAGATTGTTCAGGAATTGAAAATGTATTGGCTGCAATTAACTCCAACCAACAACTTTATTTAGGTTTGTGGAATATTGACACCCAGTCGGTGCAAAATGGCTTGTCCGAAATCAAAAGTGCAATCTCAACCAGCTCAAGAGGATGGAGCCTGGTTCACACTATTGCTGTTGGAAACGAGCGTGTTAATGCAGGTGCGGCTACAGTCTCACAAATGCAACAGGCAGTAGATACGGCTAGACAATGGTTGAAATCAAATGCTGCTGACTATAGTGGGTACGTTGTTACGGTTGATACTTTAGTTGCTTATGTTTCCAACCCACAGCTATGCGAAATGTCAGATTACTTGGCAGTAAACTCGCACCCATATTGGGACGGTGGTGTCCAACCAAGCAATTCTGGACCTTGGTTGGAGCAACAAATTGCCAATTTACAGAGCGTTTGTGGCACTTCGAAAGATGTTCTTATCACTGAGACCGGTTGGCCAACACAAGGAGACGCTTATGGATCTTGTGTTCCATCAGTAGCAAACCAAGTTGCAGCTGTCAATTCGATCACAAACACTCTAGGTTCAAAGGTCATTATGTTTACGATGTACAACGACTATTGGAAAGATCCGGGTCCATACAATGTTGAGCAGCATTGGGGGCTTTATGGAGATCCATCAGAGTAAACACAAAACTGATTATCACTGCCCTTGATACCAAAATCCTATCCGATGTGTCTTTTTTTTTCAGTTCTAAATTATATTAGTATAGTCAATAAAAGAAAGTTACTCAAGTAAAGTAGTACATGGTCTCTGGTGGAGTGGAGTGGAAGTCGTGTCTGGCTGAATTGAGGTGCGCTACCGTATTTGATCAACAGGCGAGAAATGAGTGAGAAGAAAAAATAAAAATTAAAAAAAAAAAAAAAGGGCAGGAAATGTACACACACACTCACACTCACACAAGTAGAATTGACAAACAGAAGCACTTTTTCTACCGATCAAACACTAAGACGCAGTAACTTCAGATATGTCCGAAAAGGAAAGAAAGAAGCTTCTGACAAAACTCAATGTGTTGTTTGAAGAAATTTACAACCTACAAAGTGATAGTCAATTTGTCTACCTATGGTTTCAAACATTACCCAAAAGAACTGGTACAGATTACTATAAAATCATCCAAAGACCACTTTCTCTTCATGCTGTTGGAAGGAAAATAAAGCAATCCGCGTACGAGGACCCTCAGGAGTTCGTCAACGATCTAGGCTTGATCACCTGGAACGCGAGGTACTATAATCTACCCGGATCTGACGTTTACAAAGCAGCGCAGGTATTGGATCAATACATTCGTGATGTTGTTATACCAAAGTTGGGAAATGACAAAGCGGTTCCAAATGGATCCCAATTGGTGTATCCATATTTTGGCGATTTACCTGACGAGAATGGCCAAGATAGTCCCTTACGAAAACCTGTTTATGCAATCAGTCAAAGCCAGCCAGGTTTTGAACAGGAAACCTCACCAATATTGAATACGGACGAACTTGAAATGAGTGTTACTCCACAAGCAGAACCGGCCTCATTGTCAAGGCCCTTGGTGAAAACAACTTTTAACAGAGAGCCTGTTGTGAGTACCCCTAATAGGAACAAATACACCAGGCAACATAATAGTCAAGTGCAGGCTGAGAGTGGTATCAGAAGAGGACGTCCACCTATTATTGACAAGCCATTTGAAACTCGTATCAAGTCCATTTTGAAAGCGTTCAAGAAATTACGTGACAGTCGTGATCGCTTGTTGATTAAGCATTTCGACAAACTTCCAGATAGCAAACTGTATCCTGATTATTATCAAATCGTAAAGGACCCCATAAGTTTGAATGAAATCCGGATCAAAGTGAGAAGTAGAAAGTACAGCAATGTTGACCAATTTATCAATGATTTAGATTTGATGTTTGCCAATTGTCAGCAATATTTTCAACGGGATCCATACAGTGAAGAATTTATGGACTACCAACAATTTAGAAAAGAAGCAAATGTAATTGTTCAGAACGAGTTGAGCAAAAGTGACAAAGAAGTTCTTATGTCCACATCAACTGCAAGTGATGGGGTGTTGCGTTATCCGTTGGAAACTTTGGAGATTGGCGGATATTCTTACAAAGTTGGTGCTTGGGTGTTGATGAAGAACCCAGCTGACCCTGAGAGACCGATTATAGGGCAGATTTTCCGTCTTTGGTCGACGGAAGATGGCAAAAGGTATTGTAACATGTGTTGGTACTATCGCCCTGAACAGACTTGCCACGGTGTTGATCGTTTGTTTTTTCAAAACGAGGTTTGCAAAACAGGTCAGTATCGAGATCACTTGGTTGATGACATTGTCGGACCTTGTTATGTATTATTTTTGACTAGATATCAAAAAGGTGATTTGCCAGAAGGAGTCATACCATCCACTTCCCCCTGGTTCATTTGCGAATTTAGGTATAACGAAAATACTCACGTTTTCAACCGTATCAGAACCTGGAAAGCATGTTTGCCAGATGAAGTCAGAGACGATCCAGAACAGCCATTGATTCCATTGCACGAAAATCGTAAGTTGATCAAATACGAATCACCAATAAAGTCCACATTGGAGCCAGGAGCAAGACTCAATGACCCAATACCTGATCCTATACCTGGTACCTCAAGCTCGCCTCCTATTAGAGGATCAGTGTACATAACGGCGCCAATTCTTAATGACGACTTGGGTCAATACACCACAAGTCCCAACACCGTCCCAATTCCTGATCACGATGACTTGAAGACGGGCAGAAAAGCATACTTGTTTACTCCAATATCGCAGTTGAAAGGCGGCGGTGGTTCCTCTGGTGCGGTATACGCCACTAGTCCCGCTTTGCCACATGGCTCACCAAACCACGAACCCTCGAGGCATACTATGGGACTGATATCCAATTTGCCCTTGGGTAAAAGTGCAATGAGCCCTCCACTTGGTGACGTTACACCATTGGGATCAGATTCGTCTTCCCGTTACCAACCTCAGCAACAAGACGACAAGCCTCAGTTGCCAACCAGCTACAAGTCTTTGCATGATCTGTTGCAAGAGAACAAGAAGATACACGAACAACAATTGCACCAATTTCAACAGCAGCAAAACCAGCAAATTTTCAAGCGTGCTTTGACCCCAACACCATCTAGCATTATCCCCACAGGTACCAACTATTACAATAGTACTCCAGCATTTTCCAATTTGTATGCTGGTGGTATTTTGTCATACGGCATAGACGCTGAAGAACTTGACGATTTGCTGGACTTGGTGAACAAGCGACAAAAGATGAACCCAGAAGAAAAAGGAGAAGAGGAGGAAGAGGAAGAGGAGGTGATCTTTTACCGTGCTCCTCCTGTGCAGCTAGTTGGTAATCGGATTATAACAAACCTGAAGACTGAACTTGGCCACTCAGCTAAATACTTGGCGTGGAAAATCAAAACGGATGCAGGATTAAAGTAGATGTAAATTGTCAACTGACAGTGTGTACTATATATACATATAATTGTAATGCGCGCTAAGCGGAGCTTTCAGAAGGTGTTCTGATTTCAAAAGTTGAGTGAGAAAAAGCATATTGCTTCTTCAGACAACCATTCAAATGTTATGAATAAACAACTTGCTGAATTTCAAGAGCATTTACTCAAATCGAAAAAGATTGTAGCTCTTGTCGGGGCTGGGCTTTCTGCATCCTCTGGTCTCCCTGTGTTTAGAGGGTCTCAAGGAATGTGGAAAAACTACAACTCAATTGACTTGGCAACCCCCGATGCATTTTACATAGATCCCGGTTTAGTATGGCAGTTCTATTCGTGGAGGAGGTATAGCGCTTTACAAGCAAAGCCAAATAAAGGGCATGAAGCGTTGGCCAAGTTGTCCCATATACCGGAATTGAAATACTTGACTATACTGCAAAATGTTGATGGGTTATTAAATCGAAAACGAAATGATGAGCTCGATGATACATATATTCACGATCCAAGGAAATTATATGAGATTCATGGGAGTTTATTTACCTTGAAGTGTACCAGCTTTATGTGTAACCATGTCGAAAGAAACAATTTTCACCAGCCTTTGACTCCGGTATTAGAAGACACAGAGTTTGAGTATTTAAACAAAGGGAAGAAGAGGAGTCGAGAGGATGAGGGCAGTGTGCAGGAGCAAAATATAGATCCGATTGATATCATTAGCAGGCAGGACACTTTTGCGTCGACCTCGTCGTCGCCTCAATTCCAACCAGTGAAAACAATCGACGAAAAGAACTTACCGCGATGTCCAATTTGTGAAGGACTCATGCGTCCTGGAGTTGTATGGTTTGGCGAGTCGCTACCGTTAGACTTGATCACAGGAATAGACAATTTCATTGAGCACGGCGAAGCCCCTGATTTGATATTGGTGATTGGCACAAGTGGGACAGTATACCCTGCTAACAGTTATGTTGAAAGAGTTAAATTGAAAGGAGGGAAAGTGGCCATATTCAATATAGACATTGATGACGATGTGGTGGAAGGCAAAGTTGATAGAGTATGGGGGTTCAAAGGCGACGCGGCAGAGTTGCTACCGCTAGCTTTGGAACCATTGATTGGCAAAATTTGAGAGTGATAAAAACTTGAAATCTTTTTGCAGCATTTGCGGATGTAAGGAGAAATTACAACTTAGAGGATTTTAAATTGTGAAAGGACAACATTTATTATCACTTCATCGTGACGGATTCTGGTGGTACAGGTTTCAACCTTGATCTAGGAGAGCGTGATGTAGTACTGATTGCAAAGTTGATACATGCTTGTGACTAGCTAAAATTTAAGACACAGTTTTGTTCAGTTTTTGCTATGTTTGATCAGGGAAGGGGATTCCTTTCTCCGTCGTTTTGTTGGCACTCTTGTGGAATGGTTTATAAAATGGATTACCCACTTGTATAATTGTTGTTGCACCAGGCGCTGAGGTCTGTCTTGGCTCGTGTTGAGGAGTCTTTACATTCTTCAAAGGACGTGGCAGTTGTTGGGACTGCTTCAACGTGTCGATGGAAGTGATTGTCACCGATGGTTTCAATGGCGGTTTTGAGTAGTGGTGGCTCCCTCGTGATGGCTTGTAAATTTTGCTGGGGGCTTGGTGCATCTTGTTATTAGAAAAGTTATAGGTGAAGATGTCCTTACCGTTAAAACTCTTTGCATACAATGATCCCCTTTTGATAGATGTTGAGCGTTTGTCCTTATATTCATTTGTCTCTGGGTTTTTTCTTCTTTCTTGGAGAGGTCCTGTAGGCATGATATATGCGTCCTCATCCGGCATTTGCAATGGTGACGCCAAGCTCAACGTTTTACCGTGACACCTGCGATTGCATTCTGTGATTGCTTTCGACTGGGAATAGATGCGTACACTTGGCGAGCCTGGTGATCTCACGTTTGTTGCAAAAAATGCATTGTCCACTGTGCAATCTAATTGCGCTTGTTGTGGCTTTGAATTTGAATTAGAGCTAAATAGCCCCCATTCATCATCAAGCGCGTGTATCAAGTTCAAACCGGGGACATGTTCTTGGATCATTGATTCAATGGACTCGATTTGTTCACAATCAATATCAATTTCAGTTATGAGTGAAAGGGCACCGTTATCCAAATCATCCAGAGCGTCCGTAGTATTGTTGGTCACAGTTGAAGGTGCAAGGGAAGAAATAGTTTTTGAATGGGAAAACATCGGCTCAAGGCTAAATATCATATCCAATGAAGTTCCCACTAACTCATCGTTGTTGAGAAGCTCCATGTGGTAAGTTTTCAAATTAGCGGAGTGGTTGTCTCTTTCAAAGCCTCGTTTGGCTCAATAATGGACAACAAGTGTTCCTTTTATACCATCTCCATACTCTTGGTACAGACTCGCCTGTGACCTATGACGTTTTGTGGTATCTGTATGCAAATGTATGCACCTGTCAATATTATTCTTGAGCGCTTTCTTTAAGTGCGAGGAGAAGATCACAATAGCAACAGCCACTTTGATGTTATATTTCCTTGTCAAGGCAGTTTTATGATTGAGCGCTTTAATAAGAATCAGTCTGCTTGTCTGCAATTGGTTACCTGCTTGGTCAAGTAAGCTTCTGAGGCAAATAGTCCTTAATGTCATGATTTCAAACAAAGTTATCCATTATGGAGAAGTTTGCAAATAAAATTTTCAAAACAAAGAGATACAACTAGACCGGTATTGAAAGGGACTGGGTATGTCCATTGTTAGACAGGGGCAGCATCGGGGTCCCTTGGTAATGCATTCTCCGCTTGCCCTGTAGGAATTGTAATTGGGGTTTGGATCTTTTAAAATTTGAAAACTTAGAGAGCAAATATAATACTGGCACTTGAATAATAAATTATCGTTGTTCTTTGAGATTCTTGGGCTTGGATCAACAATTTAGAAAGGCGTTTGGGTTTCCACTTTAGTAGGTATTTAGTAGTCTTAAAAAGCGTGACCTGTTGCGTGCTTTGTTGCTAACGAAGACACATCCGGGTTCCTAGGTTGCATTTGATTCTTAGTATATTTCAAGATAGTACAGGCTGCACATTCAAGAAGCGACTCAAGGCTGGTAAATTCTCGGCAGTGGTGGTGGCATGTTCAAATTGCGAGTTCCAAGCAAATCTAGACCCATAAGTACAGTTCATGCAGGTATCAGATCACGAATTCGAAGAAGATCGCAGCGTTTGGTTGAGATTAGATAATGAACAACTGCTGGACGAGCACACTATGTCATTGAGCCTGCCTCCTATTTTGGTTGAAGCACATCTGCACTTGCACAAAAACTAGTTCTGTCTTAGTAGCACAAAAGTCAACGGAAGTTAGCACAAAAGGCTCAAGTCTCTCTCACGGAACTATGATGACAGCACACCTTTGATTTCTCTCACAAATGCAAATATACACTGGAAGATGAAGCAACTTTCAACTCCGGTCACACTCTCAAAACATACAAAGCATAATACTCTAGGCACGAGTAACTTGATGAAAAGAATGGAGATACATTCAAACGCTAATGTAAAACAGAATATACAATTATGCAGATATCAATGGTCGATAATAAAGGCAACAGCTCTCCCAACGAAACTCACATTATCCCGTCTCAAAGCATCAATTTCGTAATAGTTCCTCGTCAAATTGATCTTGTATTACCCTGTGCTGTGTGGAGTTGGCATCTGGCGGTAATCCAATCTGTACGTTAGCATCAATAAGCAACTGATTGCGGATCCAAAGTTGACGCTTCTCCTTGATCTTTGTCTGCAATTGATTAGACACAATTTTGTTAATTTTCAATCCAGTACGCAATTGGTTTAACAACGAATCGTGCAACTTTTTCAATTGCCACAAGTCGTTTATTTTATCAATGTTTTCCACCTCGTCCAATACTTGGTTCCTTTGTACATACTTTGAGGCTAAATTTCTGGAATCTTGGGATAAATATTGTAAAAGCTTGTTACTACTGATTTCGGGAACGGGCTCATCGGGATGTTCAGTTTGATATTGTTTCTTGGCAATGTTAATTATGTCATTATTAACATCGTAATCGTTGACGAATTTCGTCTCCTCCTCCTCCTCCTCCAGCCTCGAATTCAAAAATTGTTTAATTCTAATGTCGCTCAACCAGTACTGCCTTGCGTCTAGTGGGATATTCTCAATATCTCGCACAGTGAACCCATTTTCTGACTTTGCATCCACCTCCTTCAATATATCAACAAATTCATTGTTGAACCACCACGGCATTTTCAATTCGAAATCTTCGTCAATGATCCTAGCATACTCTTCATCACTCAAGTTTGCCAAATTGAAACCCAAATCCAACTGTCCTCGCTCAGCTTTCTCCTTTAATGAACTCAATTGGTCCTTGACATGATGTAAATCATGAACTCCCTTTACATGTTTCGTTAATGCATCAGATCGCGTAAAGTGTTTCTCACATTCGGGTATAGGACAGAAAAATGGCTTTTCGCCTGTATGTGTACGACAATGAGATATCAAGGAGAATCTGCTAGGTTGCTCGACTCCATATCGTGAGCAATTTTCCCAAAGGCAAATGTTTTTCGGATTCGTTGATGATGCTGGTTGGGTGCCATGGGTAGGTGGTCCAACATGTGTAGCATTTACATGGTTAACTAGATTGGTGAGATTTGCATGCTGCGTCTCATTGCATTCACTCCATCGACATGAAAAGTCCAGAGCTGGCGACATGTGTTTGTTTGTCAGGGGAGTTGTAGTAACCTCTCGCGACAAGGGAGCTTCGTTTTGAGTTTTTGATAGGTTTGCATGCGAGGAACTTCCATCTGCTGACTGTTCAATATCCTTTGGCTCTAGTTTGAGCTCACTGGCAGTTGTCATTTTCTGGTTGGTGACTAAATAGCTGTCCACTTATCGAAACCAGTTGATTTTTTTTTTTTTCTTTTTTGTTTTGTTTCCTTCAACTTCACCACGCACTACAATTTTTCAATGCACAGGTATGTACATTATCACAAATATTTCTATTCTATGACCCTATAACAATTCGTCCAATCTAGCAGCAGGATTGGTTTCAATAAAATCTAGTGAAACTTTGTGTCCCAACAACTCTCTAATGTTTGACACACCGTACTTGATCATTGTTGGTCTTTCCAACGACAATCCCCAACCTAAAACACGCAAATTCTTTGGCAAACCCATGGTTTCCAACATTTCTGGTCTAAACATACCAGAATTACCAATCTCAACCCATTTCTTCAATCCTTTGTGATATGCAAAGATTTCCAATGATGGCTCGGTGTATGGGTTGTAAGCGGCTTTGAATCTCAAGTTATCAACGCCCATCTTGCCAAAGAAATCATCCATGAACCCAATTAAATCACCTAAGGTAATGTCGTATCCCGCAATGACACCTTCAACTTGGTGGAATTCTGCCAAATGAGTAGCATCGACAGCTTCGTTTCTGAAAACACGATCAATAGAGAACAATCTGGTGGGTTTCGGATCCTTGGCTAACTTGTGTAACATGGCTGAAGAAGTAGCAGTGGTGTGTGTCCTTAAAACCATTCTCAATGATTCATCGGCACTCCACGGGTATCTGTAACCAATGGATCCATATTTACCATCTTGATGTACTTGCTTCACATTCTCCCAGAATTGCTTATCTTCTGGAATCTTGGCTTTCACCGGATCTTTCAAGTAAAATGTGTCTTGCAAATCTCTAGCTGGATGTTGTTGAGGGACAAACAATGTATCGAAATTCCAGAATCCGGTCTCGACATACTGGTTCGAGGGCATTTCCGTGAACCCAAGTGAAAAAAAGATTTGTCTAAATTCTTCTCTCACTTTGTTCAATGGATGTAATGCTCCTGATTGTGGGTAAACACCTTCTGAGTTGAAGTTGTATGGTTTGAATTGAGCAGACTTCCAAGAATTGTTTAAAATCATATCGGAAGTGATATCAGTTTCAAGGTTAACAATCTCAAGGGCAAACTTAGGACCTTTTTCAATCTTGTATCCCACAATCTTTGTCAAGGTTATCAATTTTCTCTTTTTCAATTCAGTCAACTCTTTCTTGTCACCTAATGAGCCAGTTTTTTTAATAGTCTTTAACTCTTCTAAAACAGTATCATTAGGTAATTCTTTGACATTTGCAATCAACTTGTCCCCATCCTTGCTCAACCACTTGTTTTTGAAAGCTTTTCCCTGTCCAACAGTCCCTGCTGGACCTAACCTTTCCTTTAAATCAGAAATGGATAAACTGTTCAAGGCTTTCAAAACTTCATCCACAACCTGCACTTCAGGCGTAGCACCAGCCTTGAGATATTCCTCTGCCTCCTTTGTCAATACCCAATGGTCTTGTTCGATTTTAGTGAAATTTACCATTTCCTTGGACCAAAGAGAAGCCAAGTTTGAATGTAAAGTGTTGGCATCAATATCGGTCAATTCAGGAGCCTCAAGAGTGTTTTGAACTACTCCATTGCTCGAGTCCACGAGCTTTAAAAGCTTCAACTGTATATCCGACATGTTTGAGTTGGTGATGCAAGTGAATCTATGATATCCAATACAGAATCGTTTGACTTTTGACTATGATTCACTGAAAAAAAAAAAAAAAGAAAGAAAAAAATTTACTCACGTTTTCATTTTTTTGAACAGTCCGCACGCACATGTGGTTGTAGTTTGATTTACTGGTGATTGAGAGTCTGAAGGAAAATTGAAGGGGACTGGTGGTATAAGGTGAAGCACGGTATTTGAAGTCACTATTTGGCAGACCTGTATGAGGAAGGGGAGCTCTATGACAATCCATTATGCTCTAGTATAATTAGCCCTGAATTCAAGTGATGCAAGATAAGAGAAAAAGTGTTTCAAAATCCTAGCTTGATATTAAGAAAGTTTTTGCAGAATAGATAACCGTAACACTTTAAGCTTTTATTAAACTGCCAATGCGTTGTAACTTTGAACTCCGTGGCTGTGATACTCCGGTTTTTGCAATGACATAAGCGATACGTCATGATCGGAGCAGTGTATTTATATACAGGAAAAAGCGAAAGCGACTATCGAATACCGAGGTGAAACATTTGCCGAAATGTAACTGCAAAAACGTGCACTTGTCCGCAAACTAAAAGGACATTAATCAAAAAAAAGAAAAAAAAAGGGACTATCGGTGTATGATATCATAGTCATTCTGAATCAAACGTCGTGGCGAAGCTGGTAGGTAAAATACAGCCGCATACATTTCTTCATTTGTCTTATTGTTGCCACATCGACAGTTTATTGCTCAATACCAATCCTTTGGTTGAAGTCCGTAAAATCTTGTGTTTCAAGGTACCTTACTCTAGTGTTTGTCAGTGACAGATTGTGTATCTACGCACATTAACAGATTGTATAATCTTTCTGCAAAGGTAGGGACGGAGATCAAAGCAGACTGCTTTCATCTCTCTTTTTTTTTCTGGACTGACCAACCCCTTGATTGGATTTGCTGACCACTGACGTAAGAGAGAGAGAACGGTAGGGGGGGAGAGGGGATTCTCGGCTGTGGTGTTTATGGTTTTGCATAGCAAACTTACGTATGATGTCTCTCTCTCTCTGTCTCTCTTTATTGACGGAAGAAAGTTTTTAAAAAAAAATAAAGAGATGAAGTGGCGGTGGTTGGAGGTTACTTTTGTGTTAAATGACTTTTTCTATTAATAGAGACGTCATTCATTTTTTTTTTGTTTGTTTTTTATTTGCTTTGTTTGTTTTTTCGCAATTGCAGTTTAAGATTTTAAGTTGTTAAGTGCGGATCAAATATTTTACTGGTTTAAAGCCGCACAGTAGCAAACATAAGAACAATATTATACAAACCAACGTTACAACGAATATACACCATAGCAAACAATACACAAAAAATTTAAAGTGTATATGGTATTCACATCTCCTTCTAAGGAAAGAACGAAGAAAAAAATAAAAAAAAAAAAAAGAATAGAAAAATTGAAATCATGGAGTATAAATAGTCATTGAAATTTCTCTCAATAATCCACTTGCTCATTTCCCCTCCTCCCTTCCCTCCCTCTTTCCCTTAAATAAGACCACTTCTTTCTTCGAGACTACTTTTTTGCCCATTCACGTCTCAAGGTCAATTTTAATCATACAATGCCTTTCACTTGTTCAGATATCATTAAGATCATTGCTGCTATCATCTTACCACCTCTTGGTGTGTTTTTGGAAACCGGTTGCGATAGCTCCTTCCTCATTTCCATCCTTTTGACCATTCTTGGTTATATTCCAGGTATCATTTACGCATTGTACGTCATTCTAAGGTATTGATGTTGAGCAGGGTGGTTGAAAAGGCAAACAAAGTGCGCTGAGATGAGTTTACACGCAGAATTGTCGTTGCCGTCATGCGATGTCAAGTAAATGTGGAAAGTTTAGGATGGTTTTACTGAGTCGCACTTTTATTCAATTTTCTATGCCAAAGGTTTGGTAACTTTTATTTAGGTTGTGCACTTGTATTAGAATATAATGAATCAGTCCTATGTTGCCCACAAATATCGATTTTGTAGTCCATTCAAGACCTGTGAAAATTATGCGTCCCGATTAGCATCCCATAGATCCAGTCCCCCACCCCACGATGCTTCAAGCTCGGTTAGCAATTGATCTCCTCTGGTGGACTTAGTGCCGTATTTTATGCACACTGTCACCATTCACCCTTGAATCAGAGTTGCGTAGATGTCGTCACTTAGAAACGACACGACATGGGATTCTTAGCTTAATGCGACATTATTTCAATTACACGCTTGGTAATGTATTGAAAGATCGTGTTCGGGATATCTTTGCAAAATAAAAGGTTTGTAGCTTTTTTTTACTCAATTTGAGTTTGTTTGTTTTTTTTTTTCGTAGCAAACTGTTGCAGTAAGGTGAAAGTAAATCTGAAAGATGACACAGTACACTGAACATAGATCTTACTTTCCCTTACCAAAGACAAACAGCAATAAGCGGCCTAGTCCTTTTTTCTGTGTAGTATGCCAGTATCAGAGTCAAGCGTTACCCATATTCCATTGTGTTCCTATAAAACACGGTTAAACCTATCCAAATCTTGCTGTCAATTTCTGGCACTGAAGCAGAATAGAATTCATTGCTCTCTCTCTCTCTCTCTCTTTCTTCCTACTGAGATTAGTTGGTCATAGTCTCTACTTCAGAGCAATGGTGCACGGAGAGTCCATCTCACACTTTAATTGCTATTTGTGCCCTTAACAGATGCACGTATGTATTCTTAAAAAGCACTCGAGTAGAGATCTTGTGTGAGTGTCCCACTACAAAAAAAAAAAAAAAGAAATAAAAGAAAAGAAGAATGCAAGATTTTTTTTTTTTTATTTTATTGTTAATTTTATTATTTTTTTTTTTATTTTGCTTCTTCTTTTATCTAGCACTGTTTCATAGACATATCTTCAACTTTTTCTTTTCAAACTTTTAACAAACGACTAACTGTAATACTGTTCTATATCCGTTCCCACCTTCACCTTCCTTACACACCTACGTTCGTTAATCAAATAATATGCTACCCAGAAACTCATTACCCGCTTTGAGTCGGCTCCCTTCAGTAGGAAGGCTACTGAGTGCGAAAATCATCAAATTCGTATTAACAATAGTGGTGATATTCAACATCATCTTCATAACCACCCAGCTATTCGATGGCAGCAAGTCCTCACGAAAGAAGAAGCCATTTGTGTCAAAGATAACTCTACCGAAGTTTTCATCGAGTAACAAGAACTCCAATGCAAATACATTGAAACCGGCGCCTAATCATAAACAAGGTTTTCATCAAGGGTTGGGAGGCGCTTCCTTAGACGATATACCCAAGATTATAGAGGTGAAAAATGCAGACATAAGTTTCCAAAATAAATTGCAGCCGGAGTCCAAGCAACTATATCTGGTATCCGATAAACCATACAATGAGTTGGATGATGATGAAAAGATTTTGTACAAATTAAACCAAGTGACCAAAAACAAGGACAAATACTGGTTGGGTCATACTGAACTAACTGACTACGAAATCAAAATCAATGTCAAGGATTTTTTGCCTGAAAATTGGATCGATAAGCCAGTTTTATTTTACGATCCAAGATTCACGTTGTCGTTATATCTTTCAGAAATACGTAATCAATACTTGACGCAAAACTCAGAAGGCTTACCTGAAAACAACAATGGAAAGATTGTCTTACCATTTGCCTGGTCAGATTGGGTCGATTTGACAATGTTGAACCAAGAATTGGTCAAACCAGAAAACAAGAGGAAAACTTGTGAGTACATGAAGGCTACTCATCATATACCTACTAAAATCCGTGATTACTGCATCAACAATGTTGATATTAGTGGGAAGGAGTTGGATGAGATGAAACTTCCTCTGACTGATTATGTCCCTGGTTTTGCCGTTAAGAAATCGCCGACTAATAAAGCATCGAATGAGGTACGGATGTTGGAAGGCAAGTCGCATCTCCTCACTTATGCAGCTAACCCTTTAGCTATTGTGTTTTTGTCTCGGGATGGAGTTTATGAAACGAAAATAGATCAAAAGCAACGTATTGTTGAGGGCAAGTTGTTTGAAAATTATCTCAATCGAAACAATATCACTCGTGATCAGGATGAACCAATTATATTGAACCCAGTAAAGGAGTTTTACCTACTACGTAAACAAATAAAACCAATAGTGCTAGATGTGGTAGAGGATGAGTATGGCTTATTTGCTAAATCAAAAGACACTTTTTCTCCATCAACTTCAAGAGAGATTTCTCTTCCTCAACTGGCATTTGATTATCAACAAGATGAGATTGATGCTCAAATCAAACATTATGAGAATAGATTGCAAATGTTGCATGATTTAACCACAAATGAGCTCAAATTCAACCAACAAGCGATTGATCAAGTTCGATTAGACAGGAGTGACAAATTATACTATGATGGATTGAAATTTGCCAATAAGTATGCGTTGAAAAAGGAACCGACTCATTTCCGTATGGCAAGATTGAATTTTGGTAATGAAGAGAATGATCATGATGCAGGATGGCATTACGAATGGAGGTTTTTCAATGGAGCTTTACGGTATTTGAAAAGTGGATGGACAGAAGAAGAGTTGTTGATTAGAGAAAAAGTATTGTTGGATAGAATTTTGAGAAACTGGTTTAAATTTGCTAGTGTCAAGGGTCTTGTGTCTTGGATTGCTCATGGTCCGCTCTTGTCGTGGTATTGGGATGGATTATTGTTTCCATTTGATGAAGATATTGATATACAAATGCCAGCTAAAGAATTGGCTCGATTTTGTAAATCGTATAATCAGACATTGGTGGTTGAGGATATTAGTGAAGGGTTTGGCAAATATTTTATTGAATGTTCGTCATTTATCCATCATCGTGGTAAGTCGTACAAGGAGAATCATATTGATGCACGGTTTATTGATATCGATACTGGATCGTATATTGATATTACTGGGTTGGGAGTTAGTGATGAACCAGTGCCAGAAAGGTATACTGAATTGATTGAACAGAATGAGTTGGAAGGTAAAGCTAAGCAAGTTTACAATTGCCGGTTCCCACATTTCTATTCTCATGATGAAATATCACCATTGAGGTACACGATGTTGGGGGGAGTGCCGGTGTATGTGCCTAATCAAATAGAAACTATCCTTCAACAGGAATACGCCAAGGGGTTGAGTAGTTACAACTATGATGGATTCTTTTTCGTTGATGCTCTAAATCTTTGGATCCATTATAGTAAATTGGAGTTTTTGTTTCCAAAGAAGGAGATATACAAGAACAGCAATAGCAAGAACAACAACAACAACAACAACAACAAGAAGAAGCAGAAGCAAAAGCAGAAACAGAAACAGAAACAGAAACAGAACCAACTCCAACACCTCAACGTGCCTCGATTCACTGAATTGGTGCAAAACATTACACAAGCACAAGTGGTTGAATTATTGGAGAAACATGAAGATATCTTGTTGGAGTACTATCTTACTAAGAATGCCACTGATTTACATAAATTGGAATTGACTCACATGTTTAATTTAACGAATGGTAAAGAAACTAAGATGGCTGATGTGAAGGGGATGAAACCATCAGAAGAAATTTCTCAAGATGAAGAATATCATAAATTGACTTCACGGTTCAAATTTCAAGTACCATTTAGACGGTCATTATTCAATTATGAAATGATTGATCGACCTAGACATCATCATGATTAGAAAGAATAGATAAAGATGTATAATATATTTAATAGACAGTTTTTATTAAACAAAATAGAATTAGTACAATTCTTTTGAGAAGAAATATCGTAAAGTCACAAGGTCTGTCAAGTTAGTAGGTTTGTATGTTGATGCAATAGTTTCTGCTACTGCTACTTGTGCTTAATGCATGATACGCGCAACAGTAGTCGCGGCTAGCAATTGCAATTCCGCGTTCCGGAAGAAGTCACACGACCTTTGAGAGAGAGAGAGAGAAAAAGAAATTAAAGAAATAAACAAAGTAGCAAAGCAGTTTAAGAAAAAATTGTTACACAATAAGAAGAGGCACAGTTTCTTTTAAAAAAAAAATAAAAGAAAAAGTAGTAATAGTAGTAGTAGTAACAGTCGTAACAGTAGTAACAGTAGTAGTAGTAGTAACAGTAGTATATTCCTAGGAATAGCAATAGTAGCAGTTAGTATACAGTAAAATAATTAATAGAAAATAGAGTGAGAGAAAGTAGGAACAATAAATATAATTCTCTATATCTATACACCGGAGTTAATATTCATCATCATCATCATCATCATCATCAATTTTTTTTTTTTAACAACCACAACACAACACAATCTCATCTTGTTTATCCCTTCAAATAACTACTACTACTACTACTACTACTACTACTAAGGACTACTCATCGAAGTATATTGAAGATCTTTCCTTTTGGAGACACTTCACTCACAGTCGAAAGTAGTAAGAAAAAAAAAAGACTAAGCACTAAGAGAAGACTCCTCTCTCTTATCGCTATTTAATCCACTAACAAAGAGAGAGAAAGAGAGAGAAAGAGAGAAAGAGAGAAAACTTATCTATAAGCCCAAGATTGCCGAAGGAAAAAGTTTGAAAAAATTAAAAATTAAAAATAAAAAATTAAAAATTAAAAATAAAAATAAAAAAACCATAAAGAAAACATCAGGGAAAGCATATCCAGGCTTATTACTGAACAGCTGCACACTTTCCACTTTGCATTGCCATCCTCATAAGTATACCTCAACCACACACACACACACACACTAATAGCATTTTTACACAATGACTAATATTGGAGTACTACGGAATGTGTTTCTCGTCATTTTGTTTATAAACGTTTTCCATTTTGTAAAGGTGTTTCGACTAGAGGAGGAAAAACTTAGACAACTAGCTATAGCACACGCGTCGTCAATAGACTACACTACTGACGACCAGGTCCAGTATGACAAAAACAAAGATTATCACTTGTTGGAACCAAAACAGAAAATATCGTACCTATTAAATAAAGTACATCAAAATCAAGATAATCGTTATTGGCTAGCTGATACCTCGGTAGAAAATCCATCCGTTTTAATCAACCCACATGCTTACCTACCGCCAAGAACATACAACTATGTTGATACTTGGCAGAACAAGTCAGAACTATACTACGAGCCAAGGTTTACTCTTGCAATATACTTGGATGAATTAAAACATCAGCTCAAATTGTATAACCCCAATAATGAACGGCTGAAGGACCATTTGATACGAATGCCCTTTGCCTGGTCAGACTGGGTTGATTTGACTATGTTGAATGAAGAAATTCTAAAACCAATAAACGCACGAAGAACATGCGAGTCACTACAAGAGCGTGCAAATAAAAGGACAAAATACCCCAAGTGGTGTAAGAATTTGGTTGATTTGGATGACGAGGAAATCGAAGAAATTGGATTGTCAAGAGAAGATATGCCCGGATTTATCGTTCGTAGCTCCCCCATGAATAAAGCTCATCACAAGGAGGTTATGCTTCAAGGAAAAGGGCACTTGTTAACATCACAAGAAAACCCAATTGCAATGATCTTCCTAACTAAAGATGGAACTTATGAGACTCAGTTAATGGACCAGCGGCAGAGATTGGTGCGTACTGATTTATTCGAAAAGTATTTGAAAAGAAGAAATTTGGACCCTGAATCCGATTTGGAAGAGATTGAAATGAACCCACAGACAGAGTTTAATTCATTACTTGAAACTGTGCCTGCTAGACCACTAAATCGGGAAGATGACATATATCAGATGAGACAGATTACGAGACAAAAGAATTCAACCGCTTCACGAGAGTTACATCTCGATAAGGATGCATTTCATTATAAACAAGAGGCCATTGATGAGCAAATTAGTGACTATGAAGTTAGATTGAGCAAAATCCAGGAATCAGTAACCAATGAGTTGAGATATGATCCCGTAGTAATTGAAGAGAATCGATTGAACCGGCATGAAATTAATCATTACAATGGATTGAAAACTGCCAACAAATACCCAGTTGCCAAAGAACCAACTTATTACAAACTTGCCACTTTGAAAAAAGACAAGAGTAATAGTGATGCTGGATGGCATTATGAATGGAGGTTTTTCAATGGAGCACTCAGATACATCAAGGACGATACATGGACTACTCAACAGTTGGAAGTAAGGGAACAAATCATTCTTGACAGACTTTTGAGAAATTGGTTTAGATTTGCAGAGGAAAAAGGGATCATCTCATGGATTGCCCATGGTCCACTTTTGTCTTGGTATTGGGACGGATTGATGTTTCCGTATGATCTTGATATTGATATCCAAATGCCTAGCTCGGAATTGAACAGATTATCAGCCAACTACAATATGACTTTAGTTATTGAAGATATCAGTGAGGGCTATGGCAAATATCTTATTGATTGCTCTACATTTCTACATCATAGGGACATGGCGGTAAAAGATAATCATATTGATGCTAGGTTTATTGATATTGATAGTGGTACTTATATTGATATAACTGGAATTGGTATCAACAATGAGCAACCGCCACCAGAATATGATGGCTATATCAGAAACAAGCAACGCAAAAAGGAGTCTGTTGAATTATACATGGATAGAAGAAAGCACTGGTTGAATTTTGAAAAAATCAGCCCCTTGCATTACTCAATGATTGGTGGAGTTCCCGTGTACGTTCCTAACGATATTATGTCTATGCTCAACAACGAATACTCGGGTGGAACTAGATCATACTATTATGGAGGATATTATTATGTGCCATGTTTAAGATTGTGGTTACAAGTGGACAAGATCAAACCAATTTTCAAACCTGAGCAATACGAAGCAAAGACCAAAGTGCGTGAACGGGAAAAGTTGACTGAGTTGATCAAAAATCTCGACGATGAAGGTAAATTAAGGCTTTTGGAAATGCATGAGGATGTGTTGATTGAATATTACCTCACTCATAAATTGACTGCTTTGCATGAAATTGAAAAAAAGTATATGCTTGATCACACTTTACAACAGCTGATGTTCAATTTACTGGGAAATGTTGATTATCATCAATTAACGTCGAGGTTTAAAATGGGATCTGCGTTGAGAAAGAGCTTGTTTGATTTTGAATACTTTGAGAGGTTCAAACACATGGGCAAAGAGGAAAGTCAAGGTGAATATCTTGAAGATGACGACGGTATTGACCATACGTTAAAGAGTTATTTGCATTCTGTACCCACCCTGGATAAGGGCATCAATGGCAAACTTCAACGTAAAGTCAAGGATGTGAAAGTTCCCGAGACTGGAGATCTGGATGGCGATGATGGTGATGAGAGGCTCGACGTTTTTGACAAGGATGATACAGTAGATGTTAATGAGGATGATGATGATGATAATGATGATGATGATGATGCTTCACAAATGGCCGATAGTGAAGGAAGCGAAAGAGTAGGTGAGCATATTCAAATTGGTAGAGTTTCTTTGAAGTTGCCAGCTAGTGCTGTAAAGGTTAATGAATCACCAAAGGAAGGTTCCCTGGAAGATAAAGAAGGAATATCTGATTCCACATAAAATGAAGTGTATGATCCTTTGTTTGATCATGAAAATGATGTAACATTATACAAATGTCAGTGTACGAAATGGATATAGGTAACACCCCCCCCCCCCCATCTAATGCATATTTATTAATGAAATCTAATGTCTCTAAATAGTTGTTTAACTTTGTCGCGACAAAAACCAAAAGTTGAGACAAAATAAAAGATAATTTCAGATGCACACACAGCGTCACTTTGTTTCATCCAGGATAAATCTACAATAATGATGCATTCGTTAAGACTCAGCTTTCAAGCCACTCCAAGGGCGCTACACTCACCTATAAGAACATACTCGCGCTATGTGAGAACTGCACCAAAAACAGCATCTACCAAGAGTGCACCTAAACCTGCCTCGGCAACTGAGGAAGAATTACCTGAACAGGATACACCACTGACGGAATCTCGAACTGCTGGTGGCACTTCAACCGCATCATTTGCATTTCATGATGCTCCACCCGAGACAAGATCCACCTACAACCCTTCATACTCTCCCTCTTCTCCCTCCTCATTATTGCCCAATAACATTATCGATTGGTCTGACTCTTATCATGGACTAGGTTCACAACCATTTTCCAAAGAGATTGCCGATATTTTATTAGCACCAATCGAAGAGCAAGACATCGAAATCAAACCGGATGGTCTCTTGTACTTGCCCGAGATCAAGTACCGTCGAATCTTGAACAAGGCATTTGGACCTGGTGGATGGGGGTTAGTACCGCGGACAGAATCCTTGGTTACCAAGTCGCAGATTTCGCGTGAGTATGGATTGATATGTCATGGGAGATTGATAAGTATAGCTAGAGGCGAACAGGATTATTTTGGTGGGGAAGAAAAAGTGACTACGGCGTTGGAGGGTTGCAAGAGTAATGCGTTGATGAGATGTTGTAAAGATTTGGGAATTGCTAGTGAGTTATGGGACCCTGGTTTCATTAGGAGATGGAAGGCCAAGTATTGCGAGGAAGTGTTTGTTGAACATGTTGTGAATAAGAAGAAGAAGAAGTTGTGGAAGTTGAAATCGAATAAAAAGATTGATTATCCGTATAAACAGTTGTGATGGGAAGTTGAGTAAACCTTTCCCATCAAAATGGTTTTTTTATAAATAATGTACATAGCACAATTCACAAAGGATTCTTAATATGTATAGTAGCTACACTTGATGTTACTACTTATGGTTTGAAAATACCACGTCCAACCCCCAACTCCTCTACTGTTTGGGTGATTGGTCTTCTTTGCCAGATATCCCAGAATCCCTGCTGTGGTAAATCTTTGTTCTCATTTGCCAATTCGTATTTAGCGTCAGTAGTTGGACTACTTGTAGATTGGGCCCAATATGCACGGTCAACTATAGTTGCCAACGAGGTACCCAAAGCCCCCGTTATTACCTTGTGTTTAGCTGGCATGGATCTAAAAGCAGCACTCAAAACCACCGTGTTTGCAGCAGTCAACCCCCAGAACGTGTTCCAACAATCATTCTTTTCTCTCAAGTTGGCCAATGATGATTGTACACCCTTGGCTACTGTGAGGAACGTAACCACCGATATGGGGATCTCCAACTTGAAAGTGGTTCTTTTCCAAATGTACAAGAAGGCATATGACCCAACGGTTGAGTAGAAGCCGAATTTAAATAATTGGCCAACTTCTTTACGAGTGTCAATTGGATGCCATTCAGGGTATCCTAAACCTTTACTGAAATTGGCTAATGGGTTTGGATATTTGTTTCTGGCATCTGGAAGTGGTGTGGCTTCGGCAACCTCAACTTGCTCTGGCATTATTGATGAATGATTTTTTTTGAAACCCCGTCGTGTGTGCTGTCGGTCCTTCTCTCTGTATCTATTCGATTTTTTTTTCTTCTTTCACTCTGTGCGCCAATCAGATGGAAATTGATTGTCAAGAAAAAAAAAAAAAAAAACAAAAGAAAATGTTTCAACCAAACATCCACAGTTGACAGCTTCCTTCCTCATTAGGAACTCTACACTTTGCTTTGCCATTAAAAGTTTTTTTTTTTTTTTTTTTTTTTTTTTTTTTCAAGTCTCTCAACTCTTCAATTTTGGCCCGTTTCTTTCCATTAACTCGATTCAAAACTTCTTCTTCCTATCGCTACAGAACTACTAGCTAAATAACATCACATCACACAACAATGAACAAAGCTTTGGCAGCAACTGCAGTAGTAGCCACAGCATTTGCTGGGTACGCCATATACTTTGACTACCAACGTAGGAATTCCAGGGAGTTTAGAAAATCATTAAAGAAGAAGGCCGTCAAGCAGCAAAAGCACAAGGAGAAGGTCGAAAAAGAAACCAAGGAACTTAGATTAGAGACTGTGAAAAAGGCGCTCTTGGAAGATTTGAGAGCTAATCCAATCCCAACTGATTTGAACGAAAGAGAGGCATTCTTTATGGAACAAGTGGCAACCGGTGAACAGAAAGCCAAGGATAACTCTATAGATGCAGCCATCTGTTTCTACAAGGCGTTGGCTGTGTACCCTAATCCAACTGATATTTTGGGAGTTTACCAGAAAACCGTGCCAGAAGATGTTTACGAATTGGTTGTTATGATGATTGCCGTATACCCACCAGCCTCGGTATCTAGTATCTTGAGTAAAGGTGGTGCTGCACCGGGTGAAACTAAACCTTCTGAAGCTGATTTGGACTAAATTGAAAGAGACGATTGAGTTTGACATGTTATAATGGACATTGTGTTCTTTCTTTTCTCATTTTTTTGTTATCTTGAGATTGGTTATTGCGCTGTATATATTCGTGATTCTTTATATAACTGAATAGAAATAAAGATGGTTTATCATGTTAGGCAGGGTCACTTATTTAAGGCGGTGTTGTTGTTGTTACTGGCGTAGTATTATAAGGGGTAAACTGGTCTTTTGCTCTCATTCCCGCGCGATTCGAAAAGATTATGTACATTCCGCAGTACTCAATCAATCTTCGACTATCCGACTACCTTCCTTCCACCGAGAGTGGCTACTTTCCTTTATTTGTCACCGGAGCTAAGTCTCGTTCTGTCTCATGTTACACTCGCTTTATTACTTAATTCTTTCATTTGTTATACCAATCTTGGTTATTGGGCTGTCAAACAGCACAGCCGAGTTTCAATACAAAGGAGTGAGTATTGGTGGATGGTTAGTACTCGAGCCTTATATCACCCCGTCACTTTTCAATCACTCACTTTCAGATAATGACACGGAAACGGATCTTCCTGTCGATGAGTACCACTACTGCAAAAAGTTGGGGCAGGATAAAGCGTCCAAACGATTAGAACATCATTGGAGTACATTCTACAACGAGCTGGATTTCAAGGAAATACACGACCACGGTTTGAATATGGTAAGGATTCCTATCGGGTATTGGTCTTTTAAAAAGTTGGACGGTGATCCATATGTTTCTGGAGCACAGGAGTATCTCGATAAGGCAATCGAATGGTGCTCAAAGTATGATTTGAAGGTGTTGATTGATTTACATGGTGCCCCCAATACTCAAAATGGATTTGACAATTCGGGATTGAGAAATATCGGGTATCCCGGGTGGCAGAATAAAACAGAATATGTCAACCATACCACTGAGGTGTTGCGACAGATGTACGAAAAGTACGGAAGTGGTGATTATGCAACTAATTACAACAATACTATATTAGGAATTGAAGTGTTGAACGAACCCCTTGGTCCAAAGTTGAACATGACCGATTTGAAAAAGTTCTATGTTGACTCCTATAACGATGCAAGAGATATTCAAACGGTCAAAAATTCAATCTTGTTTCACGATGCGTTTCAAAACATAGGGTACTGGGATGATTTTTTCTCCAACGGACATATAAAGTATCATAATCGCACTTTGAACGATTCGGCCAAGTTTGAGGATATTGTGCTTGATCATCACCACTACGAAGTCTTTGGAAATGTTGTGGCTGACAATGTCACGCAACATTTGGAAAACATTGAAAACTACGCAGCTTCAATAGGTAAAGAGAAACATCCAGCAATTGTTGGCGAATGGTCAGCGGCGTTGACTGATTGTGCACCGTGGCTTAATGGTATTGGCTTGGGATCTAGATATGAAGGCACGTCACCTTACGACAATAAAGCAGCGGGTAAGTGCTCAGACGTCACTCGGGGCCCATCCAAGTGGTCAACTGAGCAAAAGAAAGATTATCGCAGATTTGTTGAGATGCAGCTCTATCAGTATGGTGCTCATACCAATGGATGGATATTTTGGTGCTGGAAAACAGAAGGACAAGCTACCGAGTGGGATTTTAAGGAATTGGCTAAATTAAAAATCATTCCGCAACCATTGGATGACTACAAGTATATCAAAAATGGGAAGGATACAAGTGGCGGAAGCAAGGTTGCCGTTGGTGGTTTATTGCTAAAGACCGTAATTGCAGTAGTTGCATGGTTTATTTTATAGAGAAAGGGGTTTAATTATACACAGGGTCTCTGGTAGCGTACTCTTCCACATTTTTCAAAACTCCCAATCTTTTTTATGTTTTTTTTTTTTTTTTCAAACTGTGGACACACACATACCAACCTCCCCATCCTCAGTTCCACATTTGATTGCTTTTAAAAAGAAAAAGAAAACAAAAAGGAAAAGATGGGTAAATCTGTCAATGTTGCTATTATTGGATCCGGAGTGGTTGGATCTGCTTACATTAACCAATTGAAGAGCTTAAAGACAAGCATCGCTTTTAATGTTGTCTACTTGGCCAGGTCTTCAAAGGAAGCACTTTACAATGAAGATTACAAGCCAATCGATTTGACCACTTACAGGACGGCACCAGCAAAGTCAGTTTTGAGTTTGGAAAAGTTGGCTGCATACTTAAAGGGTGCTCACAAGCCAACAATTCTTGTTGACAACACCTCAAACGAGGAAATTGCCAACAGTTATCCCTCATTCATCAAGGACGGAATTTCAATCGCCACACCAAATAAAAAGGCGTTCTCCTCATCTTTGAAAATTTGGAATGACATATTCTCCGGCTCTGAGCAAGAAGGAGCTGGGTTAGTTTACCATGAGTCGACCGTGGGTGCAGGCTTGCCAATTATTGGTCCATTGAAAGACATTGTCCTAACTGGTGATAAAGTGGAAACGATTGAAGGTATCTTCTCCGGTACTTTATCCTACATATTCAATGAGTTTTCTACGCCTGAGAAATCGGATGTACAATTCTCTGATATTGTCACCAAAGCCAAAAGTTTGGGATACACTGAGCCAGATCCAAGAGATGATTTAAATGGATTGGATGTGGCTAGAAAGGTCACTATTCTTGCTAGAATCGCGGGATTTGATGTCGAAAGCCCAACAAGTTTCCCAGTTGAGAGTTTGATTCCAAAGCAATTGGAAAGTGTTTCAAGTGCCGATGAATTTTTACAAAAATTGCCACAATTCGACGCTGATATACAAAAAATCAAAGATGAAGCATTTGCTGATGGCAAGGTTTTGAGATTTGTTGGTAAAGTTGATCTCAAGAATGACAAGGTTTCAGTTGAGATTGGAAAATACCCATTTGACCATCCATTTGCATCCTTGAAAGGAAGTGATAATGTCGTTGCAATCAAGACTGACAGATACCATAATCCACTCATTATTCAAGGTGCCGGTGCAGGTGCAGAGGTTACTGCGCATGGTGTTTTGGCAGACACTATAAAAATCGCTGAAAGAATCGCAAACTAGATAACTATGTACAGCAATAAACGTTATGTAATTTGTGAAACTGATTGCTCTTGCCAATTTGATTTTGCATCGCGAAACAAGTCTCTCAAAAACTCGACATTTTGACAGGCTGCTCTGAAATTTAACATCACTTTTTGCGAGTCCAAATGTGTTGCCCTCGAACTGCTTTCGTAATCTCCTGAAGGAGACATGGTAGAATTTACTCTGGTGACATGCATGTTGTTGGGAGCCAAGAAGAAATCGCCTTTGTCTCTCAATTCAACGATATAGAACCCCGTCAGGTGGATAAACTGTGCATATTGAAACGACGGTCTGCCCCAACTATAGGTGATGTCTATATTATCTCGCAGAAAAAAGGAAGTGGCTCTATTATCAAGTAAGAAATTCATCTTTTTCAAAAAACACAAGTGATAGTAATACCTGTTTGAGTTTATAATGCTAGGATCGGCAAATTCATCGTCAACTAGTGGGTTCACCGACAACTTGACTTCAACAAATGAATGAAATGGGCTCAATCGCGGTATCACGCACAATTCCTTCCAAGGAGTTTCAACCAACTTCAAACCATGCCTTTCACACAATCGAGACCACGCCATTATCGTATCCTCGATAAATTTGTTGGTGGTAGTGAGCCATTGGAGTCTGATGTGATAGCAATGGTCAGGATTGTGAACGCGATCATAATGAACAGTGATCACTTCTGGCCTGTATGATTTCTTCAACGGATCCACATCAAACTTTACAGCCTTGCTTAGTATAAATTTTTTGCTTCTCCTGCCTGTAGAGTCCGCCATGGAGGATGCTTCAGAGCCAATGTTATGAGCGGATGTGACTTTCACGAGCCCCTGCCCCTCTTGCCCTAGAATCTTTGGTGACGCGGTAGATTTCGACGTAATTGAGCCCTCCTTCTTGATGCCCCCGCCGCTAAACCAAGAACCTCGATTCACTTTATCTATTTTCTCAAAATACTCCTCTTCAAATTCGTAGAAGTAGTATCCATCAATAAATCCATGTCTCAGCTCCACGTGTTTGAAAAGACCTTTAGTCAAGAGGTTTTGACCATAGCTTACCGCAGCTTCTCGTGTATCAATATCTTCAAAACAGTCCACTAGCCAAGTCACAAGCTCACTTCCAATAAAGCACTGCAAATGCTTCTTGAAGTGCCATGTCCTATCTACAAGTTTCAATCCCGATTGTGGGTTTTGCAACTCAGTGGCCAATTCTGACAACTTTATACTCTTGTTGAAACGCATATTTTCCGGAATCATCAAAGTTGGTTGGTTTCCGGTAGTATCATAATTTTCAGCTTCAATCGTCAAAAAATCGTAAAGATTTCCAGTGTAAAAATTGACGTCAGAATATCGGTCAGCTGTTTTAGGCTTGTTTTGTTCTTTCTTGTACGTACCCTTTTCAATCACGGCAATCAACTTCCTCAATCCTTCAACTCTTATCTCCTCAGCATTCAAATGTTCGTTACTCAAATAGTATGCGTTTTTGGGAATTTCAGCAGGCATAACCACAAACTTCATCTTGTGGAATTCCTTCTTGTCGTCCGATAAGGCATCATCAAATCCAGCCAAGAACTGATCAAACTGATTCCAGTTGTACTTTTGCGGGTATTGAGCAATTGCATCCACTTGTGATGGTGAATAATCGTCTGCGTATCTGGTTCTTATCAAAGGAAAGTAGGGCTGAGCAATTCGTTGGCCAAGGGTGATCTTATTCTCTTCACCTTTAGCTGTCTTTCGATAAAGTTGAACATTTATATTTCCATTATAGTCGCAATAAATTCGATGTATCTCGTCATCCATCGACATGTATATCCTAGAACCAAGGTAATCATTATCTGGAAAATACTTGATAATGGATTCAGCACTACCGGCCGGAATTCTTTCAACCTCAGCCTTTTTTACACCATCGCCATAGCAAATTTGGAACCCTAGCATCAACCGCAACTGTATCATTTCTCTCATAAGTTCCGGAGTCGACTTCAATTCCAAGTAGTTTTCACTGTTTAAGTATACTGAATAGTTTTGGAATGTGTACTTCAGCTGTAGTTCCTGGTGTGTAGGGAATACCCCTGTAGTGATTGGCAATGCTGCTGGTGCTTGAAACGATCTCCATTTTATCAATTTACGTTGAATTTTTTCTGGAAAAAGGTTGCTCCACCTACTCACGTTCGACTTTTGAAGCACATTATTTGTAACTTCCCTCGAAGGGTTTGCAATTTCAATCCATAGGGAATTATGCTGTGGTGTCTCTGCAATGTCTGTGGTAGATGGAAGTTTGTTTCTAGCTTTCGCTTTTGGTTCCTTAAATTGTTTACGTTGTTTGTCCTCCTTTCTGGAAAATAGAGTCTCGCCTTTGATGATTCTGGGAGACTCTGAATCTTTGCGAAAAGATTCAATTTGACTACTTTGTATTGATCTTGAAACACTTTTCAACAGCTCGGTTGGTGATTCAGGCACCTTGTCCTCACTAAACTTGTTGATATTGTACAACCTGGATAATGCTGAGATTTCTCCAGCAGGATGGGCTACAGTCCCCACTGCGGCGGAATTAGTTGTTAAACTGTTTGTTGGAAGAAGCGAGGTTCTGTCATTAAAGATTAAGGAAAGTGTTGCTTTGGAATCTTTTATGGACGGTGCTTTAAACTTTGGCTCAGGGATATTGAACACCAATTCAGATTTGTTCCTTTTTTTGATAGGCAGGAAAATGGATTCATCATACTTTTCCATCGAATTGACTAGGGAGTCACCTTGTTGCTTTAAATACAAACGGGAAATGCGTGCATCGCTAGCCTCGTTCTCCATCACACCCATCATTTGCAATTCGTAAATCTTACATCTTGGCATCCATTGCGAAACGGCAGTGTCCAGTTTCTCTCTAAAGAAAGAAATATCACACCATATTGGTACACAGTGACTAATTTTCCCGTCCTTGATGAAGCGAAATAATGGGGTCACATGTAAAGGTGGTTGGCTCAAGCAAACAATATCGAGACTGGTGTCTATGCACGACATCTTCTTGCTTGTTTCTAAAAGTAAGTTGTAGTCAACGTCAAACAATCCAGTACCTGGTGTTATAAGTATAAAATGGTTTAGCGAATGTTTTAAATCTGTATTGCTAAAGCGGTTACTGAACAGCACCAACGCCACATTAACAGCCTCTAGAAAATTCCCTTTCACGGAGGGCAACATCTGGCCCTCTAGTACGTAATTGGAGTCTTTTTCAGGGTTCAACATGCAATCACGTTTGAAGTTGGCGAACTCGAGTCTCAAATTGGCCATGATCCGATCCCAGTGAACAATATTCACCTGGTCGACCACTACCCTGAAGTAATCTCGGCGTTGCGATGGTCGCTCACCAGGAAGAATATTGGTCCAAGGAACACTAGTGAGATCCATACTAGTGAATAACACAATGGTTATTGAGTGGTGTGTTCCCTTATCTCTCCAGCGTCGAAATATTTTGGGGAACAAATTATTAACCAATTTGTGAAACATAATCTCCCCGTTCTCTTCAAAGTTCCACATTTCTCTTGATAGCTGAATGAGGACTGTAAGCTTGGCACTTTCACTTCTGTATATAATCTTCGTGTCATTGTTGATATAACCAGAAAACACCTTCTTTCCGTTCTTGTACATGTAACGAACAATACCAGTTCTGCTATTCAAAAAGGAAAGGCGTTGTTCGGTGTAGCAACACGACCCAACTAGGGATGAGGAAAATTGCCACATAGCATCCCTAGACAAGTTTACATCCTTGATAAATATCTCCATCGAGTCTATAGCAATGGCATCCAAATTGGTAACACGTCGTACCAGTACAATGCTCCTGGGCGCTAGGTCTAGTAACCTTTGGAAAGGATTTGATTGTAGCGAGATTTGTGATTGGGACAGAGACTGTTGTTGCTTCAGTCGAGCATCCAACGGCTTTAATTCGGGTGTTGGTTGGTGGTCTCGAATATTTTGCTGTGTCAACTTGAACACCAACTTCTTGGGCAATTTTGCATCTGCGCTTTGTAGCTCATAGATTTGGCCTGGTGAAACGCCACCAGGTAACACATTTGAATCAACTAGTACGTCTTCAGGAGTCGTACGAATCTCGTGGAACCAGAGAGTCAATTGAATTGAACTCTTTGGTTCATCAACGTTACTGGTGAATTTCTGAGAATTGGGTATCTCATGCCTTGTGGGTTCGATATTATGGTTGTTTTTACGGCTCACCACGATGGATGCTCCATTGATCAGAAGCTGGGTATTTGATACATCACGCTTTGACCCAACAGTTAGTCTCGATTGGCTTGCACTCATGCGTCCCAATGAGGCATTCAACATATTTCCACTGTTACCGCCGTGTGTTTTAGTAGGAGGAGTGTTTGTCGATCGGTCATGTTGCATTGTGCTGGCCTGGATGCAGTCTGATATGTCTCCTGTCTCTTGAAAGTTTTTGTGAAGTTTTTGATTCGTGTTTTTCATACACTTCTCTCTCTTGATATTCTTACAATACAAACTCGTCTATAAACCATTGATGGAACCTGTTATCATCTGAAAGTTCAGGATGGAATGAGGTACCCAATATACGGCCTTGCCTTACAGCCACAATAAGCTCATTCTCTTTCCCGTCGTAGTTGTGTAATTTGTACAATACCTCAACTGGCGCTCTATTGACATGAGTATTCTTTGATCTTACAACCTTGTGTTCAGTAAAGCCATTACTTCCTTCCCCGTTCGACAAAATCTTGGTCACCACTGGAGCTCGTATGAAAACTGTTGGGAAACTATCGCAACCGGGGATGAAGTCGCTGAAATCCAATTTTTGCTCAAACGAGTCCACTTGTCTGCCAAATGCATTTCTGCTTACCTGAATGTCCAAACCGCCCAAGCATGTTTGGTTCTCTACCGCATTTTCGATTTCCCTAGCAAGAAAGATCAAGCCTGCACAAGTACCCCAGATGGACTTTGACTCGTTCGAGACGAAATCGTACAAGTGCGGAAGTAAATTTGTTCTCTCTGCAATATAAGACATGGAGCTACTTTCACCACCTGGGATCACCAATGAGTCGCACTGATCGAGCTCTTCCTTAGTTCGGACTGCAATGATATTGATGGAATAGTTCAAATATCTTTCTTCATTTTGTTGGATGACTGATTTGAAGTAGTTGATATGTTCCCTAAATGCACCTTGAAGAGCAAGCACTCCAAGAGTAACTGGCTTAGCTATAGTCATGTTTGCAAGAAGGCCGTGTGTTCTTCAAAGGATGATGATAACTGGATTCGACTTTTGGTTTGAGTTTGTGCATTTTGACTCAGGAATATTATTTTTTTTGTCTCTTCAAGACCCTCTAAGCGCATATCTTTGAGTCAGAGCCGAGAATAGCGGCAATAGGGTAAGGTACCGAGTCATAAGCGTCTGAATCATTACCAGCTACAAAAGAGAGAGGGCAAACGTGCAGCAGCAAAGATACTACACTGCTTTAGTGGCAAATATCCAAGCTCTTGGCAGTCTGAATACGGTTGTGAGATCGAATATAGCGAATAAATCACAATCAATTCAGCGAAAACCATCAATTTTTTTTTTTTTCAAAGGTGTATGAAATCAGTAACAATGTCCTCGCCAGGTAGTTCTGCGGAGCTCTAGATCATTAGTAAACGAAAAAAATAGCTTATATCTGGCCCGACCGTAGTATATACGCCTTCTCTTTTTGGACAATACTGAGAAAGCGTGCAATACGAGTCAAAAAATTGGGGATTGAGAGAAATGAACATCTAGGGGTTTTGTGTAAGCTGTCTCAAACTTTTTTTGCCCATAATAATAAAAAAAAAAAAAAAAGTAAAAAAAATTCAGTCATAATAATCACTCTGGAAATTTTTCACCATTTTTCTATTTAAAGCTGATCACAGTCTATCTTTCTTCCTATCTGAGTGGTGAATTTTCTACAAAACCGCCAATTTTATACAATTGCTCAGCATACAAGAACATCAAAGTATTGCAAGAATGTCCGATTTAAAAATAAAAGAAGGCTTAGCCAAAATGTTGAAAGGTGGGATTATCATGGACGTCGTCAATTATGAACAGGCCAAAATTGCCGAAAAAGCAGGTGCATGTTCCGTTATGGCACTTGAAAGGATCCCAGCTGAAATGAGAAAGTCAAACCAAGTTTGCAGAATGTCTGATCCTCACATGATCAAAGAAATTATGGACAATGTCTCAATACCGGTTATGGCCAAAGTTAGAATTGGTCACTTTGTTGAAGCTCAAATTTTGGAGGCCTTGAAAGTTGATTACATTGATGAGAGTGAGGTTTTGACTCCTGCTGATACTGTTGACCACATTGACAAGAACAAGTTCAATGTCCCATTTGTATGTGGAGCTAGAAACTTGGGTGAAGCCTTGAGAAGAATCAATGAAGGTGCTGCTATGATTAGGTGTAAAGGTGAGGCTGGTACTGGTGACATTTCATCTGCTGTTGACCATATCAAGACTATTACCAAAGACATTGAAGAAGCTTGCAAGTTGAAAACTGCTGAAGAGAGACAAGCTTTGGCCAAGGAATTAAGAGTACCTGTTGAATTGGTAAACACCGTTGTGGAGTTGAAAAGATTACCAGTGGTTACCTTTGCTGCCGGTGGTGTAGCTACTCCAGCTGATGCTGCCTTGTTGATGCAATTGGGATGTGATGGAGTATTTGTTGGATCCGGTATCTTTAAGTCGCTGAACCCTCAAAAGCTTGCAACTGCTATTGTAAATGCAGTCACCCATTACAATGACCCTCTCAAGTTGTTGCAATACTCAACTGACTTGGGTGACTTGATGCCAGGAATCTCTGTGGACTCAATCAAGGAAAACGAAAAGTTGGAAAAGAGAGGTTGGTAAGGGGTCCCCACAAAAAAATGTAATTACAAATTAGTGTTTGTTACGGGCATTACTGTCTTAATATTTAATAACAAATATCAAAGTTTCCTAGTATTATTTTCCTCATTATATAAAAATAGAACCATAAAGGAAGGGGGGTGGGGGAAGACCCACCTTTATTCTTCAAGACTCTACAAAGGCTAAGCACCTGAAACATTAGTGATACATGTTTTATGTTCGAGAATCGTCTTCCGAAACTCGTATCAGTTTGGGGAGTGTTTCGGGATATCTGTTCCTATTCCTGACATTCCCCGTAATTTGCTTCCAATTCAATGAAAAAAAGTATGTACAAATTTCTTAAAAAAAAAAAAAAAAACAAAAACTGATACAGCAATTTTGAGCTTGGGATCATAAACTAGACCAATGGAATATCAATAATACACTCCCCGATTGTTGTGGAAAAATCTGTACTCGTGGTTGCCCCTCATACAACAGGAACTGCCATATCAAGACCCACCCCAAAACGCTACCATTCACCAATACAATTTAAAGTAGTGTTACTTGGTGAATATATGTTGCAAAAAAAACTTGTAATTCATGGATTATCCAGTAAAAATGAAACCGGTGAGGGGTATCTACAATGACCATCTCTTATAATATGGAGTGAAGAATAAACCCACAATCAAAACCAGCAAAAGTAAAACGAGACAAAACTATATGTGACTAGGAATGACTTCATTTCTTGGGTATATAATAATATGATCTGCACACATAACGAGCTTCCACAATATCCAATATGATTCCGCTTCACATTTCAATCTTCAAGCAAACCATCTATCAGTAACACCACAGCTCGCTTTCCTATGCGAGGGTACCATATAGCTTTGTCATGCCCCTCTTCCCCAATTCTTAACGACTCCACTGCGTATTGACAAAACCAAGAAAAGAGGACCAACTTGAGCCAAGAAATTTATAGTACACGCATCAAATCTCGTATCAGCCAATACATAGAATTTAATTTTATTATCATTCGACAAGCAGGGGAGATTATGGTTTCCGTTCCTACCCTCTGTTAATCACGCTTGATTCCGCTTCACGATTCCGAGCTGTTCAATTCCGTTCCTCAAAGAAGGCTGACTTCGATGTTTCCCAATAACAGATGTGCTATATTTGATACCCCAGTTTGGAATTTACTTTCTTGAACAATAGTATAAATACAAAGTCATGTAATTCACTCAAGGATAAAACTGCTTAGACATCCTCCATTCACAATTAGTGCCTAAGATAATCTAGAATAGAGGAAATGGAAAAGGATTGTGCACTAGTTGATGTCGAGAAGGCTTCCAGTCAAGTTGATTCAGCCGAGAAGGAACTGAACAAAGCAAAATGCAAAGACTTTGAAGATAGGCTCGAACCGGAACGGTATGGAGAAACTCAACGAAGACTAAACTCTCGTCATGTGAATTTGATGATTATGGGCCAGTCAATCGGTAGTGGCTTGTTCCTTGGTATAAGATCACCTTTAAATACCAGTGGATCGTTGTCCTTCTTTTTGGCATTTTCCATATACGCAGTTGTCGTGGTGTATCCATTGATGCAATGTATTGGTGTCATGTGCGCATACCTACCCATAAAGGGCACATTTATTCATTACAGTGCCAGATACGTCGATCCTGCCCTTGGGTTTGCTTCAAGCATGATTTACATTTATACGTGTATGATGTTTGTTTGCATTGAAGCGACTGCGGTTGCTCAGTTGATAGGTTACTGGTCAAATCTCAACCCTGGCGTATGGATCACACTTTGTATCTTGCTATACCCGTTGATTGGAATATTTGGCTGCAACATTTATGGTGAGGTTGAGTTCTATGCTTCAATCTTAAAGGTGTTTTTGATAACAGCCTTGATGCTTTTCTCATTGATTTCAATGTGTGGTGGCAATCCACAGCATGATGCGTATGGTTTCAGACACTGGAGAGAGGGAGGCCTCTTTAGAGAGTATTTGGTTGGTGGGGATACAGGCAAGTTCTTAGGTTGGTGGAGCTCATTGATTTGGGCAGGATTTGCAGCTGGAGGAGCTGATGGGTTTTCCATGATTGCGTCTGAAGTGCAACGACCAAGAACAACTATGCCCACAGCAGCAAAGAGGGTTTACATTAGGGTTTACTTATTCTATATTGGCGGCGTGTTTTTCCTCAATTGTTTGATTTCATCAGTAAATGAAAGATTGGTCGAACAATTATCAGCTGGCTCGACAACTTCAGCCGGCTCTCCCTGGGTGATTGGTATAGAAGATGTTGGTGTCAAAGGTTTGGCGTCAGTGATTAATGCATGTGTAATGACATCAGCATTTTCGTGTGGTAATGCATTCTTTTATTGTTCAACCAGGTCGCTTTACAGTGCTTCGTTAGCTGGTTACTTGCCAAGGTTTTTATCAAAGTGCTTAAAGAATGGATCACCAGTTTATTGTGTGCTAATCACATTTTTGGTTTCGTTGGTTGCGTATTTGAATGTTAATGAAGATGGGATGGTCGTTTTCAACTGGTTTGTTAACTTATGCGCCACAGGGTTATTATTATCATACATTTGTATGTGGTGGTCGTATCTCCAGTTCCGAAAATCATGGGAAGTACAACATCAAACCAAAATGAGAAACCCAGAATATCCTTATTTCACCGGACCAAAATGGCTACATCCTTATTTAACCTACTTGGGCTTCACATTTACAGTGTTGGTGGTTGTCTTTAATGGATTTTGGATCTTTTTCCCTGGCAATTTCAATGTCTCCAACTTATTTACCAGTTACTTTGCTCCTGTGTTCTTTGTCTGCTTATTTTTGTTTTGGAAAATATATAAAAAGACTGAATTTAGAACGCCGTTGACAGCTGACATCACCAGTGGTAAGCAAAGAGTTGACGATGAGGAAGAGGTTGAGGAGAGAGAATTTGCAGCAAAGCAGGCAAAGTATGTGACGGCAGCATGGTATGTCAAAGCATGGAGATGGCTCTACAACCTTTGCTTTAGTTGAGTAGTAGTATAGTTTATGTTTTAAAAATTATATGGTGTCTGCAACGAGATTACAGAGTGCTTGCCTCTTCCTAGAGTGCAATTGTGGTGCGCTTTGGGAGGACTCACTTGAGTTTAGCGGATACATGCAAATTCTAAATCTAACCTTATCTCGTTTAAGATCTGGATTTCGGTATATCTGTATTCAATTGCCTGAAGCGGAATATCCAATTCCGATAACTAATTATTACACAATAACAATTATTATTAGACAACAGAATTCCATTTTTTTTTTTCAGTACATAAAGTGGCCTATTGTTGCAAGATTCCGCTTCATTGATAAAGCTGTTTCTCTTTGGGGGCGGGCCATGGCGAAGATGAAACAGATAAGATTTAGAATATAAAGACGCGCTCACATCCATCAGTTACAGTAACTGAGGGCTGATTGCTTTTAGTGAACGTTTTTGCTATTACAAGGTTCTTACGAGGAGCAAAGTACAGTTGACATTCGTCATGAGCAAAAAACAAGAGTCCACAAATGTGTTTGTCGATGTTGAGAAAGGCTCAATCGAATCTGCTGCAGTTCCTTTCAGCAAAGGGTTCAACTCAGAAATCCCCGACATCGAAGCTTACGGACAAACACAACGGAAAATTACTCCAAGACATGTGAGTTTGATGATTATTGGACAATCGATAGGAAGTGGTTTATTTGTTGGAGTGAGATCTCCTTTGCATACAAGTGGATCCTTGTCTTTCTTTTTGTCGTTTGCTGTGTGGGCAGTATTGGTGATTTATCCATTGATGCAAGTTGTGGGGGTTATGTGCGCCTACCTACCCATCAAGGGTTCGTTTATACACTTTAGTGCCAGATATGTTGATCCAGCACTTGGGTTTGCTGCAAGCATCATATACATCTACACTACAATGATGTTTGTATGCCTTGAGGCAACCGCCGTTGCCCAAGTGATAGGTTACTGGACAGATATCAACCCAGGGGTATGGATAAGCATTTGCATTGTTGTTTATCTCTGCATTGGATTCGTTGGAGCCAATATTTATGGAGAAGTTGAGTTTTTTGCATCGATATTGAAGGTGATTTTGATATTGGGATTGATGCTTTTCTCACTCATATCCATGTGTGGTGGTAATCCTCATCATAACGCATATGGTTTCCAGCACTGGAATGAAGGTGGATTGTTTAGAGAGTACTTGGTGGGCGGAAGCACCGGGAAGTTTTTGGGGTGGTGGAATGCTTTGTTATGGGCAGCTTTTGCTGCAGGGGGTCCTGATAATTTGGCATTGTTGGCTGGGGAGGTACACAGGCCAAGGAAAACCATTGCTTCCGCGGCAAAGAGAACGTATCTTCGTATTTACCTATTCTACATTGGTGGCATATTCTTTTTAAACTGTTTGATTTCATCCATCAATCCAAAACTTGTTGAGCTGTTGACTTCTGGTGCACAATCATCGGCCGGATCGCCGTGGGTAATTGGCATTGAACAAGTTGGAGTGAAAGGATTGGCATCAGTTATCAATGCTGCAATTTTGAGCTCGGCGTTTTCTTGTGGGAATGCCTTCTTTTATTGCTCAACACGGTCAATTTATAGCGCTGCATTGGCGGGTTACGTACCGAAATTTTTTGCCAAATGCATGCCAAATGGTTCGCCAATATATTGTGTTGCAGCAACATTTGCTGTTTCATTATTGGCACTCTTGAACGTGAACCAAGCTTCAAGTAATGTTTTCAATTGGTTTGTGAATTTGGCAACAACAGGTTTGTTGCTAGCATACATTTGTATGTGGTGGTTCTACATCGGATTTAGAAGAGCCTGGGAGAGACAACATGGTACCACAATGAAGTCGCGTTCATACCCGTACTACTTGATGGCAGGATGGATGCATCCGATAATAACCTACGTTGGGTTTGCACTAACTGTTTTGGTTCTATTTTTCAATGGATTTTGGATCTTCTTCCCCCATCAATTTTCAGTGGCTAATTTATTCACCAGCTACTTTGCCCCGGTATTTTTCATTTGCTTGTTTGTGTTTTGGAAGTTGTTGAAGAGGACGAGATTTGTGCGTGCCGAGGATGCCGATATCACATCAGGCAAACAAGAGATTGATGATGAGGAGGAAGCGGAGGATATAGAATACGAGCAAAAACAGGCTCAATACGATGGGGCTAATTGGTATGTGAAATTGTGGAGGAGTATATATAGCTTCTGCTTTACCTGAGATTGGAAAAGAAGTTGATGGCGAACCTTTGCTTATTAATGTAGCAGCGCAGCATTGGAAGATTGCAGTTCGACCATTATCAAATAATATGTATACGTTTCTTCGATATTGAACTTTAAAATAAGAATGCTATTGTGTAGATAAAAAAAATACAAATTAGGAAACGAGTACTACCCCTTTTCTAAAAGATCCATCCCAAGAATTTCTCATAAAACCATTCCTTGTCATACTTCTTTCCTTCAGCTTCTCTTACTGCCTTTCTCTCAGCATCTTGAGCTTCATATTGCTGAAATTCGGAGTCAATGACGTCTCTAAAGGTGTCCAAGTCAACTTCAGTTGGCGATAACCATTTTGTCTTTTTCCAGAACTTGTATCCAAAATAGAAGATGAAAAACACAGGAAGGATGATGTAGCCAGTAATGAAGTTTTTGTAAGTGAATGAATCTCCAAGGAAAACTGTAAAGTTTTTAATTAAAATAACAATCACGCAAAAGCCCAAGCAGAAGTAGCTGGCATAAGGTTGCAAAGGGGAGCGGTACACTGTATCCTTTTTCCGGTCAAAACCTTGTGCTTTCAATGCTCTCATGAACCCAATGTGGAACAAAAGAATACAAGACCAAGCAATCAAACCAGTCAACGAAACGACATTGACAAAGTAACCGAAAACTTCAGCTGACCCTGAAGACACATTCATGTAAGCAAGCAAACAAAACAAGAAGGATACAAGAAGACCGTAGTATGGCACACCCAATCTATTCGTCTTGGTGAAGATTTTTGGGGCGTACCCATCAGCAGCCAATGAATACAATGCTCTACTGCAAACGTAGACGTCTGAGTTTGCAGCAGATATGACAAACAACAAAATAGCTGCGTTAATGACGTGGTCCAATCCACCGATTCTTGCATTTTTGATGGCAATGACAAAAGGCGAAGCACCAGCGTTGGTACCGGAAGCACTCAACAATAACGGATCTTTAGCTGAGACACACATTCCAACAAACAAAATCGACAAGACGTAAAACACAAGGATACGATACAAAGTCAACTTGACTGCTTTTGGAATTGCTCTTCTTGGGTTTCTTGTCTCACTGAAAGTAATGGCAACCAATTCAGTTCCCAAATAAGCAAACACTGCTGTGACCAAGACTGCCACAAAGGACACAAATCTTCCCGTCGAGCCACCAATATAAAGGTTTTTTGAAGAGTCAGCATAGTGAATGAAAGCACCAGGATCATTCCAGAATCTGAAACCAATTCTATCATGGGTTGGACCACCTCCCAATGCAATCACCCATAAAAGTATAATCAACCCCAAACACGTCACAACTTTCAAAGAACTCAACCAAAATTCAATTTCACCAAAGAACCTAACTCCAAGGAGGTTGATGGCCATGATGACAACAAGGATGATAGTGATCCATACACCAGGATTAACTTTATCACGATCAATCCAATACTGGATCGTCAAAGCACCGGCAGTTAGCTGATTGGCAGGCAAAATCAAGTACTTTATCAAATACGTGTATCCACAAGCGAAACCAAGAGCTTCATCACAGTATCTTTTTCCATAATTGGCAAACCCGTTCAAAGGCACCCAGCATGCGATTTCTCCCAATGCTGTCATCACTATATACACCAAGAACCCAATGGCACCGTACGCCACCAAAATGGCACCAGGGCCAGCAGTTTTCAATGCACTACCAGTACCAATTAATAAACCAGTCCTAAAAATGAAAAAAAAACAGTTAGTAAAGCTGAGTCATGAAATGGGGATTCTTAAAGTTTCTTGCTTGTATCAAAGTGACACGATTCATGGTGTATTGAGTGAATTTGAGTCTGGTGGGGTGCATGAAGTCATGGCAGGTCCAAAACGCCGTATGAGATGGATTCGGGGAAATTTGGCGTTTTTGTGTTGAAAGACAGTTGTATTGTATACAGGATATTGTATGCTTCCCCACCATCTTCTTCTTCAAAAGAATAACAAAGAAGTCATCTCTCTCCCTCTCTCAATCTTTTCAATGTAACGGGAATAAAAGTCCGACAAGTACAAATTTTATTATTTTTTCTTGAGTGGTTTGATTCCGACCCGAGAAACTTCGAGGTCATCAATATGTCATCTCATCTTCTCAATTCATGATGACTTCTGAGCTTTGCACGCTTGAAAGTGCATCTCTTGTAGGAAAAGTGTCACTTTGCCGTGTAAGAAACAGGTTAAAGTAACAAGCAGTGTTACTGAGTTAAAAAAAAAAAAACAAAAAAAAACACATACCCTAATGCTCCACCAAGAGCAATCATACTGACATGTCTTGAATCCAAAGCTTGTCTCAACTTGTGCCCTTCCTCTTGATTTATTGCCAATGGATCTGATTTTGCCACGTACAAGTCATACTCTGCCGTATGTCTGGAAACAACGCTTTTCAACTCTTCATCGTTGGAGTAAGATGCAACATTTTTTTCACTACGAATGGATTGTTCGTCGTTTCCTCCCAGTTTGTGATTACTTTTGAAGATCATTGGTAAGTGAAATAAAAGTAGTAGTTGTAGTAGTTGCTGTTGATGCAGGAAGAAGTAGTCGGAAATGTAGATGGGATTTTTGTTGGATTTATAAACTCGTTCCAAAGATAAAAAAGTCTGTGACGATGGATGCGGAGGTCAATAGGATTTTGTACTTTGAGTGCTGGCGATATACAAATATCACATTTGTGTACATACTCTTGTACTACAATCCTCTGCTCCAGCTAATTGAAGCACAAAATTCCACTCATACGACCTCAACAATAGTTTGACAATCAGGCGTTTGGTTCGGTAGGGAGTCTGCTTAACTATGCACTCTATAGCTCTGCAACACAAAACTGCGTTTGGAGTTTCATTTGCGTAATTTTATAATGGACACGGACAGATTGGACAAACGACGGGGAAGAGACACCAAGCTAATTCAGCTTGATTTGGTATCGAGGCTTGTTAGAGTGAAGCAAAAGGGATAGTTATGCTCTCTGTAAACATCCAGTTACTGCTTGTGCCAAGCTCTCTGAAACTTCTATCTTTCCCAGCGCTGTGGTGTTGCATTCGGAGAAACAATTAGATGATGAAATTGTGCTACATACGTTGTAAAAAACAAAAAAAAAAAAAAACCAAAAGACAGACAAAGAAATCCAAGAAACACAAAAATTACAATTATACAATTTTCTGAATATGGATTTTGCCAAGAAAAAAAAAATAATTCAAAAAAGTGTTGTATAGATAACAACTAGATGTGTGTGTCTTGTTTCTACAGATTGCCGTATGAATAACCTTCTGTTGTCATCATTTATAAATGATATGCAGTTAGTGTGCTCTTCTTATCTCATCCAAGACCAAAGAAGAAATTTAAGCGAAAAAAGTTCCGCATAGTTTCAGGTCCACTCTTCAGTACAATTCTGAATGAAAAGGGATTATTTCAATTAAAAAGCTAATGTTGCCAAGGCTATCTTTGATCGTCTTTTGCAAAAGGTGATTCACTGAATCTTTTCTTGAAATTATTTTACAAATAGAGGTCAGCACATTTCCGTAAGTTGCTCTCGTTTATGAAGTTGAAAGTGTTGTAAAGACACGCGGTGAAGGGGGGAGGGGGTGGTAACCTCTGAAGCAGCAGTCTCTTGAAATGAAGAATTGGCTGAAGATATATAATGAAAAATGGTTTTCTTATTTATTCCAAAAGAAGATAATTTGAAAAATTAAGTGGGAAATAGAATCCCTATTCATATTCTTTTTAATAAACTTCGCACAGTAGGATGAAACTGGTGTGGCCTTGCTGGCAACAGAAACCCCCCTCTGAAGTTCACCAGTGCAAGGATTATATGAAACATTTTGTAAACTTAATTTAGGTTGCGAATAATATTTGATGATGGTTCAAAGTCATGTGCGACTCAACGAACTCTCTAGCTGTACTGGTGAAAATTGTTTCACTCACTGTATAGATGTTTCCTTCTCAGCCTTTCCTTGAAGGACACATCTACCCTATCTAGTCAATATACGGTTAAACCATCTTGTACAGTCTTATCTCCCTACCCAAGTGTCGTAGTGCATACTAGTCGACATATTTTTTCCATCAGTTATAGTCTACGCGTTTCTGTGTCTGACTTTGCCCAGCAAGGGACAAATTTATTTCTCATCGCTTGTTCCCAATCCCAATCCCTCATCGAATCAAAGTCTTCACACTATACCGCTCACAAATGGAAAATATACCGTGCACACGACTGAAAGACTTCGTTGACTCCGCCCTAGATAGCATGTCTGACCACTTCACAGTCGGCCCCACCAAGTACGGTGGAAGAGGGTGCTTTGCAAGTTCAGCGATACCAAAGGGGACACAGGTCCATTACTGCCCTTCACCAGTCGGTTCCTCGATTGCGAGGCCGTTCAGAAAAGAAGTTTGCACCTACTGCTTTTGCTATAATAATGGTGACCTTATGAAGACGAAACTCACAAAGACAATGCGAGGAAGGAAAGACTCCGGCTCTCTTCATTTTTGCAGCAAGGAGTGCCTCGATAACTTTGTTGGTCAAGATATAGATGACGTATTACTAACTAACCTTCTATTGGTGGAACAAAACTACTTACAAGGATTGAGCAAACCGGAAGTCGATACACTAGAACCTGTGGGTGATTTGGATGTACAAATAGATCGTGAATGGGAGCGAGTAGAACAGTGGGCCAGACAAATCGATTCAACGCGGAGCAGCAAAAGAGTCAACTTCCTTCCAAGAGTTGACGAAAGTGAATACCTTGAGATTAAATACGTGGTCAATGTGTTGTTCAATAAGTTCAGGATAAGCCACCCCAACAACGCCAATGAACAGTCACTTTCGGTAGAATTATTCTTGTTTGATCTCTTGCAATCAACCGAACGTGAAAAGTACCACAAATATCCCTACCTTTTGTATTCTTATATCAACATATTCAAGTTTATCAAACTCACTTGCACAACCGAGCTTCAACAATATATCACCACTGATATTGTAAGATCTATCATAGGTAAAAACCTATCTAATGCCTTTGGCATATGGTCCGCCACGACAAGTGTAGATGAAGACAAGGAGTTTCTCGGGTTTGGCGTATACCCATCGGCATCTTTTTTCAACCATTCTTGTGATCCAAACATTATCAAAATCAGAATTCGAAACGATATGCGATTCGAAACATTGAGAGATATCGCCGAAGGTGAAGAGTTGTGTATAAACTACGGAAACTTTCAGAACGAAGATGTCGCCAAACGACAGTTAGAATTAAAAGAATGGTTTTTTGATTGCGGATGCATAAAATGCCAAGCTGAGTTGGCAGCTTAGGTGAAGTCATATTTGCTATAAAATTGTTTAAATTCCTCACAGTCAGCCATCTCCTTGACTTTCGGTTGTTTGCATTTATCCCATTGAACGCGATCGGGTAGATTTAGCATGTGCGCAAGCACTCTTCTAGGGAATTGTATGTCGAGTGGTTTGCCTTTGGTCAATTTGGCGATGTAAATTTGTGACTCTTGCTCGCCCGTGTATACAGTAAACTTGATGTAATCGTTCTCCTTTTCAATGGCCTCGAGTGCTGGATCATTGCCGTTACCAAACTCAACAAACTCAAGACTCTGATTCCGCTTAAATTTTTCGTTATTGATTTTGGTTCTATACTGCAATGATTTCGAAAAGTTATCAAGCTGCGACTCGTAAACAGGCAAGAATTGGACATTGTGATGAACATTGTCGTGACGGTTCAACTCAAAAAATATCAATCTAAGAAACGGTTTCTGATTCGCAAAAGCTTTTACCAAGGTTTGTTGAAACTTGGTGATCTCTTGCCGTATGGGGCTATTAAGATCATTGACACTGGCGATGTGCTGGATCGGAATTATAATTCCGTGACCAGAGAATGATAAGTCTTTATTAGATCTTGTAAGTGGACCTTTTGCAACCGTTAAATACGCTTGTGAACCAATCGATACAATCATATGCGTCTCGGTTTTAGGATTGCTTAAGCAGAAAAAGCACTGATCAGGAGTCACAACTTTCGCCTTCTTTGAGGGAGCCACATCTTTGCCACTGTCTCGATCTTCGTTTGATCTTTTCTTCGTAAGATATGGATTTTTAACCGACGCGGTTAAAGGCTCTTCATTATCGTTGATCGTGAATGCGTAAAACCATTTTTCATTACTTCCCTCTTGTGCCAAACTAATAAATCTAGTGACCTCGCCACTAGGCCATGAAAACGGTTCATTCTCGTGATAGATTCCGCTTTCGGAGTTGCCCACGGCAAAATGATATTTTGGTTTGATAAGTTTTACCAAATCGTCTATTAGCTCTTCACCGTCAACAGGAACCGATGCGATGAGCGACATTGTTTTTGCCCACTTGAAGGTGAAAAGCAAATCGATGCTTGCTTTTGTTTGTGATATTTTTGTGAGAGCCTCTTTCAGAAGTTCACCAGAAACAATCAACATCGTCACACCCGATACCAACCTGATGATACTATACGGAGGCTTAACGTAGGTGAGATTTTCAGCCACATCAACTAAGCTAGAAGACAGCTCAGATAGTGATTTTAGTGAAACCTCTTCAGAAACCCCGTTACCACCTTGTGTGAAATACGTACTTTCCAATACCTCTGTACGGGGTAGTGGTTTGCCCACTGGTATGACATCTCCCATCAATATGGTTGCCATAAATGGCCCCAACTTTTTATTTTGCCCATTGGCTTTTGCCAAAGCTTTCTCTAAGTTTTCTGGGTCTGGATTGAGCACTAGGATCTTCGTTTCATCCGGCATGGCAGTGTTATATTGCAGCAACTTCAAAGCTCTCTCTTACCTTTTGGTACAGTCCACACACACAGACGCACACACACGATGAGATAAAAAAAATAAAACAAGAAAACACAAAAGAAAATCTCAATCACGTGTATGTAATGTTTTGTTTACCATTTTTCTTCACCATCCGTACCCCAACCTTCCTTTCAAATCACACCAGCACCATGAATAAGGACCTGAATAGCATAAAGGTCCTCGTTAGAGTTAGGCCCATACTACCGCGAGAGCTCGCAAGCAATGAAGAAGGGACACTCCCGTCATCCCTTGTATCAATGCCATCCCCGTGTTGCACAACTGTCGTTAACCCTATCACCAATGAGCGTAAGCAATACTACTTTGATGATTGTGTATGGTCTTGTAATCCCAAAGATGAGAACTACATGGACAATAAGCAATTCTACAATAAATCAGGACCAGACTTGCTAACACACTTGTTTGAAGGGTTCAATGTTTGTTTACTCGCTTACGGACAGACAAGCTCAGGTAAGACATATACAATGATGGGCGAAGACGAGCTGCCTGGCGTTATTCCGTCCTTGATAAAGGACATTCTCAAGCAGATGGAAATCTCTGTAAGCCAAAAAGTTCAATGCGAGTTGAGATTTTCTTATGTCGAAATTTACAACGAGCAGGTCATGGACCTACTCAACAAAGACCAAAATGTAAAGTGTCGAGTTCGTGAAAACCCTCAAACAGGTCCATATGTTGAGAACGTAAAGGAGGCCATAGTCTCTAGCTACGAGCAGTTTTTGGAACTTTTAAAGTTGGGCAACAAGGTGAGGTCCACTGCTTCAACCTTGATGAATGAGCTCAGTTCAAGATCCCATGCTGTTATAACGTTGACGCTATTGCAAACAAGATACGAAAATGAAGCTGAAGGTGGCATAGGGAACGCAAGTGAGCAAATGACTTCAAACATCAAATTAGTCGACTTGGCTGGTTCAGAGAGGTTAGCCAAGACAAAGTTGTATGGCCAACAACAGCGAATGAAAGAAGGAGCACTGATTAATAAGTCTTTAACTGTTTTGGGTCGCTGTATCAACTTGTTGGCACAAAAGAGCACCAAGTCAATAATACCTTACAGGGACTCGATCTTGACATACCTTTTGAAGGAAAACCTTGGTGGTAATTGTAAAACTTGTATGCTATTTTGCATATCTCCATTGGATTACGATGAAACAACGCAAACGCTCACCTATGCAAGTGAGGTCAAGAAAATCAAGACTTTGGCCAAAGCGAATAGAACAAAGTTGCCAACTGTGCCGGTCAATTGGGACGAATTAAAGAACTCAGAAAACAGCGTAATTGATTCACTCCGGAGTGAAGTTGAGACATTGACAAATAAATTGACAAGATTGGAGTTGGAGAAGGATAACCTTTCTTCTAAACTGGAGCTGACATTGGTAGAACAGGAAGAAACTTCCAATGTTAAACGTTTGATGGAGTATCTTGAGAAGGAGTCGGCAAGAGCAAAATTTGAGAATAGATACTTGAAACAACACTTGGCAAAAAGGGACAAACAGATTACGGAACTACAAAGCCAAGTCGATTTTATATACCGCTTTGAGTATGCAAAAGCTAGAGAAGAGCTGGCAAAGTCGCTGTTGATCAAGGAAATAGAGAGCTGTCGTAATGCGATAGATGTCGATCTTGTACAATTCGATCCTGCCAGACTCTTTTCTTGATAAATCATACAAATGTTGCATTTTTAAAAATTCCAATCTCTATAGTCAAAAAAAAGCGAAACCTGCCAATCTGATTCGGCTGTTAGTGATAATAGCTTGTCACGATATTTACAGCAATCAGTAAGTTGGGTGGGTACCTGCGGGAAAAAAAAAAGAAAAAAATAAAAACCAACTCCTTTTACGTAATCCTCTCACTCAAGAGGAAAGTCAGGCGCAGAAAAACAAAAGTACTTCTAAATATAAATCTTCCACCTACCGGACATCAAGGGATCACGTCAGAAATGGATACATTGTTCCACTCTTCTGTCCAGGAAGCAGTACAACTTACTATCCAGAACCACAAACCTTTATTTGTGTTTTTAGCGCTGCTGGAGAGCACAACCAATGATACTTTCTTGAATAAATTTATCGGAGAACAAACAGTTTCACGGTTGCGTGAAAAGACAGTGCCTTTAAAATTAGTACAGGGCAGTATCGAGTTTGGTTACTTTGAGCAACTTTTCAAGAACTTGATTGTGCCCAGCTTCTACATTGTGCTGCAGGGGAAACTTCAAACAGTGGTCACACTCGACTTTTCAAATGACAACTTTGATAGGTGCATAGCTCAGCTTTCAGCAGGGCATAATGACTCAGGCAACACGTCTCTGTCTACTGCTACTAATACTACTACTACCACTACCACCACTACTCCTTCCTTGACAACTTCCTCGCAAATGCCACCCACTGCTCAAACTTCCACTGGTGATAGGCTGGTACCACATCCATCGAGTGCTCATACCACTGGTAGCCAAATGTCAACAAATGCACATCCTACTACTGACGATGAGCATGAGCAATCGGTTCTAAGGCACAGGAGAGTGGTTGAGCAGCAAAGACAAGAAAAGCTAGCGGAGAAGCAACGCTTGAGAGAATTAGTGGAAGCTGATAGGAGAGAAAGGCAAAGCAGAGAACGTGAGGAGAAGGAAAGTGTAGTTGACGGTGTGAGTCCTGTCTTGCAAGGGTCATCCAGAAAGCTGGGACATACTAATTGCCTTTTGGCGATCAAATTATTTAATGGGAGCACCATCAAACAGGATTTCAAACCAGATGATACACTAGTCACTGTGCGCGCCTACCTCGACGAAGAGGTGAAAATCATACCTTCCACCAGTAACATGCCCTCGTTTGCCAGCACGACGTACCCTACAGGATATTCCTTCCACAGGCCTAGTTTACCCCGCATTACCTATTCCGAGGAGCAGGAATCCCAGTCATTGGCTGATCTTGACTTGACACCCAGATCTATATTGATTCTTAAGCCAACGTATGATCAGACACAATCCAACAAAAAGGAGTCTCGAAACGCCAAGGTGGGAGTAATCCGAAGCGTTTATAATTTTGTTATGGGAATAGGAAGGGCATTATACTCATTCTTTGATTATGGTGTGGACGATGTTCAGAGACAAATTAGCACAGAATCACCAGCAGCCCCACACCAAGAGGATGAAATTTTAGACCTTCACCAACCGATCGCACCGGGTGTGCTATCACTTGGGGATAGAGGATTGTCGTCTTCGCTAATAAGCCTTGAAAGGGATGAGGCGACCCCTCTAGAATCTCGAGCTTCAAGTCCCAGGCCCACGTTGAGTCGAGTTCAAACCATTCACGATGAGGTCAGAGATACCTTGCGAGATACGTATAATGGTAACAGCATCAACCTCAGAGATGATGACCAAGATACATAGTGGCGGAGGATCTATATAGGGGAAAAACTATATACATAAATAAATAGTCTATGTGTGTGTGTGTGTGTGTGTGTGTGTGTGTGTGTGTGTCACGACTTGATAAATACCGCACAGAGAGATAAAATCGTGTCTTGAACCCTCTCTTCAATTCGATGCAAATTTCTTTAGCAACAACACCAAGCAGCACATGGATCAATCGAGCTTGGATAATCTCTTGAGATTCCCCGGCTATGGCCAAACAGTTGTTAGTGATGCGTCTATGCTTTCATGTGGTTGTTTGACTTCGGAGTCGTTGTTTTCAGAGGAATGTGGAAATTCATGTTTCAATTGCCATGCAACGAACGTCTCCATTGTTGGACAAATTGAACCACTACGACGCTTATACCATTTGATCTACACGAAAGGATATAGACGCCCATCGCATGGTGAAAGAAGCCGTCGAAGCATTACAAGGAGAGGAAGCAAAGGCGATGATCACTCAGCTCAACAAACTTCCAAATTGACCGAATCGATGAACTTGATGACTTTGTTCCACAAGTTTGCTAAAGAAGAGCAATCTAGTTTACTTCAGACTGAATCTGATTCCACAGTTGCGCCCATGGACATAGTAGGAAAACTGAAACTTGCTGAAGACAGTTCATCAGCACTACAAGGTACACCTTCAAGTCGTTCAGTGTCTGTATCACCTCAAAATTTCCGTCAACACGGGTCTGATTTTATGGTACCGAATCAGCAAAGAGGTGATACAGATTTCGAAACACTTTTAAAGCATGTTAGCGAACAGAAGGAATACAACTTTAGTAAATGCTTTCCCTTTCATCGAAAAGTTTTATCGTTCCCCGTGCTGCAAATGAAATTGAATTTAGGGACGGTAAATCCATTTAAATTGGGGTCATTTATAAAGAGATCAATAAACTCATCTATTCACACATATATTGACTTCCATGAGGGATTGGAGATAACTCGATTTGTACTTTTGAGCGAAAAGAAGTGGGAATTGTACGAATACAAGTCACCATCACTGGAAACAAATGTATCCTATATCAAACCTGTTCTTGTATGTTGTGGGAAACTGACAGGCGAATATGGGGAGTCTCAGAGTAGCTTGAGACCTGTAAACACGCCTGATGACCATGAAACTATAAAGTCAAATAATTTTGACTTCAATGGGAAAGCCGGAAATCATTCTTTTAAAGATGACTTGAAGAAACGATTGTCTTCGTGGGACCATACGTACTGTCGGCTAACTAAAAACTACTTGGTCATATCCGGTACAAGGGGGATCATGAGGGTATTCAATATCAATTCGGATAGCAAATATCGAATAGGAGAACCAGTTTACACTTATCTCACAAATTTCCCAATCAGATGCATTGCTATATCACCCAACGAAAATCTCATTGCCTGTAGCATAACTGGGAGAGAACGAATTTCCAATAAAGAGCAACCATTTGTTGTTCTACATAGGATGTCAATGAGTGATGAGTTGTGGGTTAATTTTGCCGACCCCATGTTGATAACAGTGCCCTTTCGTGATCCAATCAAGCTTGTCAAATTCAACGCTGCTTCATCTCACATCATATGCGCCACAGTATGGGAATCAAGATACATCATCATCAAGCTAAGGGATGGTGAGAAGGGATACCAAAAACCACGCTTGGTATGGTCAGATCTGCCATTCAAGAGTGGCCTGAGACAAGATGATGGCGGCCATGCAAATTTGAGTAGAGAAGAGGAAATTGACGACGAATTAATGATGGCAAGTGAGGGGATTACTGACATCCAATTTGGTAATATGCATTCGAATACAATTGTGATCACTTCGAACACAATAGGACATAGGCCACCTATTTTAATTGGCCTTCATGGCACTCAAATTGATTCCTCCCGGACGGATCCAAATACTGATGGATATAGCATTGAAAATTCCTTCTCAAGCCATCACAAAGATGACGAGGATGACGACTATTCGATGTTGAAGTCTTCCGAGGTACTACTCAGATTTCCTGAAGTCGGCTCCTCGATTCACGTGGCTGCATTATCTCCTCGAGGAGACGGAATCGTGTTTGCAGACAAGGACGGGCGCTTGTACTTGGTGTCCACTCCTAATATAAATACGCAATCGGGTACTGGTCAGTTGGCGAAGAAAACAGTGGTATTATTGGGTGATGTTGCCAGTGCCGAGAGATTTACAGAAGCCGCATCAGTTCAATTCCTGGCTGACGGCGGTAAAGTGTTTACCGTAGACAGAAAGGGATTGTTTCAGGCTTTTGACTTTACGAAAGGTATCCCAGGAGAAGATCTGGATGTTGTCAAGTGTAAGATAATCAGTATGTAAGTACAAATGCTATAGACCTAGCAGTTTTGATGTCGCTAATCCACGGTTATTATCGGGGAAGCGACGCGCCACACTTTTTTTTTTTTTCCTTCTTTTTTTTTACTCTTAGCTATGCCCATCGTAAAAAGAACACGATGAACAAAAGGACAAAAAAAAAAAAAAATAATAGAGCACCCAGCACCATTATATGCATCTGTAATTTGAATACCGTGGAAAAACTGAACTTGCAACATGTCCATCAACCCAACAGCCCCTCCTCCATTGAAAAATGACATTTTAGAACTTATTGGGAATACCCCATTAGTCAAGTTGAACAAGATCCCTCAATCTTTGGGTATCAAAGCTAAGGTGTATGCCAAGGTGGAGTTGTTTAATGCTGGTGGTTCCATTAAAGACAGAATTGCCAAAAACATGGTTCTCGAGGCCGAAAAACAAGGCAGAATTAAGCCCGGATACACTTTGATTGAACCCACTTCTGGAAATACTGGTATTGGTTTAGCATTGGTAGGTGCAGTGCGAGGATACAGAACCATTATAACTTTGCCTGAGAAGATGTCAAATGAAAAAGTTTCTGTTTTGAAAGCATTGGGTGCCGAGATTATCAGAACTCCAACTGAAGCTGCATTTGATGATCCCGAGTCTCATATTGGAGTTGCAAGACGATTAGAGAAGGAAATTCCAAACTCGGTCATTTTGGATCAGTATTCTAATGTTGCCAACCCTGAGGCCCATTACTATGGTACTGGCTATGAAATTTGGGAACAGACTGAAGGTAAGGTCACCCACTTGGTTGCTGGTGCAGGCACGGGTGGTACCATTTCCGGTATGTCCAAGTACTTGAAGGAAAAGAATCCAAAAGTGAAAGTTACCGGAGCTGACCCAAAGGGCTCCATCTTGGCAGAGCCAGAGAGTTTGAACGATAGTTCAGAGGGCTATTTGGTAGAGGGTATCGGCTATGATTTCATTCCCGATGTGTTGAACAGAAAGTATGTCGACAACTGGATTAAAACAGATGATGCCGAATCTTTCAAGTTGGCTAGGAGAATTATCAGAGAAGAAGGTATTTTGGTTGGTGGCTCCTCCGGTTCAGCACTTCAAGCTGCTTTGTTGGTAGCCAAAGATTTGACAGAGGATGATGTAGTTGTTGTTGTGTTCCCTGATTCGATTAGATCTTACTTGACCAAATTTGCTGACGACGAATGGTTGAAATCCAACGGATTCACTGTTGAGGAAGACGAGGCTACAAACAAGACCGACGAGTTTTTGACAAACAAAACAATCAAAGATTTGGTCGCAGGGAAACCGCCTGTTGTTACTGTTACGCTTGCAGATACCGTCGCTAAGACTTTTGACCTCTTGCAATCAAATGGATTTGATCAGCTTCCAGTATTGAACAAATCAGGACAATTGGTTGGGTTGATAACCTTATCAAAGATTTTGAAATCATTGTCTACAAAGAGGATTCAGTTGACCAACTCGATCAGCTCCATCATTATAGATTTCAGGAAATTAGCTGATTTTGAAAAATCAAAGTCTGTAAACAAGGAATCGGGATTTACCAAGAGAAACTACGATGTCATAACTTTGGATACCAAATTAAGTGTATTGAACAAGTTTTTTGAAACAAACTCCAATGCCATTATTACCGACAGCGACTTGAAACCAGTTCAAATTGTCACCAAGGTTGACTTACTTTCCTACTTGACAAAAAATCTTTCTTACTAGGTAATAAACACGGGAAATTTATAAAGTGGATATATATATATATATAAATAATACATGATGAACTAATAATAGCTTGGCTTTTTGTTTCTTCTATGAAAACTTCCATCTATTTCCACAGTTTTCACAGGTACAAAATGTCGTCAAAGGCTCATCCGCAGACCTTGTTTGCATTTGGTAATAACTCACTTTCTTGTGTTTGCATTTACCACATGTGAATCTATCCGTAACTGCTCTTTTTTCGGTGGCACCTTGTGCATCAAAGAGGTTTTGCTTGTGCAACTTTTCAATCTCTTTCTTCAACGACTCTGGAGCCATTTCGTTGGGTGTCATTTTGATGAATTGGGCAGCCGAAATTTGCTTCGATAAAACACGCTCCCTCAACTCTGGATTCTTTTTATTTCGAAGATTCATAGTAAAACTTCTCAACCTGTTTCTATAAGAGTCGTTGACTTTCAGGTACTCACTTTTAAACACCTCGCTCTCTATCTCTGAGGCTATTGTGATTATATGTTGAGGAGAATCTTCCCTTTCAACAGCCAATGAGGAGTACAAGGCACCCACAGACGCATTACGAGTCGGGTTATCGTACAACGTTGTGTTCACACCGTCGGACTTGGCACTCCGTGGGCCGCTGAATTTTTTCCCGTTTGCCGTATCTAAACTCGATTTGTCAGCATTTGGTGTTGACGATGCAGGTGACCCGGTCGAAGCTGGTGTCGATCCTGGCAGGCTGGCAGTAGGTTTCTTTTTACTATTCTTCTCATTCTGAACCGCATCTCTCCAACCCCTAATCATTTTCTTTACCAACGATGATATTTCTTTGTTGTCGTGACTTCTGTATTTGTTCACCACCACACCAACCTTTGTCTCTCTCAACAACTTTTCAGTGGGAACCACTTCATCGTTCAATATGTTGAGTAATTTTAGTATCGTCACGTCATCCACAGATTTTTCAAGATTCGATATGGTGGACTTTACTTCTTTGGCATCCATACTCAAAAATATTCAGAATAATGGAGTATCTGTTATCAGAAGTAAGAACTTCCAATACAAATTTTTTTCTTTTTTTTTTCTTTTTTTTTTCTTTGTTTTTGCTGTTCCAATTTATGCTTTGCCAGCCTGAAGGGTGAGAGTGAACTACAACTGAGTCGTCTACAGCAGTCACCATGGACAACACAAGCACATGTGTGTCGATAGGTAAATTTCCATTTGATTATACCGAGGAGCAGGTGTTGGAAATAGCGAGATCGGTGGGGCCCGTTCTCGATATCAAGTTATTATTTGATGACTTAACAGGGAAATCCAAAGGGTACGCAATTGTCAACTATGGAGATGTTGAGACCGCAGGATCGGCAGTACGAAATTTGAACTACACGTCTCTACCGAATGGGAGGTTTTTAAAATGTGCTATTGTTAGTGGCTATGAGATGATTGGAGATGAGGATGCTGCAGTCAAGTTGCCGCCATTACCACTAGGGATTCAAATACATCCGAACCAGAACGCATCTCAAGTGATATCAAGCATACTTTCTAATATTGACTCGAATTCGGCATTACAAATATTGCAGGAAATGAAGACGATGAGTCAAGAGAACCCAAGAGGAACGAAGCTCTTACTTGAAAGATTCCCGCAATTGGCCCTAGCCATGGTCGAGTTGGGTTTGTTAACTAATAGCACCAATCATGAACTTATAGAATTGACGTTGAACAAAAAGCCAATAGAATTGAGGAGTTTGTCAAGTGATCATGTTTCTCTACTACAGGCGGTGTATAAATTGTCAGATGATCAAATTGGCGAGTTGAATGAAAGTCAACAAGAGGTGGTAAAACAAGTGAAAGTTGAAATCGAGAAAGGGACATATGGTGAAATACTAGATAATGGTTCCAAAAAGGAGTAATCGCGGAGGTCATGTTGCTGGGATGGGCGATTATGGACTGTATAAGTACTAAACATCACCTGTAAAATATATACTTTGGTTAAAAATGTTGTATCAAACCTCGGCATTTGCACTTGTTTGCCAGCAGAAAAAAAAAAAAAAAAAAAAAAAAAAGAAAAAAAAAGGAAAAATAGAGAGACAAATTGGAAAGGTATTATCTCGGAAACGGCTGAAAACCCGACTACATCCTCTCTTTCTCCCCCAACCCCACACCCGTCTCTGTGTGACCAGGCATACTAAGGTATACCAAATTGTAACACGATGTCGTCACCAAGGAAAACTAGGGAAGAGTTGTTAGCAGACTTTGAGAACGACTTGGTCAAGTTCATTTCCATGACCATTACTGTTGAAGGGCACGACGAACCGTTGGTCTTTTCAAGAGATATGGAGCCTATGCCACAACGTCTTCATTTCATACTACCAGAGTATTCGGTTTATTACTTGACAATTAGATACAAGGTTAAGCAAAGGCCGTTGAAAAAGCTCACTTATCATCAAACTGTAAAGAAGGGTATGATCAAAGTAGATACAAGGGATTTGGAGATGGTCGAGGACGCTGCTGTGAACGACCACCAGGATGATGGAGACTACCATGAAGTTACATTCCCCGCTGGTGGTGTACCCGGAGGATCGTTTTTGAGAGGATTGTATCCGGCAAAAAGCACGATTAAAGAAAATGGAGAAAAGATTTGGAGTTACAACTGGACAATAGAGATTTGCAAAAAGGCGCAGAAGCCACTGGTTGGTGGATTTGACTAAATAGAGACAATGTATAATTAGATAGCCTGATCGTGATATTCACCGTAGCTCCCTGTAGTGTCCTCTTGCATCATAGAATCCTAAATAAGACCAGAGCGGACACAAAAAGAAGCTTTCACTTCCGAATGCGCTTATCTAAATCGGTCGAAGAGCTGAGCTCTCCCTTTTGATTGATCCAGTTGGCCCAAATGAATTGGAATATGATTAACAAGAGTTTTGCTCATGCTAAGGCATCACCACTGTAAAATTTCTTGCGTAGCTACATTTCTGTATAGTGTTAGGAGCGAGGGGGGTGGGAGATACTGGACCAAAATCAATATTTCTGCCCTTGTCCTGAACTGCACTTCAACATATGAGTACAGGGTGAAGGACGCTTTGCATTTCGGAACCTTGTGGTCATGCTTGGTGTCAAATTATTAGTCATTGAAAAGAGTAACACCCAAAAATAGTTCAAAATGATATGATATAACTTTTCCGTTTAGGAAATGAATGAAGACACAAAAGCCACTAGACAATTATTATAACGCTTTGTAATATGACCCACATTTTTTCGTAGACTCTATAGTCCCACTCCAATCTATTCTTTCCAAAATTCTTCATTCAATTTCAATACAGTGTGGCAGCTATAACTGAAGACATATTCAGAGGAGTGAAAGAGAGAGAGAGAGAGAGAGAGAAAAAGAAAGATAGGGGTGTACATCGCCAGCAACATTCATCCTTTAGACTCTTTTCAGAAAAATAGTGGCGCTTATTCATTCTTATCACGGGTACACGTAGCAACTATTTTTGATCACAAGACATCGCTTCCCACGCCCCTTTACACAACTATTTGACACTCTTTCCCACATTTACACCGGGTCGAGAAACTACATTACTATTAGGTATCACTTGCAATAATGAGTTCTCCCAAAAGACGTATCGAGAAAGATGTCATGGCTCTAATGATGAGTGACCACGATGTAACATTGATTGACGACTCGATACAACAATTCTTTGTCATATTCCATGGCCCAAAAGACACCCCATATGAGGGTGGAGTGTGGAAGATTCGGGTCGAGTTGCCCGATCAATATCCCATCAAGTCGCCGTCGATAGGGTTCACAAATAAAATTTATCATCCTAATATTGACGAGGGCTCAGGAGCAGTTTGTTTGGATGTCATTAATCAAACATGGTCACCGATGTTTGGATTACTAAATATATTTGAAAACTTTTTGCCTCATTTGTTGAGATATGCCAATCCTAGTGATCCATTGAATACGGAAGCATCCAATTTAATGACAAAGGATGAGAATAAGTACAATGAAACGGTAAAGAAATATGTTGAGCAGTATGCGAGCCACATACCTGACATGAACGGAGACGCTGAACGAGAAGGCGAAGAAGACGAAGACGACGAGTTGAGCGATATTGGAAGTTTATCTGGCGACGATGACGAGGATGGGGTCGCAGGAAACCTTGAAATTTGAAAGATCAATGTTCATTATTGCAGAAGTGCTTGCTTGACGCGAGAGCTGTTTCCAGATATGGCCACGATCAAGTGTTCTCGATCAGGTCTTTCTTAATGTTTAGTCGTGATTATTCGCACATGCCCAACACGGGGAGTTTTTATATTATAGGTTATAAATTTGGTTTTCCTTAGGAACTAGTTTACATAGTAATCAATATGAGTACTCGATATACAACTCTACACAAGCGTACGTAATGTGTCCTCTTGATCTGTGTCAGTCTTGTTTTTGCTGCTGCAAGAAAAATATGAGAAATTGAAACTGAAAAATCTGTTGCAGATGAACACACACATATCAGTACAAACCACACAACAGACACCAATCTACAGAATATGCAACTGCCGAGTGAATCTGAGTCACAAGCTTTCAAGAAACAAACAATTTCGAACGATGATCTATACCGAAACTCGACACAGTATGGGATTTGGTCGTTCACACAAGAAGAGCTAGAGAAAGCAAAGGCCAATGCAAACCAACTGGGAGTAATCGCAGCACGAGAACGGTTCCAATCAGCTTACAACAAGTCCAAGAGTGATCACCCGGAAGCTTTTAGTAAATTTCCCAACGAATTAAACGAAGATATGATCAGCCTATTGTCATTCGAAGAGGAATCCGCGTATTTAGAATTTTACATTCAAAATGTCACCACCACATGCAATTTCTTCAAGATGCCGACTCAAGTACGGCTAACAGCCGCCTCTTTCTTCAAAAAGTTTTACTTGGTCAATTCAGTAATGCATTACCATCCAAAGAATATCCTATACACATGCATTTTCCTAGCTGCAAAGTCAGAAAATTACTTTATATCCATTGAGTCCTTTGTGAAGGCGCTCAAGGGCGTTCAAACATCCGATATATTGAACTTGGAGTTTATTGTATTGCAAAGTTTGAAATTTACGTTGTTAGTCCATCATCCATTACGGCCTTTATACGGATTCTTTCTTGACTTTCAAGCTGTTTTGTTGTATCCGGATCCTGTGATGTACGACGTTTCTGCAAATACCATTGGGAATCTTTATAATAAAGCTAAAGAGTGGTTGAACAAGTACTACATGCTTAGTGATATTGCATTTTTATTCACACCACCGCAAATTGCTTTGGCTGCGATGTACGATTGTGATCGCAGAATCACTGATCGGTACTTGAAACGAAAATTTTTGAGGGACGATGATGTTGAGGACACAGGTGATGTGCAGAATCGCGTACACCTGGAACAAAAGAAGGATAAGTCTGAGACTCAAAAGCTGAAAACGGAATGTGGCGAAGGTGGCGAAGGTGAAGCTGAAAATGGGACAGATAATGCACAAAACTTAGAGTCCGAGAATGTCCCTCCATCAAACCCCGTATCCAAACGGGAACAGTACGAGTCCTTAGTCCGTACCATACGAAGATGTGCCAAATTGGCCAAGGACTTGCCGGTTGCAGATCGTGAAAAGAGTAAAGAAATCGATAAAAAGTGTTTCTTTGCACTAAACCCTGGCAAATTGGTTGACAAGCGAATAAAAAGATTGATGGCTGAGAATTCTTGATAGAGACTCGTTTGACTACGACGATTAGGACTCCGCTCAAGTTATTTTAGTAGAGATTCTTCTATATTACATAGACATTGTTGTAGAAGGAGAACTTGAAGGTTTACCGCCTTTGTCATTCTTCGGCTATGCACATATTTATACCACTTTTAACCCTCTCTGATTATTCCATTGTTCTTCACTCCTGAAGTCACTGTAATTAGTCAGCCCTTGGCCTGCGTACAGAGAGGCACGGGGCCGCGAAGTATCCGACCCATTCATAAGTTAACCGGTTGTCACACAAAAGTATTTTCATTGCTAACCTTCTACTCCGCGTGTATTCTTTTCTTTTGACAGACACCTGCATACTTTATAAACTATAGTTGCTGCCATCCTTGTATCAATATATAAAGCGAGAGATACATTTCTTTGCCCAGTAATACAGATATGTTCTCCAAGAGGTTGTACTCGACACTACGAACTTCAGCAAAAATGACATCAGTATTAAAGAATAAGGATTTGTTAAAAACACAGGGCTTCATCAATAATACATGGGTCGACAGCTCCTCAGGAGACACCTTTGATGTTCAGAATCCTGCTTTGGAACCTAAGAAGGACGCCTATTTGGCAACAGTCCAGTCTATGAGTGCTGATGATTTCGAACACGCTATCGCAGCTGCTAGTGAAGCTTTCAAGACATTTGGGAAAACCAACGGAAGATATAGGTCCAACTTACTATACAAGTTTTACGAGTTGATGATTGAGCACCAGGATGATTTAGCGAAATTGGTTGTGTTGGAAAATGGTAAGCCTTACGCTGATGCTTTAGGTGAGGTCAAGTATGCTGCTTCCTTTTTCCAATGGTACTCTGAACAAGCACCAACGATTCAAGGTGACATTTTACAATCGGGAAACCCAAACAACATCAACATTTTAGCTTTGAAGCAGCCAATTGGTGTTTGTGGTATAATGACACCATGGAATTTTCCCTTGGCTATGATCACTAGAAAATTGGGAGCTGCCGTAGCTGCAGGATGTACCACTGTTATCAAACCAGCTACCGAGACCCCATTGTCTGCATTTGCATTGGCCCAATTGAGTATTGACGCTGGGTTCCCCAAGGGTGTTATCAACATATTGGCATCGCATGAACCAGCTAAAGTTGGGAAATTGATTTGCGAGCATCCAACTATCAAAAAGGTCTCCTTCACTGGGTCTACCAGAGTTGGGAAACTTTTGATGCAACAATCGGCATCTACTTTGAAAAAAGTGTCGCTTGAGTTGGGTGGAAATGCTCCATTTATTGTCTTTGAAGATGCTGACTTGGACAAAGCCGTCAGCGGTGCCATTACCAGTAAATTCAGGTCGAGTGGACAAACTTGTATCTGTGCAAACAGAATTTTTGTGCACGAGTCCATTTATGATGAATTCACAAAGAAGTTTGTCAAGCAATTGAAGGAGCACATTGTTTTGGGCAATGGTTTGGATAAGGACACAACCTATGGACCTTTAATTCACCAAGGTTCCATGGAAAAAATCAGAGGCCAACTCAAAGATGCTTTAGACAAAGGTGCAAAATTGTTGTTGGGTGGAGATAAGCGTCCAGACTTGGGAGAAAACTTCCATGATCTCACTGTTTTGGGTGATGTTACCCCAGATATGGAAATTTTCAACGAGGAAACTTTTGGCCCACTTGCTCCATTCATCAAGTTCTCGACTGAAGAAGAGGTTCTCAAATTAGCAAATGATACACCTGTTGGGCTCTCTGGGTACTTTTATTCCAAAGATTTGGATAGAGTGTTTAGAGTTGCTGAAGCCTTGGAGGTTGGTATGATTGGAGTCAACACTGGTGCAATTTCAGAAGCTGCATTGCCATTTGGTGGGATCAAGGAGTCTGGATTTGGAAGAGAAGGTTCCAAGTTTGGGGTACATGATTACATGATCATCAAAGGTGTTGTTTTCGGAAAGAATGAATAGAGATAAATGGGTGTAGAGAGATTGTTTATATTTGTGTGTTGTTTCTTGCGAAATATCTATAAGGGTTTAGATTTGATTGGACCCTGTATCAGCAATTGGTTCATCCTGGTATGCATGAAGTTGATCCAACACTTTTGCATTTTCGTTAAGCACTTTGTCCTTTGGTAGTATCTCGTTCACTTCCTCCGCAACTATAGATTCGGTGTTTGCAGCTGGGACAGTTTGCTCATATTCAGTAAGGTCTAGATCTTTCACGTCCTCAATCCTGTCAACGTAGACGTCAGTAACAACATCTTTGGCTAAAGAGTATTTGTCATCAACAAATCTGAACCTTTTACCTCCGGATTCAATCTCTTGTAATACTTTGTTGTTTATATCGCTGAGATCTGCGTCACTTTTCAACAAAGTGTCCCACTGCGTATTCAACGTTGTAATTCGATCATCTTCAGCCGTTTGCAAATCAAGTTTCATTCCCCGTTCTTTTTCCACGTCCTTGAGCAATTTCTCTAATATTTCGCTACGATTCAAGTGTGATATTTTCGGTACTTCCAACTTTCTTTTCTTGAATACACGTCTCATATTATCGTTATTCTCAACATACTTGGCACAATTTATCGACTTGAGCGTAAGTGAATACAATCCACCTTCACGAGTAACACCATTCATTATTGATGAGGGGAAATTTTTCAACGTCATAAGCGGTGTCTCATATTTAGTTGGCGGAAACCTTTGGACTCCAACAGTCGAAGGTCGCGATACAGCAACAGCTTGGTTCCTTTTCTTGTACGGATGTCTACCCATTTTCTTGTTGTGAATGTCGTTGTAAACACACACAATAACCTTTTGCTTTTAGTACGTGGAATACAAAACAAAAAGTTTTGAAAAGATCTCTCGCAGAATCTTTGATCGATCAAACTGCTACCACTTTATAACCATTATCATCGCCGTCTACCATTCTTTCCACCAAAATACCAGCCACTTATAGAGAGTTCATAGATGGTTTCAAGTCTAGAAGAGTTGAGTAAGAAGATTCGAGACAACAGTCAAGGACTAGCAGCAAGAAATTCCTTAAAACCTTCCTCACTGACACTTCAACCTCCACCATCAAATGCTACCTTCCCTGCATTAAACTCTGCCCAGCGTGCAGCAGGGTCTTCACTATCCCCTTCACTTACCACCACACCTTCTCCTCAAGCACGTGCACGCCAAAAGGTAGTCCTACAACCAGGCCACTCTCCATTGGACTGGGCAAACTTGAATCGAACACAACCAAAGCATCTATTGAGAGGTGTTGATCCGTCTACACCTCCTCCTCAATACGTAAAAGTTAACAAGGAAGAGTTGAAAAAGCACAAGAGTCGATCCGATTGTTGGACATGCATAAATGGGAAGGTTTTTAATATAACTCCTTATATAAATTTCCATCCAGGTGGAGTCGAAGAGATAATGAAATGTGCCGGCAGAGATGGAACCAGCTTGTTTAACAAATATCACAGTTGGGTTAATGCTGATCGAATGTTGGAGAATTGCATAATTGGTGTATACGTGAATTAGTAGACTTCAATTATATTTGTTGTAAGGAAGGAAAAGTACGTGAACTGGTGATTATTTGATCGAGCCCATAATCGTGATCCTCAACGGGTATGGTGTTCTCTGGAACAACTTGTTCTTGTAATGCAAGCCCTATCAAGGAAGGCAATTTCGACCATTTTTCTTTATAAACTGATAAAAACTCGTCATAAAATCCAGCTCCGTGTCCCAATCGCTGTAATGTAGACGAGAATGCAACTCCAGGGAGTAGTATGAGATCTAGATCGCCTGTTTCTATTGCATCTTCACCAGATATTGGCTCAAGTAGTTGGTACTTTCCTTGTGGTTGTAAGTTCAAAACATCATTGTACGATTCAATTTTGAGCATTGATAAATAATTTGGTTTCCGGTGTTTTATGGGCACAGTGTTGCAACGTGGCAAGTACACTTTCTTGTTCTGTTTGAAGCAATGATCTATTATGGTAAGTGTTTTCACCTCCAGATCTGGCATATTCATAAACACGGCAACAGATTTTGCATTTAGAAATGTGGGATTATTGGCAAGTCTTGATAATATGTGTTGTGATTGGGAAGCTAGCGACTCCTGAGTTACGGACTTAAGGCGAGCTTTCACCTGACTTCGCAATTGCTTCTTTGCTGCTTTTATGGTTAGTGATTGTTGCACTGTCATTGCGCCGGTGTGTGTGTATGTGTATGTGTATGTGTATGTGTGTATGGGTGAACCACCATCCAATTTTTGAAAAAGAAGATTCTTGGAAATTTTTCACTTAGACTTTACTCTTTGTTAGTACTATATACACTTTCACCATTCTATAGAAGCTTATCCCTCTTTTCACAACTCGTCTTCCTTCTCTATCTCTTCTAACTCTCTTATCTTTTTTGCAGGTCCATAACGCTCTTGCAAGGGGACTAATATAATACCCAAAGGACCCTGGTCATACATGATTCGACTCCATCTATTGATGACAGCCTCATACCAGTTGTTAAGTTTATCATCCATATCGTCCGCCATTTTGGATCCCTTCAAATCAGACTTCAATCGCTGACATCTTTCAATATCTGTCTGCATTTTTTGACTCGAATACATATCAGTCAAATTATTCAACACATTCTCAAGAATAGGAGATACCTTGTGTGACGATGCATGGTCGTAGTATAATTCATTCAAAATTTCTTCTGACCAGTTAATAGCATCTTGTTTAAAGCCCTGAGCCCAAAGGATTTCACTTACGTGAGCTTTAATGGAGCAGATTTGAGTTATCAAATTTTCTCGATCAACATTAAACAATGGATAATGTGACTGATTGGAGAGACGGGCTTCCAACTTTTCTCTAATGCTTGTCAAAGATTGCAAAGTAGACAAGTATATTGCAAGTGACTCATTGAGGAATGTCTTTTTCTCCTTCTTGTTTGACCCAACCTTTGACAATTTAGCCAACTGGAATGCCATATCGTTCAAACAGTTTATCAATTCATCTGAAATTTTGCTATTTTGTCTCAAAGTGTAGTCGTCATTGAGTTGAATAGACGAGTACGTTTTCGTCAACATGTCAATAGATCTTTGTAAAATATGGATCCTATCATTAGAATCTTGACTTACTCTGGCTAGTAATCGACTACACTCCGACAACCTCTCGGCGTCCCCCAACTTGTAGTAGACCAAGTCATCATCAATGATTTTTCTCAATGTTACAATCGAAGCGTCCAATTCGCCTTTCGCTAATAGGGCTTTGCTGTATCTCAAAATCATGTCAATGTAAAAATTTGCAAACTTGTTGGATTTGTCATACACCAAAACCTGTGAGTCAATTATGGGCACATTGTAGTTTTCAAACTGCGATTCCTTTATACTAGGATCGACTTGTTTGGCCAAGTCAAACAATATCTTGCGATAATGTTTAACTGCATAACTTGGCTTGTGTAAAACATCGTCTTTGTTTATCGCCTTGACCGCTTCTATTTGATCCCCGAAACTTAGCTCAAATGGTATAGTTTGGCGCTCATTTGCGTCGTGGTATAGGAAGTAGAACGACCCTAGTGATACTATCAACCCTCCTATATACGCACCAGCAAGAATGTTGATTAATGTGCCGTATGATTTTAATCCGGCAGCTGCATTGGCAGATAGTTTGAATGTGCGTCTCTGCTGGCCACTTGAACACCTATGCAATACCACGTGTGAATTTGATATGAATGGTCGTCTGGGTATTAGTCTTGGTCTAAACATTTGGTCCTCAAAAGTGCTGTGCCTGATATTTGATTATGTTTCAACAAAAAAAGAAAAAAAAAAAAAAATTCTGCTACCCTTTTCAACCTTCCTCTTGTAAACCATGTATTGATCATGCAATATTGCCATGACTTTCAGAAATCAAAGCTCACTGGATCAAGGTACTTTTCGGCTGAGTGACACCATACACCAGTCCCATTTGGAGCTCCATCCCGAGGTGTCACGTCGGCGAAGTCAACCCAAAACTTCTCAGAGTGATCACAATGTTAACGAGCACCCTGTGGAACCAAAGCCGTTGCCATTTATACACAGGTTCATCACTAATTGGCTAGTAATGGATCCAGTGTTATTACTGAAGTATCAAAGACAGACAAGCAAGATGAAGAATTACGAGGTTGAAAAAGATGACGACGTCAAGTTTATCTTCTTTTTAGGTGGTCGTCTTAGAAGCGTCAAGGCTTGGCCCATCAACGTTTTCTCTGGGGCAATGCTTGCCATTCCGGTAGTGGTATATAGCATATTTGAAGCTAAATGGCAATGGCATCATCTACTGCCGGCAGTGGTGATAACATTCGTTTATGTATGGTTGCTTACTTTTTGTCAATTTTGGAAAGCTGCTACAAGCGATGCCGGTGTGTTGCCCAAGAACCTACATCTTCCAAAGTCTATCAACAGAGCAAAAATTGATAATCCGCCTGACGAATACTTCAATAGCATTACCTTGCCGTCATATGGAAGTACACAAAATGGCGTTACTGTTAAATATTGTTCTACGTGCCATATATGGCGACCACCAAGGACAAGTCATTGTGGGACATGTCAAGTATGTGTATTAAACCACGACCATCATTGTGTGTTTTTGAACAACTGTGTCGGTGAGAGAAATTATATCTACTTTTTGTGGTTTTTGTTGTTGGCTTGCATTGGGTGTATTTACTTGCTGGCCATTTCCATAGTGCAGCTTTGTTATTATCGCATTGGAAAAGTTGAAAATGTTGTAAGCATTGGCCAGTCCGTCAAACACTTTCCACTCAGTTTATTTTTGGTGATTTACTCAATTGTGGCGTTGTTGTATCCTTTGTTATTGTTGATGTTCCACTTGTTCTTGACGAGTCAAAACATAACCACCAGAGAGTATTTGAACAATGTTTACAAGCAAAAGCATGTTGATTTTATTAACGTATACAACACCCATTCAATATGGAAAAATTTGTATATAAATTGGTTGGGATCGTCACGCGGAGTGAGTTTAACTTTTCCGAGAGATGACTATGAGCCAGGCGACATCAGGTATGAGAAGATAGAGCCACTACAATTGTTTAGTATAGAGTATTGAATGTGATGTGTTCGACTTTGTTATGCTTTGTAACACTCTACAACGGTTGAATGTAGCTGGTAGCGATCCGTTACCCTTCAGCCCCGTCAAAAGTTTTTTTTTTTTTTTATGTTCTTGCATTTGTCTCCTTTTGTCAATTGTTAGGGGATGCTGAATATACCTTGCATCTAAAGACCATACTCAGATCGTATTAATACTACTTTGCAAAACCCAGGACTGGAGACTAGAGTCATCGAATATATCAAGCAAATCTCGACTCACTAGATTCAAGCTTTCACAAAACTCTCATCTTACCGTCGTTATCTACCTGCCATATGAACCATATATGATACAAAACTAGCTAAATCAACTCAAAAGAGAAGCATGGTCAACCCACATAGACAACCGCATTTGCGTCTGCATTTGCACCCGCATCTGCATCTGCCGTCGCCGTCAAATATCTCGCTACCGCATGGAGAACCACTACGACTAAACAGTCCTCGAAGTAACCTATCTCATACCTTTTCATTCAAATCGCTAGACAATTATCGACTACATTCACCTGCTTCAGAACACCATGACTCACGACTGAGACCACGAGTCCCGTCACCATCACCATCACCATCACCATCACCATCACCATCGATACCGCAACTTCATCTGCTGCCATCATTTAATCACAACCATCGTATCAATGCACAATCTTTTAGGACAGCGACAAGCCCAATTCGGTCGCATCGCAGACTACACCATCCAAGACCAATAGCTCGCTCACACCTGACACGTGGGTACATGTCGCCTCATTCACGAACACTAAGTCGGTCACCACTGATAGAATCGGTGGATCCCACAGATGCAAATCAACAAAATCCACATCTTATAAATGCACTACTTGCGCAGTCGAGACCAGCAAGCCCCATATCTGTATCTGCATCTGTTGAATCCGTGACCACTGACTCCCATCGAGGTGGTACTTCATTGCATCAAGCCACAACTGCGTATACGGCTACATATGGGCCAAAGCCGCGATCAAATAACATTTTAAACATGTCACAGCGAGTCTTCACTTGGTTGTATTCCATCTCATTGATCATCATCATTATTGTCATGTTGGCGTTTATTGCCGTTACTCCCATTGATGTAATTGTCCAGACTTTGAAAGCAACCAATGCAATTGCCGTCAAGACTTTTCTTGTGATTATAGTCTGTGTTGCATTCTTGTTTTTCTCATTGGTTATGTATTTGGGAAGAGTTTATTCCTTTAGAGTGGCAATGAATGATGTTTGCTCGAAATCATTGTACATACCATTTGAAGGTGATTATCCCAAGGATGTTTTCCATTTTATCGACCAAAAATTAAAGTATAGTGTTGATGTTGGTAGAAAAGCCGGTCCCTTGCATCAAAATTATGCTATTAATCATCCAGGCCTATCACCCCCAGAGTACATTCAGAATCGTAACCCGGGAATGGAGGGGAAACTTTTGCCTCCCAATATATCATATGAGGACGTTTTGCAAAGTCTTAGCGATAAATTCCAAATCGGCAAAGTGTTTACTATTGATGATTTACCAATGAACTTATCAGTCAAGGAAATGGTGTTATCCATGTATAAACAAATCTTGGAAGCTAGTGATTCGAATCATTTAACGAAATATATGCCAAATATTGCCAGGTTGATTGCAACATATGAGAAATGTCGATTTGGAGGAGGATTGATTGAGGAGAGGGATATGTTTACGTTGATGATTGAAATTGACAAGTATGGTCAATTGTGTCAAAATGATTTCCAATCAAAGATACCGCAAAATCGAAGAATCATTAGATCAAGTCAATCTTCAAACGCGTATGATACAGGTGACGGTGGATACATTTCCAATAACGACTTGCGCTATTACAGTGGTGGCATATATGATGATCTGAATGAACCAGATTACGCTGCTCAGTATAATCAATACGGTTACGATTATGACAAATTTGACGATGGAGAAAACACTTCAACTACCGGTGATGAAGTCAGCGCAAGACAAGTCAATGAAAGTTCCAGGCTTGGACCGTCCACTGATAAACCACATTATGGGGATAGCATGGAACCAAATGGCTCTGGCAATCTGCAGGAAATTTTTCAACTGCAAGAGGAGTCTGAACAACGACAACACCTCCCCTTACGAAGGCGATCAAGTGTCAGCTCCACCAAATCTGTGATTCGTAATAAATTGGCATTGAATCAAAATGCTAGCAGGCATACGCTACTGAATTTGACCTACTATGGCGGCGATGCATTAGGAGACACGCATTCATTATTTAGGCATCGTAGTGGGTATGTTACAGATTCAGAAAACGAAGATTATTGGGATAATGGAGATGATAGAGAAGATCCGATGAGATGTACCCCTACTCCAATTCCTCAAATTCGTGTACTGGGAAGAGACGACGACGACGACCGTGGTGGCAATGAGCACGCAGATGATGATGATGACGACGACGACGCGGAAGAAGAAGGAAACGCCCAATGCGGTGATGACTACGATGATTATGACGATGGAGAAAGCTTCTATCGGTTCAGAAGGCGGAATATTCATCGATCGAGATCAATCACCCCCGAGGGTTCTCCCACCAGATAGGAGGCGCTGATTTACAAACAGGCAAATGTATATACACGTTAACATTCACTCACACACTCACGTAAGTATATAGACACATTCTTTAATAACTAATCATGTTCCACATTCTCTGATGTTGTCTTTTGTGACGTAAAAAAAATTGCAACCTTTAACTCCGGATTAAAATAAAGGAACGGGAAAAAGAAAGAAAAAAACAATAAAATAAAAAAAAAAACATCCAAATCCCACCAACACAGAAGAAACATTTTTCATCATCTAGGTCGCCATAATAAAGGAGTACATTGAGGTGCAAATTCCTGTCTTCAAAATAAAAAAGCGTGCCATTTTATCAATCACATAGAACATTTTGCTCTACAGTTTCTCCTAGCAGTCGTACATGCACATATGAGCAAAAGCATACATTCCAGAATCAGTCCATACATAAGCTAAGAACTACCCATTTCAAGGATCCATTACCACCACCAATATGCCGCCACCACCACCACCGGGTAACCTCGGATCCTCCTCCCCTTCCTCATCGTCATCGTCATCGTCATCACTACTACCAGAAGACTACCTCTACTACCTCGACTACCTTCCCGACTTGCAAAAATGTATCAACTTATTCATGACATTCACCCCGCTCTTCTCATACGGCTCAACATGCATATCCATTTACAAGCGCCAAACCTCACTAGGATTCAGCATAGACATCTGCGGCACCATGTTCATGGCGAGCATATTGCGCATCTTGTACTACTTGTGCCAACCTTATGAGATCACCCTCTTGCGACAATCAATAGTCATGATACTAATACAAACTGCACTACTCAAGATTAGTCTTCGGTATCGGCCCCACAACTATGACCCGGAGCTCTTGACCCCCTTGCCGCGGTGGGAACTGGAGTTTGAGAACAACTTGCCACGTCGTCTTAGTGTGTCGAATTACATTGTTGAGCACAAAAATTACACGTCGTTGGGAGTGGTGAATTGGGCCATTTTGCAATTGAATGACGTGGTATTGTTGGGCTGGAGTTACTTCAAGACGGGGTTCAAACAGGCGTTGAGATTATTTGATGTTTACTACAAGCGGCCAGGATTGTTTTGGCAATGGTTGAATGAATCTTCATACTGGATGTTTCTCGGTTCATTCACGGCATTCTTTGGAATCTTGACATTGGTTTTCCACAACAATGTAACATATGCGAATTTCATTGGGGTGTTGGGATTGTTTATCGAGTCATTGTTGCCCATCCCGCAAATCCTCATGTTGAATCGAATCCAATCGGTTAAAAACTTTAAAGTGATCCTTCTCCTATCATGGTTAGGTGGCGATTGCACCAAGATTTCCTATTTGGTATATGGAACCAATGACGTGTCGATTATTTTCATTGCCGCTGGTCTTTTCCAAATGAGCTTGGATGTGTATATTGCATTCCAGTACTTGTCGTTGAAATATGGCGATTTTTGGGTAATTCTGTCGAAACTGGGATCCAACAACAGGTCAGTTGATGAAATTGTTGATCATTTGGTATTGAACGCTAGCAGTTCCCATGGCGCGTATCAAACAAGTAATGGCGGTGGTGATGGTATTGGCGATGGTGGTGACGTATACGAGATGAATGTATTTGATTCAGATTTCAAGAGTCGATCGGCTCGTTCTTCCCCATAAGAGAGGCAACCAAGTCAAAAGTCCATAATAGAGATTATAAAAATTTTAAAAGTGAACGTATATACATGTTTGTATTCATTGGCTCCTATGTATAAAGTGAAAAATTAAAGATAAACCAAGTTTGATAACCTCTCATTTCCTACCACAATCTCTCTCTCTCTCTCTATAAAGCAGCAGAGACTGGGTGATATTCGACATTTTCCTTTGCTTCATTAATCAATTCCAATGCTTCATCACCAACAATGTTGTGCTTAATTTTGATGTGTCTTGATAATGCATCATTTCTAGAAAACGTCTTTTGTTTTCCATTACCCGTTCCTCCTTTGTATCTTCCTTCACAAATGACACACCTATAAATCTTCTTCATCGACGCGTGAATAGTGTTTTGATGTCTGATCAAATCATATGGACGGGAAAATTGCTTATTGCAAACTTTACCCGTACCAGGATTAACCAACTCACAACGGTGATCAGGATTGGTGGCGGATATTTCAGCACCCAACTTGTATGGATGTTCGGCATCTGTTGATGACTCCTTTTTCGCGCTGTTCCGTGTATCTTCAGTGCCTTGTCCACCCATATCTTCATCATCAGAATTATCAATCATCATTGCATCCTCATCCTCTTCAAAAGTAGTGCCTGCGTCTGGTTCCTGCTTGATATGAACAGTATCAACGCTGGCAGAAGTATAGTCATTCTCAGGAGTCGATGCCAATGGCGAGACGATTGATTGTGGTGAAATTTCAGAAACAACAGGTGGTTGAAATTCCAAACTCTCTTCATCATCCTCAACCTTGATTATTGCCTCGTCATGCAACTCTTGTAAAGCAGGATTGCCCATGTCATGATGATCTTCGTCTTCTATTGGTGTGTTTGCCTCTTGCTCGTGCTCGTGCTGCAAATTGTTCTTTTGTTGTGCTTGTTGGTGATGGTGATCTTCCAATGATATATTCTTGAATGCATCAAAAGTAGAATACTCTGCAGAGTGATCATTTATAATATTGTAACCGGAATTGCTCATGATATAATCATCAAATTCTTCATCCACATGGAAGTAGTTATCCTCATCTCCTTCATCATCAGATAAATCCTCTTCAATTTGTTCATTTTCATCATCCAAGTACAAATAATCGTTTTCGTAACCAGGAATAATGTCATTTTCATATCCTTCGATTGAATTGGAATTGATAATGTCATTGTTATGACTTGGTGGAACATAAAACGAGTCATCCAACTCATGAATAACCTGGCCTGGTGAAATGTCGGGATTGTACAACAAGTAGTCCTCGTCTATACTCTTTTTCTTGCCTCCGGCTGGCTCCAAATCATCAATAGTTGTGATTCTCTTTCTTCTTCTTTGTGGAAATGCTTGTGGTAAAGGAGGCGGTTGAAGAAAGTAGCCATTACCTGGACCCGGACTCTGAGACGTATGTGGCTGCTGTTGCTGTTGTGGCTGTTGCTGTTGCTGTTGCTGTTGCTGTTGTTGTGGCTGCTGTAGCAGTTGGTTGAACGCTAGCGATGATGGCCTTATAAATGAGTTTGGGTTGGCATACTTGGTGAATGGGTTAATGTGGGCAGGTTGTGAATCTTGTGGGTAACCAACGTCCAGCACCTGCGTCTGTTGCTGTTGCTGTTGCTGTTGCTGTTGCTTGAACTGGTCCACACCTTCCTTTGAAGATATTTGCTCAAGAAATGAGTCAGGAATGTTCAACATGTTACCCAAATTATTACTTGAGTTGTTTTGAGTAGCAGCGCCATTGTAAAAGGAGTCCCTCATGGTATTTAGTTGTGCAAAGGGTAGATTTGGTGAAGAGTTTACTGAAGTTCGACTGGTGGTGTTGTAGTTGAATGTATTATTGAGATTAAAGCCGTCGTTGTAGGATTCGTTAGACACTTCGTTCTTGCTGTTGTTGCTGGATGCGGTGGTGAAGATGGGTGACGATGGTATTTGATACAACTCTTCATCCATCAAGTCAGTCATGGTTCTCTTCAACAGTGGTAAAACAGCTAATGAAGTCATATTGTTTGCGGTGGTGTAGTGGGTATTAGTTTTTGTTATGGTGATAAGTGTGATTAGTAATGATGTAAGTGCAACGTGTTTTCTCCTTAGTTGTTTGAGATTACAGCGTTGTTGTAGTGTAGTATGTGTTTAGTGGTATATATATATATGTGTGTGTGTGTGTGTATGTGTTTATATATACGTGAGATTGGATAAGTTATAAGGGTATGTGGTTGTAAGGAAAGAAAGAAGGAAAGAAAAAAGTGTAAGTTGTAGATTTGGTTTGTTGCAATTTCTATATTACTCACACTCTCTGTTTCTCTCTCTGTTTCAAAATTTCTTTTTCCTGTTGTACTGTGTATAGAGGTCGGATATGAAATTAAAAGCAAAATATAACACAACACCCGATATACGGAGATAATCTTCACATAACACACAAGACACAACATGTATCATATATATATATATATATATAAATCAAAATCTAAGTCACAGTAGCATGACTAATTCAGAGAACATGACGATGATGATGATGATGATGTGTGTGTGTGTGTGTGTGTGTGACCCTCTTTTAACGTGTCAGTCATCATCTACATCGTATCTACTCCTATTGTTAGACAGTACGTCTAAGTTTACGTTGTATTTGAGGAGATGTCTGTTGTGAATATATTATTTACTTTAAGTTACATTACTAAAAGTTAGTTAATGTCTTAGATGTGTCTTAACAGTGCATATACTACAATGTATTGTTATTATTATTGTTATTATTATTGTTATTATTATTTCTCTTCCTTTCCATCATCTTCTATTTCGTCTACTAATTTGTATGCAGTATATACGTACTATATTCAGCCACACTTTATATATATATTCAGATCATTATGCAATCACTGCGAGGCTACTTATTAAACAAAACACTGAGTACAAGTTAGTAGCACAGTGCATCATTTGGTTGATACTCGTGTGAATTTATGTGTGTATACACCAACCACAACGACACTTTCTATCTAGTCACTCAACTCATGTGTTATGAGTTATGTGTTATGTGTTGTTTTGTCAACAGTTGTTACAACTCCAACTAATATATACCATAACAAAAATGTGATTGTAAGTGTCACCCACTACTTCTTCCCCTTTGTCTCTTTGTCTCTCTTATAATTCTAGAACAGCAGTCAGTAAAATATCAATGATCCCATTAAACCATCTCAGCCACAATCACGCTCACATCTTCTGTTTCTTGTGTGTAACTTATTGATTATTGCTATTTTTATCTTGTTCCTTCCCGCTTTTCCCTCTTTCCCCTTTCCTCTTTTCCCTAAATCCGCATAAACTTCATATTCTCTTCTCTTGTCTTTTCCCCCACTTCTTGCTCATTTTCTTTCTTTTCTTTTTTCAATTTTTTTTGTGCTTGCTTTAGCAACAAAAAGGTCTTTGATCTCCGACATCAACAGGGTTCGGATTCTTTCCTAATTGGGAAGGAAATACACCACACACGTGACACTCACATACTCCGTGTACAAACAAGCTCCTTCTCTTTGTCTACAGTAGTTGCTCCGCCTCCCAATGAAACTCAGTCTGCTCGTCAATTTTCTGCTTCTATGTCGTTGACGCATCTCGCTTTATCGCCCCTTTCACGATCTTTAATTGTGTCCGCAACGTGTTAATTGCAATGTACGGTTGTCTTTCAAATCAAAGCGGCAACAGAGCTTAAAATGGTGCATGTACTGCATTAGTTATTATATTTGCTCAAGGTTATATTAGGTCTACATATCAAGTTGTGTACACCATTCACAACTCCACGTTGGTCTTTAAGATCGGAGTTTTTTTGTCTATTTGTTCACACTGATGCGCTTTTATCACGAAGAGAAAAGAAATTCATAGATTCAAAATCTCACTCTTTTATATGGAGAGATGGCAAAACCGGCTTGCTACTAATTATATCTCCACTACAGAAACAGTAACACTCAAAGTCACGCGTTAACCAACCAAAACTCAATCGCATTACGTCTTTCTCCTTATGACTATCCAACCCAAGGTCAAAAAAGGTGGTCCATTCACTTGGACTCAAATCCAACAAATTGTGAAACCAAATAACCTTGAAATGTTTGCTAGAAGCGAAGATCAATTCCGCAAGTATTCCAA